GCAATTTCCAAGTCGTGGCAGGCCTTCGACGGAAGATTCGATGCAGGAGGGCCCAAGGACAGTCCAGCCCCACTAAAGGGAGAATGCAACGATATTACGTGCGGGATCCCAGCACCAGCGTCGTTGGCATTTTGGGACCACGCAATTTACGAGGCATGGACCAAGGCAGGACATAAAATTTTCATAGCGGCGTTTTCTTTTTTTTTCTTCTCTTTTTAAAATTAGGCACAATTATATGTGCCCACCTTGCTTTTCGCATCATGGTTTGTCCAAAACCAGAAAACCAGGGCAGCCACTGTGAATTATATGCTGCCGGGAGACGTAAAAGGAGCAATCGAATTTCGCGCAATGCGCTCGACTCCACATCTTGCATATCATTACACCCCCAAAGCCTTCAATTTGATCGTGTCGTCATCTTCTACCTGCCCCTCTTAGACCAATAGATAATAGGATCAAGGGTGCAGGCTGCTCTTCTCCTCTCTCCCGCACGCTTCTCAATAAATCTCAGAGGTGCATCAGGGCTGGAAAAGGAGTAATAATAACATGTCTGGGGATTTTTTTCTCACTCTCATCTTGAAACACAGACACGGAGGGGGCGGGAGAGGAACCTGGCGATGATGCCCATCAGTCCCTCTCTTGAATTGATGGTGGGGAAATGGGCGCGACGGGCTGTTAACCTCGTGTTGTCAATGGACGATTAAATCACTCTCAATTACAAACACGTCAATCATGTCGCACCCTGCATCTTACAGCAACTCGCAAATCGAATGGTCAGTTGACGCCCGGGATAAGTGGAAAGTGTTTCCGTTTCGAGTCCAGACGCGCGACAAGTGCGCTGGAAAGACGAGAAACATTCAGTGCGACGCCGCCCATCTCTGAAGCCGTGACCCTGGAGCAAATGCCGTGGGTGTGTTGCCCCGAGTTTCGGTCTTGGGTGCCGAGAGTAACCTGCCTGGAAAAGAGAAGAAAAAATTCACGGACGTCGTCTTCGCTCCCTCCTTGTAAATTGCTCACTTCTGTTTTTCCGGTCTTGGGGGCTGCCCGTTCTTCAAGGCCGGCACACATTGCCCCGTTTCAGAGCGAGCGTCGACCAGCGTCCCGTGGGGAGAAGGAAGTCCAAGCATTCGAAGGCCTGACGACTCTGCTCGGCGCCGGGCCTGAGAGGCGGAGCCTTCCAACTTGTTCAGACTTGGCGCGGGAAGCGGTACACGGCGACAAGGAACGAAGAATCCTGGTGGAAAGCCTCCAAGGCGCAAAGTTGGCACCTCTGCAACCCAAAACTTTGCAGGCCTTGGCTTTTGGAGATAAGAATCAGGATCAAAGGGGCCCAGGGCAGAACAAAAAGAAGGAACGGAAAAAGAACATGGAATTAATCGATCTCTCAGCTTTTGGAGGTGGACCCGGCGCTAGAGTGCCCTCGACGCCTGGATACCGCAATTAAAAGGCCCTTTGCCGTGTTGTTCACCTCCCTCCAATATCCCATTTCCCATTTCTTTTTTTCTTTTCTTTTGTCGCCCTTTTTCTTTTCTTTTTCCGGTGGGGCGTCCCTGGGCCCCCTTCCAGGTGCGATGTGCTGTTGTGCTTGCTCTGCTTGTGCTCCGTGTGGAGCGTCGGTCGTTTGAATCTGATCCCTTGTAATAATCGGCACCCCCGTGTGGGAATTGTCATTATCCTTGGGGTCAAGGTGACCCACACCCCACCCTATTGCCACGCCCCCTTTCTGACCCTTTTCCCTGACGGAACATGGTACAATTCCTGAATGTACCGATTTTCAAGAGGTACCTGACGACCTGATCCGGGGCTTGGCTTGGCGCGACACCCCCTTTCCTTGTCCTGTCTCTTACGAGGCCTTGGCCAGGCACTCGCTTTCACGCTTTCACGCTCCTTGGGGGTTTTGTTTGGCACTTTTCTTCATTGTGTGCGCACCTCGCTCTTCACTACACCCCACCCCCGTCATCTCTCGTCTCGATACATAAGGAGCCCTCATCTCCCACCTCTGGAATCTTTTCTTTTGCTCTTCTCGCTCAGTATCACAGATATCTTCTTGATTTCATACACTTTTCAACAGACTCGCAAATATCTCTCTAGCTCTTCGCTTCTCTTCGCAACTGAAAAGACTCAGCCTAAGCACTTGTGCCTTGCACCAACGCAGCATCACCACTTACACCTCAACCCACGCAACTCGAGGACTAGTATATCCTCGACAGCACCAACCCAAAACAACCACCTTCACAACTATTCCAATGGCTCACTCTGCCGTCCACGAAATGCCCGCTCAGCGCCCCTCTCAGCTTCCTCCCTGCCCCGGCCCCCGCCGAGCAGGCCCCTCCCTCCTCTGCCCAAGCAGCAGGGTTAAAAGGGAAGAAGGTTGTCGTCAACTAAGGCTCGCCCCCAATTTTCGCAATCCACGAGCTTCCACCCCTTCAACCATCCGTCAAAGGATCCCAGTATCCTCGCCGAAACCGTTACCTGCTATTCGTCGCTCTCTGGTTTACACGCAATGTCTTGCTTCGCACCGCTACCCTCGCACCGCTTGCTTCGGCATCCGCAGCTGGGCGCGACGAAGCGCTAAAAGACGATTCCATCCCCGAGACATGCCAAACGCGGCCCAGAAGCTATCCGCTTCGCCTTTCACGAGCGCGTTCCGCCTGTTTCAAAAAGAATGCTCGGGGTTTGTTTTCAATCGGATTTCCTCGCATCGGCGAGTTCCAGTCGGCGCCGGTTCGCAATTAATAAGAGTGCGGCATGCCGCAGCCCGCATCCCACACGGAACCAACCCAACCGCCCTTCTGCAACTCGACTTTCCAATGGAACCTTACGCGCCGCGGGGCATCTGCCCCGCGGCTGCGCTCTTTGCTTCCTCATGCGGCACGCTTATGCGCTGCCCGCCTTTCTCCCAATCACCCTACACCTTTTATAATCCCTCTTATCATGGCCCTTTTATACTGCTTTTAATTGGTCTTTTATACCCACGTCCTGCTTTCTCATCTCCCTCTTGGGGCGAGGTGTTTCATCACGGACTTCGGCCCGGTCTTGTGTATTTTTAAACGCAACCTCTTTTTCCTCTCTTATCCTTCTCTCCGGATATGCACCAGTTCTCGCGCCAACCCAGGCTCGGGAACGGGAAGCTTCGCTGCATAGCCGCCCTTTTGGATACCCACCTCTTTTTCTCTTTTTGCCTTTTCCTCTTCTGCTCTCTGTTACCGATCTTGCTTGATGCAAATTGGCGTCATCGGGTTAGAGGGTGATTCGGGAACAAGAACTATCATGTTGATGAAATTTCGACCGTCCTTTCGACTGGTCAGGGATATATACAAAAGGTTCCACGCGGAGTTTTCATGTTTCTCTCTCTCTCGTTCTGCAATGTATAACATATAACTCGTACTACTTAGTCCGCTCAAAGGGAGCGTCGACAATGGATTGGAAATTTGCTTTATCCTTAATACATGAAGAGAGGATCTTCCTCATTCACACATCCAAGACTTTTTCCGCATCTCGTTACCCGTGTTCAAATCTTTCTGCGCGCTACGTGAAACCGCAAAGCACTTCTACCCCCGCCTGCCCCCTGCCTCTCCTTGTATTATTTTACGGAACTCGGTCCTTAATTCACTTACTATGCATCATCCTCTGCTCATCGTGCGGTCGCCTAGATGAGCGAGAGCCTTGTAAGGTGTTTGTTTGCATTGTGGTTATAGCCGCGGCAAGGCCAACGTGGCATGGACGGGTCAGGCCCGCCGGCCGCGTTGGCCGCGGCCATCCGTCCCGCTGCTATATGCGACCAGCAGATGGCCCTCCTTACAAGGCCTGGAGAGCGGCCCATATCTGCACGATGGTGGCCTCAGTGACGCTGCTTTAGGTTTACATGTCTCTATTCCACAACTTTTTATCTTTTGTTCATCATTCCTGCGTGGCTATATGATTTCTTTCTTGGTCCTTTTTTTTTATCTTCTTGTTTTTTTCCCGCTTGTATCTCTTTTCGTTTCGATTCTTCTTATCATCCGACAGGCGACAATAACGCCCCACCTGTCGGGCCGTGTTAGAGGCGGCCAGGCTGAACATTGAACAATCAAAATGTCCAACACATACATGCTTCCTTGGCAGCTTGACGAGAAGCAGGCAACGCACGGTCACGGAATCCGGCGAGTCATGCTTCCCTGTGTCCTTGGTGTCGAACGAAGCGTGGTGTCATTTTAGCTCATCGCTATCCCCTTTCCTCCCCTACGTCTATTCCAAAAGCGAAGAGCTTTGGGGATGGCCGAGCTTTGGGGCCGGGTTTTGCAACGGGCTTTGCGACAGGTTTGGGAGGCGGCCTTTGAACCTCACGGCGTCGGTGTCTTGGTGCCCATGGAGTGCATGAACGCGGATAGCACATTGGTCGGGTGCGTGCCCCGCAAAGCGTTGATTACGCTTTTCCTCAAGCGGGTCGATAGGTCGTGAATCGCTTACAGAAGCCTTACATGTTGCGCCACGCCAAGGGGTTTTGGCATGACGTTGACAGACAAGACAGGGAGAATCGGGGAAGCGCAAGGTACGTACTGGGTCTCGCATTCGCATTGAGTAGAGAAAGGAAAAATAAAAACGAGAAAGAGAAAAAAGCCTAAATCAGTAAACTAGGGTGGGGAATGGCCTGTGGCTGATGGATAGCTCCCCATTGCGGCGATGACCAGCCCAGGCGGCTGTCCATTTCGCCGAGAGGGGCGTTGCCTGTTGTGGTACGAGGGCCCGTTTATCTGCCCCGATCAGTCCATGGGCGGCGTTTAGTAAGACTGGGCGTGAGGGGGAGAGAGCAAGTCGTGGCGTTGGAAGGGGAATGAAGGCAGAGGCACATGCTGGGCAGCCGCGCCGGGCTTGCTCTAGCAAACTCTATCAGAGCCCGGATCGGACGCGGTCGCCATGCTTTAGGCATAGTCTTGTCTGCCACAATGGGAGGAGGGGAGCAAGACTCCGGTTCGTGTGGGGCCTTCCGCTGCAAGCTTGCGAGGGGACAGCGTCGATCCCGCATGTCGGACTTGTTCAGGACCCCAGATACCCGAAGGGACTGGGCTAAGCCCTTCAGAGGTACGCTTTGCCAGCATCGGGCGTAGGCCATCGCCATGTCTTCAACCCCCGCAACCAATGACTACGGTTAGATAAGTAGGAAAAGTTTAAATCCACGAAGCTTTCCCAGTCATGGAACTGATTGCGAGAGCGAGGCCCCCATCCCTGATTTCCCTGTGCTGGTGACAAAGTGAGCTTTGTGACGTAGAGGTAGCAAGTGCGCCGCCCCCTTCCCAAGACGCAATAAACTCTCTTTCGTTCGTTCGAGGAATCGCCCAAGATCGAGCCAGAAAGTTGTCAAAACCACGTCTACCTTTGCACGATGTACCTAGATTGGAGATTGACATGGCTCCCCTCAAGAGAAAGGGGGTGGATGTTGGAAAACCTAATCGCGGACATGGCGAGAGGTGCCAGTGGGCGTCCCTCGGCAAGGGTTTAAGCTCCCTGGGCCGTCTGGCGCAGCTCGACAGGTGAAGTGGGCCCATCGTGACAGGGAAAAAGTAAAACCTAACTGTCTATCAATATAGGTGGGAGTTCGCACTCGCAAGATGGCCCGATTCCATGTGCCGCTCGCACTCAAAGCTCAAGGTTCTCTCGTGAGACTCAAGTGAGAGAACTTGGGACGAGGTTGAGCTGTCGAAACGGCGTTTGGGTAGGCGCCGGGTCCTTTGATTGGCTCGTTTAAGGTGCTGACATCATGAGCTCGCTGAAGAGGGTTTTTCCCTTCGTTTTGGCCGAACAGGCTGAGCTGAGCTGCAGATCGACAGCCTGCCCGCAAAGTCACTCGGAACTTCGGATTACACAGCAAGCTCCACATAATGACGCGTACTCGATACATTTTGTTATCGAACGGGGATTATCGATAAGCTCCAGCACGGGTTTCAGGCCCTTTCAGCACTGATCGGCTGCAACTGTGATGACTTCACGCGCGCTAAAATTTCACCGCGCCAGTCCGTTCTTCATCGTGCGCCCATATTGTCAATCGATGCTCATCGCCGCCAACACGGGGCTGCGCGCACAACCATCTCCTCCTGGTTCTCCCTTCTTCCCTTCAGAGTTTTGGATATCTTTCAACCTCTCCTCCCTCTAACGACACCCCCTCCCGTTTTGCGCAGACCTCGGGCATTCGGAAATCAGTCTGAGCGCAATGCCGCTATTCGAGCTTCACGTATGGGGCAAGGCTTTTGGCCTTGACTCCATTGATGCAGAGTGTCTCGCTGCTATCAAGTTCTGCTCTCATGCCTTCAGCTCCAAGGGTAGGACGCACGAATGGAGCCTAGTCGAAAGCAGCGACCCCTCCATATCTCCAGCTCGTATGTGCCGCCGGACCTGACCCCTCCCCTCCCCCTCCTCCTTGCCTCTGCCGAACAGGTGTCCATCCCGCATCTGCTAGTAGGCTGCTAGCAAGAAACTCACTTGGGCTTATGCCGGCGCTGACAGCCCGATCTGCGCTGTAGATCACCTTCCCGCCCTCCTTCACGATGGCGCCTGGATCAGCGGCTACCGCGACATCATCCCTTACCTTACCTCCCGCCTCCACCTCTCCGACTCTCGGACGCCTGTCCAGTGCGCCGACGCCCTCGCCTACGAAACCTACCTCACCTCCCGCATCTCTACCCTCATCGACCTGTCCCTCTATGCGTCTTCCACCAACTGGGCCGCTGTGACGCGCCCAGCCTACAGCTCCATCCTTCACTTCCCCTAACGTGGACCGTGCCTCCCGCCCTCCGCGCTGAAGCCCTTCAACGCGTAGAGATTTGGTTTCGGTGAGCTGGAGGCCGACGGACGGGATGCGGGCGAGGACGAAGAGGAGGAGCCATCACCCGCCTTTCGGTGGAAGGGGCTTACCCTGCGCAAGAAGACGGTGGTAGAGGCCATGACCGCGGAGCAGATGATTGGCATAAGACTATATTCCTTTGCCAAGGACGCGCTCGAGACCATACGGGACGGCGCCGTAGATGATGCCGTCATCCTCGGCAAAGAGGGACAATATTCTTCGACGGCGTGGCTGCTCTACGCTCACCTCGCGCTCATGCTTGCTCCGGAAGTCCCCCAGCGCTGGCTGTCCACGCTCATTCACACCGACTTCCCCCAGCTCGTTGAGCTCTACGACAAACTTGGCTCGCCGCCCCGGCTTGGCAATAAGATTGTCCCGGCGATACCCTATAGCCATACCAAGCTCTCGACGGCGACGCGCTTCTTCCACGACGTTATTCAGTGCGTCCCCACCATCGGCCACATATACACTGCGGATTGGCGTCGTCGTAACGCGGAAAACATTCGCGGCCTCGACGCCCGCTCTTCCATCCTCCTCTCCGCAGCGCTTCTCTCCATCCCCTCCCTCGTCTACTTGTATCGTCTCTCTAGTACCTCCCTCTTCCCCGTCGTGAGGGCCCAGGCCCGACCCCATGTCTGGTATGTCGAGAAGAAGGGCCGTGGTCTCGGCCGTTTTGGCGAAATCGGCGCCATGCTTGACTTCACAATGAGCGCTGTAGGTGGCGCAGGAAGTGACGAGGGTTGGGGATATGGGCCTTCCATCTATTCAGTGGACGCGGGGAACAACGTAGAGCTAGATGCTAGGCCGTAGAGATATCGGGAGGAAGAGAACAAGCCGGTGGATATAGACAAAAGGAAAGATAAACTAGTGTATAGCAATGTATCAACATATTCCATGATTGGGACTGGAACCGTAGGTAACTTGCTTTTGGCTAGCAAGTGGTTACTCGTGGAACCATGGCAAAAACATATCGCTCAAGTATTTCTCTAATGTGCTACAAGAATGCCTACGAAAGCTATCTTTGAAGAAGCTAGCAAAGGGGAAAAACAAGCTATCGTGAAAGAAGAAACAGAAAACCCCCATTACAAGATATTTCGCTGTGGTAAACAAGTCATCACCCCCACCCTTAATCCTGACAACGCCAGTCGTTCCCGACAGATATGTACGTAATTCCGCAGTTCCACAAGTCGGAAGAGGATCAGAATAAAGCCAAAGACAGAAAAAGGGAATCTTCAAAAAACAGTAACAGTATTAACATGCCCGTTGCGCAGTACCTCGAAGACCAGCCCGGGGAATCCAAACAGCGTCGTCGTAGCATCGTCACTACCATCAGCACCCTTAGGGAGATTTGCTGCGGCCGTGGCGCTGCTGTCTTCCCACCCACCCAAGAGTTCGCAGCTGCTGCCCGGGCTATCTCCCCAACCCCTGTTGAGCACCATACCCCGCTGGCGTCCCTCGCTCTCACCTTCAGGGTAAAGGGATTTCCACCGCTCGTTTAGGGCTTCTTCGATCTCGGTGAACTTGGCCTCGGAGTTGGGTGCCAAAGTCTCGCTGGCTGGGTCTTCAAGGTACGCAATATCCCAACAGCATCGGCGGTGGCGGTTGAACTCGTACGAGCCAGGCAGGTTTCCGTGAAGCACAAGTTTGGTTGCTACAAGTTTGTCCGGGGATGCGCTCGTGAATCGCTTCTCCGGAACGGTTCCGTCACGATTATAACCGGGTGGGCGTCTGGAGGGTGTTGTGGGTGTTGAAACTAGGACGTCGAAGCCGAGATAAAAATAATTATAGAAGCATTCGCCAGACACATGACCAGGAGAATCTTCTTCGACGGCCTCCTCGTCGTTCGTATCCTCGGATCCCGTCATGAGAGAAGACTGATCTGTGTCGGTCAAATCATCTGGTCGGCCGGCTTCCCCCATCACCGCCGCCAGCTGCGTTCCGAAGATTATGTATCGTCATCCTCTTGTCATTTTTTCGGTAAATGGCGTTTGGCGGACCGAGTTCGATCAATAGTTCCTGAGGTGTGGTCTCGCCGAGGTGGATCCAGATGCAAGAGTTCGACCACTTACGGAACAGTTGAATGGCGCCTCCACCATGGATTCTGACCAAAGATATTTCATCGGCAGGAACGTCTTTGCTCCTAGGGATCGCGGGATTAGACTTGATGCTCGGCAAAGTAGCGGTCCAGAGAGTTGGTCGAGCCTCTGCCCAGGATGGGCCGTCGAACACGGCCATGGACGTTGCTGTTTGGTTAGGGACGGCGGACAGCAAGGAGACAACATCCTTATCAGGGGAATATGCGGAAGCAGACAGCTTGAACGTAAATGCTACACCGGGATACGATAAAACATAAACGCCAATGCCATTTTCGTCTTCCCTCGGCGGGATATACTCCCCAGCGTAGGTCGGCCCCAGGAGTTTGTGGTAGATGTGCTTAAATGAGGGCCCTCCAGCCCCGGGGCCTCACCCGCTGCCGGGGCTGCCGTCGCCGGTCGTACTAAGTCCCGATCGTTAAAGGTAATGTGGTTTCGCGAGAAATCAAGCACTTCAATAAGTCGAAGGCGCTGTTGGGCACCATCGAAGCGGAGACGTATGCCGTTGGCGGGAAGGTTCACTGTAACGGGTTCATCGATAGGGGTTTCTCGAGAATACACGAGTTCTAGTTGCGGGAAACGCGTGGGTTCGGCCTTGAGCCGTGTGAGAATGTCGTGGAGCGAAGCGCCAAGAGCTATTCGTGGTTAGTAGACGAGTTAATGAGAAGGAAGTTTGTCGCCGGAGGACATACCGAGAAACCCTAGCGCTCTCTTTGGGTAGAGCTGGCCCGTAAACAGAGACATCTTGATAACCGTCGGCTAGCCTCAGTAGCTGAGGACCACACTTCTGAGAGAGAAGGGTAGTGCCTAGAATGCGGGGCCCATGGGTTTTGACAATGTGAATCTCGTAGGCTGGATCGAGGAGGAGGGGGAGTTCAAGAGAGTGGAATAAGGGCGAGGAATCGACAGGCTCCTAGTAGAGTGATAAAGATAAGATTTCAGCAGAATATGTTTCGGTCTTGTTCATATGTGAGGCCGAAGGGCTTTGAAGGGGTAAATCAATGTCCACGCTTTTCAGCCATGTGATGAAGCCTGTGGGAGGTTGGAGTAGGTGGGTGGGAGCGCGCGGAGTCAGCAGGAGCGGCGCTACGCTCTTTGTCTCTGGAGAAGGGGTCGAATCGCTGCTGCGTCATCGGCGGGCCATTTCACGCGTAGCTGGTGCCCCACCCCCACCTTCCCATCCCGTTCTTGGCCGCCTAGCGATTTGAGCAGCTCTGAGCATTTGATAATGAGCTTGTTCTTCGACCTCGATAACTCTAAGCGTTGTCTTCCACAGCCTGTCCGAATATCTTTGCTCGTAATCTCGGAGGTTCTTTTCTCTTGCATCTTCCATCTTCCTCTTAATATTTATGACTCGAAATTCTTGTGACTCGAACACTAAGCCTTTGATAGCCGCTGCGTGAGGTGAGGCGAAGACTGGAGCGCGGCTAAATGTTGGCACTGTGCCTCGATGTCAATATTTCCTGTGCAGCTTCTGGGGATAACAACCTGGGGTTAACGGCCAGTGTTCCATAGTCCTCTGGGCTGTCTCAGATGGGCTCCTGCCCCTGATATTACTATGAGTCGTCTCGGGCTTCGTCTGCTGTTTGAAGGGCCGCATCCGCATGTATATGTGGCGCTGTGGCTTGTGAAGATGAGTCATCTTCAGCCACACCAACTGAAAAATTGGTGCACCAGTGAGGAAGGTGTGGTGCATGGAAAATCTGTCGGGAAGATGGGTCATTGATCACTCTGTGTAGGCTCAGGGTGACAAAAGATTCAAGGGCTCCCCGTGAGTCAGCTCCATTGGTTAGTGTTGGCCGACATACCGTGTGCCCCTCCATGCAGACTTCAATGCATAGAGAGGGCATCAATTTGATGCTGCTGCGTTTTACCTTATAACCCCACCAATGCTCCCGCGGCGACTAGTCCGCCTTTGCCTGCGCCCTTCTTTTCTGCCCCTCACACTATCCTCCCCACCAACTTTCTCCTTGCCTGAACCCAGACTTTTCGGGAATCATCTAAACGCAAGATAACTATGGAGGCTGGAAAAGACGCGCCCAATCCGGCGCCTGCCGCGAACAAGCCCAAGTCTGCCAAGCAGGGTATGTTTCTTCCCGTCACAGTTCCCTCCACCTCCCCCGCCGCCATTGTTGCCCCACCGGAGGCGCAATCTTGGTTCAACCCGGTCTCTATGCCATTGCTGCTCGGGGGCCATACTAATAGCGTCACTTCCAACATCAATAGAGAAAAAGGAGAAGGCCAAGGAAAAGGCTGCTGCTAAGGCGGCGCAGGCAAAGCAACAACAGAAAGAACCCTCCGCGAAGCCTGCCAAGGAAAAGGCTGCTAAGGAGGTCCTCCCTAACTGGGAAAACAAGACCCCCGCCGGAGAGAAGAAGGAGCTATATCCTCTCGATGATGAGTCGCATCCTCACTTCAAGGCCTACTCCCCCAGGCGGTCGAATCTGCCTGGTACTCGTGGTGGGAGAAGAGCGGCTTCTTCAAGCCTAGGGGCGACGCAACCAAGCGATCTGACAACACTTATGTCATTCCTCTTCCTCCTCCCAACGTTACTGGTGCTCTGCACTGCGGTCATGCCCTCGCCAACTCCCTCCAGGATGCCCTCATCCGCTGGCACCGCATGAAGTATGGATCTAGCTCCATTAACCCCCACCGTACCTTGAAGTAGAAGACTGACCGTTTTCATCATTAAACAGAGGCTACGATACTCTCTGGGTTCCCGGTTGCGATCATGCTGGTATCTCCACCCAATCCGTCGTCGAAAATATGCTCTGGCGCAAGGAGCAGAAGACCAGAATTGATCTCGGCCGCGATGCTTTCACCAAGCTGGTTTGGGACTGGAAGGACGAGTACCATCAGAGAATCAACAATGCCCAGAGGCTCATGGGAGGCTCCATGGATTGGTCTCGAGAAGCCTTCACCATGGACAAGAACTGTACCGATGCGACCATCGAATCCTTTGTCCGTCTCCACGATGAGGGGCTTATCTACCGATCTGACCGCCTTGTCAACTGGTGCACTCATCTGAATACCGCACTTAGTGGCCTTGAGGTCGACAATAAGGAAATTCCAGGCCGTACTATGCTCAGCGTTCCCGGCTACGAAAAGAAGATCGAGTTTGGTGTCCTCACCCATTTCCAGTACCCTCTAGATGGCTCTCCGGATGTCAAGATCGAGGTTGCCACTACTCGTCCTGAAACCATGCTGGGTGACTCAGGCATTGCCGTTCATCCGGACGATTCGCGGTACACCCATCTCGTTGGCAAGTTCGCGCGCCACCCCTTCACCAACCGGTAAGTTTTTTTGGATGCACGCCTAAGGCGCCGTGCCGAATACCCCTACTTTTATTTAACAGTCAGATCTAGACTCCTCAAGATTGTTGCCGATGACTACGTCGACCCAGAATTCGGTACTGGCGCTGTCAAGCTTACCCCCGCCCACGACAACAACGATTACGCCATTGGCCAACGACATGGCCTTGAGTTTATCAACATTCTCAACGATGATGGCACTCTCAATGAGAATGCTGCTCAGTTCGCGGGTCAGCGTCGTTTCGATGCCCGTTATGCCGTCACTGAGGAGCTTACTAAGCTCGGCCTCTTTGTCAAGAAGGAGTCCAACCCCATGAAGATTCCTCTCTGCCAGAAGTCCAAGGACGTTATCGAGCCTATCATGAAGCCCCAGTGGTGGATGCGCATGAAGGAGATGGGTGCCGCCGCTCTCGAGGTTGTCGAGCAGGGCAAGATCACCATTGCGCCCGAGTCTGCCCGCAAGTCGTATACCCACTGGATGTCTAACATCAATGACTGGTGCTTGTCCAGACAACTATGGTGGGGCCACCGTATTCCCGCGTGGAAGGTTACACTTGAAGGAGAGAAGGATACAGACAACAACGACCGTTGGATCGCCGCCAGGTCCGAAGATGAAGCCCGGTCTAAGGCCAAGGCGAAGTTTGGCACCGAATCGTTTAGCCTCGAGCAGGACCCCGATTGCTTTGAGTAAGTGGCCCCAATATGAATACCGCCATGGTGACCTCTCAAGATGAGTCTGAGCTAATACGGTGACTTGTGTAGTACTTGGTTCAGCAGTGGTCTCTGGCCTATGGCCACTCTCGGCTGGCCCAACACCGAGCACCCCGACTTCAAGCGCTTCTTCCCCACTAGCACCCTCGAAACCGGCTGGGATATTCTTTTCTTCTGGGTTGCGCGTATGATCATGTTGTCTCTCAAGCTCACCGGCGAGGTTCCTTTCAAGGAGGTCTACTGCCACAGTCTTATCCGCGATTCCGAGGGCCGTAAGATGAGCAAGTCCCTGGGCAATGTCATCGATCCCCTCGACATCATCCGGGGTATCGAGCTTGAGGACCTCCACGCCAAGCTTCTTCAGGGCAATCTTGCCGCTGATGAGGTCGCCAAAGCAACCAAGTATCAGAAGACGGCCTTCCCTGTTGGCATCCCCGAATGCGGCGCGGACGCTCTTCGATATACCCTTATCTCTTACTGCACCGGAGGTATGTTGATGTTTTAACCTAAGTTAACTAGACATGGCGAAACTAACCCCGATACTCTAGGTGGTGACATCAGCTTCGACGTCAAGGTCATGCACGGTTACCGTCGATTCTGTAACAAGATTTGGCAGGCCAGCAAGTATGTTTTGCTGAAGCTCCCCGAGGGCTTCAAGCGAACAACTGAGCTTGCCACCTCTCAGCTCTCCCTTCCTGAGAAGTGGATCCTGCACCGCATGAACACTGCCGTTGCGGAGACGAACCGCGCTCTCGCCAACCGTGAATTTTCCAAGAGTACCCAGATCACTTATCAGTATGGCTTCCTATGGCCCATCCTTCATTCTCAATATGGCTTCTAACTGTTGATTAGATTCTTCTACGACGACCTCTGTGATGTCTTTATCGTATGTTCTCCCTTGACGCTCTCCAAGACCGCCCCATGAATGCAATGGCAAGCTAACAACCAGAACAGGAAAACAGCAAGGCCCTCCTCACTGACGGTGATGAGGAATCGAAGAACCGTGTCCTTCAAACTCTTGTCACCGTCCTCGACACCTCCCTCCGTCTGCTTCACCCCTTCTTGCCTTTTATCACTGAAGAGCTCTGGCAGCGTGTTCCCCACGTTGAGGGTGACACGACTCCCAGTATCATGCTCACAACCTATCCCGAGTATGACGAGAAGCTAAACTTTGAGGCCGATGCTGCTGACTACGAGGTCGGTCTCAAGTGCGCCCAGGGTATGCGCTCCCTTGCCGCCGAGTACGGTTTCCGCACAGGTGGCAAGATCTTTGTCAAGGCCAGCTCTCCGGAGAGTTTCGAGAAGGCCAAGGCTCAGCATCACTCGATGCAGGCTCTCTCTGGCAAGACCATTGGCGAAGTCAATGTTGTCGGACCTGATGCCGAGGCTCCCCAAGGCTGCGCCGTCTTCGTCGTTTCGTCCGATTTGGTTGTTCAGCTTGACGTCGCCGAGCGCATCACGGACGTTGACGCCGAGATCAAGAAGGTCCGTGCCAAGCTACAGAAGAGCCAAGGCACTGCGCAAAAGCAGAAGGAACTTCTCGGCCGCGAGGGCTTCGATGACAAGGTTAGCGAGGTCGTCAAGACCCAGGAGTTGAAGAAGCTCTCGGATGCCTTGGCAGCGACGGAGAACTACGAGAAGACCATCGCCGAATTTGAGAAGTTGAAAATCTCCTCTTAGGGAAACAACATGTATAGAGTATTAGATATGAATGCAAATGGTTGCAATTGAATTACGACAGACATGCTGAGCGATCTCGCTTGATGAGTGTGCGTTTTCTGATGAAGTGAGGGCGATTTCGTGGGGTTGTGGGTCTCTGTGTTGCTATGGGCAACAGGGTGTTACTAATTGTTGACTTTGCTCTCTGTCTTGGCGCGGCCTCCCACAACAAATTCACATCCATCAGCAGCCGCGCACCGACGCACCAGCCCTGACAAAGAAACATCCCGCGCCTAGGACAGGGTTCCTTTTCTCCTGCCGTGATCATCGCCATTTCCCAACCTCGAACTCTTCACTTGACTAAATTTCTATTTTCCTACGTGTCGTTTGTTCTTAATCGACTCTCGGAAACCCTCACGCGAATTGGCCTTTTTATCGCGACGAGAAGTGGAATATTTCATTCTTGCCGCGCAGTTACAAGAAAAGCGACGGCGATGGCGAGCCAGACCGCGGGCTCACGCTCCGAGCGTGAACCGGTCAAAAGAGTCACGTCAATGACCGCAGCACGGTCGGCTATGACGCGACGAACAAGCACACGTCCGGGCATCCGCGCCCCGAGCATCGCGACAACGCGCCATGTCAGCTCCCGAATGGGCGATCGTGCGGGCGCCGCCTCCCCGCGGATTCCCTCATGTCGACAGCCACGATGACTGCGGGCTCGAAGCGCAAGGAACGGGGGTACGAAGCCGACGGCTCGACCGGCGAGGAGACGTGCATCAACGTGTTTGTGAGGTGTAGGGGTAGGAACGAGAGGGAGGTCAAGGAAAACAGCAATGTGGTGTTACGGACGGAGGGCGTCAAGGGCAAAGTTGTTGAGCTGTTTATGGGATCTAACGCGTTGAGCAATAAGACGTACAACTTTGACGGCGTCTTTTCCCCTGCGGCGGACCAGAGCATCATTTTCGACGAGGTCGTAAGACCTATTCTTGATGAGGTGAGGAGTTTCCCTTTTGACAAGGGCGATGGGCGGGACCCTACCTACCTTGAGTTCTAGCGCTAACCCCTGGGATGTGGGACAGATGTTGAAAGGATACAACTGCACAATTTTCGCGTACGGCCAAACAGGCACCGGTAAGACATATACGATGTCTGGCGACATGTCCGAAACGCTCGGGATACTCTCCGATGCTGCCGGCATCATCCCGAGGGTTCTTCAGGCTCTCTTCAGCAAGCTTCACGTGGATGACGGAGAAAACTGCGTCAAAGTGTCCTTTATCGAACTTTACAACGAAGAACTACGAGATCTCATTTCGGTAGAAGAGTCCGCCAAGCTCAAGATTTACGATGACACGTCGAGAAGGGGACTTGCCGCCACGGTTGTGCAGGGGATGGAGGAGAAGCATATCAACTCGGCCTCGGACGGCATCAAGGTTCTCCAGGCTGGGAGTTTGAAGAGGCAGGTTGCGGCAACCAAATGCAACGACCTCAGTAGCCGAAGTCACACAGTCTTCACAATCACCGCTTACGTTCGCATGAAGGCTGCGGACGGCAGTGAGGAGCTTGTGAGTGCCGGAAAGCTCAACCTCGTTGATTTGGCGGGTAGCGAAAATATCCAAAGGTCCGGTGCCGAGAACAAGCGTGCGGCGGAAGCGGGGTTGATCAACAAGAGCTTGCTCACCCTAGGAAGGGTGATCAACGCGTTGGTCGACCGCAGCCTCCACATTCCTTACCGCGAGTCCAAATTGACGAGGCTTTTGCAAGACTCCCTTGGTGGTCGTACAAAGACGTGCATCGTCGCGACGGTGTCCCCGGCAAAGAGCAACCTCGAAGAGACGATATCGACCCTCGACTACGCTTTCCGAGCTAAGAACATCCGAAACCGGCCTCAGATCAACCAGCCCATCCACAAAAAGGCGCTGATGCGGGACCTTGCCAACGAGATTGAGAAACTAAAGACGGAGCTCATTTGCCACCGGCAGCGTAACGGCGTCTACCTTACAAACGAGGCGTTCGAGGATATGTCTTCAGTCAGCGAATCGCGCCGCATCATGCTTGAGGAGCAAGCTGCCAAGATGGAAGCCATCGAGACTAGTCTACGCAACAAAACCCAGGAACTGTTGAACCTTACGGCGACGTTTATGGGTATGAAGGAAGGCTACGAGGGCTTGAAAGTCAAGTTTGACGATACCAAGTCTGTCCTCGATCAGACGGAACTCATCCTTTCTGCGACACGCCTGACGCTTGCCAAGGAGACGCACCTCCGGAAAGCGCACCAAGAGACGGAAGAGAAGCTCACCGAGGTTGGTGGCAAGCTCTTGACGACTCTCAAGAAAACTGTTGGCGACGTGGATGGCCTACACGCAAAGAACAGGCGCAAGTCGGACCTTCAGGAAATGAATCGGAGCACTTGGACGGCCGCCCAGGCGCACGTGGAGGACGTCAGCTCTCTTGTCGAGGGTCGCGTGCTTGAGCTCAGGAGAGAGCAGTCGGAGCGGATCGCAAACGTGTCGGATCGAATGCGCGGTTTCGTCGACGAGGAGCTCCGACAGCTCGCGGCCACGCAAGAATTTCTTCAGATCCAACTAGCCGCATTCAGCGAGTCGAAGAAGGATCTCCTCGAGCGTGGGGATCGGTCCAAGGATGAGATGGATGAAGTTTTGGAGGAGATCAAGGTTGTACGGGATTCGGTGAAAGAACGGGTTGGGGAGAGCCTGCAGGCCATCTCCGGGGCGGCCGAGAGGATATCGGCCGATGTTTTGAGTGAGCTCGACACGTTCCATAACCAGGTAAGCTTCGCTCCCTCCTTGCTCGGGATAGTCTCTTTTTTCTCGTCTAGTTCCCCCACTGACCATGATTCTTTGAACAGCTACACACCTCTTACAGCTCGCTTGGAAAGGAGTTCAAGTCCATCTTTGAAGAGATGATGCGACACCTCGCTTCCCAGAGGAGTGAGGCAGACAGACTCAGGCGCCAGCTCGAGAGCGCCACGCATACCATGATCCAGCAGAACGCGACGCTCTCCCTCCGTATCAAGGAGGTTATCAACGAGGAGCGCCAGCAGGCAGCGGAGGACCGACAGAGCCTCTTGACACAGATTGGGGCTTTGATCAATGCGCAGGCGGAAGTGCAAGAATCCAGGCTCGCCGAAAAGGCAGCGCTACTCCAGAAGGGCCTCACGGACGCCAACTCGACACTGAGCGGAAGCGTCGACCGGTACGGCGAATCTATGGCTACCTGGGACAAGAAGGAAGGTCAGCTCCTCGAGGATGTCAAGACATCTCGAGATACACTCAAGACGAAGCTTAAGGATGACTGGAATGTAAGTGGTTTACAAGAGCGCGGAAAGGTCCCAGCAAGGCTATACGAACATCGTGCTAACAAAGGGTTACTTCAGATCGCCAACCAGCACAGCAGCTCGATCCAGACTACGACGAAATCCGTCCACGCTGAAACGGTACGGATTGTCGATGCTCAAATTTCCGATCTTGGCATCCAAATGCAGGCTCTCGACGACTTTGTTAACCGCGCTCGATCCGAGAATGCCCAGCACCACGAGATGCAGACCGAGGCTGTTCGCTCGGTTGCTACCACGGTTGAGCAATCGTACGAGAGTATCGGCGCACACTTCAAGGCCAATCTTGAGCGGGTGGAGGAGATTGGTACAGAAATGGAATCCGAAACTAAGCTGGTGGCCGAGGCGCTGGAGCCTCTCGAGGAAGAGGTGTGCCAGCCTCTCGCCGAGCTTCGCGAGGAGATTGGCGGCGCGGTGCTTAGGGAGTACGTGCCTACCGGTGATACGCCTAGCAGGGTGCAGTACAGGTACCCAACAGAGCTTCCTCGTACCGACAGTCACGAAACGCTCCTCGCCAAGATGGACGGTGCTCCAGAAGCAACACCGTCAAAGGAGCGGGCCGGCCCCATCGTCTTCTCCGACGGCGGTGACATGGCTCCCCTCCCCGGATCCCCTCGCTTTCACCGCCGTTGACTCGAATTCCGGCAATGGCGGCGTCGACGAGTGCGATCGACCGTGGTGTTCGGGGCCAGGAGGAGAGTAATCCGATGAGCATGAGCCTTCGGGAGATCAACCCGAACCTCACGAGCAGCTTCTCCTTTGACCCAAGCGTCAGCACCATGTCTCTGCCAGCGGAGAACATGACACTTCCGATGCTGAAGAGGCCAACGCGAGGCAAGGGCAAGAAGAAGATGGCGGAGTTGGAAGTGAGCAAGGAGAATGTCACGATTGGATTTGATATGCCGAAGAGGAAGAGCCCGCGACTAAACTAGACAAGGAGCGGGGAAAAGATCTTCTCACGTGGTGGGGGAGGTGCTGCTTCATAGCTGCATGATTTTTGGTGTCTTTTTCGTTTTATTTTCTCTTCTCAGGGCTTGGCCTAGCGGGTTGGAGTATCGTTTAGACAGGGTGTTTTGGTTTGACTCTGGTTCAATGATGGTATTATGGTATGACTGGGACGGAAACCATGGATTTGTTAGGATGGATGGACTATTCCCGGAGTAGCCTTCGTTTTCCTGCTTTGCTTTCTTGCTTTCTTTTTCTTTTTATAATTCTTGAGCATTCCGATACCCTTGCTGGTTATGGATTAGGAAGAGTAATGATTACTGAAGTTAAGATGTGAATAGCCTACGTTGTTTATTGATGGATGGCAAGGCTACTAGCAAAGAGCTCTCGAAGCCCTGCATGTACGCATTTATATATGGAGGAAGGAGGGCTGAGATGCAAACATGAATGCGAAAGCCACGAAATCTAGAGTTTCTATTTCATTGCAAATACAAAACAAAAAGAAGCTCGAGATAGAGAACAGTGGCGGCGAAGAAGACGAACAGCGAGCGTACTGAAAGGATAAAAAACAGAAATAAAAAGTGCAAAAAGAAATTCAAGTGCACTATCCCGGAATCGAACCGGGGCTGGTCGAATCTATCGGAAGATGGCAACGACCAAGTTTACCACTAACCCAATAGTGCTCTGATTCGATGAGATTTCGGTCCAGTTTGTCATCACATAAGCCTCGCTCGCCCACGGTTAGGTTAGAGACTGAGTCCTATCTTTAAGAGCAGCCGACCAGGTCGGAATCTCAACGACGTCTTAGTAAATGCTGTGCTTTCTTCCATCCTGTTGGCAGAGCCTCTCCTATAACGAGGTGGGGTTTGTCCGAATTGTGAGGCTCTTCGATTTGACGGCAGGCAAGGCATCATTGATTTCCCCCTCATTAAAGTCTTGATTGTGAAAATCTAGGTTCTGCGTCATCGGGATCTTTAAGAATTCTATCCACATCTTTATTAATGAAGTGCGAGCTGCGGAAGGAGAGTTGCTGTTGATGCATATCTTCTTCGAAAACCTGAGCCTGCCGCACAGGGGTTTATAGCATTCACCACACCGCTGCCAGTCGTGGGGGTTTTTTAGTCTTCTCTGCAACTTTGAGAACCTCCTTCCATTTTTCTCCTCTCTCGAGTTTACGAATCTTGAAAAGAAGTTTCTGCCTCCCTAAAGGGAAGAATATTGGGTTAAAATCGGCCTCGCCCGAGAGTATGGATAGTTCCGCACCACCAACACCCACCGAAGAGTGGGATAAAACCACCGATTCTATCCATTCCGATTCATCGGATGAGCTTTACAACAGCCGACCCAACCGCTGGCGTGGTTCTAAAGCCTCCTGGAGGAGTCGCAACGAAGGTGATCGAGCCGTCTACACCGCACTCGAGGCACTTCGCCACTCGGACCTCTCCGTTCACCTCTACAATGCGTTTGCGTTGAAGAAAGGACCGCGAATGACAATAAGTCAAACCGGTGAACTTGTAAGTCCCGTTTCTGCCGCCCAGAGCGATCTCCCTATCTTAATGAGAGGCTGACCTCATGGATGATGCAGCTGGGGTACGAGAGTGTGGTCGGGAAATGGGCTCCTCCACGGGCCTGGACTGCGTGGCCCATGGGCGTGGAATACGTGCCTAGCGACGATCTCATGCCAATGCAACCGTTGGATGAGGACAGCGGGCTAACTTTCCGGAAGATGGAGAGAACGTTTCCGAGAACCGCTCTGGCGGAAGAGGTCGCGGCTTTGATCCTCAGGGCAGCCAAGGAGAAGTTTTTGCGGCGAGAAGAAGAGCAAGAGATGAGAGGGGATGCGCAGAACAACGACCAGGAGGACGTGTTGACTGGTGGGGAAGAAGACAACTCCGAGGCGGAGCAAGACTCGGATCTGGAGATGAAGGATGCGAGGGGCCACTCTGCCGAAGACCGTTCTATCAGCAGAGACCGCGAGATGAGCCCTGAGATGATTGGTGTGCCCTCTGCGGATGACGAGGCGTCCAACGCCCTGCTCCAGCCTGTCGTGGGAGACATCATCAGCAAGCTAGAAAAGACTTTACTATCCCTGCACAACATGATGGTGGCCACAATCCAGTCCGTCGACGACCGGGACGACGACGACAGCGAGGACGGCGGCGTCGGCGGCAGCGCGAATCGGCCACGGCAAGGTCCGACTCCCAAGAAGGCGCGCAGGTCCATATCCCGCTCCCCCAAGAAGAGGCGTAGGGCCCCGAGCGAGGCCGCTCCACCGTTGGCCTTGGAACCGCCGACCCTCGGACGCCACGGCTCCCCACAAAAGAAACTAAAGCAGTCGGGCAGCGCTCGCCTTCGCCCCTCGACACGCGCGGAGCCGCGGACGACGTCTCGCTGTCGCCGTCCCCGAGCCCCTCCCCGTAAAGAGGGACGCGCAGCAGTCTCTACGCGTTCCCGGCCCCGCGGCTGGACGCCCGCGCGACAGCGTCCGCAAACGGGAAGACCGCCTGCTGAGCCTCGTGCCCCGCGACTGGCGCACCGTCCTGGGCGCGGCCTCCATGTCGGGCTTCTCCCCGCCGTGCTCGCACGCGCTACGCAGCGCTGCGCGTCCTTGTTCGGGGAGGACGTGGACTTGCACATTCTGCAGGACCACGCCCCGGCCAACGACACCCGATCCACCATCCACCCTCGTGCACACTCCCCTCCCCTCCACTACCAATGCCGACGAAAATGACGTCGATGACGACGACGACGATGACGACGCAGAGCTAGCAGAAATCATCCGCCTGCGCCTCCGCGGCCGAGAACTCCTCCGCAGCCAAGACCACACCCGACCCCTCCGTCCCCCACCCGCTCACGGCTCCCCACTCGTAGCCGCACGCCCGGCACGCCGGGGGCCTCTGCGCGCTCCCGCTCGCGCTCCTCTCCGCCGTGCCGCACCTCGTGTGCCCTTACCCCTCCTGCCCGCGCTCCGTCGCGCCCTTTCCAAACGCAGCAACCTGCAGCGCCACATTGATAGAATGCACGCCGGCGAGGGGCGGCGCCCTCCGCGACGTGGACTCGGAGGACGAGATGGAGGCGGGCGTGCACGTGGACGGCTTCCTACGGGGATTCGGGTCCGCAAGGGCTGGCGTGGAGATGATGTTCGGGATGACGAGAGGGAGAGGAAGCCTAGGGGTGGGAGGAGGGGAGGAAGGGGAAGGAGGAGGCACATGAAGAGTATTAAGGGGTGGTGGGGGTGGTGCTGAGATACGCTAGATGCTCGTGCCTCTTGTTTTTCTACGTAGAGGTTAGTGAAGAAGGAAATAAAATCGAAATTCGCCCAGATACAACATCACGAGTGCTCAGGAAGTCAAGGCGCGGGTTCTCCCCAAGACCTTTTAGGCTACCGAACTTAGCAACTTGAAGAATAACAGGGAAAAAAAGACTCCTTGAATTCAACGCCCTGTCTACATGTTTTTACTTCGCAAATGATGAAGAAACCCGAGCAAACGTGTCGAAAAAGAGGGTTTGAACACAGAACGGACGGCAACGACATAACAACGACAAGCACAGACAGACATGAGAAAGGAGGAACAATAAAAAAAAGCTACATGAATCTTCCACCCCTCTTAGGCTTTTCATCACGGCCTCTTCCCCTTGGCCTTCTCCTTCTCCAACTTCCTCCTCTTGGCCATGAGCTTCAGGTCCTCCTCGCTCTTTTGGTTATTGCTGTACTGCATCTTCTCGAACAACTTCCTCTTCTTCTTGCTGAGCATACCCTTGGCCCTCTCCACCTCTTCCTCCTCTTCGCGCGCCTGCTTCGCCAGGGCCTTGCGCTTGTCCGCCTTGGCCTTGGTCGAGGGCTTGACGGCGGCGCCGGCCTTGAGGTTCTTGCCCGAGAGCTCAGCCTCGATCTCAAGGCGGCGTTTCCTATCAGCATCCTCGTCCTCGTCGTCGTCTTTTCCGGCGCCTTCCTGGGCATCCGCCATGTCCTCGTCGTTGACATCCTCGTCGGCATCCTCGTCAGCCGAGAAGCCGCCAAAGGCGCCGCCATCGAGCTCCATGCCATCCTCGCCCGCCTCGGAGTCGCTCTCCATCTCGAGAGCGGCGCCCTCGGGAAGCTGCTCGTCGAGGGGTCGAGTGGGATCGTACCGGCCGGGAACGCTCTTGACGAATGGACTCAAGTGGGGCGGGAGGGCGGCACCGGGAGCATAGACGTCGGGGCGCTGAAGCTCCTCATAGTTGATGCTGTCCCAGACCCATTGAGGCTGGACGTATATCCGTCCCGGTACCCTCTGGTTGGGCCCAAGCCTCTGGGTGGTCTGGTTGTCATCACCTTCGACGTCGGACACCTGGAGAGGGGACGATCAACGATCTGGTGGGTGATGGAAGGATCGAGCTCGTTTGTGGTGTAAGCACCGCTGCCGAGTACGGCGTCCCAACCTATCCTCTTGCAGCCGAAAGCTCGGAGGAGGAGTTCGATGGAAGCACGGGGAGTTTCACGGGAAAGGAAGAATGTGCAGTTGGAAAAGAGGCTGGTGGGGTCGTTGCTATCAGATTCGGGCTGGGGAAGAACATCGCCGCCGGGGGCAGCGGGTTCAAACTTGTCGAGAGCATCAGTGGGCTCCTCACCGTCGATCTGGACCCTGGATTTGTTCGCGTCCTCGTCCTCTTTCGAAGAACTGGCCTTGAGCTCTTTAACGATCTTGTTGACACTAGCTTGAATCTTGGGGTCTGGCTGATGCTCAGACGCCCCGTTGGTTATTTGCTTGGCCGCACCGTCTTCCTCGGTTGTTACGGTGTTGCCCTCAAGGGTAAACGCGGCGAGCTCGGCAGCCTCGTCATCCTTGGCCTGGTCGAATTTGGGAGGGTACCGGAGACCACGGGAGGTGTACAGCCTAAAGTTCACAAAGCCGAGCAGAGTCATGTAAAACTCGACAAAAGTACCCATGATGCGGAAATCGATGTCGCCGGAGAGGTTCTGCTTGAACTTGTAGGGCACGATCCACATGATATCCTCGCCCATGATGTTGGCCTGGTAGTATATACCCTTGATGGACAGGAAAGACTTTCTCAGGCTCTGAGACTCGATCAGGTAGTGTTGGAATTCGAGGCAGAGGCGCTCGCAGCGGGCGATCATCTTGGCGGGCACGGAGGAGGTGGAGGGGAGGCTGGCGAAGAGGGAGAGCATGGACAGGCAGTCGTCCAAATCACGGAGGGCGTCGACGAAGGTAGGGTACCGCTCCCGGATGACATGGTCCAGGGTGTAATGGGACTTGCCCGTCTTCTCGGGGCGCGCAGCGTTAACCTCGAGCCTCTTGGCATCGCCGAAGTCGCCTCGTCCCAGCGCCCTCGAGATCTTCTTCTCGAGCGCCTTTTGCTCACGGAATTTATCGAGAATGGGCTCGTGCAAGAGGTACTGAATGTCCTTGGTGTAGTAAAAAGTGGTGGACTCGGTGGCGGACTTGTTGGCCTTGCGGCGGTTGCGAGGCTCCCTGGGATAGATGCCCTTCCAGATACAGAGCTTGCGGAAGTCTGGCAGGGTCAGCTGGAGCTTGCGGATCGCCTGGTTTCGGGTAATGTAATTCTTGGCCGCGCCGGCCTGGCCCTTCTTCTTCAATCGCGCCATTGTGAGAAAAATGCTTTGCGTGGGCGGCTTCTCAATGGCTGAGGAGAAAGGGTGTAGAGAGGTTTCGATTTACAATGGGAGCAAGAAACTGCCCTTTCCTGCGATAGTGGGGTTGGGAACTTTTTTTTTTCGTCCCTTCGACTTTTTTCCCTTGCTTCTTTTTTGTGCCAGGGCCGACCGCTTGCCTCTCAGGACGGTTGGGTCCGTTTTGTGGAGAAGCGCATGGTTGACAGTGTCCTTATTGGTCAACCCCTAGACCGCCTTCGAAAGGGACTTGGGAAAGAGCGGGAGCAACTTTTGTCCACACAACCACACAAAACCGGCTCTCAGGGCACCACGCAGCGAGCCTAAGCCTGTCAGCTGGCGCAGCTGGCCAACTCCCATCGCGTCTCAATTTTGGGATTACTCCTGGACGCTCGAGGCGCCAGCAACAGCTCTGCTGTGCTGTCCTTGTCCGCCATACCCGGTTTCAACTACACCTCGCGATCGCAGCCTCTCGCCTAACCGGTACCATCCACCCCCGCCGCCTCCCCCGCCCCCGCAAAGCGCCGTGCTAGCCTCTACGCCTTTGACCCTGACCATGGACTGAGGCTGTCCTAAAAACTCCACAGCATCATGTCTTCCGGCGTAAAAAGCAGACCCTCTACCTCGCCGCCGCCTCGATCCGGCTCCTCTTCTTCGTCGCCTTCCCACACCTCGCCGACCTCTTGACGGCTCGCGTAGAAGTCTCGACGCCCGTGACGAGCTTTAAACGATGTACGTATGAACTCCACCTCCCTCGTCCGTCAAATTGGGAGATGCCCCTATGTGCAAAGACGCGCCCTCCCATCTGACTTGATGGTGGCCACATGCCGTTCGCCGTAGACCAAAACCATAGCCTGTGCTAACATGACGATGTCAATATCTAGTCCAAGAAGGCCTCTACCTCTATAATCACAACGTCTCTCCCTACAATGGCGGCGTATTCCACCAGGCACCGCTCCTCCTACCCATCTTCTCGCTCCTCCCCGACAACCGATCCCTCCCCATCGTCACCTTCCTGCTATTCATAGCTCTCGATATCCTCACTGCCGATGCGCTCTCCAAGATTGCCGATTCCGGTGAGGCTGGAAGCTCGAGGCTGTTCACCTCGCCCCGACGCGAGAAGAGGTGGAGCGGTCTTCGCGTCGCAGCAGCGTAAGTTAGCGGGTACACCGGCGATCTCTCCTGCTGCACCTGCAGCGGGCGCGCAAGGTTGATAGTAAGCGGAGAAGCTAACCTTTGTATTTTCACGATGCGCAGCTACCTCTTCAACCCTTTTACCGTAGCGGCATGTCTCGGACGGTCCACCGGCCTGTTTACGTCATTCATGGTCGTGTTTGCCATCTCCAAGGCGATCCAGGGACGACCCTTGACCTCCATGGTTGCGATATCCTTCGCGTCCTACCTGTCCATGTACCCGCTTCTCCTTGCGCCGCCATTGATGCTTCTCGCGTTTGACCGCCAGCCCGCATCTCGCCGGGTGGCGGCGCCCAAGTTCTATGCGGTCAATGTTGCCGTAGTAGCTGGGACAATTGGGTTTCTCCTCTTCCTCTCGTTCCTCGTGAGCGGCGCGTCTTGGGAATATCTGTGGAGCACGTATGGCATCCAGCTGACTCTTACCGATCTCGCCCCCAACGTCGGACTCTGGTGGTACTTCTTCATCGAGATGTTCGACTCCTTCCGGGCCTTCTTCCTCGGTGTCTTCTGGCTCCACCTGTCCTCCTACGTCGGCGGCCTCTCCATCCGCATCCGCACGCAGCCTCTCGCTGTGCTCACGCTGCTCCTGGGCATCTTCTCCATCTTTAAGCCGTACCCGTCCATCGCCGACATCAGCCTCTTTATCGGCTTCATGCCCTTGTACAAGCACCTCTGGCCCCTCATGCGCTACTCCTTCGTGGGGACCTCGACCGTCATGTACGCCACCACCCTCGGCCCCGCCTTTTATCACCTCTGGATCTACGCGGGCAGCGGAAACGCCAACTTCTTCTACGCCATCACCCTCGTTTGGAGCTTGGGCCAGAGCTTGCTCCTCTCGGATCTGGCCTTTGCCGTCCTCCGCGACGAGTGGGAAGTCGATCGGCCAGACATGGTGGGCAAAGAGATTCGACAAATCTAAGGCTTGCAATAAAAGTGGTTTAGGATTTTTCTTTCTTTTTTTCTTTCTTTGGCTTTTCTAGAGGGCAAACAGCAAACGGCAAGGGCATTGGGCTTCCGCTCTGAAGTGGCGGGAATGCGAAATGTATAAGAGAAACTTTTGCATTTTGGTGGAAGGTGATGAAAACGACGCCATTCCGATGGCCGGCAGGCCATAGTTAGGGTCGGCCATCTCTCTATCTTGTCTTCGTGTATTATTACAGTCACACGTCCCTCCCGAACGACTCTGGGAGTGGATATACCCAGAAATAACAATATAAAAAGGATCATGATGTATTTTTGGCAAGCCCCGATTTCTCCCCTGTATACACCAAGCTATCCAGAGATCTCAAGGGAGTGGTGCTTCAAGTCCACGCAGGCAGTCTAGGGCCATCTCTCCAGCTTCCACCAGAATTTCTCCTCGACCTTTGATGTCGGTCATTGGTTCAACAAAAAGATTGACTTGTATCTGTTTTCGCTCTTGGCCCTATCTTCACAATGTCCTACGTCGTTGCTTCCAACCACAAGACCCAGTGGTGAATTATGCGGTTTGCTGCAGGCCTCAGTCCACACGCACATGCCGCATCGAACTGGCGGTCAGGCTCCGTAGCCACGGCCACCAACGAAGAGCAGATGGGGTCTGTTATCGTTGCACAAGAATGCTAAAGCACCAAAGTCACTCCCACACAAGTGCGGCCTACGCACATATGAATTGATGCTCTATAAAAACCCTGCCTCCGTGATGGACACTACGCCGCATCAGCTTCAGCCGCTTAGATGGCTAGAGCGTGCATGAATTGGAGAGATGGAGATTTGCGCGGGAATTCTAAGTTGCTATAGAATTCGTTTCGGTCTCGAATAGCTGGCACGGCTTGTTCGCAGGGCTTTCCATCCCCGTACGGCTCTCCAGCTACGGAAGGGAAAGGAACAGCCAGACTCCGGCCGTACGCAACCTGACTGCCGAAGCGCAGAGCCCCGAGCCTAGCCCTTGCCGAGAGTTCGGCCCTGCTCTAGCAGTTTGCAAACAGCTTGGCGAGGAGGGAAGAAAATCAAAAGAGGTAGTAAATGCATGTTTGCTCCGGGATGCAAGGGATTCACCAACATCCCTGGACACAGTAGATACTGGAGCGCTCAAGCAAGGGCCCAATGGGCCAAAATCGCAATACACCTTCTTATTCTAGATGGCTGGCTATATCTTCCAAGTAAGCGCACATTTGATGTGAGGGCCGAGTCTGGCCGAACGAATCTGACGAGTAATAAGAGTGAAGCTGTCATGGGACGGGGTGTAAGTGACGCGCCATGTGGGACAAGAATCGGGATATTACATGTAGACCCCCGAGTGAGCCAGTGAGTACCAGTAACAATGGCAACACGGACACGAGCTGGTTCTGCGCCATCCAGTCGAGAATTGTAGCGAGCCTTCTTCCGAGATAGATTTTTCTAAACCCCCATTTTACTTCTTCAAACTTTTTCTTTTCTTTATCAATCTCTCTCCACATAGCGGAAGGGGATCATCCTTGATTTCACAATTCGGTGTGCAAAGCCATCAACTCCGACCAGTGGCCCGACCCAAGCAGGGCATGCCACTCTTCCATGAGCCTATCACAAAAAACGGATCTAACCAAGTCTAGTTTAGAGGGCCAGCAACAGCAAGAGCGTTTCCCGCTCCGAGGTAGGCCAGGCCATGCATGAGGAACTTGAAACTCTCCGTCCGACCGACGTGTTCAGTCACCTGTGAAGTGGAACCCAAACGTGGTGATTAGAGAAAAGGTAGGCCGGGCCACACGGAGGGCCGCCCTGGGAATCAAGTGAAAAGAAAGAAAAAAGGTCTTTCTGAAAGGGTTGGGTACCCATGCTGCCCGGGACGGGACGGAACCTAACGAACCAATGTGTGGTGATTGTACCCTGCGTGCGTGGTGAGTGAGTTGGCGAGTGCCTCAGTATTATCAATCGCTGGTGGGACCGCCCCATATCATTTCCAAAGTCCAGGATGTGGATTCCATTCACTTGATCGCTCCGGTGCGACGAGGAGGTTGGCGGGGTCAGCAAGATTGACGTGCGGCCTGGGTCAAGTCTCGGCTTTGTAGATTTGATTAGCGGCTGGGAAAAATTATCGTCACCACCACGATGGCGCGGAGAGCGAAGGGCCTTCTTGATGGGGTCGATCAAGGTGGTGACGATATTCGGACACTATCTACACGGATCGACTACCAAACTGGGATCGAGGGACCATCAGTGACGGAACGTATCAAGGATGGGCTCCTCAGCTTTCGATCATATTGGATATCGGGTTCCGGGGTTAGAAGGTGTGCATGCTTCTCGGGCGCATCAAAATGTATTAGAGCTGTCACAATATCAACACAAGGAAATCTCGCGACGTCCCTTGATCTAGGCAACGAGATTTTCCTGTTCGTTGACCCTCCGTCTCATAGAGGTAGTAGTGTATTAGAGGTTGCAAGGATACGACACAGTGATCCATGACATTGAAACTCTTGCAGCTCAGGGATATTCGAATGCCCCAATCCGCACTAGCTTGACGCAGTCCAAGGGTTGCATTCGTGGGTCGCCCTTTGTGGATTTTTTCTCTCAGTCTTGCTATTCTCCTACGTGCCTTTTACGTTATCTGATCTGAGAGATCATCGGGTGGTGTGATTGACTTGGTTGTCTTAACTTGATGGCTTGCGGGGTGGACGAGTGGAGGTTTTGACGGGGGTTTTGACGGGTCGTATGGGGCCTGAGGGGCAGGGAATGGAAGAACATCTCGGACTGACCCTTGGCCAAAAAAAAAAAAAAAAAAGAACAAAAAAGAGACGGAGGTTGTGTGGCCCTTGTACACTACATTAGACGGCGATCATCTCAGGTTTTCGTTTAGCTGCAAGGTCCCGGTCAAAATCTGGGTGCCTTGGTTGTGCCTGTGCGATATCGGATCCGGGTAGATTCCATGGTTGTGCGGGCCCGGGAAAAAGTGAAATAAAACAAAAGGGAAAGAGAAGGATGGGACCCCATAGGCATAACATTCGTCATGGAAAGACCATGTTACGTGCACCTTCTCAGGAGGGGTTCACAAGGAAGAAGGGAAGCGTGAAACAGAGGGGTCAGAGGGAGCAACTACAAGTATGCTAGATGATTTTCCCACGAGGTTACATGTATGACATGGCATAAAGTGACAAGAAAGAGGCGAGAGGCGAGAGGCGGCAGGGAGGTTGCTGAGTAGGGGACGGTTTGGACTACTTCGCAGGTGATATAGCGGCTCGACGCAAGCTAATCTTTCGCTTCTCGGTTCAAGTCGATAACAGCACATGATTTCGAATCAAGCTGCTTTCTTTGCATACATGTACAGAACGAGGGAGAGAAAGCGAATGGGGTTCGGATAAGGCGCGCGCGATCGATGAGCTAAGCGAGCGGTTATTGTCGCAAAAACAACAAAGAAAATGAGGAAAGAAAGCAAGATTAACAGCAGGAAAAAAAGAAAGAAAAAAAGAAAGAAAGAAAAAATAAAGAAAAAAAGATTGCGCTCGACTGAGAGTTGCACGCAGCATGAAATTTTAGTACATGAAAACCAACCCTCAGACCCACCAAGGACTAGAGCTTGTCCTGAGGCCTTTTCACCAGTCCCGGTTTCCACCATGAATGAGGGTCTGGATGCCACCATTGATCAATCCGAGCTCTCCATGCGTTGACTGACCCGTTCGCGGAAAGGGAGAAAGAAGGTGACTGGAGATAGGTCACAGATGTACCGATACTTACGAGCTTGGTTGAGCCCGAGTGCGACCTTGCACGACCTGCAGAAGCTCTCCGATCGCGACTGCTTCTCTCTACTAGTGCGACGAACAAGAACGAACCAGAAATGGCAGACTACACCAAAGCCCCTTCGTCTCTTGTAAAATTGAAGATGCCTTATATTTTATGTGCATTTTCTTCTATGTATATGTTGGTAGGGTACCGTACCTGTTTGTTACATTCAAAAGTACATCGCCCAAGACATCAGCATGAATCGTCACATAAACCTCGACAGCTACAACCGGAGGGCCTTGAACGTTTTGCCAGCCCAACAACCGCCAATCGCTTAGATACCTGTATGTCTCCCACTACCGACCCCTCCCCTGCCTCTAAGCCACCTTTCCGGGAACGTAGGGGTGTCCCGCGCTCAATCCTCCGTCTACCGCCCACGCCTGCCCGTTGACGTAGCTAGCCTCGTCGCTGCCGAGGAAGAGTACCACGCGCGCAATCTCGTCGGCGTGACCTCCGCGCTTCATCGGGTTGAGCTGGCCAATCTTGCCCTCGTTGCCCCGCGCTCGCGCAGCGCCCACACCGGCGCGGTCATTCCGGTCTCGATGAGGCCGGGGCATACGGCGTTGATGCGCACGTTGCTACCGGCGAGCTGGTACGCGATGGTCTGCACGAGGGAGATGACGGCCGCCTTGGATGCCGAGTAGGGCGTGGAGCCGGCATTGGAGCGGATTCCCGCTACCGAGGCGGTGCCGATGATGCTGCCGCCTGGTTGAGCCTTGTCGGCGGAAGTCTTGCCCATGGCGGGGGCGGCGTACTTGGCGGCGAGGAAGACGCTATTTTGGAAGAAAGTCACCTGTGTTAGCTGGACATCAAATTATATATAATTGGGGGAGAAAGAGGGAGGGAGGGAGGGGGCCTCGTACCTGAGGGTGTTGGTCTTGAGGACCGACATGAACTGTTCGTCGCTGTATTCGGTAAAGGCTGACATTCCGCCGACCACGCCCGCGTTGGCGAAGAAGACGTCGAGACGGCCGTACCGCGACATGGCGTCGTCTACCACGGCCTTGACCTTGGCCTCCTCGGCGGCGTCGAACTGCCACGTGTGTACCTCGACCGAAGGGTATGCTGCCGCCATCTCCGCCTTGTGGGCCTCGAGGTTGGAGTTGTCGAAGTCGCAGAGGTAGACGGCCCTCGCACCGCTCTCGGCGAACTGGTGGGCGGTGGCTCGGCCGATGCCGAGAAGGGAGTTGGCTCCTGTAGAGGTGTGCGGCGTGGAGGCGCCGACGTCATTAGCTTTTGCTGCTCACATTTTCGCCTCGTAATTTTTTTCTTCCCTCTCTCTTCTAAAAAGTCGCCCACCTCTTCTGTGCTCGGAGGAGAGAGCGGGCGGGGAGGAGCGGCTTCATTTACCTGTGATGATGGCAACCTTGCCCTTTGCGCGCGGGGTATTGGATCCCGCAGCTACCCTCTGCACGGGCTGGAGCTGCTTGCCAATGGCAGCCATGCGATCCTTTGCCTTGTCCGCCATTGTGTCTGAAAATGGTGCCGCTTCGCGAAAAGAGCTTGATTGATTTGAGAGACGTCAATCGGGCGGGTGGGGTGGCTGAGGAGGGAAACTGGTAGCAAGGAAGCTCGGGGGTTTGCTTATATCAACCTCCGTCTGTGCAATGCTCGTCTTTGTAAGAAGCTTTTTGCGTCAGGGTTGGCGGGGAGAAGCTATGCATCGAGAAAGGGAGTTTGGAAGGGGAGGTATTTGGCAGCTGAGGTTCCCGGCCGGGAGCCGAGGCTCACGGAGGATTCGCACACGGCTTACCCCGGATTTCGTGGCGCCCAGTGATATCCCGCCATTCTTGAAGGGGGACCAACCCGCCAAAGTCGTTGATCCACCTCAGGATTTCACCGAGCTGGTGCTTTTTCGGACCGCTGATGGCCTGCCTCTTTCTGTCTTTGTTCTTGTGTCCCCCTTTTTCCTTTTTCTTGTGATGTGGTGATTGGCATCTGTTCTTTGATAGGAACGCATTCTTCATTTCTACTTCGTACATGTAGTCTTGAGTACAATGAGGAGTGGATGAATTAGATTTTTCTAATCTCTTCAAAAGGGCCAAGTCCGAAATTGACGGTATTACTAGTGTACACTAGATCGTTGAAGCGACTCTCAGCATTGGGTTCTCCACTGTTGGCCTCGGTGCCTTGTCATTTGACAAGATTTCAGCATTGGTCTCATCAAACTTGAACCTCGGTGTCCGCATGGTTTCGCCGCGGGTTTGCCACGAAAGAACAATTGAAACGTGCTGTTCAATGTTGTAGCTAGCGGGTGCTTTTGTTTTGGAGCAAGAAAAACGGCGAGGTTTATGCATAATTACGAACAGAGCCGCCCCTATTTTGGGAATGCTCCAGTGTCTCCATCCTATTTCCCCGTGGATGGCGTCGGACTGGACGAATTTGGGCGACGGTTCAGTTAACCGTTCAAATACTTCCCTCGACCTGGTCGTAGACAACCTTTGAATTATTGACCACCCCGCACACCCACATCGGATTACCATATTTTCCCCGGATTTACTTCCAGGAAAAAAAAAGAAAGAGAGAGAGAACCTCGGAAGGGATGGGGAGGTTTCAGTCTACATGTAGGCAAGAAACCTCTGTAGACGTAACCCGTAAACAACCATGGATGGGTATATGTCTTGCCCAGGTGGTGGATTAAGGTGAATCAAAGTCGTCTCGACAGGACAAGGCAGGGTGCGTCCCGCTTGGCCTGGTTGTCGCATCTGCCGGCACTTTGTTGAAAGCTTCCCGCTTTGCCGGCGACATTGGCCAAGGCGGCCATTGGATCAACCCTTTACCGACGGGCGAGTTTGCTGGCTCACGTCTGTACAGCTCGAGATGCGGTTCGTCCTTCTTTGGTGGTTTAATCGGAAACAATCGATGGCGTCACATCCAGTTTGGGCTGGCCCGGGAACTTGGCACCTGGACAATAAGCATTTGCGATAATTATTACTATAGTCTGCTACATCCACGGCCGCCATCTATTAGATCGATCCATCATGCTTCCTTCCCGCCGGCCTTGAATCAAGATCTAGTCCGCAAAAGTTGGCGGGTAAGGCTTGGCCTGCGGCCTCCCCTTGGCTCGGCAAAATTTCCGAGAAAACGTTTGACAACAATGTATTGTAGGAATAGTCCCCATCACATCACGCCAGGAAAACAAAAGGGAGGGCGAGGCGTGCGTGTGATTGTGTTTTCCCTTTTGGCCATGGCAGCCATGACATCGCTTCGAAAGGCTTGTGTCACGATCAGGGCCTGGCTGGCGAACAACATGTACATTCCAGTGAGCCTGGCTGGCCAACGAGTGATCCATTGAAATAGATGGCTGCTCCGGGGAGGAGAGGACTGGGAACCAACCCTGGCGATGACTGAAAAGATAAAATGGGTGGTTCAACCTCTCGTCCTTGCTTCTTCGTTTCCCAAATTCTCGCTCGTTCGTCACAGCACCTGCCTTTGTCGAAGCACGCCGATCTTGTCACGAATCCTCTCTCGGTTTACGTGTAGCCAAGAGAAAAACGAGCTGATACGCTGACGACCCTGGAACCGCAGCCCAGTTGATGCGTCACCAGTTGACGAATACTGAATCCCGGCAAACGCTAGAACCGACCAAAGGAGAAGAGAGAACTTGAACAGAGAAGGGAACATCCGGCGCTCTTTTTGCCCCCTCGCTCGGCTGTGCCCTCCAACATCCTGCCACAGCACCCTTTTGGCGAGTGGGCTTGCACGTTGCCTCTGTTCGTAGATCACCGAGATCGAGAACCACCGATGATCCGACCAAGTCCGATTGCCTTTACCGGATTCGCAATCTTTACAAAACTGGCATTGAGCCCGCATTCCGATCTTCTATCGAGTCAACCATCTCATCCCACCTTGAACTGACATCCGACGAGATTTTCGGATATTCATCGAGTTTTCCGCCCTTTGCGTTTGATTTCTTCCATGGTTGAAACTCTCTGGAAGTTGACATACACCTTTATACCGAATTGCCACTCTCACCCACGAGGTACACATTGGGCTAGGATTAACAGAGTTGCTGTTCTTCACCGTCAAAGTCCCAGCGAGACGGACACGCTTCTGTGCGCACGGATACCGCCAAAGAAACCCCTGGAACGCCAACACCACACCTCAACAACGGCCTTAACAAGGGCAAATGCACTGTGGAGCACACCGAATCAACTGTCGCGCTTGCCTCAACCGCAAGCCATCGAATTTTTAAATTTTTTTTTCTTATCCTGCGTCTCCCTGTCGCTTGAGTCCTTTTTCCAAGATAGACCTCATTCCCGTGGGGAGAGAGCCCCCATAATAGACACAAACAAACAAGGCCCTGGGTGGTGCAGGTCAAAATTTCCCACTTTGCCCACCCGCTATCAGCCACCCATTATTTTTTTATTAGCGCGCAAACCGGTTGGGAACGGGGCATCGGCACGGCGACGCGAACTCGCGCTGCCAGGTACAAGTACATCCATCGGCTTGTGCTCTTTTCCTTTTCCCCTCGTTTTCTTTTTCGTTTTCTTTTTCTTTTTCTTTTTCTTTTTTCGGCTTCCCCCTCCATTTTCCCTGCCAAAAGGTCCGGTAATACATCGGCTGAATAAGAAAGCGCGTGCTTGTTCCTGCGCTGGAGCACACCAAAGAGCAGGAGCCTAGGAGCCGACCGGCGGAAATTTCCCCTAATTTTTTTCGCAAAGGCCCCCACTTGCCCCTTGCTCAGGCTTCCGGGGCCTGGCCCTTGCTGCGCTTGCTTGGCGATGGAAGCTCCCTGGACGTGGACCCCAATTCCTCTCACCCCAAATCTTCTTCAAGTCCACCCTCCCCCAAACATCCTCGCCAGCTCCGGCACACCTCCGATTCCGATCCCAACCCTCTTCACTCCCCTCCCCGTTCCTTTCCTTCCTCTCCTTCCTTTTCCGCACCATCTCCTCCCACTCCCCCTTGCCAATGTGCTAGCGAACCCACCGATTACTCTCTTTTCGACGTGGTCGACATGATATCCTCGACTCTGCTGCCTCATCGCTTCCGCGGTGAGCAGCCCGCTGCCGCTCCCTTGCCTCCCACCTGGATCCAGAGGAAGATTACGCCGCTGCTCCGACTGCTCTCACGCCTCGCGTGCGTTCACCCCATTCACACCGTCGTTATTGTCGCTTTGCTCGCCAGCACCACCTATGTCGGTCTTTTGCAGGAGAGCCTCTTCGACCTGAGCTGGAACGTTGGCACCGCCGACTGGTCCTCCTCAACGAGGGCAGCCGCGGCCTCCGTGTTGGCCCCGACACCGCCTGGAAGTGGCAGGCGGTTGAGCCCGAGTTTGCCGCTGCCATTGACGTCTCGTATGACCACCAGGCCCTAGTCACCTTTGTCTTCCCCGACTCGCGCTCTGGAGAGTCGCCCTCCAACCCTCCCAGATCCCAGGCCATTCCCGTCCCCGCCAACCTCTCCGTCCGAGCCCTTCCGCCTACCGACAACCCTCTGTCGGCCTACTCTAAGGACAGCGCCCTCGCCTTTGCCCTGCCTTACAGCCATGCCCCCGACTTCCTTGCTGCCGCACGCGAGATCCCCAGCGATGATGGCTCCACCAAGTCTGAAGGCGAGGCCAAGAAGTGGATCATGAAGGCTGCCCGCGTCAACACCCGCAGCACTATCGTCCACTGGTTCAAGAATGCCTGGAGCGAGTTCCTCGATCTTCTTAAAAACGCCGAGACTCTCGACATCGTCATCATGGTCCTCGGTTATCTCTCTATGCACCTCACCTTTGTCTCGCTCTTCCTTTCTATGCGCCGCATGGGCTCCAACTTTTGGCTCGCTACGAGCGTCCTCTTCTCCTCGGCCTTTGCCTTCCTGTTCGGTCTCATTGTCACCACTAAACTCGGTGTTCCCATCAGCCTGGTCCTCTCTCCGAGGGCCTGCCTTTCCTCGTGGTCACCATTGGCTTCGAGAAGAACATTGTCTTGACTAGGGCCGTCCTCTCCCACGCCATTGAGCACCGCAATTTCCATGAAGAGGACAAGAAGTCAGGCAAGAAGTCGGAAATTTCTCTGCCCAACATTATCCAGTATGCCGTCCAGGCCGCGATCCGCGACAAGGGCTTCGATATTGTGCGCGACTATGCTATCGAGATCGCCGTTCTCATCCTCGGCGCCGCCTCGGGTGTCCAGGGTGGCCTCCAGCAGTTCTGCTTCCTCGCCGCCTGGATCCTCTTCTTCGACTGCGTCTTGCTCTTCACCTTTTACACCGCCATCCTCATGATCAAGCTTGAGATCAACCGCATCAAGCGCCACGTCGACCTGCGCAAGGCTCTCGAGGCTGACGGTGTCAGCCGCCGCGTCGCCGAGAACGTGGCCAAGAGCAACGAATGGCAGCACGACGGCAAGGACGCCAAGGAGGTCAGCCTCTTTGGCCGCCAGGTCAGGAGCAACAGCGTACCCAAGTTCAAGGTTCTCATGGTGTCCGGCTTCATCCTTGTCAACATCCTCAACCTATGCACGATCCCCTTCCGCAACACCTCCCTCTCCAACCTGTCCTCGTGGGCCTCGGGTCTGAGCACCCTGGTCGCCTCGCCCCCGTAGACCCTTTCAAGGTCGCCTCCAACGGCCTCGACAAGATTCTCGTCGCTGCCATTGCTACGGGCAAGCCCACTCTGGTCACCGTCCTTAGCCCCATCAAGTACGAGCTCGAGTACCCTCCGTCCACTACGCCCTTCCCGGCGGCGGCCCCACGATCCCGCCAGCCACCCCTCGTCAACTACGGAGTTGGCGGCAGGATGGTAGGCAGCTTGCTCACCAGCCTCGAAGACCCCGTGCTTTCCAAGTGGATCATCGTTGCCCTCGCCCTCAGCGTTGCTCTCAACGGCTACCTCTTCAACGTCGCCCGCTGGGGCATCAAGGATCCCAACGTGCCCGACAGCCAGATTGACCGCAAGGAGCTCGCCAAGGCCACCGACTTCAACGACACTGCCTCCGCCTCTCTGCCCCTCGGCGAGTACATGCCCCCTCGCAGCGGGCCGCCAAGCCCATCACCCCCGCCTCTACCGATGATGAGGGCGAATCGAAGAAGACGCCCGATCCTGTCGATCCCAGCCTCATGCGACCCATTCCGGAACTCGAAGAGCTCATCAAGCAGGATAGGGTGCCCGAAATGTCTGATGAGGAAGTTGTTCTCATGGCTATGCGCGGAAGAATTGCCGGTTATGCTCTGGAGAAGAAGCTCAAGGACTTTACTCGCGCCGTCAAGATTCGACGAAGCATTATTTCCCGAACCAAGGTCACGTCCGCGCTCACCGGTTTCCTCGAACATTCCAAGCTGCCCTACGACCAGTACAACTGGGAGCGTGTGTTTGGTGCTTGTTGCGAGAATGTCATTGGTTACATGCCCCTACCTGTCGGTGTGGCTGGCCCTCTAGTCGTTGACGGGCAGAGCTACTTCATCCCCATGGCGACGACGGAAGGTGTGCTGGTAGCTAGCGCGAGTCGTGGCTGCAAGGCCATCAACGCTGGCGGTGGTGCGGTGACGGTACTGGTGGGTGATGGAATGACGCGTGGACCATGCGTCAGCTTTGAGACGCTGGAGCGCGCGGGCGCGGCCAAGCTTTGGCTCGATTCAGACGTGGGCCAGAACGTGATGAAGAAGGCATTCAACTCGACGAGCAACTACGCTCGCCTGCAGTCGATGAAGACGGCGCTCGCGGGTACGAACTTGTACGTCCGATTCAAGACGACAACGGGTGACGCCATGGGCATGAACATGATTTCCAAGGGCGTGGAGCATGCCTTGGACGTGATGAAGAACGAGGGATTCGACGATATGATTATCGTGTCGGTGTCTGGAAACTACTGCATTGACAAGAAGCCGGCGGCGCTCAACTGGATCGACGGCCGCGGCAAGAGCGTGGTGGCCGAGGCCATCATCCCCGGCGACGTCGTCAGGTCCGTTCTCAAGAGCGATGTGGACACGCTGGTCGAGCTTAATATAAACAAGAACTTGATTGGTTCGGCCATGGCGGCCTCGGTGGGTGGCTTCAACGCCCACGCGGCCAACATGGTGGCGGCCATCTTCCTCGCCACGGGCCAGGATCCGGCGCAGGTTGTGGAGAGCGCCAACTGTATCACCATCATGAAGAAGTAAGTGTTAACAACCACACAGCCAACCCCTCGAACCCCCACCCCTGTCCCCCGTCTGTAGTAGAGTGGCGCTTCATCCTCACTTGTTGTTAGTATATACAAAACTAACCTCATCTTAGCCTTCACGGATCTCTTCAAATCTCCGTCTCCATGCCTTCCCTCGAGGTAGGCACCCTCGGCGGCGGCACCATCCTGGAGCCGCAGTCCGCCATGCTCGAGATGCTCGGCGTCCGCGGTCCTCACCCCACCAACCCCGGTGAAAACGCCCGCCGTCTCGCGCGCATCATTGCCGCCGCCACCTTGGCCGGCGAACTCTCGCTGTGCAGTGCCCTCGCGGCCGGTCACCTGGTCAAGGCCCACATGGCGCACAACAGGTCTGCGCCCCCGACCCGATCGAGCACGCCCGCGCCCATGACGGGTAGCAAGGGCCTGTCTATGACGACGAGCGCTGCGGCTGCCAGGCGATGAGCGGGGCCGTCGGGATCGGTATATTGAATCTGCTTCATCTTTGGGGGGCAATAGGGCTGTCTTGCTGGTAGGCCCTCGTCTCAACGACCTTGCTTGCTGATAACCCTATCTGCGCGCACATGCTATGTTGGCGGGGTTGGGGTGAAAAGAAGAACCGAAACGTAGTGGTAGTGTCGGATTGCTTCCCTTTTACCTCGTTTCCTTCACCCCTGTCCCATCTTATCCGACCGTTCAACCCTCACTGCGTTGGAAGATTCACTTACCACCCCGGTCGCTCTCTTTTCACTGTCGCTACACACTTTTCCTTTCTCTAGCCCACCAAATGAAGAAAATAAACCGTTTTCTTCTTATTATACATGTCAACCGCCCTTTTTATAGGCGGTGACTAAGATATATGATAGATTCGATGCCTTATTGTGTCTAGTAATGTATACGCGAATACATCAATTGGTATCCAAAAACAAAGAAAGCCCCTCGCAACCCGTTTCAAGTGCTTGGCTTGACAGTAACTCGTGAAGCAAAAAAAAAAAAAAAAGATTTCCTAGAATGGTGCTAATTTGTAAACTGCGTGTATTCTTGCGGGAACTTGCCAAGATTGCAGCAACGAGTAAAGTGGTATCTATCGCCTTGGTCTCTCCCACGCTCTGGCCCTCTTCCCTTCGCACCTTTTTGGTGAAGGATATGGCCTCTATCTCAGACGTTTCACTCGCCCCCTCTACAAAATATGACAGCCTGGCCAAGAGCCTGGCTCGGCCGCCGCTAGCTCCCTCACGCGCTCCACCTCGTCACCGTCCATACTGACAACCTTGACGCCCTTGCGCTCGATCGTGCCGCGGACGGCGGTCCACTTTTCCGGGACGACGGGGCGGGTGGCCTCGTCGACAATGTAGGTCACGAAGCCCTCGGCGTGAGCATCAAGAGCGGACACGCGGACACAGTAGTCGGCGGCGAGGCCGGCGACATAGACGTGTGTGATGGCCTGAGCGCGGAGGAGAGCGGCGAGGCCCGAGTCCTCGACGCGAAAGGGGTCGTGAAAGGCCGAGTACATTTCCACGCGGGGTCGCGGCCCTTTCGGATGGTGTGGTGGACGAGGTGGGTGTCGAGGCCGGCGACGGGGGCGGCGCCGGGGGTGTCTTGGACGCAGTGGACGGGCCAGAGGGTGGTTTCGTAGGCGCGGATCGGGGGCTTGGAGGAGGAGGAGTCGGAGGAGGGTGGACCGGCGGGCTCGGGGTGCTTGATGACCTTGGTGGATGCGAAGGGGATGCGCCGGGGTGGTTGGCGGCGAAGGAAACGTGGTTGGGGGTGCCAGTCGAGGGTGGCGATCTTGAGGGGAAGGGGAGGGCGAGGAGGGCGTTTGTGGAGGGGAGGATGTCGCGGGCGTGGGGGACGGGGAGGGCGCCGTTCTATACCGAGATGCACATGTTAGAGAGAAGAAGAATAATTTCCTTTTTTTCTTTTTTTCTTTTTCCAACTTGGGATAGTGGATGGAGGTCATACGGGTGGGCAAAAGTCCTCTTGTACGTCCACGACTATGAGGGCGGGCTTAAAGTTCGGCTGGGACATGGTGGTCGAAGATTGGACGGAAGGCCGATGCGTGCGCTCGTTTCGTGCAAGGGTGGGCCGTCTTTATTTTTGGGAGGGCGTGGATTTTAAGTCTCCAGTCGTTTGTGTGAGAGGCGAGAGGCGAGCGAGCGCAAGGCTGGTTAGAGCTTGTTTGCTTTGATGTCGTGTGATTTGAACTTTGGTTGATTCCGTGTTGCAGACTTCAAGAAAGAGTTGACGAGAAGAGTGGGGGTGGGGGAGGAGGAAAGCTTGATCTTCCGTGGATGGATATAGTGTAGGCAGATACTAGGAGATAAGGCCATGCTTGAATGAGCGGTTTAATTGAGCGTGGGTGGGATTCGAGCTTGGAGGGCCCAAGAAGAAACAAACTGCCCTATGAACTCATTCAGTCCCAACTCCAAGATTCCAACAAGGATCGGATAAGGATCAATTGAACCAGAGAGCTCCTGAAGGGTCTCCAATTGGCGGGGACGCCACTGACGGAAGCAGCCCTACAATGGAGCTGAGGCGAGGGGTCTTCACATGCACTTTCCCGGGGCGTGCGAGCGGGGGCGTGTACTTTGTGGGGATGCTGCCTGCATGGCCAGCCATTGAACTTCAAGTTGTAATAGGCTCAGCTATGAAAGGATGTTCAACTCACACCTCCAAACACTGCACATGTGAGCACTGAGGTGAGACAACACGGCAATCTGAGATCAATGAAAATACACCAGTCCCAGAGCCTGGAGCTCAAGATGTAGAAGGCCCGCGAAAAGAAAGCTGCAAAGCCTGTGCTCGCTCGCGTTGATCACCCTATCAACCATGAACGACTTGAGACGAGCTGGCTGACCATTAGCGCTGGTGATGAGGAGCTTTAGGAGCACTGTAAGCATTAGGAACTTTATCATCCTCTCGTCTCATGTCAAACATTTCTGATCCTAGTGGATTGTGCAGTGGTCTAAGGCCTAGGAATAATCCAAACTATTTTTCTTGGACGCCTTGCCCCGTGCATGCCCCCTGATGAAGGATGTGCAACGACCCTTCAAGGCCTCGAGGATTTATAAACATCAAGCCCGGTCTGCCTGCCCATCCTTAAGAAAGGCAGAGGATCTCGGAAAGCATAAAGCCTGATTCATAACCAAAGGAGGACCCCGAATTATTAACAGGCGGGTAGATCTATGATAGTGTTGCTGATAGATCCGGATCCAATCATGAATTAATAGGCTGCATTGACCAACAAGAATCCTAAAAACGTAGCCCAGAGCAGCGAATTGAGCAAAAGCCAGATAGTGGAGCCCACCCCTAACAGCTTGGCAGTTCGATTGTTGTGGGGAGCGCACCTCAGTTTCATCCGCAACGCATCTCCTCAAGACGCGATACCTTGAACCGCGCTCGCAACCTTTCCCCTCCCACCACCATTTAAATTCCTCTGTAGCAATAGCAGCACACAATGGCCCGCAAGTGGACGGCCCTCGTCGTCTTTTGGCGCTCGCCGGCCTTCTTCTCTATGGAACCGGCCTTCTCCCCGGTCTCGGCTCCTTCCTGATCCCCGACGCCGCGCTCGTTGCGCCCGGCGTTACCCACATTGTTCTTTTTCAGTTCAAGAGCTCTCTTGAAAAGTCCACCATCGACAAGGTTCGCTATTTTCATTTCCCATGTTCCCGTCTCTGCAGTCCTCTACCTCCCGGCTCATGGCGGGAAGAAAAAACAACGAGCGAGGAAGCAAAAAGTCATTGGCCTGGCCAACAGCATTGATCAATTTGCTTCTCTCGCCGCATAGGTCTACCGCCGGATGCTCGCCCTCAAGTCCGAGTGTCTCCACCCCGTCCGCTCAAGACCCTACATTAAATCCATCCAGGGCGGCAGTGACAATTCCCCAGAGGGTCTTCAGGTATGTCTCAACGCCCCTAAGAGTCTCTCCTGCGACTTTTGTTCCATTCTGTCGTGCCCGAGACATCGGCCCGGCACATCCTGTGATGAATGGACCCCAGGCTCACACCTCTCTTCCGCTCCAACAAAGAACGGCATCACCCATGCATTCGTTGTTGAGTTCGCCTCGACTTGGGACCGTGATTACTACGTCAACGACGATCCTGCCCACAAGGCCTTTGTTCAATGGGTTGGCTCCGCGGTGGAAAAGGCAACCGTGGTAGATTTTGTGCCTGGCAGGCTCGAGTAGATGCTTTCCCTTGCAGTACGCAATCCACCATTTGTATTGAAGTTCTTCCCTCTTCTTTTCCCTCCGGCATTGCCCTATGCAGATGAACCATACTTTTCTTCTCTTTTTTCTTTCCTTTTGCTTCTTCTTAGAATGTATTGTACTCCATGAACCCCCGTGAACCCCTAAGCCGGTTGAAAAAAAGACCAAAAGAAAACTAGTCTATCGTATCTTACATGCTGCCGCCTTTCTTTTTCCCTTTTTCCTTCCCTCCTTCTTCGGCCCTTCCTCAACAACGTCACCGGTATTACGTTGGGCCATCCTACATCATCAATGTCTTCAGCGCCTCGCCCAACACCGCCGCAGACGGATCCTCCCCAAACACCTCCGGCGGCTTCTTATCGAGCCCCATCAGCTCGTACACCGCTATCTGCGCCGACCGCACCGAGTACTCCATGGTAAACGTCACATCCCGCGCCATCTCCACGTACTGGCCCATGAGCCCGAGATTTTGGCTTCCCCGTGGCACCACTTGCGGTCGGCTGTCCTTATCCCTCCGAATATAAGGGCTGGTGATGAGGGCATGAGCACCGGGAGCGTGATGGAATTCTCCAGCGTCGGCTCCAGCGGGTGGCTCATGAGCATTAGCAGCTCCGTCAGTATCTCTCGCCCGCTGCACTCCGTCATGGGCTTGTGGACGAACCGGCCCGGCTGGTCCGGGTACAGCCCGTACCCCCAGAAAACCGTCGTGTCCGCCGGCTGGTCCTTGAAGTACGGCTGCTGGGGGATGGTGATGGAGAGCAGCCAGGGGCAGTCGCGGAAAGAAAGTAGTGGGCACGTGCCGTGCGTGCTGCCGGCCCACGCGAGGAGGTGCTGCGTGAAGGACTGGTCGAACATGGTGATGGTGAAGGCCACGCCCATGGATTCTCCCTGGTGTTCCCGGAATAAGCGAGGGTCTCCGAATTTCGCCCTGTGCGGGTTGCTGCTCGACTCGGATAGACCCAACCAAAACTTCCAAATCGGATCTGGGTGGTCGTGGACCCAGTGATTCTTGGGCATGGCCGCGGGCGGCGTCGTGTTAGTTCCCGGTGCGGACCCCGATGTCATGGAGCCGAGAGTCACGAGCACGATGTCCGTGGGCTTCACAGGGATAACGATGTCCTCGGTCTGTTGGCGCACGGCGATCCCCGTGACGATCAAGTCCCTAGAATTTTGAGCAAATTCGAGGGTTTGGGCCGTAGTTCCTAAAGTGGTATTAGCTCTCTCTCTCTCTCTCTCTCTCTGTGCTCCTGTCTTAGCGAATTACTTACCGTACTGAAAATCTACTCCCGCCTCCTTGAGATACGCGACCAAGGGCACAATAGTAGCTTCAAAATCATTCGAGGGCATGTACTCCATCCCGGACAACGTGCTAATGTTTGGGAACTCGTGCAGAAATCGGTGCAGGTAACGCCGCAGTTCAATGGCACTATGCCACGGCTTGAACAGATACATGGTCGACATCATGTCCCAAAAGTTGGTCTCGAAGAAGTCGAGCTCGAAAAAGTCCCGTATCGTCCCGAACCCAAGGCTCTCTTCAGACCTCAGAATGAAGGCCATGAGCGCCGCTTGGTCTCGGGGACTTAGCCCCATCGTTGCCGTGTCCACCGTCTCGGGGCGTCCGCCATCGTCCAAAGACACCAACCGAACCTTGGTTCGGCCTCTATTCTTAGGATTCGAATGGTTCCTCCGAATGCTGTCCAGTAGCGTCCTAGGCGGGCTCTCTGTGACCGCTTCTTCTCCAATAACAAAGTCTTCTGTCCCTCTGTTGTTGCCGGCGTCCCCGTTTGACGTTGGTGCCGTGCTTCCGTTCAGCTCACCTATCGCATTCGTCCTGGCACTAGACCCATTCTCCTGAGCCTGAGATACCGATGGGCAGGGCACCTTGGACAACGTGTCGTAAAAACACCGATAAGAGAAGTTGAGCTTGCGCGCTGCGCGTATCACATAGCCTTTCCTCTTGATCGGGTGTGCGGGTGTTGCGCTTGGCTCATCCTCGGCGGCCATCGACCCTCCAGGGGTCGGGCTAGCTTCGAGGATGTGGATGCGGCTGGCGGGCACTTTTGCATCGTTGATGAGATGAACGGCGGCCGCTAATGATGCGATGCCGCCGCCCACGAGCCATGCATCGGTGGTCAGCGGGTCTCGCTGATATCTGGGGATGATGCCACCATTAGTGGTGGTGGCGCTGGGGGCGGAGCTGTCGATTGGCATGCCTCTTCCTCCCTTCAAAAGAAAAGAAAAAGAAAAAGGAAAAGTGAATCGTTGCAGCAAGACTGCTCAAACGAGGAAAAGAAACTTGCGACAACCACGGAGGCTAAAGACGGGGTATCATAATCGAGAAATCCTGGAGAGAGAGAGAGAGAGAAGTGCAGAGGCAGTTCAATTTTTTGGTCTTCCCAAGTCGTTCCCTTGAGACACTCCGTGGACAGGATTCAGGCGATTTATGTGGGGAGAGAGGACGGCGTGTGGGGTGAGCAAGAAGGCACGACGTTGCGCCTCTCGCACTTTGGACGTCTTTTGTGGATTGATGCAACACGATAGTGACTTCACCGGAGATGTACTTCAATATCGCCTATAATAACTGCACGGCGAGCAGTCACGTTGCCTGCGCTGGTTAGCTTGCACAATGGGGCAGCTTCGGGGTGCTGGCGGTGATAATGACGTGTCACTAGATCGAAAGTGGTGGCATTGATATAATCCCGACTCGTTGCCCAAAAAGACGCCAAATAGGACATTGAAAGGAACGCCAAGGAGATGTAGAATGGACGAGAACTCTAGGTTTGATTTGATGTCACTCGCCCTTGTCTCGAAACAGAGGTTACAGTAAGAAACGGATAAGAGAAAAAGGAAAGCGTCTTATCATTTCCAGCCAGGATTTTGCTCGTACCTTCTCAACCTCGCAACCGGGAAGGAGCTCGCCGGCGGGGAGTGGGGTCCATAGGGTCCATAGGCGCCGGTGGATCCCGCTTGCTTGCAGTGCAGGTGCAGCCCGTTCGCGACGAGAAACGTGATGAGAAAAATTCAATTGCGGCCCAATATTTTTGGCAAGTTCTGTTTCATCTCAACCTGAGGGAGAAGGAGGCCGTCTTCGGCGATGGAAGACATCACTTCTTTTGTTTTGTCATATAGTGCTCCGTCTACAATGTCAGATGGGATATCGAGTTGAGGGACATGGCGTGTTAGGTCCTCTCATCACTGGAGGAAACCTTGACCCCTCCATTGTCCCCGCATGTTTGGGGCCTGTTTGCGAGCAACGGTGCATCAATGATGTGCGTTCTGGCGACCAAAACATCCATGGGATTTGTGCTCGAACGCCTAAAAATAGGTATCAAAACAGTGCTGGCGTTCCTGTTCCCCTCGGGCTCAGCGATTTCAACGATTCTTCTCCAAGGCTAGTTGAAGAGCTTCCAAAACCCGGGCAGCGAGCACTACAAGATGATACTCTGTGCCGTGATCCTCATCAGAGGCCTCGCGGATAGGGTCAATGTTTCCCTCTAGCGTGAACACAAACACGATAACACACGCCAAAAGAGCGCTTTTTCCAGAACGCTTGGATCAAAACCGCATGAAGATACGTGGGGGTTGCCCTTGCCGGCCGGCGAGGTCCACCTGCGAGTGGTGCGTCGTTCAAAATCGTACGATGGTGCCGCTCAACGCACCAGCCCGAGACAGGCTAGAACCTGGGAAGACTGCAAAAGGAGCGCTTCTGCGTTGTCAAATGCTAACAAGTACACCACGGAAGAGGGAGAAACAAACAGAGGAACTTTGAGATATAACAAGGAAGAAGAGAAAAAGAAGAAAAAGAGAAAAAGACACCCCTGGCCCACGAGTCTAGACCCTATCCTCGCATCATCGGGGCCGCCGCCACACCTTATCACCCTACGTTATGCCGCTCGGCGACGTTGCATCGTCATCTCCGTTTCGGAGCTCAGGTGGGGCGGCGTCGAGTCTGAATTATTCTGCACTCAGCTTTTATGCCAATTGATCACAAGCAGCAACGCGCCCTGACTCGCCTCTTGTCAGAATCCCCTCCCAACGATGCAAGCTACAATTCCCCATCCTGCCTCCTGCCGGCATATGAGATGGGCGTTGCATCCGGATCAGCTATAATTGGAGACAGGCTCAAAGCCACCTGCGGGAGTGGCCGGCCCCGCACATTCACATCGCCAGTTGGAGTCCTGTGGCTTCCGCGGCTTCTGTAGCACATAGTCTAGGTTTCATTCCCCGTCCCGTCCCTGATGGTTCGACCGGCCGGAGGGCTGAACGTATGGCTCTTTTCTAGCCCTCTCGTTGTCTCGTTGTTATACCGAGGTAGGAGGACTTGAAATTGTTGACTGACGTATGGTAAATCTGTTGGACCCGTTGTCTTCGTCACAACAGCTTAGGACATCCAGACCTTGGAACTCATAACAACTGGGGGTGCACTAGAATGAAAGATTTCTCCCCTCTTCGAGCGACTGCATGAGCTTGGCTTGAACGATCCGCAAGCCCTCATCTATCTCTGTTCCCCTTTGCCCTCTCTTTTGAGCTCATTCGGCAGAATTCAGGCCTCACCGCACGGGTACGCACATTGATTCCCCGGTCGACCGGTGTTTGACGCCTCGTCGATATCCTGGGCATAATGTAAGTGCGTGCCTTGACTTGAAAGAATGGATGAAACCAAACCACTAGGTGATCCTATGGTCTTGATTGGCGTGTTTCAGTTCGTTAGTAGAACCTCCTCACCAACAAAGCAGAGCGTTTACCACAAATTCGCCACACTCGCTTACTCGCTTCGACCCTGCGGTAATAATAGTTGAATTGCTTGGTCTCTTCACTTTTATATTTTCGGTCGACTATAGGCCCAGTTATCCTTCGTCTATCTTCTAGATCATGGCATGGAAGCCGTTTGCCTCGATTGACTTGGGACATGAACCTATCCAACTCGCCCTCTTGCTGCTTGCATCCGATTTTCCGTGTACGCACCTTTTTCGCGAGTGCAGCAGGCAGATAGTAATGGCTGTAGAAAGTCTTCCATGTTGAACACAACAATAACACCGGCACCAACATCCGGAGCGTCCCCTCACTATTTTCATATTGTTAATTTTCGGCCAGGAACTGGCACTCTATAAGAAGCTAACCCCTCATTACTTGCCAGTTTAACCCCACAGGCAGCATTGATGGGGAGATCGACCCCCTGCCTATGACCCCAATATGAATATATGCCCGCCGCCGGCTATATCAGGCGCATGTTGCGACCTTGGCTCGTCCTCCGCCCAGCCAAATTCCCCGATGATCGCCTTGTATTGCCCAGGGTCACGGGCGAGTTTAATATGCGCCCCTTTCTTCAGTTACCCGCACATGAATTTGTCTAATACCCTCCACTTCCACAATGTGCCAGCTCTCTCCCCCAGCTTTTGGCTAAAGCCCCGTACCGGACTCGCCATTATTAAAATGCGGACAAATTCAATCCGTCCACTCAACTTGGCCAATTTTTTTCCATTCCGTAAGAACGGGTCGTCGGCGATGTTGTTAATGTATGTGGATGTAAAGTAGGAAACATGCCCCGAATCGGGTATCTTGCTCCCTCAGCCGCTTGCCGGGAAGGAGAGGCTTGTAGTAGGATTTTCCGATGACTTCAAAGCGTTGCTTTCCCTCGCGCCGTTTATTAGTATCCTTGTCTTTCTAGAACCATTCCTTCTTCTCCTCTCCTTGACTGCGGTCGGTGATCTCTTTCTTTTCTTCTTTTCTCATTTCCTTCTCACTGTTGCGGAATCCGACGTGAAAACAAGAACATAGTATCAATTGGTCTGCAAGGATGCGGTTCTTCGGTGCCGCCTTGAAGGGCTTGACCCTTTTGGCGTTTGGCAGCTCTGTCCTGGCCGCGCCTTCGATCGAGAGACGCCAAGATGAGGGGGACGCCGAGGCTGGCGGCGACATGCACTGGGTTCCCACCTGGGTGTCCATGCCCCAGCTTGTAGAGCCCAACAACCTGCCCCCGCGCCATTCGTACGTTCTCTCCCATGCCACGTCGTGAAGGAGTGGATGCGACCCCGAGTAGGGTTTTGAAGAAGGAGGAGACGAAGAAGAAGAAAGTCTCTGAAGCTAACTGTGATAACCAACCATATGTAGACCGGCGGTAGCCAGTTCCAGGGCGCGACTCTCCGTCAAACCCTCCGCATGACGGTCGGCGCGGAGAGGATCCGAATTCAGTTCTCCAACACCTTTGGCACCTCGCCCCTGCCCATCACCGCCGTCACCGTCGCCCTCCCCACCGGAGGAGCTGCCGGTGTTGGTGGCATCGACACCGCGACTCTCGCGGAGATCACCTTGACGGCCAGGCCTCGGTTTCCGTTCCCGCTGGACAAGTCATCTACTCCGACCCCATCGACTACGCGGTCGAGACCGGATCCATGCTCACCGTCTCCATGTTCCTCGAGAGCGGCCAGCAGGGTTCTAGCATCACCGGCCATCCTGGCAGCCGTACCACCTCGTGGATGGCCAACGGAAACGCCGTGAAGGAGGCGAACGTTGCTGGTGGAAACACTAACCATTGGTAAGGATGACGATCCGTCTTCTGCGCATGGTGGAATCGGAGGCTGGGGGAAATGTCGAATGGCAGAGGAAATATGGATAGAGAAGAGAAAGGAGAACTAACAAGTTTGGGAAATAGGTACTTTGTCAGCGGTGTCGAGATCTGGGCTCCCACTGACACCGGCACCTGCATCATCCTCGGTGACAGCATCACCGACGGCCGTGGCAGCGAGGATAACAAGAACAACCGGTAAGTTATGAGCCGCGGCTGGGAAACACAGACAAAAAAGAAGAAAGAAAGCTAACACAATTTGTTTCCAGCTGGCCCGATCTCCTCTTTGACCGCCTCCAAAAGGAGGGCGTCACCAACGTCGCTTTCGGCAACCAGGCTGCCGGCGGTAACGCCATTCTCAGCGGTGGCCTCGGCCCCACTCTCCTCACTCGCTACCAGCGCGATGCCATTGAGCAGCCCGGCGTCAAGTACGTCATGATCTTCGAGGGCGTCAACGACCTCGGAAACGGTCCCCAGGACCAGGGCGGCGCCAGCGGCCTCGCCGACCGCATCATTGACGCCTACAAGAAGATTATCGCCGATTCCAAGGCCAAGGGCTACATCACCATTGGCGCCACCATCACCCCCTTCACCGGCCAGGGCCAGTCCTACGGCTCGCCTGGCCGCGAGGCTGCTCGGCAAAAGGTCAACGAGTGGATCATGACCTCGGGCGAGTTTGACCACTCGGTCGATTTTGCCGCCTTCATTGGCCAGGGTGACGCGCTCAAGTCGCAGTTTGACGGCGGCGATCACCTCCATCCCAACGTGGCTGGCTACCAGGAGATTGCTGACAAGTTCCCCATTGAGATCTTCCAATCTTAAAAAAACTGTGAGGGGAGGAAGAAGAAGAAATGAAGGGCTGATGGGGGAGATTGGCTGATGAGTTGGCGTGAAGGTGATGGCCAGACGAAAGAAATGACGGAAGCTATTGTATATGCATAGAAATGAATATATATATGTACTTGTATATACACAATGACGACTGATATATCGTGCCTAACTTGAATTGGTGTACAAACAGTTTCCCTTGAAGGGTAGGTATGGTCGTGTAAGTGGACAGGATCCAAGGCACCACATGTGAACAATTGTCGACGGGCCGTTTTGTACTCTTTGATACTCGTGAAAACGCAAAGAGAATGCGCCTTTCCGGGAGGGCCGTTTTTCTTTTCTTCTAACTGGTCGATTTTAACAAGTGGGAAAGATCCAATCCCTTGAACTTGGATATTATTTGCGATTCCCATTGCTTGAGGCCGTGTATTTGGTGGGGTTGGGATCTCGGCTTGGGTGTTTCTCAAATGTGGCGCTTTGGCGGCGCCAACTATCCGCACGGACCAGGTACGATAAGATAAGGCCGAACAGCGTGGGTAATGAGAGGATTCCCCCAAAGCTCAGCTCAGCAACATCATCTCCTTATGAGTGTCTGAGCTGGATCACCTCCCAGCAGGCCTTTCCTCGCCCTCTGTTCGGTTTGCTGCGAAAGGCAGAAAACACAAAAAGCTTGAAAAGCTCACTAATCAATTCTCTAGAGCCAATGGCGCCGCATGCGCCGGGGCTGAGTTTAAAAAACCGCTGACAATGTACAACCGCGACAACCGCATCATGCGCAAGCTCCTCGGCCGCGCCGCACCCGACAGCACCACCGACACGTCGACGGGCGGCGCCGCCGGCATCACGAGCGCGCCCTCCATCGCGGGCCCGGCCTACCGATCCACCGTTTCCCAAAACGCCGAGTACAAGGCCGGCGTGCCCATACTGTGCCTCGATGCCTCGCCCGACCGCCGCGCCGCCGTGCTGGGGGCCGACACATCCTCAAGACGGTGACGGTGGACGGGCTCGAGGTCAATGACGGATTCGACCTGCGGGCCGTCATCTCGGCCCAGCCTTCGATTGCGAAATCGGGGAGCGCGTCGTCCATCGCGGACCAGCTGTCGATCAAGGACGTCAAGTGGCACGGCGACTCGACCATTTTCACGGCGTGCTCCAACGGCAAGATCTTTTCGTACGACATCACCCGCTTCGGGTCGGGGAGCTCGAATTTCGAGTTTGTGCAGACGATGGAGGATTCGCGGCAGGTGAATACGCTCGACATCAACCCGCACAGGGGCTCGTACCTGCTCTCGGGAAGCCAGGATGGGACGGTCCGCTGCTTCGATATCAGGACCCCGCAGCCCAGCCGGCCGGGGGCTTGACGTTCCGCGCCGTGCAGGGCTTCAAGTGCAACGCCGATAGCGTGCGGCACGTGAAATGGTCGCCTACCGACGGCCTCTGCTTCGCGTGCGGCACCGAGTCGGGCGTCATCATGAAGTGGGATATTCGCAAACCTGCCAGCCCCTTGCTCCGCCTACCCGCCCACGATAAGGCTTGCTCGGCCATCTCGTGGCATCCGGACGGTGACCATTTGATGAGCGCTGGCTGGGATAGCAAGTGCCACGTCTGGAGTCTGAGCAAGAACGCTGACAAGCGCCAAAGGCCAAGTGGACCATTTCCACCCCGGCCCCCGTCGCGACCGTCGCGTGGCGGCCCGGTCTCTGGTCTGCCACCGCCCAGGGCAAGCGGGTCGCGCAAGTCGCCGTGACCTACGACGACACGAGCCAAAAGCGGTACGGGATCAACGCGATACACATCTGGGACCTCGCGCGGCCGACCATGCCTTTTAAAGAGATTGATAGGTTCGATGCGCCGCCTTCGGGATTGCTGTGGAAGGACCAGGACCTCCTGTGGACAGCTGGGAGGGATGGCGTATTTAGCCAATGTGATGTGGCCTTTGCGCCTCGGGTCATTGATCGACAGTCGCTCTCGAGCATGGCCTTCTCCCCGCGGGGATGTCATGACGTTTCTCGACCAGAGACCCGATGCGCTCCGTCCGCGCGCCCCGCCACAATCCTCATCAGGGCAACCGACGGTCACCGTACAGCGGACGACTCCTTACGGATCGAGTCCAACCGCGCCGATGCTGAGCATTAGCCGAAGCGACTCGGAGGAGGACGTGGTCGGTACTTTGTGGGACCCCGCCGAAGAATACACCGCACTCAGCAGCGCCGGCACAGCCGATCTATCCCCAACACTGGCGCGAGTTCCACGCCTCCGTTAGCGCCTACACCGCCAGATGACCACAATCTTACCCTGGACCAGTCGCTCAAGGTCACCGGCCTCTTCAAATCGCAGCAGGCCATGGCGTTTGGCCACGCGCCGGCTGCGACGAACGTCGAGACATATCACTACCTCGCCGCCAGCTACCTGCGGATCCTGGAGCAAGAGCTGCCCTGTAGCGAGGGTAGCAAGCCGTTTGTAGACCGGGTCGAGACTATTCTGCAGCGCTACGCGAGGACGGCCGAGAATGCGAGGCTGTTTCGCCTCGGGCAAACGTGGCGCATCCTCGCGTACGTGGCCAACCTGCTGCTCTTACAACGCGGCCAGTACCACCTGGAAAAGAGACTCGGAATTTCCCCAGAAGTACCCAAGGATGTGACTATCCCCAAGACGAAAGAAGTTATCCTCCAGGTTCCCCTCGCTACGGCAGATCAAAACGGAGAGGAGACGCCTCGTAGGCTTCCGTCGCAGGCTGGTCTTGGGGCGGAAAACCGGAACCTTTCCGTCCGGTCTCTCCTTGCTGAGGAAATCGAGAGCACATCCAATGTCCCCACGCCAGTCGTTCGCGCCATCCGCGACACCGACGACGACAACGGCGGCGAAGTGTTTATCCCGGGGAAACGGCTGACCCCGGTCATCGAACCCGAGAGCTTCACGCTAGGCCCGGCCGCGCACCCACAGCTTGCCGATAGCCCCCGGCGGCGCCTTGATTCGGAACCCATCTCCATCGAAAGCAACGGAAGCGCTGACACGGAACAATCCATCACGGAGGGGTACGACTTCTACGATACCCAGGCCCTGACAAAGGCCATCGACGTCCCCAAGGTCGGGAAACCAGCCCCCGGCCGCTTGACTATGGACCCCAAACCCCGAATAGTAGGGCGCCGGTCGCGTTGCCAAGCCAGTCTAGTGATAGCTATGGCCACATGTTTTCGGCGTCCGAGTCCACCGATACGAGGCAGTCGGACACGGAACTTCCCCGCCGTCCCTTGATAGCGAGCGCATCCGACACGCGAGCCGGATACAAGACCTGCTGGCGGAGCGTGAGGAGAGGGAAGCTGCTAGAATGCGCGAAAAGAATCCGGACGGCGAGTACGAAAGCCGAATTCGAGGCAAGGAGCTCGAGGAGTCCCCGGACATCACTCCTGCGCGTCCTCAGCCACGACCAAAGTACCAGCCGCAGTCCGAGTTTCCGGACGACATCTTTATGATTTCTCAGTCCGTCATTGGGACGGACGTGTACTCGCAGGGATCTGTGCAGTCCAACACGCAGTCGAATACACAGTCTAATCCGAGGTCAGAATATGAGCACCTCAATGATGAAGGAGACGACGACGACGAATCTAACGGGCTCGAGCTTCGCGTCAAGAAGTCGAACCCCAATACCAAGACGAGTTTACCATCACCCTCGAAAGACCAGAGCCAGGACATCACAGAGCACGACTATCTGTACTGGCCTGGTGACCTCCCTTATCCATTTCCCCTCAGCTCCCGCAAGGCGAGCTTCAACCATAATCACCCCGCAGGCAGGGACAAAACACCGCCCATCGACCCTTACACCGTCATCTCCCGCGCCATCGAGTTCGAGGCGCGCACCTCAGCCCTCAACGCCTCCGCCATGGTCCTCCTCTTCCGACCCCTCGTACCCCCTTCCGTCATCGACCCCTTCCACGCCATGGCCATTCTCCGCCAACACCACACCCGCCTGATGGGGATGAAGCACTTTGTCGAGGCCGCCCAGCTGCGCAACGTGTGCGTCAAGGGGTGGCCCGACGGCCTCCCCACTGGGGCGCCGACGACCCCTTCACGTCCATCTTCGCCCCGGCCCAACAAAACGTCAAGGTCGGCTTCTACTGCAGCGCCTGCCGCAAGCCCCGCGAGATCGACCCCCGCGACGGCGCCCTTTCCGTGTGGCGCTGCTCCCGCTGCCGCACCCACATGGCCCCCTGCGCCGTGTGCGGCCACCGCGTCGCCCCGGCCGTCGACCTCGACGACCCCGCCCTCTGCACCTGGTGGTACTGCCCCGGCTGCGCCCACGGCGGCCACGCTTCCTGCCTGCAGGCCTGGCACGCCGACCAGGACCCCGACGGGTGCTGTCCCACCGACGGCTGCGGCCACGCCTGCCTCCCCGGCCGATACCGCGCCGAGACGGGCACCGCCCGCTCCGACGAGCTCGGCCGCTACGTCGTCGCCGACAAGGTTAGCGGCGGACCCAAAGTCAGAGTCGCCAGCGGCGGCGGTGGTGGTGCGAGTGCTGGTGCTGGAACCGGAGGAGGCGTTGGTGGCGCGGCGGGACTCGGCACCGGCATCTCCGCCGGCGTGAGCACCAGCGCGCCCTTGCTCGGGTCCAATGCCACCGCCCTCGGAGCCGGCGGCGGCCTGGTCGTCCCCGCGTCCGGCTCCGCCTCGACGGTCCCCTCGAGCGTGCGGAGCGACGTCAACGACGTGCCGCAGAGCCGGGCTGTCGAAACGGTTCGCGAAGCGCTGGGTAGAGGCGGCATGGCCCACCCCGGTTCGGGAGGGAGGGCGAGAGAGAGGCGAAAGAGCGTCAAGTTTGCGGGGGCAGTGGGTAAACATAAAGATGTGCATGGCAAGAGAGGCTCTTGGTTTTGTGTTACCCAGTTCCCCCTCTTTTATTTTCCCTCGGAATCTTTTGCTTTGATCATCTCCCGGGTCGGTGTTGCTTGCATGAATATTGACGGATCGTGTTTATGTTGCTGTTTTATCGGGGTTAAGACAGGAAGAGGCGCACCAGGGTGTCTAGGGAGTGAGGGGATTTAACGGAGGCTATAAGCCAACTCTATAATCTTCATTTGTAACTTTATCGCGGTACTCATCTGTATAGCATACGCTCTGGACGAGGTAAAAGGCATCTGCTTCGTCCTGGCCCACAACACAATACCATTTATCTCTTCATCTCTTTAATCTTGTTCGCTGTAGCCTGTAGTCTTCGCACAGGCGCCCTCGTCGCTACTCTCGAAAAGAAAGGGGGAAATAAGGCCGATAACCACACTAAAGTCAACACCACGGGTATCATTCTTTTCTGTTGTTCATTATATAGAGACTAAGACGCTGCAACCAAGATAATTTTTCGCTTGACCATATATACATTTCCCAGCACCTCATCGGGCTGCGGGAAGCCTTGCGCCTTAAGCTCAGCTTCAACTCCGCCTCGGCAAACGGCAAACTTTTAAGGGACCCGGAAACACTCCCGTCCGCGACGCTGCCATCACCATCCACACTCGGTGTGTCACTTCCGGGCACGGCCACGCCATCGAGCCCCGCCGGACTAATCACCCTAGTAGTTAGCCTCGGTCCCGATGCCCCCGTCAAAAAGGCTCTCACGCCGCCCTTTTTCCTCTCCGGAACCTCGTCGGTGCCTGCGCTACACACGTAGAGCAGGTATTTGAGGTTGGGTAGGGTTTGGCGGATGTCGACGACACGCAGCCCCTGGGAGGCGCAGAGTGCTTCGATATCCTTGTTGAGGAGGAACCATGCGTACTCGAAGCGAAAGTGGGCCGCCGTGGAGCCGCCCCGGGGTAGAAAGAGAGGAAATTCGCGGCCACGGGCCTGGTAGCGGGTGGCAAGGTCGGTCAGGAGAGAGATGTCGTCGCGTATGGAGGAGCGGGACCCAAAGGCGGTGATGGGGTAGGGGAGGGGCATAGAAAGGTAGTACTGGAGGTGGTCGGTGAGGCTGGAGACGTAACCGAGGGCGGCGGAGAGCTCATCCTCGCCGGTGGTGCGCGAAGTCGCGGCGTCGAAGGTCGTGTTCGGAAGTGGGATGCCGCATATCTGGAAGGATAGGGGTGGGCCGTCTGGCACGGGGCGTATGTCAAAGATGTCGGCTAGGTCGGAGCAAATGCGCCGTTTCTGGCCACGGATCTGCTCCCGGGTAGTTGCCGTTGCCTCCCGGGATGAGTCTAGCTTATCACGCGCATTGGCAACGTCTCGTTCTGCCTTTTCCTGCACTGCGCGGCCATCTCGGATAGCCGCGCGCCGTAACCGTATCGACTCCTCCAGCTCCTTCTTCCGCTGCTTAACTGCGGCGACGTTCTTCCTCTCCAGTGCTAGATACTTCTTTGCGAGTTCTAGCCGATCTTCCGCCTGTGGGACCGGATCCGGCGGTTTTGTCTCTAATATGGCGTTGATCTGTTCCCTGATGGACTGCTGCGTCGCCAGCGCGTCTTGTATGGAGTTGTCGAGAGTGGCGAGCTTCATGAGGGCATTGTAGGACGAAGTAGGCACCGGTTGGGCAGCTTTGGGCTCCCTTGGTCGGCCGGGGATATCGGCCGAGTAGAAGCCATCGGTGAGGTGAAACACGAGACTGTTCACAGGGAAGTGCTGCTCTTCGAGTGTGCCGATGAATTGGAGATTCTTGAGATCGACGAATTCTTGTAGGAGAAGGATCCAAGAGTCTTGCCTCCGGGCCCAGAACCGCACGGTAGCCGTCGACGCCCGGGTGACATCAACGGGGAGGTGTGTTAAATCGAAAAATTGAAAGTTGAAATTCTGCATTTCCAAGCAAAGCAAAAAGGGCATCAGCACAGTCGCCCAGTCCCAAACAGGACTACATCGTCTTTTACGAGGACATGGGAAGGATAGGAGTAAGAGGGGCAACTCACCGAAGACCTTTCTACAGTTTCGCTAATATAGACGGGCTCTTTTACCCCGCCACAATGCACTGAGAAGAAGGCGTCCGCGACCTTGTCTTCGACGCTTCTCTCCAGCCTCTTCTGCCTCTCGGCGGGGCTCACCATGGTCGCCATGGATGTTCTCCTCCCCACGGCGCCCGCCGGCCTGGCAGACGCCAAGTCCTCCGAAGATCGCGCATGTTGCAGCTCCTTGAGCGACGGTCGTTTCTTCTGGCTCCCTCCCGAACTCTTCCGACCGAGTTCCGTGTCATCCACCGTGCGGCCTCCAGGGCGGGGAAGCCGAGGTTGCGGAGGTAGATGCCCTTGAGATGCCGCAGCTTACGGTTCTGCGGCATCAGAAGCGGGCGGGCTTCCGACACGGATTGGGCGTTTGGGCCTATCGTGTGGAAGGAGCTCGGGTTTGGTTTCGAGGAGGGTGGGTTTCGAGGGCAATCGGATCGTGCGTCTCGGGACGAAAAAGAGTATCAGGCCAAAATCGGATTCTATATATCGTAGGAAAAGATGTGTTGAAACGCCATTGAGGAAGCGGAAGCGAAGCGACGATGCACCTTTGCCCGCAAAACCATGTGCCGCTCGTAAGTTGTGATACGCCGATTGACGTACGTGGTTGTCGATGGGGCACAAGACAAAGCTCAAGCCAATTGACGGAATCTGTGTTTTCTGCTTATTACCAGCTCTACCGAATCAGGAGGAGCTGAGTGAGCAGGGGTGCCAACGGCGAACCTTGGGTGCTGAACAGCCAAAGGACGCTCTGCAAGACCTCGGTACTCCGTGTCAGCCAGTGAGTGTGTACTGCTTTATGTAATCAGAGACACTCCCTGAATCAATGCATTCTTCAGTGGATAAAGCTTTCAAGGGCGCTGTTCATATTGACGGCAGATAAAATTAACCAAGGACGCTATCAAGATGACGAATATCTTGGGCGCGTTCTGGTCGAATTTCCCTTCGGCAGGCGAGAAGCAGAGTGGCAGACCAACTTTCCATCTTCCCAACTCGTACGGGTTTCACGACCTCAACTTGCTGAGAAGTGGTGACAGAGGCCCTGTACTTGGAGAGTGCCATGCCTATCAAGGACGGATAGGCGTCGGGTTCAAGCCCATCACATTTTGCGCAGATTCTAAGCAAATCACCAGAACTAGAAATCTTGTCCTCGTCGTTTGCAGACTTCGATTGGACATACAATGCATCCACTATGATATGATGTACATGTAGCATTTACATGCCAGGGCTCCATAGATTGAATCCTTTTCGCAGCGTTTCCTGTCGGACCACTGAAAATTACAGCGGCAGGGCCGACCCCACCGCGACGATTGAGGTTAGCACCTTGTCCGCTGCTGCAAGTGCGGAGGGATCAAATCCTAGCCGAGAAGCATTCACACTAAACTAGCATCTTCTGCAGGTGATTGATGGGATGATGTATTTGCCGGAGAAAAAAGGCGTGAAGAAAGACAACAAGAAGAACGAAAAAAACAAGAGTTGACGCTTGGTATCCAGAATGAATTGATTGCAAGTTGGAAGAACAAGACAAGTCCAACAAATCTATGTGTGCTAATTGAGGTGCATCTCTGATCGGATCGCCTTGATCCAATCTTAGTTGACCCACATCGAGTGATCCCCTTAATATGGTCGGAGCCGAATCCATCAAGCCCATATCCAACATGTGGAAGGTCCAGCCGACGATTGATGGAACCCAGAAACACGAGAATCGACGGTCGAAACGTCGAGAAAAGAAGAAAACTATGTACAGGATAGTTTGCAGAATTGAAAAAGAACAAGACAAAAAAGCAACCCTAACGCCATCAAATGTGACCTGCCTATTGCCTATAGTATCCCGAGGAAAGAGGGGAGAAAAAAGGAAAGAGAGGAGAAGAGCGAAGAAAGATGGATGGATGAACAAGTCGACGTTTTTCAAGGTTCGTGATCGAAAGGTTTTGTTTTTCTCCTCTTGTAGGATGGCGCTGCAATTCTCGCAATCCTGGGGTGGAGATTACATGCAATTCTCTTGTGTCTAGGGAATCTAGAAGGTTAGATACGGCCGATGAAAAAAAAAAAAAGGGGGGGATGAAATAAACCAAACGATGAAAAAGAAAAAAAAAAAAAAAAAAAGAGAAAGCCCTACTTGCGACATCTTGAAATATTGTCCTCAATCTCTCGGACAAATTCATCGTCCAGGTCCACATTTTCATCCGCTTCCAGAGCGCCGATCGAGTCCACCACGAAGGCGACGGACCGCTTCGGCGACTGCACCGAGAGAGATATGGAATCTTCCGAGGCCGGAGAGGCGACGCGCTCGCGGGCGACGAGTTCGGCATCGGCCGCGTTGACGGCAAATCGCTCGTGGCTTTCTTCGGTGTTGAGATAGCGCTCAATCGGCTTGGCCATGTCGGCTTCGGGGCGAGGGACCAGGTGTCGTTGTCGCTCATGGGGCCTCGAGACATGGGCGTGTCGACGGCGGCGACGTGGGACTCGGCGTCTCGGGCCTGACGAGAAATGGCGGCTTGGTTGCTGGGTAAGCCGAGAGCGACAGCCTCGTAGCGTTGGGGTTCGAGGAGATATCGGCGTCGCGGACTCGAATTGAGTAGTCCCTTTGGTCGGCCATGGCCGCGAGCATGGCTCGGATAATCACGTCAAAGTTGCCATGGCAGGCTCTCGTGCCGATGAATTCGTGGACGCCCTTGCGAGGGTCTTCGAGAATTATGGTTGAAGGCGATGCTTCACGCCCTATTCTCCTGGTTTCCAGCCCATAGCTGCGGCAACAATAATAGATGCAAGTTAGTTATAATTGTTCAAACGTTGTTGCACAAACACACGCACAATGACATCTCCAACACACCCCGCCCCTCCCATTCAATCATTCAATTGGGGGGCATGAATGGGGTAGTTGGTCAGAGGAGGGAGGAACATGTGAAGCAACAGTCAATAGGAAGGGACGAACCTTAGGCCTCGAGGCCAGTCGAGACCAAGCAGGCTCGAATGAAGGTCGCACATTGTGTGAGACGGGTCGGCAAGTGGCAGAGAACGGCATAGATCTCTGTTTGGTGGAGAGAGGGGAGGGAACGCCCCTTATAGAGCAGTCTTGGAGGTGACGGGTGTACTCGAGAGTACAGTACGGTACGGGGTACTAAAGATTAATGTGGAAGGAGCACAACACCGTCAGGGATCAGCGATCGGGGTGTGGGTGGACTACCCGGCTTCCTCCCGGCGCTAACTTGACTCGAGAAAACTTGGGAGAGAGAGGGAGGGGGTTCTGTTTTCTGGCCTGGGAACCCTTTCAGAGGTGCGTGCGAGAATCATAACAATAGGGGACGGGAAACATTGATGGGTGGGATCAAGTGGAGTATTTATGAAAATAGAAAAAAGTCGAGGAGTAGCACTGAACCAAGGTGGCGTCGATGGAACGGAGTGAATTGATCGATCCCTGGACGGATGGGCATCAGACCTCTTCTGGCTGCTGTGGCCGCGGTCCTGGCGGAGAGAGAGAGAGAGAGAGAGAAACGAAAAAGGGCCCCTCTCTCAATCCAAGAACGCGAACGGCGCCACTTCCCGGAATCCCAGCAGGGCGGTCGTGTCCTTCGAACATCATGATTTTAAACAAGGCGAAGGGCACATAGCTCTTGAGCTCACGAAGCCCAGCGCTCTCGAGATTGCATCCCCATGCGATTCGTCAAGCCACACAGCAAGAGATTTTGAATGGTCCAATCTGTCCCTCTTCTCCAATCCCAGCTGGGCGGCCGTCAATTCCTTGCTTGTCACACACTCCGGTACCATCCTCCCATGCAGGTGCATTGTACACTTTTGTGTATGTGGTGTAATCGTGGCTCCTCCACGTCTAGTGACAAGGGTTGGGGTACATCGAGTTCTGTCACTGGTCACTTTTTTGGCAAGCAGCTGGTCATGACAACTTTACCCGTCAGCGCCATGGGTGGAATAGTGTAGCCACTCCTCGTGGAGAGAGAGTGTGCCCATGTCAGTCCAACCCTTTTTCGTGTTAGGGGGCGACTTCTCCGCCACGGCACACCCAACCCAGAAGGACGGGTCGCCGACAAACTTTCCATCACACAAAGGCCAAGTTATTGAAGCAAACCCGCAGAGATGGGGTAATTCGTGGCAATTGATCGGCTCCGTCCCCCTCGTGTGCAGCGCCTTGATGATGAGTGACACACTTTTGAGGCCGACCTCAATACGACTAGGCAGGCAAGCAGGCCAGGCCCACATTACGCTAACCTCTTTTCAACTCCCCAGTGCTCATCCCTCCTCCAAAAACAAGGAAAGCCTATTATCGATTCCATCATCTCACACGGTGAAGAGAAGTAGGAGAGGGTCAAATCGAACGCCCATCAGCGCTAGGAAATGAGTGAGGGGAAAGGGGGGCGGGAGAGATTTTGATGTGATGAGACTCCCTTGCCTGCCGACCATGAGTCCAAGCTGTCTCGTCTCGGGATACAGGTCATATTAGGGAGGGCACGTCACATCCTCTCCGTCCTCGTGGATGTGACAATAAAAGGCTCAGTTCCTAATTTGGGCTCGGCTCCGACAAGCGCGGCCCCGAGTTTTATTGACTATCACGCACCTTTGAGGACCAATGCCGGATGCAATTGGAAGAACACACGTAATGCTTGTATCAAGGAAGAGAAATACACTCACGAGAAGGTCGGTTGAAAAGAAGGAGAGCTGTCGGTAATTGCGGGGATGGATGGACCCAGTAGACTAATCTTGAAAAGAGAGATAGGGGACACCCCCACCAAAGAGCCAAACGACGATTAATAGCTAGGAGAACTCGTAATCAACCCATTTGAGGGGTAGTTCCTCTGATGTGGCAAAGAAGGCATGCCGTCATGGGTTGAGGCGTGGGCATGGAAAGGCCGAAGAAGAAAACCTGAGACCGAGTCCAACATGTCGCAGCATCGAATCCACGAGGTGTGCTCGAAAGCGTTCCGAGCCCGAGACCTGTTCGTCGGAACTCGGGGTCAAACTCACTTATCAAAAATTCCGCGGACGTTTCCGACGTGCTCGCACTAGACCACATGCACCCCACAGATGGTCTCTAAGTCCGCCGCCGCTATTTCCATTTCCCTTGCATCCACAACCATTGTGCGCTCCACAACTGGAGATACACACGACGCTGGCAGACTAGATTGGATGTTGGTAGAACAGGTGTATAGTATCACTATGTGTGTATTGCTACTAAGCTTGCTAAGATAGAAAACCACCACCCGCTAATATCGCACTATACACAAGTGTACACAATATCCACAATAGAAACGTCAAGTATCCCAAGGATATGTAATCTTCACGGATACTGCACTGGAAAGAGACCAACCAAACCCTGGACTTGTGCCCAGGTCGGATTGGCGTCAAGGGTTTCAGTTCAGCCCGCCGCCTTTTAAAATCAGCCCTCGTCGATAGTCCTGGGCTTCGAACGAATGAGCGCCAATTGCCCCAACGCCACCAATCTCAAGCGAGGCTTTCGAAGCGATGACTTTTTCCTTTTTTTCCTTTTTACCTTTCCGCCGATCACAGACGGCGCTAGCTCAAAGCGAGGAAGGAGTAATAAGGTGGGCAGGATGGCGGGCAAGAACCGTGAAGGATGGACGCGAAAGGATTAAGCTTAACGGGGAGCGTTTGATGATGTGTATTCATCAAGCTGATCCGCTTCTCTCCGCATGCCGTGACAGATATTCCAGCCTCACCGTCTTTAACCTAGCAATTTCGCTGGTAAATTCTTCGTCTATTGTTCGAGGCTACGCTTCGGTGAATTGCAGATAGCGTGAAAGTCTCCGATGCTCCGATCTCTTCTATACGACCTCTCATCACAGTAGGCCAGGCTGCGATCAGATACGAGAACCACCCTCGTTGTGCTCAATTCCTAAGCGAGGTGGTTAACCCGGACGGGCCCAGCAACTGAACAACGACAATATGACATAAACCTTCGCTATCACATCAATGGTCCTTCAGGTTAAAACCACCCCAGGGACGCAAACTGACGTCCATGTAGAGATGGTGGCGGGAGGGATTGACAGGGGAAGAGAACTGGACGTCTTCCGGTTACACTTGCTTCGGGATGCTGAAGGTAGTTCTAGTTACGTACCGAGGATGACGGAATATACCCATTACAGACTACCTTGCTCAGATCCTATGACAGGCTTCGAGACAAGTTGCTCGATACGAGGAGGGGAAATCCGTGGTCTTTCTCTTCAGCTCTTACGTCTCTCATGGGCGCACAATGGTCCTTAAGCCCACCACTAGAACCCCCGCCAACTTTCTCTTCGACCCTTACATCTCTCATGAGAGCGCAATGGTCCTTTAATCCCACCATGGGAAACCCCAACGTCTTTCTTCTCGACCCTCACGTCTCTCATGGGAGCGCAGTGGTCCTTTAAGCCCACCGCCAAACCAACTAGATTAACCAAGCGGTCAATAGCTACGACCATCGTCATGGCACTGAGACTCCCTTTACCCTCCCTCTCCACCTCACCGGTCCAGCCACCAGAACAACAGTCACTAAGACTCCCACCACCATTTCCTGCGCTGATGGACCGACCCTACTTCCGTCCTCAAAGACCAAGGCTGTCACATCGTTCCTCGCCGGCACTGATGATGGCCAAGTTATGAGCACGAGACGCGCATCGACACATTCTTGATAACTGGCGCATTGACAAATATGTAGACTGAGATCTAAAGCAGCTCCCGCTGCTACGGTTAGGAGGTAAGTTGGCTTCACCGTCTATGCCGGCATCACTGGTATTCCTAAGTTCGACCTGGGAGAAAGGCCCATGTGTATGTGATCAATGCCTTCAGCCTTTCGCACATGCCTACCCAAGTCCTTAGCCGGAGGGATTCAGGTACTACCCAAAGAGTTGGGCCCTCTATGTGGGTAGAGTAGCCTGCGTAGGGTAGCCCGTTTTGCCTTGCCAATGTCCCCATTTCAATCCCGAGATCATATAATACAAAACGACCCACATCAAATCTGTTCAGGTATATCAGGTGGCGAGAGCTGTTATCCCATTTTACGTGAGTACTACCGTCTTTTTAAGCAGGTGAAGCCCCAAATGGATAACAAACTAGATGTTTGCCTTTCAACGGGAGCATGCTGGGAAGGGCAGGCTCCGCTCTCCGGCATTCAGGAACCAGATAGCTCCATCACAATGATCAGAGGTTACATGCGAGGTAGACCCGGCCTTACCTTAGCCGCTGCCCTAAGAGAGAATCTTTGGCTTTGGTCTCCCCCTTCCATCTTCTAAAGCGAACTAGCTATTATCAGGTAACACGAAGACAAGTTCACTGAGAGGACAATAAGAGGCACCGAGAGGGTGGCACATATCATCGGCGGAACTTTGGCCTTTGAAATGGACGGAAGCCCCACTTTGAGCGCTTGCTCCTCATCTTGTGCATCGCGAGTGCCAGTGTCACTGACACGCCCCCTTTCTTGGAGCGGGTAAGTTGCCCTCGACCGGATTCGTTGCCGAGCCAGGCAAGAGGGAAATCTGGTTAGGCAGGGACCCATAGGCCAGGCCGTTCACCACCTCTGAAGCTAAAAGACACCAGTCGAAATGGCACGAACCCCGACGTGCGCTCAAAGAAGGGACAAACCTGCAGAAGCCGGATCTCGTGAGATTTACAACATGAAAGCGGCAGCTCTGGGTTGTTCTAGGCTTCTCTGAGCGGTGTGCTCAATGTTCATCGGGACGTTCTCTCTCCGATCAAGACCGAGAACATGGCTAACTTAAAATTACGTGAGGCGAGAAGACCCGGTCCCCGACTAGCCAAGGGTCCAAGTTAGGACTTGACTTTTCCTCCGCTAGAATGACAACGGAGTTGGTCCTTTGAGATCACGGTTCTGGCTTCTTAGCGCTGGATGAGTTTGGCCGCGCTTGCTTGCGGCATCAAGCTCGAGTTCGTGACGCAAGAGACCAGGAAAGAACCCGCTTCCAGGCACATGCAGAATCTAATAATACATTGGCTAATACTTGTGCATAATGATACTATTGTAGTTGATGTTTGCCATGGGTGATACCTCACATCGAATAAAGGCTATCTCTATTGTTATCGCACACCCCTCCAGGGTAAGATGGACTTTGGAGCCAATACACAAGCGGGCTCTAAGCGTTCGTCGTTCGTGCTCCAAGATTGGCCTGCCGATGCCGCATTCCAGAGCTCGGCGAGAAACTTCCGTTTTCGAACGAATTGTCTGTAGTCTGCCTCTCGGAGACGGCCGGTCACCCAAAAAGCTTGGAAAAAAAGAGTCATAGGTAGCCAACCTAATTCAGGCAATTACCAACCCCTTTCTCTCACTTTTCAAGGTTCTCGAAGGGACAAAAAGACAAACGAGAAAAAAAAAAACCCCCGGACACTCCGTGAGTAGAAGAAGCGATCTCCCTCAACAAAGCGATGAGAAGCGAACATTGACCGTCACGACCACTCCCAAAACCTGGGCCCTGATTGGACCGGATAAAGTGAATGGATAAATGGCAAGCATCAGCCCAAAAACCGAGTCTAGTCGTTGAACCAAGCAAGCCAGATCCAGCTTGACCCAGCCAGATCCAGCTAGGCGGATGTCGGTGTGGAAATGGGAGCCGCACTAATCGTGGCCCCGGTGGCCTAGTGGATAAAAGCTCCTGGCGGATGAGACAGCGATGCCGGCACAAGCCCCGTCATTACGTCCGCCCCTCCTCCCCACCCACCGTGGAATACGGCGAACCCTGGCGAAAAATATTAAGCGCGGGCAATTCAAAGGCGAGCCAGCGCCCGCGCTGCCCGCGCGCTGGGTGGCTCTCACACCGGGCTCGGAGTCGGGGGTGTCTACGTGCGAAGGGACACCCGATGCCTGATGCAGTTCCCCTCTTGCCAAGGTCCTCAATGCCATGACGGCAGAGGAATTTGTACCACGCATTCAGGCAACAGAAAAGGCATTTGGTTTCTCATTCTGCCTCGTATCGGAAAGAGAGAGAACATTGAACAAGTATGAGAGAGAGGAAGAGAGTGCCCGAGGACACAAAGGAACGTAATTTTTTGTTGAGTGACTACTCCGTCAAGGCGCTTCTGCTTTTACCCCTCCAAACAAAAACTTTGGTTTCATCCCCCACGCGCGCTCAGCTCCAAAGAAACAGTGAATAGTGTAGGTACGCATGTCGAGACCACTCTTATTAGTCTTTTGACAAGTTTTGAAGATTAGTGCAGGGCCCTGTCAGCGACCCCGGCCATGGTGGGGGAGGGGTAAAGACAACATGAAGGAAGGGGAAAAAATTAGAGATGGTCATAGCATCCGAAGCAACGGATCCTTGGAGACCAGCGATGCCAACACCCTATTCACGCATCATTTCCTCTCACATTGTACTAGCCCCCATCGGACGAGGCCTAGGTTGAGGTGTAATGTAAGAGAAAAGTGGAGGAAGAGGGGGAAAAGAGGAAAGAGAAAAATAAAAATCTCATCAGGGCCCGAGGGTTGATCCAGCCAGCTCAGGATCATCCTAGGGTCAGCTCGATGCTATGTAGGCAGGGTAGGGGGTGCGTGACCGATACACCTCGCACAGGGGGAGAGGAACCACGAACCAATTCGATACCCCGATCGAACCTAACGTGAAGCGGAGAACCAATGCAATGTGTCAATTGGAAAGGGGGAAGGAAGAGAAAAAAATTATCAACGGCCAATACGAAGACTGCCGCACGCCAATACTGGACACCCACTCGCAGGTCGACAGCTCGATAAGACGCTTGAATGCACGCCGTTTAGCCTTTCCCCGCATCTCTTGTTCCACTTATCCTGCTCATGCGAAGTTGCACAAACAGGAGATGCTAGAAATCTAGAGGCAGGAATTGGGATTGGATAATTCAGTGCTCAGTGGACGGCGCCCAGGCATCAAAAAGAAGTTGTGTTGCGCAAGCCCGGGCTTCGCAGCAGCTCGATGCTCATGCTGGTGCTCGGTGCTCGGTGCTCGGGGGAGGTGTGACGAATTGGGACAGAAAAGTTGGTCATGTGTGCGCTTATTATTTCTCTTACCGACATCTTGGTCTGGGAGGCAAAGGTTGGTTAAATGCGACAGAATCCAAGGCCAGGGCCGAACCAAGCTCGGAAGCGCTCTACTTGGTTTGGCTGGTAGCATACGCCCGAGCTCCTAGTCGGGCCTCTTGTCTTCTTCCTCTCAATTCGATGCTTCTAGCGAGATAAAAATCGCGAGCAAGTTGAATGACCACAGCCAACAGCTAGGCCGTGAACAATGGCCGGTTCCGAGGGGGCAGAACAAACGGGGGACAATGACGATGGTTCGGCGTCGACAACGGACAACCCTGCCCCACCTTTCCACACCTTCCCATAGCAACATCTACGCCCCTTCCCCCACCATTCCACCTGCTCCTACACCCACACCTCCACCCACGCCCACGTCCACGCCCACACCCCTCCCCTCCTTGCCGCCTCCACGCGCCCCCTCCCCTGCTGCCCCGCTATCATGCTCTTTGCCTCGACCGTGGAATAGCTCCTGTGAAGCAGCACTCCACATTGATGTGGGAGGAGTAGCTATCGACAAATTTAACATTAGCTCGTGCTTCCAGATTCCGGGAGCACCAAGAAAAAAAAAGAATTTCGTTATCCGACCGCCGAGTACTTGCTTAGGGCAAAGGGTATTTAACCAGGACCGTCCTGTTTCCATCAATCGTGGGAAACCGAAGCTTCTTTGTTCCTTGACCTCAACCAACGACCTGACGACATTCTCCCCTCACTCCTCATCTCCCTCCTCCTTCTCCTCTCAGATCCTGTTCCTTTCTTCTTCCTTCTTCCTCCATTCCCCCATTGGGCTTGCTAGCACAGTCATTGTCTCCTAGCCAACCTCCACCAATTCTTTTGCCTCCTCTCATCCTCTGGGAGACTTTTCTTTTCCCCTCTTCTTCTTAGTTTTGAGATCTCAACAAAAGTTGACCCCTCCCCAAAAATGACCGCTCCTACTTCCGAGAACCCCACCGTCGCCGAGGCCACCCTCGAGCAGGCCTCCGTCCCCGCTCCCACCGAAGCCACACATCCTGACGCTGCAATTCCCGGCCAAGACGCTCCCGTCGCAAAGCCTGACGCCCCGGCGCACGAGGCCGTTGCCTCTGAAGTCGAGGCTGGTGAGGCGAAGCCTGCCGAGGAAGCTGCCGTGGAGCCCTCTAAGCCCGCCGCCGAGGAGGCCCAGTCCGCGCCCGAGGAGCAGCCCCAGGTCGCCGAGCAGCCCGAGGTCGCCGAACAGCCCGCCCCTACCCAGGCCCCCGAGCCTGTCCAAGAGTCCAAGCCCGCCGATGAGCCTGCCGAGCCTGAGCTTCCTGCCGTTGCGGAGCCCGACCCGGCCGCCGGCGCCCTGTTGCGGCCGAGGTTGAGCGTGAGGCCAAGGAGGAGAAGGAGAGCGCAGCCGCTTCCGACAAGAAGAGCGTAAGTATACGTTTACCAGAATGACTCTAGTCAGAGGATGGTCTGGGAAGCCGTCTGTGCACCATCGCTAATCATGGAGAATAGAACCTTTCTTTCATTCTCAACAAGCCCAATGATCTCTCCTTCGAGGAACGCCCCATCCCCAAGCTCAAGAACGACCATGAGGTTCTCGTCGGCATCAACTACACTGGTATCTGCGGTTCGGACGTCCACTACTGGCTTCACGGAGCCATTGGCCACTTCGTCGTCAAGGACCCCATGGTTCTCGGTCACGAATCAGCCGGAACCATTGTCGAGGTCGGCAGCGCGGTCAAGTCGCTCAAGGTTGGCGACAGGGTCGCTCTCGAGCCAGGCTATCCTTGCAGGAGGTGCTCCAACTGCATGAGCGGCAGGTACAACCTCTGCCCCGATATGGCGTTTGCTGCTACTCCGCCTTACGACGGCACCCTGACGGGCTTCTGGGCCGCCCCCGCCGACTTTTGCTACAAGCTCCCCGAGAACGTCTCTCTCCAGGAGGGAGCCATGGTGGAGCCCCTGGCCGTCGGTGTCCATCTCGTCAAGCAGGGTGGCGTCAGGCCCGGCGATAGCGTTGTGATTATGGGTGCCGGCCCCGTCGGTCTCCTCTGTGCCGCGGTGGCTCGCGCCTTTGGCGCCAGCAAGGTCGTCAGCGTCGACATTGTCACCTCGAAGCTCGAGGTGGCCAAGGAGATTGCGGCCACGCACACCTATGTCAGCCAAAGGGTGTCTCCCGAGGAGAATGCCAAGGCCATCATCGAGCAGTGCGAACTCGGTGACGGTGCCGATGTGGTCATCGATGCTAGCGGTGCTGAGCCTTCGATCCAGGCCAGCATCCACCTTGTTAAGAACGGCGGCACCTACGTGCAGGGTGGCATGGGCAAGCCGGACATCACGTTCCCCATTGTGTTGGCCTGCATCAAGGAGATCACCTTGAAGGGCAGCTTCCGGTACAGCAGCGGTGACTATAAGCTTGCCGTCCAGCTTCTCGGTTCCAACCTGGTCGATGTGAAGAAGTTTATCAGCGGTGTCGTACCCTTCAAGGATGCCGAGAAGGCCTTTGAGAAGGTCAAGGAAGGTCAGGTCATCAAGATGCTGATTGCCGGTCCCAACGAGACCCTGGAGTAGAGTGTATTTTCTTTTGTCGTCCATTTGCTTCCCAAGGGGAGCGCAAGACGAGCGCACACTTGTACGGACTTGGAGCGTATTTTTGGATAATTTGTTATTAGCGGGCTTCTGATCATTCATGTTTTTGTTTGGAATCTCTTGGGGCTTGGAACTGGGATACTGGGTTGTTTTTCATCTTTGTCCTTTCTTCTTCATACTCGTACCTTGAGCTGAGGGTGTCATGGCGATTTGTGGCTGCGATTTCATAGCATTATCTTGGAGCGATTAACGGTGATGGGGAGGAAAGAAAGTTTTCAAAAAGGATTTCTTCTACTTTCTTCAGTCTGATTTCTTCTTCTTTTCTTCTCACAGTAGCAAATTGACGGGAGTGGGCAAGGAACTTGCTGCGAGCTTGTGTTATTGCCCACACCCAAGACTATATTTATTTTTCTTCGCCCGTGTTTGTTCCATTTCTTCCTTCTTCATCCTCCCTCTTGGCCCCACGTGGCTGTATGAAACATGTAATGCCCATTGAATGTCCACGCGAAAGCGGAGATTACGGTGCCTTGAGATGATGCAACATACGATGCTGCGGCAAGCCTGCGGGTGAATCGTACGGGACACGCTTCTTGAGAGACGTGACCCGCCCCCGTGCGCCCTGCACTCTAATTTTTGGCCTTTTGCTATCTTACTGGGAAAGCAAGGGCTCGTCGTCACTCTCTGCTTTATTTCTCTAACTAGCTGAGACGTCGAGCTTGGTCTGACAAGGGAGGGTATTAGAGAGCCCAATACGGCCATTCGCAGATTTAGGAGCACAAGTGATCCCCGCTGATAATTCTCCGAAGGGGGCTCCTAGCAAGGCTGACGAATGGTAGATTGGATTTTCCTCGTGGATGCGCAGGATCTTCGTGGAGCCGAGTGTCTGGGATTGGTATGCTGGAAGAGGGCGATGGATAGGGATAGGTAGCACAGATATTGTCCGTTGAATATACGTGGTATTTCAACATCTAATCTTGGTGACCCCGTCGACGCCGTCGCTGGCGAGTGCCTCTCCTCTCGCACAAGCACAAACACACAAGCGCGCAGGCGCACATGTATGAGCGGCTGGAATTGATCGATTGCTGGTTCCCTCGAATCAATTGATCTGCTGGCTTTTGACTCGCTCGCTCGTCTCTGCCCCGTCCCCCTTCTCAAATTACTGCCAAGCGACCCCAGTCCCAGCTCCCGGGCCGTTCTGGGTCCAATCGTGTCTTGGCGGTGAGACAACCCCCTCCCGTCTCGAGTTGCTCTCTTTGTTCCTTTTCGGTCAAGGATTATTATTATTAGAGCAGAGGCAGACAATTGAAGCCAATAGTTTTGGCGGCTGACGAAGTCGTTCTTTGGTTTTCCCCCATCCATGCCCGCCCAAAAGCAAACTTGACAATCGAAACCAAAGGCTTTCCCCCTCCTCAATCCTCCCTAGGTCATCTCCTCTGTGATTTTTCTTCGATCCCCGAGAAAAGAGAGCCGCCCAAAACTAGATTGAACTTCCCTGCTCCGTGCACGAGTCGTGGGAACTCAGCTGGCCGTGGACCTGTACTTTTGGGCCCATGGTGCAATGATGAGGAGCACGGGCACTCGCTTCCATTCGATCCCTTCAGTGGACTCGTAAGCCTCCCCACACCACACACCGAGTCCGCCAAGAAGTCCGGTCCGTCGAGAAAGGGCGTCTCCCAACCTTGGCCCTGCCCGGGCACTCTTTTTTCATTTTTTAATCTTCTTCCTCTCCTCTCCCTCCTTACGAATTGAACGACTTTGAACCTGCTCAAACAAAATAAAAACGAAAAATAAAAACCTCGCGAAAGGGGGAATTCAAGGTCGTAAGGGCCGCCTCGACGCGCGAAAAGCCTTGCTTCCTGGGGAGGGGAAAAGGAGGAGAGTCGGGCATCTCGAAATTCGCCGACGGTGAGAGGAGGAGTGTGTGCGCGTTGCCACTTTAAAAATGTATGGACAATACACGACGAATAATCACCCTTCCTAATCTACGCCTCTGTTGTGCACGCGCAACCTTTTGCCCGCCCATTCTTTTTTATTGAAGAGGGAGGAGGGCGAACTTGTTCCCACTTTTCCCCCTCAAGACGAGGATAACGCCAAGACTAATGCGCTGAACCTCCCCTTTAGGAAAACATTCCTCAACCTCCACCGTACGGACAGCACCGCCGGCCCCGAGATTCCCCTGACGCCACTGTCGTCCGTGCCGAGTTCCGCCCGAGACCATGGCGAGGCGCCGCCGCCACAATCCGCAATTCCGGCCTCGCGTTCCGCCGCCGCGGGCCGACGGTCGCATCAAGATCGAGACGGACGAGATGCAGAGGTGACGGAGACCGCGACAAGGACGACGAGAACAACGGCGGATCCCCGAGGAACACGCGGCGCCGGATGGGAGGATGAACGGCACCGGGGGCGGCGGAGGCGACACGACGCGTACCGGGGCGGAGACGAGGAGGAGGAAGACGACGACGACGACGAAAACGATGCGAGATACCCGCGCCAGAGATTGGTTTGTGGGTTTTGCGCGCCTCCGACTTTTACGCTGCTCGTTGCGGCGTTTGCGATGGCGTTGCCGTATTGTGGAGCGATTGCTATCGCGGGGTTGGCGGTTCACCCTGTCCCTTCGGATTCCTTGCTCAATAGGTAAATCACCACACACACGCCTTTTCTTTGTCTGCCCGTCATCCGAGGCGATGAAAACCAAGAAGAAGAGAAAAAAATCATCAAGAAAGACCAAAGCTAATAGTAGTTGAAACACCTCGACAGCTCCGCCTTCATCGTGCTCCTCACCATCGCAGCCGAAATCATCTTATCCATCCCCGTCCTGCTCCTCCTCGCCCGCTCGCCGTGGACCAAGTCCCACGCCCTAGAGTGGATCCTCGGCTGGATGGGCGTCATCTCCACGAGCGCGCTAGCGTCCGGCGTCTACGTCTTGCTCAACATACAGATGCTGCGAAGCTTTGCGTCTTGCCGGGAAGTCGTGGGAAACGCTGAGGACGGCGACGAGGGCGACCGGCCGGAAGACTGCGGGGACGTCAAGGGCGAGGGCGGACTCAAGGTGCTGGAAGCCATGGCGGGGCTGAGGGTGCTTATCATGTAAGTGTGGCACTGCTTTTCTTTTTTTTTTTTTCTTCTTCTGGAGATTGCTGACCCTTGGACCGGAACAGGATTACGTATGCCATGAATCTGCTTTGGTTCTGGGCGTGGAAAGTAAGCGTACGGCAGTATATATGAAAAGGCCGTGAGCTTCGGAGCAGTAGCGTGCTGCATTGTTGATGTCACCATAATGATCGTTTACTTGCATGGAACTTGGTCTCCAGGATCGGAGTTTTGCTTCAGGGTAGCCAAATGATACCATTTTTTTGTTCGAGCCGTGTCCGGGGTACCTTGGTACCTCCCCATCCTTATCCTCATTGATCTTCTTTCTCTTGTTCCACAGATACAAAATAGGTTCCCACTCAAACCGCAGCGTGATATCCAAGCAACCACTCAAACGACGAAACCCGACCAGCCCCCGCAAACATTTCTAGAAATCACAAAAACACCCTCCCCTCCCTCTTCTCAAGGGTCAGATGGCCCGAGCCCCCCTTCTCGCTTCTACAGCCTACTCATGTTGGTGATGGTGTGAACAAACCGGAGCTTGCCGCTCTCGACGCGGAACATGTGGCTATCCGGAATACCGTTCTCGCCGTTAAAGTCCATAAAGATATCGACGGAGCCAAACACCTCGTCAATCACGTAGCGCCGGTTCACGAGAGGCACGTTGTCGGGAATACCGACGGAGCACGAGTCGGTAGGCTGGCCGCGGCCCGTGTACGCGCCGCCCTCGAGCCTGGCGCAGGGCTGGCCCCAGGGGACCTCGGTAGTCTTGTCCATGAAGATGTCGCAGTAGGCGTCGCCGGCGGCCTGAATAACGTCGCGCTCGGCGCGCTCGGCCTCGGGGATCTCGGACCAGTCCTCGGCCGAGGCGTACTTGAGGGTGTCGGCGGCGTTGAAGAGCCAGTCGCCCGTGGTGGTGATGATGCTCTCCATCTTGGCGACGACGCCGTCCTCGAACCACATTTGCGTGCCGATGACGTAGGGGTCGGTCCGGTGGCGGACACGAGCTCGGTAAACGTGGCGCACTGCGTGGTGTCGAGGAGGCTGAAGTCGTGGTCGACCACGAGGGCGGTGGCGAGGATGCCGGCGGCGGCGTCGGCGGGCTTGAAGTTTTCCGTGTACACGAGGGCGTCGGAGGCGAGGGCGAGCACGCCCGCGGCGTCGCCGGCGGCTTGGGCGGCGAGGTAGGTGGTCGTGGCGTCGGTGAGGAATTCGCGCGTGCAGGCGGCGTCTTGGCGCTTGGGGGTGGGGCGGGCGGCGTGGGCGAGGCCGGCGGCGCAGGTGGCTAGGGCGAGGGCGCGCATGGTCGGAAGAAGAGAGTTTTTAAGGTGGAGAAAGAGGGGAGTCTTCGACTGCCGGCTCCTAGATGTTGGGGATGGGTGGACAGAGTTCAAGTTGGCTGCTAGTTTTGATCGGGGTAAGCTCTTCTGATGGAGGGCACAGTGTTGTCGTTGTTCGGATCGGAGGAGGGATGAGGGTTTCCGACTTGGGGCAGACGCGTTTGGTTCCTGGTGGCCTGGAGGAGGAGGAAGGAGGATTGGGGAGCCTCACGCCGGAAAGTTGGGCTCGGTGGGTGGGATATATGTGTTTCCAGCCAGGAAATGGATGCCGGGCCTGTTCCGGGAGGGCCTTGAGGTGGCTCGTCTCTGCAAACCACCGCATCCCGATTCGCGTCCCCTCTTATATCCCCTTTATGCTATCTATTCCCGGGTCTCTAGTCGTATAAGTCCAATTTAGGGAGTTACTTGACGTCGGCAGCCAATCCGTATATGTACATGGCCAGTCTTCCCTATGACAGGCCGCAGTCCACCTCTTCCAGTAGCCCCCTTCGGCACATAGAGAGGCAAGTCAACGAGAGCGCACCGAAGCTTCTCCTCCAAATTCCATGATAACAAGTACCCTTATACTATCGCACTAACATATTCATCCAAATCACACCAAAAACAAGCTCGCTTCCCCATTTGGCCACCGCTCGAATAATATCGTGCGTGGTCGTCATTGCCCCCTTCTCCACAGGCAAAATTGACCCACACCACACACCCTTCCGGTGTTGCTGGCGCGGGCTCCCTCGCCGGGGCACGGTATTGCGGATTTCTGACGGGGGTTTTTGCTCGCTCTTTGTTTTAAATTGAAACTGGATTCCCCGATTCGACGAGAGCTCTTCCGGTGCCCTTCCCTCCCAAAACAGTCGAGGCCCCAATCTATCCAAACTTGGCTCCGTGTTAATTTCTTCCCCACTTCCCCGCTTCATATTCCCCGCCCAGCATATTGTGGCGGGTGCTTTTTTTCCCTGCGCGTTCTCGAAACGGGAGAAAAGAAGAATGAGCCAGGGTATGGGAAAACGTCAACTTGTCAACTTAGATTGGGGAGGAGGCATGTAGCCGCGGGTACGCGGCGGATGGAAGTGCCGTGCTCGGCATCTGTGAGCCATCTTTGATAGCCATCCTTGATCAATTACGGGCGGGCAGAAAGCTCACTTTATAACAAACTACACTCCCTTTGTTGTACGTGTCGTCTTTAATACATAGAATTCTTATCTAAGCTAAAGCCGGCGATAGGTGCAGCTACCGACCCCACATTTGTGAACCCCACATAGGAAAGAATAAACCCCTCACTTTTCATCAGCAACCGGTAAGATGGCCGAGCGGTCTAAGGCGCCAGGTTAAGGTTACCTTAACACGTAAAATCCTGGTCCAGGAAACTGGGCGTGAGTTCGAATCTCACTCTTATCAACTTCTTTTTTGCCTTTGCCCTTTTGCCCCTTCGTGCTCCTGTGTCTTTAGATCGGGATACCGATCTATGGCCGGGAGAAGAAAGTATATTGTATCATCTTATTTTAGAAATAAAATACCTCGGCCCTAGTTTTCCATTTTAATTTTTTTCTATACCTTGAAGAGGCTTTGTTCCTGTTCTCCTCTTTTATCTTCGCCTAATCGCCGAATCGCCATCCGTATTTGTAACAAATAATGTCCGTGGTGCGCTTGAATATGTAGGCTCGTCTCTCGGAGAGCCGGGCGGGATTCCAGTTGCAAGTTTTGACAAGGCCTAACTCGGCCACCTCAGGTTGGGCACTCTAGTAACGTGACGAGCGCTGTTTGTGACCCTGCAAGTCAATATATTGCTCTGAATTCAACTTTCAACATATCTGGTGCAGATCTGATAAGTTTCGCGCCTCTGACATATTCTTCGTCGTGGCAAGTAAGCCTCTTTATTTATCCAAATGGCTCTATACCCGGAGAGTGAGACCCCGGACTATGCTATTTCATTTCTAAGTTTTGTTTTCCCTGCATCTTTTCTTCTGTAGAGCGCAAACCCTGCCTAGCCAGGCTTCCGAACACGATCATGATCGTCACAGGTAGACCCCATGAAAGACTGCTTTCAACGATGGGTGCTCCGCGTTCTAGATCGAGTTCGCCCGGCGCCCTTCTTTTTCGACACTCGTGTCCACAAAGTCGGCCCAGTGCCTACGTCTACGCAGTGGGCGCAACTCGAGGGTCGAGCGCACTCCACCGCCGTCATCTTCCAAGTGTTATGACCGCCGTGACCGCGGTAGTCTTAACCACCCAGGGTCTTGCCCAACTCCTCGCCGCGGGACGTCGCGGCCTTGACCGCCTTGTCGACAATCTCCGCGAAGCCCGAGGCCTCGAAGCTCTGGAGCGCAGCGTGGGTGGTGCCGTTGGGGCTGGTGACGTTTTGGCGCAGCTGGGAGGGGGACTCGGGCGACTCGACGAGCATGCGGCCGGCGCCGAGGCAGGTCTGGGCGGCTAGGCGCTTGGCTTGGTCCTCGGAGAGGCCGAGCTTGACGGCGCTGGCAATCATGTGTTCGACAAGAGCAAAGAAGTAGGCGGGTCCGGATCCTAGAATCGTATCGCTTGGGTATTAGCCGACAAGAAAATGGGTTATTCCCTTCCACATCTTATCCCCGCAAAACAGCACGTATTGTCTTTTTCAAACATAAAAAGAGAAGAGAGAGGAAAAGAAGAGAAGCCGGGACCTTGAGAAACTTACCGGACAATCCCGTCACAACGTCAATGAGCTCCTCCTTGTCAACCCACTCTGTCGCCTTGCTGACGCTCGCGAGCAGCGCACCCGTAAGCTCCTTCTCGTCCTCCGTGACGCCCTCGCCCGCAAACAGGCCAGACGCACCCTCGCCCACAAGGGCAGGGGTGTTGGGCATGACCCTCACGACGTGCGGGCTCGGCGCCCCGTCGCCGCTGGGGGTAAGCCACTTTTGCAACGAAGCGAGCGGGATGCCCGCCGCGATGGACACGACGAGGGCCATCTTGCCACCGGCGCTCGCGCCGGCGAGCTCCTCGCACACGCCCTTGGCGACCTGGGGCTTGACGGCCAGGATGGCGATATCGGCGCCGGAGAAGGCTTCGGCGTTGGAGGTGGTGGTCTTGACGCCGAGCTGGGCCATCTTCTCGCGGTTCACCTCCCAGGGCTCGGAGACGGTGATGTTTTGCTTGTCGATGCCCTTGGCGACGAGGCCGCCGATAATGGCGGCAGCCATGTTGCCGCCACCTGAGTTACAGTCATATTCGTCAGCTTAGCGTTCTCTTCCTCGGGGTCGCGTTGCGCGGTCTGCCTTTGTCTTGTTGTGGTTTCAGGAGAAAGAGCCCCAAGAAAAAAGAGAAATGAGGAAGAGAAGACGGAGAATGGAAGCTAAGGAGGGGCGCGCTTCGTACCGATAAAGGCAATTTTGCTCGATTTCAAGTTTGGAGCCATTTTCGCGATATGTTTCGTTTCTTCTCTGCCGTGGTCTCTAATTGGTCTCTTGTGTTGAAGCTTGACGTGAAGGAAGCAGAGGAGGTGAGGGGCATTTATTTTCTCGAGCTGTCTCCGGGTTTTCGCGGGGCGTTGCTTTCGCCCCCACCGCGCTTGGCCTTGTCTTTCTACCCCGCCATCGGGTCCTTGCTCAGGCGTGCTTAGTCATACCATGCATCCACTATCAACCTCACCGAAACCACCATTCACTTCGAGTATTACGGGGACGCGTACCTACCTCTTCTCTTGTCCTACATAGGGCTCGAGGCCATGAACACTGAGACACCCATCCTTCCGGAAAAGGAACAAGAGTCCCATCGGCTCCCAGAAATGATTACGTACGGGTTCCCTTTCACGTGAGGTCTTTGCGCGATGCGAAAATACGTATCTCAGCCGTCCCCGTCGGAACGAGGACCGACCCCGCGGAAGCTACTTCCTGAGTTGGTGGAGCCCCTTCTTTTGTTCTCGCTGAAGAGAGAAGGCTTCAGTGTTCTGCTGTAAAGCACTGCGCAAGTCTTTAATTATCTAAAAGCGACATTCGATGCCAAGCTTGAAAAATATACAGTGATCACCACCACGGTCAACCTTGAAAGCTTTCTTTTTTTTTTTTCGGTCGTGAGGTTAGTTATATTGGTCGGCATCCCTCCACCTCAAGTTGCCCCGAGTTATGAACGATTGGCGCAGACCAACGTCGCCCATAAGTTGGTCGACGCGACAGCCCTTGCCGACGGCTCGCCACTTAGTTACTTCAGAAAACGGCTTAGTTACTTCAGAAGACGGCTTAGTTACTTCAGAAGACGGCTTAGTTACTTCAGATGACGGCGTAAAGTAAGCCCAAAATGGGAGTAGGAAGGTAACGCTCACGCTGGTGGCGTCTACACGGTATTTGTGCTACGATAAAAGAGCTCGGTCAAAAAAGATTTTACCCGCGGCCCGGGGGACAATACATGCTCGTGCACAGTACATGTAGGCAGCGTCCACCTAGCTTTGGCTCGCTCTCCGGGTTCCGTGACCCTGTTTCTTGGTTGGTTGCGTATGCGGATGACATATCCGGGTCTCTTTCCTATAATCTCATACCGGTTGCTTTTTTCTCAATCGTCTAGGGTGGAACTCGGGTGGACTGAGGAACGAGCGCGCGTTATAAGTTTGGTAGCTGTGCCAGTCAATGTAACCCCGTCTTCTATTCTAACGAGGATTCGTCGTGGCCTATCCTTTGTTGCGGGTCTTGTGACGCTTTAAATTCACCCCTCGCTCTTCGTCCCGACACGCAATCATAGCGAATACTCGGCCGGTTAGTGACCTAACGAGTATATGTGGATAGATATAGGCTTCTCTCGGACCGACACAGGTACGGAGTACATTGTGCGGCGAATGCTGGTGAGCGGCTCAATACACTCGGCTGCAACTACTACAATCTCTCTCTTAGCTAGAACAGTCTGAGTGGCTCGCAACGGAGTTTGGAGCCATCTTATGCGAAGGCAGGAATGAGTCTCGTGAATAGCTCAATGCATCTATCAAAAGTTTTGGCAAGGGGCCGCATCAGCCTCAAAATAAATTGGCGATGCCCAAATTAATTTCTCGGAGATAGGTATGGCGAGATATGGGACACGGGGTAGTTTAGAACTACAGAGGGCAGGACGGAGGGAGCGGTGACGGGGAGAGGGATTCGTATAGTAGGAACAACAGGGACCGGGGGCAGGGAGGTGGAAGAGTGCGAGGGACGTTGGGTTTGAAGTGGGGATGGACTGCGATGTTTTGCGATATCCCGTCAAGAAAAGGTGGAAAAGGTGAGGAAGAGGGAGGTGGAAGAGGGCCTGAGGATGTTGGGTTTGAAGTGGGGATGGACTGCGATATTTTGCGATATCCCGTATCCCGTCAAGAAAAGGTGGAACAGGGAGGAAGAGGGAGGCGGAAGAGGGCGTGAGGATGTTGAGTTCGAAGTGGGGGATGGACTGCGACGTTTTGCGACATCCTGTCAAAGCAAGGAGCATTCCTCTTTTAGGAAGTCATGGTAAGGCGAAGGGTACGCGGAAACCTTTTGATATGCAGTCCCAGCCCTGAGGTTAGTACCTAGTCGGGCTTGGTGGTGCAAAGATACATCCATGGATAGATCCATCCATGCAATGAGAGCTACTGAGAGGGCCGGAGGCCAGGAACCGCGGTGATTGGCCACATAGTCGAGGAATTTCGCCGGTAGGGAAGGGAAGGGGGTCCCCACCGCCCGCAGCCGGCGACATAAAACGGAGCTGACTGCCGCTCTCTCGCTGGCACCGTACCTCGTCGTTTCATACTTCTACTCTCAAGCTAGGTCTCGAGTCTTCCGTCCTATCAAGATACTACTAAATATCTATTGCACTCCTATATAAAGCGTTTTCTTCCAGTCTTACCGCAAAAAGATATCCCCGAGATCACCAGCGATCCAAGTCATCCTTTCCACCTTTCCAGTCTCCTATCAAAGCACACATCTCCCCTCACTGCCCAACTTCCCTTTTACACCCCTGCACTATTCCGAAATCCTCGCATCCCCTTTCCCAAAGACCAGCCTCATCTTTTCCTAAAAGACTAGCGTCATCTCCCTCATCTTCAAACACCCACCGGACTACATCATCGGCATTTCCACTGCAATGTCGGTCCCGCGCAACCCTCATCGCGATATATCTGAACATGAAGATAGCACAAAGGCTTGCCGAGGAAGTTCCAAAAACCCCCTTTCGGCAAAATCAAAGCACATGTTGGCGTCCTCGCCATCGTCGAGCAGGGCATCGGCCCGGCGTCGTCATCATCAAGCCGGCTCTAACGACCCCCAGATACAGGCGCGTGACCGCGGTGATGGCCGTGCTGCCGGCGCTGCCGCCGTGCCCGTGCCAGACGATGCTCCCTGTTACGGCCCAAGGCCTAAAGACCGACAGTCCTCTCACTGGGGGCTCGAGTCTGTCGGCGCGTGGAGTGGGAATCACCCATCTGCGCCTGCCGTGCCGGAGATTGATGAGTTGGATTGGGACGAGGACGCTGTCGAGGGTTGGCGCGCTGGTAGTTGTGTCCCCGCGCCGACGCCCCTATCATCTGCCGGCGAAGGCCAGCCCACACCAGACCATGCATCACCGATGCCTTACACCACGGAATTCCACTTGTTCCCGGACGATCGAGGAATACATGGGGAGAGAATTAATGAGAATTGGGTTATGACTAGCTGGTCTAAGACTGAGCGACAATGTACGTTTCAAGCCCCAGCGCATAGAAATCTGTATTCCCGTGTTAGTCAATTGACGTACTACCCGGAGATGGCAATCCCCGGGTTGCACTCTCACAAAACCACTTTTCCTTTTTTTTTTTCTGAAGAATCACTTGTCTCCCTTTTCCTCTTTTTACATTTTTTTTTTTTTTTTTTTTTATCTTCCTTTGCTCGATCTCGGGGGCATCCATGCTAACTTGTGGTGTGAAATGATAGTGAGCGAGGCGAAGGAATACATTGCCAAAGTGAAGGCGGCGGGTCACCGACGTCCGGTCCCTGAGTAGGAGATGGCGTGTTTCCATCTTAGAGAAGATGAGGAGGAGTGAGAGGAGTGAGAGAAAAGAGGGGGAGAAGAGGGGAGGAGGGTAAGGGAGGGCTACCGCCCGCGGTGGTTTGGAGGACTTGAGAATCCCGAGAATTTACTTGGTAGATATTTTACAGGCTCTGAAAAAGGACGGTCGTTTTGTGTGGATGTGCGCTTGCAATCCGCTTGGGATCCTCTCGGGGTCATTTCTTGGAATAATAGATATGTTGCTGCACGAAATGGTTATTTTCCCATCTCTTCGTCAGCTTGCTTTCGAAGTTGCCTCGCCTTCTTCCTCCTGTGTGGGACGCGAAGAAAAGGATATCGCCGATTGGATAGAAATAAGTTAGAGGTGGAAGGGGGTGTGGTATATCCATCACAGAATCTCGCTTCCGCCTCCTTTTTGGCCCTTTTCTTCGAATTGCATACCATTCCCAAGTCAGCCATCATGGTGATTCAAGCCACCGCTGCAGTATCCCGCGGCCCGTCAAGGGTTTAAGAGGTGATCTCAAGTGTTTCTCGGAGCGATGACGGATAGGCGGGGGGTGCGAGAATGTGCGAAGGGTGCGAACTCACCGGAGTTGCGCGAAGGTGTGAAAAGGTGACCAATCTCTGGTTAGCATCAATTTAGTCTTGTTAGCGCGAAACTCGCCAGGCAAACGCTGGCCAGCTTGCCAGGTTCTCTGAACATTGTATTGTTTTCCTATTAAAATCCGTGGGAGATACAATTAGCTGCAGCCTCGTGCCCCTGGTCCATTATGTCGTCCGCTAACAAGCCCAATGTTCCCGAATTGGGCAACTCATCTGATCCTTTCGTGAGCCGTCTCAGACCATGTAAAGCGGCGGCTGGGTGTCCCTGACACTTCATCCAAGAGGTGCCAGCCAATGGAATAGTTGATGGATCCAAATAATCCATGCACTTAACCCCACAGAGTCAGGTCCAGAACCAACACCCAGAATGAAATCGAGAACGACACTGGAAATCGAGAACGAAATCGAGAACGAAATCTATTAGAAAGGAACCCAGAAAACAACCAGAAAAAAAGGGGGGAAGAATAGAAACAACAAAAGTGTTTCTCGATCCTAACCTTCTATATGTTACATAGAGGTGGTAAGAGAAAGCTAGCAGTAGCTATTGATCTAAATGATAGATAACTAGACTGATGAGATGCTGGATACGATGAAGTGGATGCTATTGTAGGTGACGTATGAGTGAATAGTGAGGCTGCGGGGGTTGGAGTGTTTGTTTGGTTCGCGGCTTTCGAATGCTTTTTCCACAATCTTCGAACTTTGTGAGAGACTGACGGAGACTAAATAAACGGGACCGCAAAATGCGCGTTTTGTCCTTGCATTGACATTTGTACTGCCTCTTGTACCCTCAGTTATAGTGAGCACTGCTCTATTACTTGACCTTTCTACAGTCCCGATGGAACAATACGAAGTACGAATATTTCAATGTTCCATTTGCTCATATCAAGTCGGGAATCAAAAAAATATTCGCCACTGGGCCCGTCTCCGGCGCACGCGACGGTGCTCCGAGAAAGCAAGGAGAGCCTCTTCACTCAGCGGCCAGTCCATTTGTTTTTATATGTACACCCCTGTTCACTGCGGGCTCTCAACCGCTCTTGTCGCACCCCTCATTACCCCGGTCCCTTTCAAAAACAGTCACCGAAAACGCTCCAGAAGACCGTGATGCTGGTGCGACAACGAGGCCAAGAAAGCTACTGCATATGTGCTAGACTTGCACCTCATAATTATTCACTCCATCCACTCCTCCTGGGCTGAGACATTCCACCCCCTTCTAGCTCCTTCAACAACACCTAAGAGCCACGACACCTCCCGACATCAATGCACTATCGTTGCTTCACAGAAAGTTTTCAAAGCCGACCGCCCACTCCAGAACAAGACCTCTCATTTTGGTGGCTTGGTAATAATGCTCCAACGAACCGGATCCTTCGGGGACCCGTTGCGATGCAGGCGTAGAGGTAGAATTTCTAACTTGTACAACGATGTAATAACCCAACCGGGACTAACCACTCTGATGCTGATGCTATGACGAAGCCTAGTGTGGAAGAAAAGTAGAGAAGAAGAAAAAAAAAAAAGAGCCCCGTGCGCCTGTGCACTTTGGCTGCCCGTCTAGAGAAAACATGGGAGAAAAAAAAAGAACGCCTAAGAAGCCAAACTCCAGCCCTCGCCTTTAGCCTACACACATGCGCCTAGAGCTCCAAGCCGAGTTTTGGTTTGCCATGACAGGCAAAGAAAAGAAAATATCGAGGTAGTTGCGTTCCTCAAGTCCGCGGCTTATCAGCCTCACCACCCTCCAGATCCTTGCCACTCTTGAGATCCCTGTCCCCCTCACCCACACTTTCCACCTGCATCGCCTCGGCGCTCCTGCCACCTTCTGGTGACGGCAGCCCACCGATGCTGGCGGCGATGAGGCCGGGCATACCCATGGCCGAGTACATGGGTGACGTGGACGCGTTGGAACCACGCCTGCTTCGCGTACGGCCATGCAGCTGCTTCTGTATAAACTTGGGGTCGCACAGGACTGCCATGCGCCCGCCGCGGATACGGTTGAAAAAGGCGAGATCGTCGCGCACGTCGAGCATCGCTGCCGTGAGATCGTACGACTCCGCCTGTCGCGCCGCCTTGCCCTCGCGCCATCGACGGGGCACCACCGCGTTGATAGTAGCCGTAATCCAAGAGTCGGGGAAGAGGCGGATGAGCACGCCCACGGGGATGGAGAGGAACCCTAATACGATCGAGATACCCCACTGAGGCCCGTTGAGGGGCGTTACCACAAAGGCTGCCCCGCCGAACCAGATAATGATGAGTTGCCCGCCAACCATGATGGCTGCCATCAACAGGAAGAGCCGGTTCTTGAGCAGCCCTTCAAAGATGTTGAGCTGATTGTCGATGCGCCTGCTGTTGACGAGCTTGAAGATTTGCATAAAGACAAACGTGTTGAAAATAAGCGTCCGATGCTCGTCCTCGGGGTAGTGCAGGAACTTGGGTCCCGCAAAGTACAAGATGAAAATGACAATGAGTTGGTAGATGGACTGCCCGATGATCATCTTCCACATCGGTAGGCTGATCAGGGGCGCCGTCTTGGGCTCCGGTTTGCGGTCGAACAAGCTGTCTCCCGGCGGGTCCGTCGCTAGAGCCAGCGCCGCAAACGTGTCCATGATGAGGTTGACCCAGAGCAGTTGAACCGCGTTGAGCACCGAGGCCTCGTTGTCCGACGTAACTGCAGATACAAACGTGATGAGCACCGCCGTGATGTTGACCGTGATTTGGAATTGCAAAAACTTCTTGACTGCGTCGTTGATCGCCCGGCCCCACGCAAGCGCCCCCACGATAGAGGCAAAGTTATCGTCCAAGAGGATGATATCTGATGCCTCCTTGGCCACCTCTGTTCCGGTGATGCCCATGGAGAAGCCCACGTTGGCGGCCTTGAGCGCAGGTGCATCATTGGTTCCGTCTCCAGTGACAGCCACGACATGGCCCCTATTCTGCAGCACCTTGACAAGAATCCTCTTGTCCTCGGGGCTAGACCGAGCCAGCACGCAGAGGTCGTCGACGACCGCTTCCTTCTCCACATCGCTGAGGCGACGGAAATCGATGCCTTCCATGACAGTGCCTCCCTCCTTCATGAGCCCGCACGACTTTGCAATCGCCTTCGCCGTCGCGACATTATCTCCAGTCACCATCTTCACTTGAACCGATGCGCGGTTGCATGCCTGGACCGCGGTGGGCACTGTCGATCGCACGGGATCTTGAATTGCGACGGCTCCGATCCAAACCATCTCTCGGAAAACATCGCTGAGCTCGAGGTTGGACGAGTCGTCGGCGCGCTTCGATCGCGCAGGGGGCCACTGGTCGCTGTCGCGGAAGCACAATCCTAGCGTTCGTAACGAGGTCGAAGCAAATAGGGAAATCTTGCCCTTGATCTCGTCGACGTGAGCCTGCTCGAGGGCCGTCGAGTGAAGGCTTTCCTCGGGAGAGTCGAGGGCCCGGTGGCACTGACCCAGCAGGATCTCGGGGGCACCTTTCACAAAGATGCGGTACTTCTTATTCGGTAGCTGGATAACGGCCGCCATGCACTTCCTGCTCGAGTTAAAGGGAAACATCTCCACAACTTCGTTGTTCGAGCGCATAATCTCAAGGGACTCGAGAGCAAAATTGTTTCGCGCCCAGTCTAGGAGAGCCGTTTCGGTCTTGGTGCCCACGAAAACGGCCTTGCCTTTCTCGGAGCCCTCAAACGCCGTGGTGTTGATCGCGATGGACTGGTTGAGGAGCTCACGAACCTCGTCGCTGAGGGTAGAAGAAACCTTGCTGGGTTGGATAAATTGCTCGGTCGGGGTGCCCTCGGGCATCGATTTCAGGACGCTTTCCTCCCCGAAGCAGACTGAACCGGTTCCGAGAGAGCCAGCCACAACGGTCATGACGTTCTCGGTCAAGGTGCCCGTCTTGTCGGAGCAAATAACAGTCGCATTTCCCATGGTCTCGCATGATTGAAGATGGCGCACGAGGTTGTTCTCCTTGGTCATTTTCTTAGTGGCGAAGGCTAAAGCCAGAGTCACCGCCAACGGGAGACCTTCAGGGACGGCGACGACGATGATGGTGATGGACGTGATGAGGATCTGCATAAAGTTCTGGCCCTTTTGGTCTGGCGTCTTATCGCTTCCTTTGAGGCGAACAAGGAATTCGATGAAGAGAACAGTGAAGAGAAGGAGACCGGCGCCGCATCCTAACTTCGCAATGTAACCTGAGATGAGGGAAAGACGATACAGTTAGCGAGATTCTACCCGCCCAGACAACGGCGAGGAGAGAAAAAAGAGAAAAAAAGAAAGAAAGCAATCAAAGGCACAAAACTTACCAGCTAGCATATTCAATTTCATTTGTAGCGGAGTGAGCTCATTGTCGTCGCGCAGGGAAAGCATAGTTCTTCCGTGGGTGGAGTACGGGCCAACAGCTGTGACCATGCACGTGCCAACGCCGTCGAGCACTTTGGCACCCGAGATGATGAAAGGGTCCAATTTTTTGACCTCGATATCGTGGTCGGCTGTTTCGAGAACCCGCATGACCTTTTCTGCCGGGGTCTTCTTGATCAAATCTGATTCGCCGGTCGCCGAGGACTCGTCGCAGCTGATATTGTGCCCATCGATGTAGATGCCATCGACCGGAATGACGTCTCCCTGCTCTAGCATGAGGATGTCACCCACTAATATGTCCTCAATCGAGATGACGGTGGGTTTTCCGGAACGAATCACTTTGACCTGCCTGTCCTCCTTTTTCTTGTTGAGCTTCTGGAACTGCCGCTCCTTTTGCCAATCATTCAGGGCGCCAACTAGCGAGACGATGGCGATGGCAACTATGATGGCGACGCCCTCCACCCACTCCACCTTGGCTCCTTCGTGATGGGACTTGTTGCCAAAGGTCTGGTACAGACCAAGAGCTAAAGACACTACGGCGGCGACGCTCAGCAGGATCAAGACCTTGTCTTGTAGGGCGATCCAGACCAACTGAAGGAACGATTTCGATTTTCTTTCCGGTAACGTGTTCCTGCCGTACACCCGTTTTCGGTCCGCAAAGGCCTCTCCATCACCCTTGTACGTATTTGAGCGCTGCGGCTGCGCAGGTTTCGCCGGTTGAATCTCCGGGGACGACTCGGTCGATGAGGTGGGGAGTTGAGAGCCGGTCGCCTCCTCAAAGGTCACGGCCCCGCTGAGCTTCGTCTCATCAACGCTGAGGCCCGACTTCGCGTCGGTTCTCAGACCCTTTGTTATACCATGCAGGCCGCCCAGGGCGTGGAACGCCTTCAGACTCTTGGGATTTAACAACCGTGACGTGTGGCCCGGGGTAAAAGCAAAAGGGTTCTCTTCGACCTTGAATAGATCCTGGTCTTCGGGTAACGGCCTCCACAGTTCTTCCAAGGATGACCGCGTGGGGGCTTGAAAGCCCTTTTGTGATGTGGGGAGGCAAGGCTATCGCCTGATGGCTGCAGTGTATTGGATGAGGTTGCCGAGTGACCGGCGGTTGAAGTGCTACCAGTCCTACCCCACGCCGGAGTTGTAAGCTTTGTGTCGTCCTGCGAGCCCGAGCTAGCGCTGGAGTGAGTATCTGCATTCCCGACGTTAGTCCCGTGGCAACCAACACCATATACCATGCTGTCGATAAGGAGGGTGAGAGCACACGATGCCCTCGCCCAAATCAACGACGCAAGTACAGTGGGGATTAGGAGTCAAAGAGCGCGAAGGATAACAAATTGTAACCAACCTACCTCTCTTGTCTGTGACGGCCGATGTGTCCACATGGATACTAGGGGCCCTAGAGCGTTTCCGTGAATGATGTGGTGTGGAATCCATCGTAGACGGTGATTATTATAATGCAAGTAAAATGGTAGGCTTGCTCCTCTCAAGAAATTCTTCGTACTTCGGTGAGCCGGCGAGTAGTTGCTCGATTTGCGATGCAGCGAGGGCTCACAAAAGTCGAGCGCACACTCACACCGCACGCAAAGCTTCGCTGTCAGCTTTTTTCTTTTCCGAATTTTTTTCTTTCTAGCCCTTGCGTTTGCCTTTGGGGGTTTCGCTTCTGCCTCCTCTCGCCTTTGGCGGCGGTGAAAGGAAAGGACGTGCGTGAAGAGCCTGGCCTAGGGTAAGCTGGATGGGTCGGTGAGCGCGTTTAGCTTCGTGTTGTCAACTTTTGGTGGTTCACCAAACGGCGAGGTATGGCAGTGTTGCTGGTCGAATGGTGTGGCAAGGATCCATTGACATCAGTCTTCAGAAGATATTATTGGACCGCAAGGAGGTCGTCATTCGTCGGTCCAGGCTGTTTTGAGAGGATAGGGAAAAAGTGCATGTGTGGGCATGGTGTTGTCGGACTCTATATTGTTTTGGGCAACGAGACGACTCCTCCCAAAATAAAGAAAGATCGGGTGCGCGAGTGGCCCTCGCCAGCCAACAACGTGATGTCAAGATGTGTGTGACCTTTGGAATCTGCTTGGATTGGGTCAATCTTTTTGGCTTTGCACAGCCCCCAAAAGTCACTCGATGCCGCTGCTTGCCAAGCGCATTCATTTCATCAGAGACATCGATTGATACCAGCGGGATACAAAACTAGTGCGCACGACCTACCAAACCTACACCTCCCCAAACCCCGAGGAAGCCTGGAAGGGGCGAGGGGAAGGGGGGTGGGGGTGGACTTGCCAACTTTATCGAAAGAGTGAGGTGTCAAATGTATAGATGGGGTGCCAGCTTGGTTGCTGGGCACTTTTAAGGTGGGAAGGTAACACCATGGCGATTACAAGGAAGCGAGGGAAGCTCTTCTCGAGGCTAACCCATCAATCCAAGCTCATCCCTTTCAGAACACAGCCCAAGCTCTCGTTTCGTCATTTGTCACCATAACCCAACGTTGAGCACTGCTGTTTGCATGTGAAATCAAGATATAAAAATTAAGTTGACGATCCAACCACTTTCAACGTTGAGTGGCCTCCTTTTTCCCATTTTCATTTTCATTTTCATTCATTTTTTTCTTTCGTCAGAATTGGAAAAGCAAGCGACAAGGTAAATCCCAAGTCACTCTGCATGGTTGAGCGATTCCCAGCCCAGCGAGGCCCAATTCAGGCCCAACGTAGACCTAGCTCTTAAGAAGAGCTAGGTCTAAGTCGTGCCTGCGCGACCAGAGCAAAGAATTGGCCAACAAGATCGTGTACCAAGACCTAGGGTCATCCGACTTGCGCAGAGACCAAGGGTACACTAAAATACGATAATCGCTTGCGCCCTTGTTCTGACGTAGATTTGTCGACGTATCAATCAAAGCCGCTCCTTATCGATTCTATTAATCTCGGTGTCACGCACCCACCCTTCTGTCGCCCTGTCGGTGGACAATCGGGAGGCAGCAAGCGTCTGCGGTGCGTGCCCCAGCAGGAACAGTGAAGTCTTGGATATGTACACTATTGATGTTGTGGAGCTTTAGAAATGGTACCACGGCCGAACTGTCGTTTGATGAGGGGTTTATCCTAGCAACTCTAGGCGGGTCGGTACCTGCCGAGCGGTGACAAACACCCACTCCATAGATCCATGGATGTCTCTGACACGACGATCGAAGGATCAATCTTCAAAGCGCGGATAGGGCGAGGAAGAGCTCAAATTTCCGTATCAAGACATATATCTCAGCCCTCACTGTCTTTCCCCAATTTCTTTATACGACTGGATCTTACAGAGGGGCGATACGCTCCATGGTTTTTTCTCTTTGCTTTTCTTCTCCCCTCTCGGGGCCGTTGCCACCTCGGAAGAAAAACAACGAGTCGCTTCGGCAACCTCCACTGAGCTTTGTCAAAGCAAACTAGAAGAGGCCTCACACTGAACATCGCCTAAATATGAAGGGTGTCCGATCTTAATAGGAGATGGCACCAGCCAAGTGGGTAGCAGGAGGGCAGTGCCCGGAGATGGACCCTTCTCTCGATCTTGGCCTTTTTAGCACTAATTGATAAGTCGAAGGCAGCGCAGCTAGTGCCCTATCTTCTTTTTTCGCCCCTTCATCGGAGTTGACTTTTGGCTCAGAGAGTCTGGAGCGAGAGTCGTAGAAGGTTGTACCATTCTCGACGTGCTGCTATTACCGACACGCAAGAAAGGGTAGAGAAGGCTTTCTCGTTCACGGGGTGTACGTGTGTATAGTGTGGCGTGGGATGCCTCTTTTCATCGCTCATCTCCACTTTGCGAATTTGGGCGCACCTCTCCGGCGTTGTCGACATCGCCCGGGCGGAGCAGGGACAAAGCAGAGGCTCATCGCAGAGATTGATATCAACGACCCGTCACTTATTAGCTCAGTTTGTGGGTTTCCGAGTCTTGCTAGCCCGCGGAGGGTTTAGTGCATCGGGTGCCTAATGCCCATCAATGATCTTTGAGGCTCGTCAATGTCAGCGATCAACCTCGAGCCAGGCATTGGGCAACAAAAGGTGCACTGGCGGTGAGTGGTCAGGGTTTTTAGTGCGGTTGAGGCGAGCTTCCACCGACGTCACCAATTATGGCTGCTGGTCCCTGTTCTCGTAGGTATGGCGTGACTAATGTGACTCGAGCTTGCCCCCGGTAAGTGAACGATTGTTAACTTGATGGAATTTCAGCAAGACTCGCTTCTCGTTGTTCTTCATGCATGTTCCCAAAGACGAAATCCGGAGAGAGCCCGCATGGAAGCCTGGATCGAGCAAACCCGGTATCTCGCTAGGTTTCGACTTGGTTCCGTTGCCCGCTGAGCCCGTACGACAAGGTGAAGAAGTCCTTGCTCGTGTGCGCACACCTCGCAAACAAGAGCTGCCAAGAGGCAAAACTCAATCGATTTGGCGGTCCACCGCCCGGAGGGATAACCACATCTCGGCTAGTTGCCTGCACTGCCCGGTCCCCAACCCCTCTCTCGGATATTTCATCATTCTGGAAGAGGCAAGAGGCAAGATGGAAAAGGAGGGTGGCAAGCGGGTGAGAGAATAATATTCTCCTGCCACTTCCAAGGTTCCCAAGCGTTTTTTTCTCTACCAAGGCTTGGCAAACCTCCTAGGCTTAAATCTGGACACATCCCGTGTGCGCGGCGTCCAGGACCGCACCCACGTGACTGCCTATTCGAGCGGCGGCGACATTCTACTTGACGGTCCTCACGAATTCCAATGGCAAGGTGCAACAATTGAACATTATCAATCACACTTAGCACACGCCTCAACGATGACCAAAAATCGGGTCATGTTTCCTTCGTTCTTTGCTCTTTCTCGGCAACTGCCTGTCTTTTTGCCCTGCTGCTGCACGTCTAGATGATCTGGTGAGGGGCTCTCCGTGGATGGTTGGCCTCCGGCCACGAGCTGAGCTCCGCCATGCAAACTCGTCCCACTTATTCACGTACCGTGGGCAGAGGCCGGCACCACCCCGGTTCGATCTGACGGCAGCCCCCGAGACCGCCCGGACTAACCCCACAGGAAAACTAACGTGCTGCATGCATTATTATGTTTCTTCCATCCGCCGGACAATCAGTCAGCCAGGAAATCGGCTAAACATCGTGGCAATAGCCCATACAATTCTTGATCGATCGACGAAAGAAACTGAACTGAATGAATAATCAAACGACGACCTGCGAAATCATTTCGACGTTTCTTTTGCAATAGCCTACCTTTTTTCTTTTCTCTTTCTTTTATTGAAACCCCTTCTTGAAAAAGTATCATGTTCTTTTGTCACTTTATTCGGACCTCCTGATATTGACTATTGGTTTCAAACCCGCGGACTTCGCAATCAATCCGTCAAATATTTCCCCGTTACATACTTGATATAGCTCCAGTTCGATGGCAACACCTTCTCCGTGTTGCGTCTAGCCGGAAGCTCATCTCGCGCCCGGCGAATTGAAAAGCCCGGCCCTGTTCATTAAACCCGTTGTCCTTGGTCCCGCGCGCAAATTTTCTTTTCATCTCAAGTTCTACCGTCAACGGGCCACGCACCCCACACAACTTGCTTGCACTGCCCCCTTCACCCACCTTGTCTCCGATCTGTCCAGTCCAAACATAACCACCCCTCCCCCAAGCACACACCAAACGCCATTCACGTAAAAGCCATACGTCAGGTATCTCCCTTTCTTCTCCCTCTCTTGCCTCACCCTCCAAACTTGCGTGGATTATCCCCGTTCATTGATTGGATGATGTAACAAGTTCTTGGCATATGAGTATTCAGTGAAACCACCCAACAAATATTGAAACTTACATGCCATATGGCCCACCCGCCGGATTCTATCAGCTTCCACCCTAGTTAGCAGGGCACCTCGCGGAGGCGAGGGGGTTGAAAATCAGGGAAGAAAAACAAAGGGAAAAAAATGGCGCTCTCCCTTATCCTAGAATCCAAACTCCAGACGCTTCGACGAGGCGCAGCTCTTTGATACGTCTTGAGCGGCCTCTGATCGACCTCTTGGCCATCCCCCGTTTATTTTTTTCGTACCGACGCCCCGTGGCCCTGGGGTTTGCGTCTCCTCCAACCGTCGTTCCTTTTGCGGCTGAGGCCGGGAGGGAAGGTTCCGTTGGCCGGACATGGGATGATTCAGGTGCCAGAAGCAGCGTCGGCAGCCCAGGAGAAACGTAGAAGCATGGAGACTGAATAGCAAACACTTAGCCATGTGCAAATAGATAAATGCTTGAGAACGTTTACCTGTTTGAAACTTCTGACCTCACTTTTTCCCCGACGCATTAGATAATCCGCATGTAAGACAATCATGGACCATTACTCCTATCAGCAGGAACAAAACCAAAAAGAAACAAGAGCTTCTAGGTTTGTTTTTGGATGGGTGGTGTCCTTGTCTTCCCCCCTTCCTTGCATTGCCAATTAGGCTCTGTTACAGTAGACCAAAAGTGATAGTGACCCGCAAGCACCTGGCTAGTGTGGGCGCTTTCCCGGCGCTTCATCAATTCCACCCCGCCTCCCGGTTGTCGTGACAGTTTGACCAAGAAGCATAGCCCCGTGGGCCCGGAAGTTATTACGCTCTGTCTCGAGAGTTGACAGCAAGGAGCTATATATCCCGAGAAGGGGCATCTAATTGCCCCCTGGCCTGCTACCCCCGGGGAAGAACATGCTCGTCCCGCTGGCATATCCCTTTGTACTGTTCAAGTAGAGCTCGTGTAGCCATGGGCTCGTGCTGGTGCGGAGCTCGCCAAGCAAGAGCTTATCCATCGAGAGAAAACAAAGAACAACAACCTCAAAAAAGGAGGAAGGAGGCTTGCTTCGGAGGCTACTCTGGAAGGCAGTTGCGTGCCCATCATCCCGAGTTGTCCACCGAAAGAAGAAAAGGCCAGACGCGCCAAGACCGTCGACGGTTTGGAACCGCCCTGCTGTTTTTTGTTCACGCCTCCGCCCGATCGTCATTTCATTTCAGTGATACCTTCACCCTCCAAACAGAAGAGGTGTGACCCAACGATGTAAATCACGCATCAAAGGGCCCTCCAGGAGGGGCAGGCAAAAAAACGTAGAACGGGAAATTCTTTTCTTTGAAATGAAAGCAAGGTCGGGCGCCAGAAGCGTGACGGAGAGCGTCGCGTGCTGATGGTACGGAGGTCTAAGCCACCCGCTTGGCGTCGTCGCGACAAAAACCAGCCCAACATCCCCCGGCCCTGGGGAGAGATCAATTTCCGATTATTATCGTGGACTCCTTGTTGTCTCGGCTGACGCAAGAGTGAACCTTACACTGAACGGCCCCGTGAAGGTGCAAAGTTGGCGGATCTGCCTGGGCATCCCATCCGGATGCTCAACTCGAGGAGGCGTGTTCTTTTTCCTGCTGGCTTTCCTTCGATCGATGGCACACTCGTATTGATACGTAAACGCTGGGCTGAGTCGGCCCAAGCAACGTGTTTCGGGAAGAGTTTGTCACTGCCAACGCAAGGGGATGAATCGTCAAACTAGGATTCACTGGGCTTAGCCATGAGATTATCAAAATGAGTATTGATTTGTTATGTGTAAGCCTTGGAAAGGCGCAATGCTATCAAAAGGGTCAGCCGACCATTAGCCAGCTCTCTAAACGAAGAATTCTTTCTATTACACCCATCCAGATGCAGTGACAAAGAAAATAATGAGAGAATACAATGGGATAGATGAAGGGGAGAAAAATGCGCCATGGGGATGTTGAATAACAGAGCATATCATTAGAAAGAGAGAGGAGGCCGTTTCATCGTCTGCTCCCTCAGTCCAATATACAGCGACGGCTTGTCAAACTTCTGCACTTTTGGATCATACCATCCAATCACATCGAGAACTACGTGGGCCTTGGAAGTCTCCACTTGCATCAGGCCGTACATTTGAACACAGCCTCGGGGGTTGGCGCCGACCTCGTGCCCAGATGCTCCGGACTTGGAAAACGAGCTGATCCCATGCCGTCGGCGACATGTCGCGCAGCAGGTCTACAGGCGCCCGTGCAATGTCAAGTAACTTAGACTGACTGGGGCCGAGCGCTTTGTTATCCTCGCCCGTCGCCCCACCGTCCTTACGGGTGTCGGAGGAGCGCGATGCAGTCTGATCCGTGTCCCCTGGTTGGCTAGGAACGTGCTTCCCTTGTTCTGTCGAGGATGTTCCAGTCGTTGTTGAGCCTGGAATCTGCCTTTTCACCGGTAGGCTAACGTGCGACCTCCTCTCATCCGGCCCGGCGACTATAATCACGCCCCCAGCGGCAGTCGGCGCGGTTGGGGTGCCATCGATGCCAAAGAACCTACTAAGGCCCTGGCCCGTAACAGTCTTCGTGTACTGCCACAACGCCGAGGCTAGCGGCGCCGGCCAAAGGACGTTGTGGAGCATCTTAATCACGTAAGGATCGACTGGTTGCTTCACCGCCCATGCGATCTCACCATTCCGGATGAGCAAGCTGCCAAAACACTTTCGTCAGCACCAGCATAGAAATGGAAAAACTGTAAACGCTAGATAAAGAGGGAGATGAGCCACTCTCGTGACGTACCCTTGTTGCATCCATTCCGGGTGTGGAGCTACCGGAAATGAGAGCTTGAGCCAGCCTTGGGAGCGCAATGGCTGTCCCCATCTTCCTTGGAGTACCTTGTTTGCGCCTAGAACCTCCATGGTGAGATCGCCGAGATCCTCTATCAACCTTCGTTAGCTCTGGTCTGGTCAAACATGAATAGGCCGGTGCAAGGCCCAGCCGACAGCAACACCCTGCAGAAAGACTTACTCTTCATCTTCGTCTTGAGATTGGGGTCCCTGTTGATTTTGTCAAAGGCTACCCACTCTGGGGATCCCCTATGGTAGGACGGAGGCTGTATCAATTGCTCGGTAAAGGGAAATGGTATGAAGGCTTCGAGAGCGGTTTCTTCAGGCCCTCCCCGCACGCCTTCCCGATCATCTTGAAAAGAACCCTCATAATCCTCCTCGTCCTCGTCCACCACTTCGATCGCGACTGAGCTAACAAGGTAGAATCCGAGAAATAGAGATGTGATGCCCATAAATCGTCTGTTTGAGCAGTTCAAATTAGCCATTTTGACTCCCGGAAGGGCCCGATCGGGCAGTTTCTCGAGCGACGATAGCAGCGCGCCAGGCCTCTATGATAACTCGGCCGAGAGGAGTTGATTTCTTACCTGAACCCACTACGCCTCGGTCGATGAAACCGTACCTTTGTACGCGGATCGTATGGGGGTTGGCAGTCAGCGAGGCGGCATGTCTCGCGGCCTCGAAGGAAGGTGGAGGCCGTAGCCTAGCCAGCCTCGAAAAGCGCTGCATTGTGGCTCGATGGGCGAGTTGATTTTGTTCTCCCTTTTGGCACGCCCTGGTGGCGGCCCGTGGTCGTTCGCAGCGAGTTCGTCGGTCGCGTTTCTGTTCCTCAGTGATGGTGCATCAAAGACCTCGGCTCGTCACCGGGGATAGGTGGGTCGGTACAATTCGCGATGCGGTGTATGGCCGGCGACTACCGGACGAGAGGTATACAGTTGGGAGTCAAATATAGTTGGAGGATTGCACGCTCTGCTGGGTTGATAAGAAGGTCTTGTCGACAAGGGGATCGCTCGATTACTGTGTAGTTCGTGGAAGGTGGCGGGTGTCGTGTAGCGGGGGAATTGATATCGCTCCTCGGCTCGGTTGTGCGGGATTGAAAATGTGATGCTGCTCAGATGAATCGCTTAATTGTAGAAGTTTATAGGGATGCGAAGTGATATTTCCTAAAAGGCTTGGGGCTGTCTTGATGTTGGATTGATGGACCGCTTATTACTTTTCCTCGCCTCGAACCTCGAAATCATCAGTCGAACTTTGCTCGATAGACGTTGAAGTCGATCTATCAGTATGCCTGCCATTAATCCCAGCGCCCCAGCGCCCCGCAGCCCCGGAACCAAATTCTCCAAGCCACCTCAGTGGCTAGACTACCGATCACGTGTTAATGCGTCAACGCCGCACGTTAACGGATCGGTCTTTGGTGGCGAAGACTTTGTAAGGAGGTTTGATTGAATTGATGCCTTTTCACTTTAAGCTTGAGTACATGTATGGATCATAGACTGACTCGATAACGTTTCCCTCATGGAATTCGTTTGAGTATGAAATATCTTTCTGCACTCCTTGAAAGTGGGTTGTGAATGGGCGAATTTTACCCGATATCTATGATTTTTTGCCCATAAACAGTACTGAATCCTCAAGATCATAACTTTCCCAGTAATACCCTCCCATATCAGATCAGGTCCCAGGCCCCTGTAAACTTGAACCTGGTCGACTTATTGGATTGGACCATGATAGCTCCTAAGCTTTTGCCATCCTAACGTGAGATAGTCAAAAGATCTATTTTTCTTACCCCCACTTACCCATAAGACAAGAGAACCGCCAAATGGCATCGGCGGATCAGTGGCAGCAACAATATAAAGAAATAAGAATAATGATAATTTGTTGGTCGATCGACAGCCTCCTTGCGGCCATAACAGTGGCAAGCGCGGCATGTTGTCATAAATGCTGCTACATTTCGGGTCTTCCTATAATACAGTCAAGACAGTGCTTGCGGATCCGGCGTTATGTCACCCCCTGTCTCTGGTCCTTAACTTGCTGCCTGTATGATGACTAACCGCAATTTGTGTGTATCGCCCCAAAACACCTCTCAACCAAGAAACGAGCCATTATTCCAAGCTTCACCTCCCATCCTTGGACCCCTTAGATTAGGGTATACAATCAGCAGCTCATCATCATGAAGCTCTCCCTAGCCGTTGTCGCATCAATCTGCGGCCTTACGACAGCTCATTCCAACGCCGATGGATATCTCTTCCGATCGAAGTCGACTGCCCAGCAGGCTGGCCCGACACCTGAGCTCCAAAGGCAGCTAACGAGGTTGATCCTACAGCAGCGACTCGGCGTTGACAAGCACTTTTCCTCCCTCCAAGAGCTCTCATCTCTCCCCAACACCGAAGATGCCATCTCATACATCAATGAATTTGGACGACCGGAAGCTCCTCTGTTCGAAGCGATCGAAGCGAGCCCCTCGCAGCTCCTCATCATTATCGAAGGACTGGAAGAGGGTGACATGAATGACCTCATCCCTAGTGTCAAAAAGTCCTTTGCCATTAAGGATGCGCCCAACTCCGCCGCTATTAGGAACCTTGTCGATGGAGAATTTCGGACTGTTGGTGTCCGTGAGAGCTCATGCGAGTTTGGAAGAGCCATCAACCCTCTCGACGAAAACTGCTGGGCCGAACAGTCTTCGATCATTCGATATGATGCCAAGAAGGTAGCTGCTTTCAATTCTTTAAACAAATTCAAGGAATCCTTCAAGAAATTAACAATTGTTGTGTCTTCTATAGCATACCGGCCTCGTCGAAGCCCTTCAGAAGGCGGCACCCAAGCTCCAGCGATATGCCGAGACTGGCGAAATGGAGACAACCATTCTCGCCTTCCCCGAAATGAGCCGCAAGTCCAAGATCAGCGCCTGGTCGTCTCATCCCGTTGCACTCCGCCGTCGCCAAGTCGAAGCTGTCCTGTCCGCCGACCCCATCCCCGTATCTTCCGAAAACCCCCAGTCCCCGCCGTTTGCCGCTTCTAGGTCTGCCGGCAGTGGCAAGCACGAGGCTATCCCAGCTTGCTTCCAGTCATGGGCTGCCTGTGTCAACAAGACCGACACCTGCTCCGGCCACGGTTGGTGCGTGAACAAGTGGTCTAGTGATATTCCAGAGGATGGTTCGGAGCCCCCAAAACTGATGGTCCCGCCTGCTTTGTTTGCCAATGCAAGCGGACTCGTGATGAAAATGACAGGATCTTTTCCTGGGGTGGCGCCATCTGCGAAAAGCGCGACGTTAGCACTCCGTTCGCTCTCTTCGTTGGATTCACCATCATCATGGTTGCCATCGTCGCCGGCGCCCTTAGCCTGCTCTACAGCATTGGCGAGGAGCCACTTCCTGGTGTCCTCGGCGCTGGTGTGGTCAAGAGGTAGAGAGCTCTCTGCTGATTAGAGCGGCGTGAAATTGGTCGGGTTTCCAATTGATTTATCTCTATTTGCTTTGTTGAATCGTTGTTTTGGTCTGCTCAACCTTTTTGTTTTCGATTAATGTATCATACCATGTACCGACTAAGGAAGGTAGGCACATGATGGCGTCAGGGTGGCTTTTGGGCAAGCATGTCTGGTTTGCGAAATGCAATAATAGGCCACAAAGTAGGCTTCCTCAATACAAGAGCAGTACCGTAGTACCGTCTTGGTTTCACTCAAAGCTGCACGTGCGATCTAGTCTCTGCTGTTCTCTCAACTTCTACTCTCTCTGTTCACCTATTTCCAGGGTATATAACGTATCCATCTAATTGTACAATGTAACTTTAGGGTGTTCCTTCCACTTCATCCGTAGCCCCGTTCTTCGCCACCGGCGTACCGAAGCTCTCGAGCCCTCTCTCCGCAGCGAACTCGGTCGCCGACTCCGCCGGCAATATCTGCCGAGCGGGTGAGTCCGTAGGGCCATCGATCTGCACTCTAGGAGCCCCAGCGACAGCACGGTACTTTTCACCTGCCTCGTTGAGGAGCGTCTGGAGCTCGGCTTCCCGGGCGGCGATGCCGTCCTTTCTCGCCGCAGGTCGGCGACCTCCTTGCTCTTGGCGGCGAGATCCCGCTCGGCGAGCCGGAAGGATGCCTGCAGAGCAGCCAAGCACTCCGACATGGTGGATAAGGGTGTGATTTTGGGCTTGGCCGCCTCGGCTGGGTTCTGCGTGGGACGACGGAGCCCGTCCATGCCAGCACGGGACTGGGAGGCCTCGAAGGCGACGCGGCGCTCGGCATCGGAGTCGTCCGACTCCTCGTCCGAGTTGCCCTCGGCCTCTTGAATCATGGACGCCATCTCGGCGCGCTTCTGGCGGCGGGCCTCGCGCTCGGCTTTGCGGCCGAGGGCGACGCCTCCGTCGTCGACGAACTCGTCGAAGCCCTCGTACAGGTTCTCGTCTTCGTGGACGAGGCGGGTCGAGTCTTCATCCTTCTTTCTACTCGTGAAGGGGTCGTTGTCGTCGTCGTCGAGGGAGATGAAGTCAGCTTCCGCTTCCTGGCGCAGGCGCGCACGGCGTTCCTTCTTTCGCGAATCTCGGCGTCCGTTAATATACGAGAGGAGGCCGTGTCGTTGCCGCCGGTGCCTGAATACGCTTCCAGCTCGGCCGAGTCGACGACGACGGCGCCTTCGAGCTCAGATAGGTCCATGTGGATGTCCTCGTCTTCCGTCCCCGAGTTCCGGGGCGTATCTTTGGGGGTATTGGGCGTCGAGCTTTGAAGTTCTTGTAGGTACTCTTTGTCGTACCTCGGCCGCTCCTCCTCCCCCGAGACCGCATGGCCAGGTCCTTGAGTGCGATGGCTTTCTTCAAACCAACATCACCACCTCTCTTTGGTGTCAGCAGCTCTGGTGTGCGCAGGCCCGAGGTCTCGGCCTGATCGCCGTCATCGTCGTCGTCGTCGGCGCGGACGCCAAAGGATAATCGGGACGCGGATTTACGCTTCTTCTGCTTCGTCGAGTTGGCGCGGCTCAGGGACCCTCGCACCACCACATTCCCCGTAGAGTCGTCGTCGTCGTCGTCATCGCCGAATTTCGTTTTCGTGGTCGTCGTTGTGGCTGCGCCCAAGTTCGCCGTCGCCGCGGAGGCTGGTTTGCCGGGCTCGTCGTCTCCTGCGCCGTCGGCCTCGGCGAGGTTTATGCTTTTGCGCAAGCCGGACTGTCGAAAGGGTTTTCTCGTTACTTTTGAAAATACTGGCGACGGTGCGGCTAGGATCAATCAAAAGGCACACAGTCAGCTTCCAGAAACTAAGGGCGGAAGGGAGGGGTGATTCGAATCAGCATTGTGCTGCGCGCAGCTATGTATCAAGTGGGGCAAACACTCACGACTGGACTCGGTATCTTGGGTGGTGGATTGGGTAGCCACTCCGGGTTCTTCGGCATCGTCGACCTTGATGACGCGGGCTTTGCGCCGGCCCCCAAAAGAACTCATTGTGGTTTGAATTTCTCTTCTTCCGTTGTGATGCGAGAGAGAGGACGCGGAACTCTAACGCCGATGCGTGCTGTAGACCAAAAGCCCGGTAGATAAATGGCTTATCTTATCACCACGTGACAGCGTGCGATGCAGCCTGGGGGTTGTTTGGCGATGCATCAATGGAGCTTGCCGCACCATGGGCATTAATCGATTGCCCGCCAAACAAATTTCGTCACAACAAGGCCTCAATTAGCGTCGCTTCCCCCGGACTTATTTTAACCAGTGGCCTCCGCCAAGTTGATAGACAAGTCCTACGCCCAACATGGCGCCCGCGCAACCCGAACTCAAAAGGTATCTTGAGACTCGCTTCCGCAAAACCAGCTCCGCTTGGAGCGGGCAGCTTTTGACCCCCTCGACGTGCGGGCCAGCGCCATGCCAGTACTCCGCTGACGCTACGTTGCAGTATCTCGACAAGAGGCTATTTGTCCAGCTCAATGGAAGCCGCAAGGTCATTGGAGTTCTCCGAGGTTACGATGTGAGTTCCCAGGTCCCCGTCCTCCCTCTGAGGCGGGCAGAACAGTTTACTAACTCCAAAATTACCAGGTCTTCCTCAACATTGTCCTCGATGAGGCTGTCGAGGAGAAGGAGGGAGGAGAGAAAGTCAGGCTGGGCATGGTAGTACGTTGTTGACCCTTTGGATTCTCCCGCTAGGTAGGAGGACCTTGAGATGAGCTAACATTTTTGCCTGCGTCTAGGTTGTCCGCGGAAACTCGGTCGTGATGCTTGAAGCGCTTGAGAGGATCGGTGGCGATGATCGCGGCGGTCGATAATGAAACGAACCAAATCAATGATGTCAAGGAGTCTGTTTTCGGAGCATCCAAGCGGCCGGCGTAGCACTCCCCATTTAACGAACGAACCTCCGGGCAGCCATCACCATGCCTAAGTCGCAATGCGTCGTTGGGGAATGCACCGACTCTTAAACAAAAACGAGAGGTACACCGGGAGGAATACCGGCGACGGGATTATAGTGTTCCGTCTCGTGCGTGAGACCCCAACGCCTGGATACAAGATCGGTCGGTTGAGCAGCTGCACTAAACCTATATGAAAAGTGAAAGCAAAAGAGTAGATACCCAAGGATGATTCTCCTCGGATTGTACGTCTGATTCAATGAGTTATACACAAAATAAAGAAGAATTCAAGAGCATGAGACTACGCATTCGTCCAGGTTGAAGTAGGACCTATTTCTTGGCGTTAGGCCAGACCTTTTCGTCGTACCAATCCATGCCCCTTGAGCCGTAGGCTTTGACCCATCCTTTTATACCCCCTCGAGATACACGCTTTGGATCTTCTTTTCGCCAACGTCGTCAAGGTAGTCCTGCATCCAGCCGGCAGCCCTCGGCCCACGGCCCCCGCAGCTCCCTGTAAGCGAATCAGTAATGCAGGCCTCGTGGTCGGCCAGTGCGTGTAGGGCGGGAAAAGAGAAGACAGGATCAGGACAAAGGGCAGAAGAGGAAATCCCTAGACGCACCGCAGTAGAAAATAATTAGCTCTACGCCTGCCTGCTTGCAGAGCTGGTAGACCATGGGCCGAGTCTGGTAGAGGGTGTGCGCAGGCAAATTGATGGAAGAAGCAATGGTGCCACCTTCCCAGTCAGTCCGGCGAACATCAACGAGTAAGAATCGGCGGTGCGCATTAGCGGCGCCGAGGGGCTGGCCCTCGAGATCGGCGAGGACGGTCTCGGCCGGGACTGAAGAGACGTTGGCCTTGGGTTCGCCAAAGGCCTCGTGCCACGGAGCTTCCCCGGTTTGCTGGGCTGCGGCCATTGTTGCAGTCGTGGGCAATTTAGCACCTTCTAGGTTGAGAGCTTGCGAGGACAAAGTGCGGAGAGTCTTGAGCCCACGGGTGGAAGGCTGGGAGTTTTGGGAAAGAGGAGATCGGCGTGGTGGGCTACTATGACAATCAAGGTGGTGGATGCTGGATGTGCTTGATGTAAGCTCGGTCGTTGTTTGGTGCAGGATGTCATTGCCGGAGGGCGGGGTACCCACGGCTTCGCGCCAGGCTCCAACAAAGCATGTCCGCGGCGAAGAATCGGCGCATCTTGCTCTAGGCTGGGGGCGAGGGCCACATGGGGGACTGCACGAAACACTGCCTTGTTGCACGAGTCTAGGATGAATGGCAACGAGGTTTTTATTTATGCCCTCGTCGATAGTTGCTTGTCTGGGGAATGGCAGAGTGTCGGCTTCATATTCAGGTAAATCGCTGTGCCAGAGGTTGTTGGAAAAAAGATCAATCACATGGAACTCGAGATGCACCCAAGGACATACTATGGATAGCTTCGATCTGCAAGTGGCTCTCAGCGCGGAAAAATCCAAATTTAAAAGAAGATCACTGGCGTGCACCGTCCCGAACGCCGTCACCAGACGACATCATGCGAACATTGAACTTGAAGCTGGGAGAAGGGGCATGCGCTGGCCTGTGCAATTCTTACCATCGAATCCACCCTGACAAGCCTGGTTTGTCTTCCGAACAGACAAACGTCCAACGCCCCGCGGCGGGGTCTTCCAGAAGAAGTGCTGGGCTGGCCCAGTGCATGATTAGTGCACGACATCAATCCACAGATGCCAGCTTCAATGTTCGGAGCTCAGGCGCCATTTCCCAATCAGAGTCTATCAAAGCCTCCACTGGCAGGATGGTTCATCTGCTCCTGTTTGGCACTGTTCCTGCACAGACCATGTTCTAGTACATATCGTAACATGCATCCGAACATGCATCTACAAGTACACAGTACTTTTTCTGCGCCAGCATTTGGCGCGCTGGGACTTTCTACCCAGTTAAAACGACGAATTTCTCATCCTCGCTTCGCTTTTTCCTTTGTCCCTCCAAAGCTGCGTGTAGGCACGTACATCTGTGTCTGAAGATCAATTTTCGAGTCATCCCTCCATCATGCCCAGGATGCTGCTATTGCCCCTTTCAAAAGCATTCTTTTGATAAACCGAGCTACTGATCTCTACGTGTTCGTGTGGAATATTTGGTTCTCTCCTGGTCATGCCGTGGGTTGAGCAAGACGGAGCAAGAAAAAAATCAAAAGTCCAACGAGAAGCTCGGTCGTCGCCAATTTTAACTCCCTTCAATTTAGCTCCAATTCATACTAACTTTTTTTTTTTTTTTTCATACCTCACCCTCCACTCATCACTCATCCCCTCCATTCGGGCCCTTGCCACCCAACTTCATAACCTTATCTCTTCTTGAGGAAGCTGCTTCTTTACAAGAGCCTCGGATTAGGAGTGCGCTCTAGTTTTCCCCTCTCCTCTTGGAGAAGAGAAACACGCCGGCGCTTAACGGCCGCCCGTGGAATCTCATCTCTCATCTCTTCACCCCGCCATCTGTCCCATCGACCCCTCCAAACGGCCTCATACCCTTGTCACCTATCACACCCACCACCGCTTTCCACCACCCCAACTAAGAATTGGGCCGGACCCCTCTTCTCTTCTCACAATGGCAGCCGTCGCGCCCGCGACCGCGCCTGTCGACGAGGACTCCAAAATCGAACTCTACAAGGATGCCCTCTACGATGCATGTCGTGCCAGTGGCACCGATCAACGGCTCTTCTCGCAGCAGGAGCTCCTCGATCTTGGCGCCATCCCTGCCAACGACTTGACAGTCCTTAAGTCGGTACTGCAACGGCTCAACGATGAGCGGTTGTTGATCTTATGCCAGGGGCCAAATGGCCTGGCCTTCAAATGGCGAGAGCAATCCGAAGCAGAGAAGTATGTGCCACCCCAGTACTCGATCCTCTCGGCAGGAGAGGGGGGAACTTGGTTCTCTTGGCGATGGCTAACGCAAGGACTAGGTACAAAAGTGTGGAGACCAGGAGCAGGCCATGGTCTACTCGGTAATCGACGATGCTGGAAGTGATGGGATATGGTCACAGACCATAATCAGGCGGTTACAGATGCATGAGAATGTTTTCAAAGCAGCGATCAAGCATCTCATCCAGAAGAAGCTGGTCACCCCGTTCAAGAGCGTCGAACATCCTAACAAGAAGATGTACATTAAAGCCTCGCTCCGACCGTCGGAGAAGGCCACCGGCGGCCCTTGGTTCACGGATCAGAATCTTGACGAAGCCTTCATCGAGGCTCTCCAGTCAGTTATCTATGACTTCATCAAGTCGAAGAGCACATATCGCAAAGGATCGGGAGTCACTCATCGACAACAGCCGAAGAAGGGTGTGGTACGAGGTAGCGTGGAAAAGGTGAAGAAGCGAGCGGCGGATCAAATGAGCACGGACGACCCGTCGACAACGAAATCTTCGGCGCCTGCCGTAGGCGCGCCCAAGGAGCGTGACAAGGAAAAGGAGAGGGACAAGGAGAAGGATATTCTCCTCCCCATGCCGGCGGGCTATCTCGATTACCCGACAGTGAGCGACATAGCCAAGGTGTTGTCGAAAACGAACATCACCAAAACCATTCTCAGCGAGGAGGACGTGCAAAAACTAATTGACGTTCTCATCGCCGACGACCTGATCGAAGAGGCCTTTATCACAGGCAGGAAAAGCTTCCGCATCGTTCGCCCAACGCAACAGAGCTTGGAGGGCTGGGCAGTCAAGCAGGGCACTGCGGGCGACGATATCGAGGCCGGTCCGGACCTGTATAGGAACGGCTTCACGCACATCCCTTGCGGCAAATGTCCCGTCTTTGATCTTTGCGAGCCAGGTGGTCCTGTTGCCCCCAGCAATTGCGAGTACTTTCAATCCTGGCTCGGAAAGGAGTAGCTTCTGCCGCTGGGGGTGGGGAGGGAACATGAGACCAGAAGTAACGGGTGGTTGAAGTGGTGGCGAAGAAGTGAGGGGAGAGATGCTGAATGCAAAATACTTGATGATAACGACTAATGTATGCATACCAAACGTATATACAAAGGCACGGAATGGCTGGGTTTTTATATATTTTTCTTTCAGCCTATACGCTTTGCTGGAGGTTTGGGACTCGTGTATCCCTTTTATGTTAGAGGTGGTACCGGCGCTGCTTCCACTTGGTTAGGAAGACGCAAAGCCATCCCGGTTCTAGGGCCTCTCCTAACAATTGATTAGGATGAGAGACCTCGGGTCTACGTAGGGCTGAGCATTTTGGACACCTGAGCGAGCAAGCTAGCACTAGATTAAGCATAGCGAGACACGAAAGATAACCATAGACGATATGGATCATAGGTTATCAACAAGAAACCAGAGAAGTCCAGCGGTCCAAAATATTTTCTCGATAGCTGTGTATCCATCAATATCGTCGCAACTTTACTCGTAAGCCAGCGAGTGTCTAAGTCTGTCACGCAAGAAACGTTGAAGCAAGAGACAAAAAGCCCAAGACTGATTCTACAGGTCTCTTTTGAAAATAAATAAGAGGCGCAGGACTAGACAACCCCAGTATCTGGGCCTGATGTCACGAGAGTGCTCTTCGTGTCAGGAGAAGAGGCATGACGGACGAGAGACGATGAGGGCTTGGATCAGCACACCGGATGCCGATACTTGGATCTCGCCCAGTTTTTACCGCATATTTGTTTCTCGCGCTGGAGTGGCGGGGAGGTCTTTTGTTGTTGTGAGCCCCCAAGATCAAGGCCGCGACCTCCGTCCGCCTTCACTACCTACCTACTCACCTATACTTTCGAGAGGGGGTTTAATAACATACGAGAAAGAAATAGCCTCGTAAGCCATTTTTATAATAGCACGATCTTGCCACTAGATTTGAGCTTACGAGGGAGGGGGCGGGTCAGGTCAGGGCCAAGCGGTTGACCACTGTCAACGAGATGGAAGGTGTTCCTGGACTAGCCTGCATGGAAGTGTTTGAAGAGCCATGGCCGGATGGCTGGTCTGGTCAAAGGGCTAATATTTTCCGAATGGAATTTTCCACATCAACCTTGCAACCCCCGCAGAAAAAAAAAAAAAAAGACCATTGAAAGCAATAACTCGACGTCGCTATAGCGCGTTGCGTGGTAGCAGCGGCCGCATGGGTTGTTACTCCTGCCGGCTGTTGAATTTATCCCCGCGAACTCCCATCCCGTCCCTGGGCGCGTCATCTGCCGACTGGAGGTGGTCGCCGAACCAACCACGCGGGTTCGAAGCACTTTGGCGTCTTCTTTCTTCAACCACCTCCCTTTCTTCTTTTTCCTATCGAGCTGAGATCTGTGCTATTGTACGAAACAAAGCCCCGCTACAGGGTAGTCTGCCGCTGAGCGGGTGGGGTGCCGTTTGGCGGATGGGGCGACTTTTTCTTTTTCCTTCCTCCCTTTCTTCCGCCCGTGATCAATCCTATTGCGGGGTGGGAGGTGGTGAATGGTGGTGGCGTTTCTTTGTCGTCTGGGGCGATTAGGCTTGGCCTTTTGACGGGCCATCATTCCCCCACGGGGTTAACAACCACTACGGAGAGTTTTCGTTGTTTCGTCTCTGTGTTTCCTATGTTCTCTCCTCTCCTCTTTTTGCTCTGATAAGCTCGGCGGGTGGTGCTATATCACCAGCGGCTAGCCTCTGGCCGATATTCTGAGTGGCGGGCAGGTAAGAAGAACCGACTTGCTGCTGTCACGATCCCTGCTTGTGCTCTATACTCGACATGTTATTTACTCGTCGCTGAGGCTACACCGGCTTCTTCCAACTAAGAAGAAGGTTATGATAACGCCTGATCGTGCATCCAGCCCTGTTCCTTGTTCTCTCTGCTATTATCTCACTCAGTAATGGCTTGTCGTTGATATCCCTTCCCCCACTTCCCTCTCACCATGCTCTCTGCTGCCCAGGAAACATACCGCGAGGTTGGAACGCAGACCAGCCGCCAGCTTTGACGATGGGGTCGCCTAGCCTCTTCTCTCTCTTTTGCGCTCAACATTCGCTTTGTTTGCCCCGCTCATCCTAGGGATGTAGAACTTGGACATGGCGCTTGGGTAAGATGCGAAGTCGTGGCTGGCTGGTGCTCCTTGGAGATGATATTAGCAATGCTGATGTATAGGTCGCTACGATGAAGAGCAAGCAGAAGTGGTATCGTTGGAAGAAGATAAATAGAAGATTGGATTCCGGCGACAGGTTTCTCAATTCCTAGTCTTCTCATCATCATCTTCACCATCAACACAATAAGCAAGATACAGCTACACCTCATCCTCCTCTCAGCCCATAACTCCCTTTCCGTCTACATCCTCCTCCTCTCCCCATACTTCCTGCTCTTCGCTCCCCACCTCTATTCCACAACACAAAAGACGTCAGTCAAAAACCAAACCATGTCTCCAAGACGCCATCACATCCTCCTGCTTCTCGCGGGCCTCTCCCAGGCGCAGCACCTCGCTAGCCTACCAAAGGGCCGCTACGACGACGAAGCCTCCATTTCCCCCTCGCATACACAGATTTCGCCACACTCGAAGCCCGTCAAGCGCCTGGGCCACCCCTAGCTCGGGCGGTTCCGGAGGGGCTGGCGGGAGTGCCGGTGGGTCTGGTGGCTCCGCGCCTGGAGGTGGTAGCGGTGGTAGCGGTGGTAGCGGTGGTGGCAGTGGTGGCAGTGGTGGAGGTTCCGGCAGCGGTAGTGGCGGAAGCAGCAGCCCCGGCGCTTCCCGGTGTGCTGCCAACGAAGTTGCCTGCGACTCCACCTGTATTCCTGCCGGCTCTACCTGCTGCCAACACGGAAACAATGCATTCTGCGCCGCCGGCGAGTACTGCACCGGTCAGAATACGTGCTGCGCCCTAGGCAACGCGTGTCCCGGACCCGGCGTCTGCGCACCCGGCACCTCCAGGTGCGGAGTCGGTTGTATCCCCGAGGGATTCGTCTGCTGCTCTGACCATTACTGCAAGTAAGTTTTATCGGAACCTAGTTCATTGGTTCCCCCGCTTTCCGTTTCCCTTGCTAATCAATCTCCTTTTCCCTCCCGGTTTAGCCCCGGAGACTCTTGTTCTGCAACGGGATGCTCGAGAGCGACGTCCGCGTCGTGCTCTGCTAGGACTGTAACGGTCACTGTCACCGGAGGAGGATCAGGTGGCGGCGGCGGCGCTGGCGGAGCTGGTCCTCGACCTCGCGCCCCGCCGGTCCTCCCAGTTCTAGCAGTGCCCCGGCGGTGGTTCCGGAGGTGGCGCCGGTTCTGGCCCGGGTGCGGGCGCTGGTGCCTCTGGTGGTGATCGCGGCGTCACCTTTACATCCTCATCTGGTGCTCCCCGCCCAACGGGCGGTGCTGGTGCCGGTGCTGGTTCTTCGGGTGGGGACCGGGGTGTCACTGCTACCTCGTCCGGTGGCGCGAGCCCAACTGGAGGAGCAGGTGCGCCTGGCGGTTCTGGCGGCGCGCCTGGTGGCTCAGGTTCTGGTGCCCCTGGCGGCTCGGGTTCCGGCGCGCCTGGTGGTTCTGGCGGTGCGCCTGGTGGCTCAGGTTCTGGTGCTCCCGGCGGTTCTGGTGGTGCGCCTGGTGGCTCAGGTTCCGGTGCCCCTGGTGGTTCTGGCGGTGCCCCTGGTGGTTCTGGCGGTGCCCCTGGTGGTTCTGGCGGTGCCCCTGGCGGTTCTGGCGGCGCCCCTGGTGGCTCAGGTTCTGGTGCCCCCGGCGGTTCTGGTGGTGCGGGTGGCTCAGCAGATGATGCAAGCGAGACCCAAGCTCCTCGTGGCGGCGCTGGTGCTAGTGGCGGACCCGGTGCCGGTGCTGGTGCTGCCCCATCCACGACGTCTCGTGCACCAGGCGCCGGTCCCAGCGGCGGATCCGGAAGCTCTCAGACCTCTGCTCCCGCGCCAACCTCAACCTTTGTCACTGCCGGTTCAGCAGCGTCTGCTTGCTTCAACTGGGGGAGTGCACTTGTCGCTGTGATGGTTGGCGCGCTTCCTTACGTCATGTAGACATTGAGCTCGCCTCATGTCAGGACTTGGGTGGAGAGGTACGCAACGAAAAAGCTCAAAAGGATGGTGGGAGAATACGACGACTGGTATGATTTGACGATACAAAGACAAAGGATGATTTCACTGTTTGGCTCTATTTCTTTATTGTAGTAAATTCCTTTTTTCCAGTTTAGATGCTAGTTTTGCTTTGGTTTGATTTGCTTTGGTTTGGCTACGCGTGTTATTCTGATGCGAAGAAGCAAGGGGGTGGGTCAACTAGATTCTATGATATGATATTACGAAAATACAGAAATGAATAATTCTTAAAACTTAGGGTGCCTTGCCTGCGTAATCGACGAGCACTGCCGGAGACCACCGCACGAAGACGTAGCTCTTCTGTAGCACTTGAGCAAGGGAGGAAACAGCACCTCGACTGCTGTGTGTTAGTCCACACCGGCCGGAGGAGTCCCCGAGAATGCTCTCTTCTGAGTGGCCCGTCATTCGGCCGGCTCCGAGTGTGTCAGTTGTGTGCAGTTGAGGAGCGGTTGGCTGTCCATGGCAGGTTCGCACCCCACCTTCGGTCCCGCACGGACCAGAGGGGTACGGGAGGAAGCTTTCCCATATTTGGCCAATCAGAGGCGGGCAGCGGAACCATCGAAGGAGCTAGAATGATGGGTCGACAGCGTTGTTGCTGGGCTGGCTCAGCCTTCTCATTCCTGTCGCTTGCTGGTGGTTGCCTTCGCTTTTTTCTTCAAGCTTTCTTCTCCCCACGTCCTCCCCTTCTCCTCCCATTTCCCCTACTCCCCCAACCCGTTTTCAATTCTTGTCACTTGGAAGCCTTTGGAACCCGTTTTCAAGAAACAATCTCTCTCTTGTATCTCTTGTATTTAGATTCTTTATACCCTGAAGAACCCCCATCCCTCCCCTCCTCCACACTGCCACTATCGTCATGGCGTCCGCAGACGAGCTCAAGACCAAGGGCAACCAAGCCATCGCGGCGAAGAATTTCGATGAGGCCATGTAAGTTGAATACGCTTTCTCGACCTTGAAGAAGAAATTGGAGCGACTAACTCCCTGTTCTTTCATGACAGCGATTTTTTCACCCAGGCTATAGCCATCCAGCCCGAGAACCACATTCTCTACAGCAACCGATCCGCCGCCCATGCCTCCAAGAAGGATTGGAAGCATGCCCTTGCCGATGCTGAGAAGACGACACAGCTCAAGCCCGACTGGGGCAAGGGCTGGGGAAGGAAGGGTGCCGCATTGCACGGCAACGGCGACCTTCTCGGTGCCGCTGATGCGTACGAGGAGGGCCTAAAGATTGACCCCAACAATGCCCAGCTCAAGAGTGGCCTCGACTCCGTGCAGAAGGCAATTGAGACTGATGGTAAGTTATGAGCCATAGCGCGGACCTCAATACATTTAGACAATTGCATGTGAGCTAACTAGTCGATTTCAAAGGTGGCGATCCGGGTGCCGGCCTTGCCAACATGTTCAGCGACCCCAACCTCATCCAGAAGCTTGCGTCTAACCCCAAGACGAGCGCGTATCTCGCCGACCCCGCTTTCATGCAAAAGATCAACCAGTTCCGGGAGAATCCCAAGAACGCGCAAGACATCTTCAACGACCCTCGGATGATTCAAGTATTGGGCGTCCTGATGGGTGTCGATATGAGCGTTGTTCCCCCGGCCAGGAGCCTCCCTCGTACGCCGGGGCAGAGGATGCAGAGATGGAGGATGTCCCCCTCCGCCTAGGCCTGCTTCTAAACCCGCCCCTCCGCCTGCGCGTGAGCCCGAACCCGAGCCCGAGGAGGAGGACGAGGAGGCACTTGAGAAGAAGAAGGCCAAGGAGGCTGCCGAGAAAGAGAAGGCCCTCGGAACCGAGAACTACAAGAAGCGCAACTTCGATGATGCCATCAAGCACTATAGCAAGGCATGGGAGCTTCACCAGGACATCACTTATCTTAACAACCTTGGCGCCGCGTACTTCGAAAAGGGCGACTACCAGGCTTGCGTGGATGCTTGCACCAAGGCTGTCGAGGAGGGCCGAGTCATCTATGCCGACTTCAAGATGATTGCCAAGAGCTACGCCCGTATCGGAAGCGCCTACGAGAAGTTGGGCGACCTCCCCTCGCCATCCAGAACTACCAAAAGTCGCTTACCGAGCACCGTGTTCCCGATGTCCTCAACAAGCTAAAGGCTGCCGAGCGCAACAAGATTGAATCCGCCCGCCTAGCCTACATCGACCCCCAGAAGGCCGAGGAGGCGCGCGAGGAGGGCAACAAGAAGTTCAAGGAGACGGACTGGCCCGGCGCCGTCGCCGCCTACAGCGAGATGATCAAGCGCTCCCCCGATGACCCCAGGGGATATAGCAACCGCGCTGCCGCCTTTCTCAAGCTCTTCGAGCTCCCCAGCGCGCTCGATGACTGCGAGACTGCCATTAAGAAGGATCCCAAGTTCATCCGTGCCTACATTCGCAAGGCTCAAGTATATCACGGCATGCGCGAATATTCCAAGGCCGTCGATGCCTGTGAGGAGGCCAACCAGGTCGACCAGGAGCATCACTCTGGTGCCAATGCTAGGGAGATTGAGTCGCAGCAGCAAAAGCTTATGCTGCCATGTACTCGGCCCGCGAAAATGAGTCCGAAGAGCAGACTAGGGAGCGTCTCCAGCGCGACCCCGAGGTGAGTCAACCCGTTTTATCCTAGTATTCCCTCCCTCCCCTATATCCGAGCTACCACGACTAACTCTTTTCTTTCTTTCCAGATCATGAGCGTCATGCAAGATCCCGTCATGCAGTCCATTCTGCAGCAGGCTCAATCTGACCCCGCTGCTCTTGCCGAGCACATGAAGAACCCGGGCGTCAGGTCCAAGATCCAGAAGCTTGTGGCTGCTGGTGTCATCCGCGTCGGGCGATAATTCGGAGGCTTATGAAAGAAGATGAAAAAAAGACTATGCGGCTTCTCGGCGTTTTCTTGTGTTTCCCTCTTATCGGCCGTGAAGTGGAGGCGATGGGCAGTTGTTGATGAGGGACGGTTCAGGTGTCTGTTTTTGTTTTTTTCTCCTCGTTTTTTACTGTACAATCGGGTTATAGCATCAGGGTAGCTTCATTTGCTTTCTCTTTTCCCCACGAGTAATTCAACTTGATGATTCACGACTTTCTTTCCTTCTTGACTATTTCACGTGGTAGATGTGTTAGCCTAGTGTGAGGCTGGATAGGGAATAGCAACAGGTGATGGGGAAATAGACATTTGATGGTTCTCTTGGCCAATGTAGGGCCAACTAAGGAGCCGATTTGATGGTAGATAATTACATGGAAGTTGTTCCCTTCCCAAAAACGCCGGAAACAGGAAGGAAAAGGGCAAACAAAACAAAACCTAGTGTCATCGGAATAGCGACAGAATAAAACAGCAAGTACCAAGATGAGCGGGAGATGGTCGATGAAACCACTCCAAGGATCGTTATAGTAAACAGAGAGAACTGGCAAATGGCAGAAACGACAAGACCAAACTCGACAAACAAGTCAGGGGCTAAGGCGTGCTTCTCGCCCCTAGTATTCTTATCATCAACCCCTTTTCGTCTCGCGTCATCTGTTCTTCTGCTTCTTCTTCTTCTTCTTCTCAAATCAAATCAAACCAGCCCTAGCAGCCTCGCCGGCGCCATCCTGGACAAGGTCCTCAATCTTCTTCTTGCCGCGGCCGATACCGCCCTCGCCGACGCCCATTCTCCTCGCGACGTAGCGCTGGGCGACGACGCCGGTGGAGAGGGACAAGGTCTCTTCGACCCACTCGGCGACCCACTCGCGAGGTCAACGCCGCCGGCCTCGACAATCTCGCGAATCTCTTCCGGCGTGGTGGCGGGGAGAGAAGAGTCGGCGTGGGGGCGGCGTCGTCGCCCGAGGAGGCGGGGGTGAGGGGGAGGGTGCGTCGAGCCACTGGATCCAGCGGGCGGGGATGGTCTGGCTGACGCTGGCGTACTCGATCTCGTGGACGGGGTCGAGGATGAAGACGGCGAAGCAGACGAGCTCGTCGGGGCGGTCCTGGGCCTCGACGGTGGAGTCCTCCTTTTCCTTTTCGACGGCGGCGGGGCGGGCGAAGAGGGTGGCGTCGGAGTCGACGCCGACGGCCTGCACGGAGAGGAAGAGATCGGACGTGCGCACGGGGTTCGTGGAGCTGAGGGGCTCGGTGGCGCGGATGCGGGCTCCTCGAGGCCGCCGCGGGAGGCAAAGTACTCGTCGGCGTAGGACTCGGCGTTGGCGCGGCAGAGCTTCGTGCCTTCGCGCAGGCCCTTGACGATGCCCAAGTCGCGCGGGGGTCGACGGCGCGCCACCAGGGGCCGTCCCGCCAGCCGGCCGATTCGGCACCGGCGGCGCGGCGGCCCGTCATCTCGTGGCCGCGCTGGATGACGAGGAGGTCGCCGCCTTCTACTTGGGACATGACGCGGGCGAAGACGTCGTGGATCATGGGATCGAGGGAGGGGTAGCCGACGAGGTCGTGGGTGATGTGGATGTGGAGACGCTCGTGGGAGCTAATGGGTGGGGCGAGGGTGTGGAGGATGTTGGTGAACGTGGGCATGGCGCGGTGTCGAAGTTCGTCACCTATTTGGGGGAGGCGTGGGTGAGGGCGCGTGTTAGTCATGACCAAAAGGAAAGGTTTGGAATTTGGACCAAGGGCCAAAGAGCAACATGGGGGATAGTAATCTTTCGGAAGGGTGTGGAGAGTAATTCGATATCCTCTTCTCGCCGTACGTATGAAGCGAGGCGAGGGGAGAGAAGATGTGGGCGAAGAAATAAGGGGAGAGCTTACCGAATCCTCGAAGGACAGTCACATTGCCCTTGACCTGATCCGTCCACTTCTTGGCCTCTTCGCTCTGCTGCAAATCCTTGACAGCAGCTTCGGCGGTCTTCATGGCCGCAGAGGCAGCCCCAAAACGCTTCCCCACCAGCCGCCACCGCCTTGTGCGGATGCGGCAGCGGCGTGCTGCTGCTGCTGCTGCTGCTGCTGCTGCTGCTGCTGCTCGCCGCTAGAGACGGCGCCCTTCTTCTCGGATTCCTGCAGATCGGAGCTTGTGGCGCTCGGGGTGAAGCTCGCACGCAAGGAGGTGGCGCTCTCCGTGGACTTGCGGGGGCCGGGAGCGTCGACGGAGCGTCGAGCTGCGGCGGGCGAGCCCTTGGGACCGGCGGCATCTCGAACGCGCGGGGTGTGGGGGCGGGAGGGGGTTTCTGGGAGGACAGCTCGTTCTCGAGCTCGGCGAGAATGTCGTGGTCGGCGATGGCCTTGGCGGCGGCCGAGGTTGGCTTGGGCTTGGACGGCTTCTTGGCGGTGTCGGGGCCGATGCCCTCGAAGAGCTCGTCGACCTCGTCGGTGGGGGCGGCCTTGGTACGTTTGGCGGCGGCCATGGCTTTTAGGTTGTGTGGATTATTTGCAAGAGGGAGGGGGTGCTGGCGGGGGCGGTCTGGTTTGTCGAGCAATTGAAAATGGACTTTGTGAAGAGCTTGGGTGGGAACTTGGTAAAGCAAGACGGGGTAAGGACGAGATCCGGTCCGGGTGCAGAGGAGGAATGAGGAAAAAGGTAGGCTGTGGATTTGCTTGATCCCCTTGGTTTCCTGGGGGAAAGGTCAAGGTGGTGAAGTTAATGTGGAGAACGGCCTCTGTCAGTTAGTAGTTTGGAGGTTGTCCGGTTTCCACCACAAGCATGAGGAGAGCAACAGCCAATCGTTACGAGAGCAAGTCACGGGATGATGATGCTTCCTGATGATTGCAGTGATTGAGGGGTGGGTCCGGCCTCTCCCCCGTTGTTTGTGCGGTGGAGCTGTTTCTTCTTTAGTGGATGTCTCTTAATATCATGTAGTGGCATCAATTGCAACCTATCCTATTAATCGCATGTGCGCTCGAGAAAGAGTGTCTTTTGTGTTAGTGTATTTGACAGGTTGAAAATGGTTGCTGTTTGTTGCCTACGAGGTTTAGCGGGGGATGTACCCCACAGGTGGAAACTGCATGCTTAGGGTACATCAAGCTGATCCTTATGCAGGGTCGGCCTTGGTATGTTCCAGACGGAGGAGGTGTCGATGCTGATGGGGAATGCAGCGACAGGGAGGAAGAAGACGTCGGGTCAATCACGGACGGGGCGACAAAGAGAAGATCTGCCAGAGCAACATTGGGTTCTGAGGATGGGTGAAACAGCGATTGCCTCCGATGCCTTACCTCAAAGACTCAAAGCCACAATTGTGTGCTGAGACTTGATATCATTGGATGGACGACCACGATCGTGGTCTGATTCGAGAATTGGAGAGGGAAGAAAAATAGAATGGAAAGCATGGAGAGAAGCCATGGGATTCTATCATTGTTCGAGAAAAGATGCCCAACGATCGGTTCTGCGTATGAAGAAGAGGGGGGCAAGCTGATGGGTTAGTGAAATCATGTTTGCGCAGAGGCTTTCCACGTATCATCGATCGCAGGGTCTCCTAACGGGAGATTTGGAGAGGGATTGAGAGCGTCGAGCCCAACACCAAGCCTACAATGAGAAGCGTAGCGCCTGAGGTGGCCGCGCTGAAAATGCATCAGGGTAAGGCTCTGCGAGACAGTAAGTCGGGAGATATCGTGGGCCTTGGTGCAGAGCCCAAGACGACGATGCACGTCTATTTCGCTTCCTTTGTCCATTTCCCTTTCTTCCCTCCCTTCCCTTGAGGGCTGAACGGAAGGATTCAATATACGGCCTGCAACTTGCTCTGCCCACGATCTCGGATTTTGGGATTTTTGGAAAAAAGCTAATACTTGATGCAAGGTTTTTTTCGTCCTCCCCCTGCCAGGACATCATAATTGTCTGTACGCCATAATGGATGGTTGACATGGGTTAGTAGCCCGTTAGGGACATCCCGTGCTAATATGGCCAAGAGTAATGCTCTGCACGCAAAATTGAGGTTTCCCAAGCACGACTTTGCGAAGTCTACTTGTATTAGAAGTCTCTTAGAGATAAATTAGGTGAAGATGGAGCCGATCAAAGATATCACAGATATTTGTCTTCGCGTCTAGGGTCCTCCCGCCGCCCCTTTCCTCCAGTGCTCCGGCCGGGTGTCTACTATTGTGTGCGCATGCTTACGTGCATAAAAACAAGAGTTGAGTTTCAACAGTGGACGAGACTGACGGAATGGCTCGGAAGGATGTGTGCGAGATGAGGGCGCGATGGTCCTACGTGTCAGTCGGGTACCTTGAGAGGTACTTCGGCTGGCGAGACTGCCTGATTCGGACGGGGTACAGTATTCATACAGTCTAATTTTGAGACGGCTGCGTATTAATAGATGCTCGACTCTTACAACAAAAGATCGAAGACACCCTTATTGCGAAGACATGGGGCAAAAATTGACTCTCACTCTTTGTACCTCGGTATTGTCTAATACAATAGATATCTCTGTCGGGTGATTTGGTTCTACAAGCTATCATTCCTTGCGGTGGGAAACCTCAGTGAGGCAAGGCAGTGGCCAAAAGATCTGAGATGATACTTGGGAGTGGGAGAATCAACAGCAGGAGAGAGGAAAAAAGGAAAAAAGGGGACTCTGCCGAAATCGCGGGAGCAAGGCCGCACTGTGCAGGGGTATCGGACGAGAGACGGTGGCCAATGGGAAATTCGAAATTGAATTGCATTCCATTCGGGCGACGTGGAGTCGAGGACGGTTTGGGAGGGAGGCCAAGTACCTGACGTGTACACGCCGTGGTCGTGCGTGGGTGATTAGACAGCGCGGCCAGCTTGAACAGTGCGCCTCCTCTCACGGGCGCACCACAATGGTAATAACTCGACCAGCGTAGCGGTTTTCCCACCCAACAGCCTGTAATTGAAGTTCAATGTTTCAATCCGGTGGGCTCGAGTGGTGCTGAGCGTAGTGTAGATGGAGGTGGCTCTGGTGGACGGGTTACGAGGGTGCGTCCGCTCTGATTCCAAGCGGTTGGGTCGTTCTCTCGGCAGCTTGAGGTCGGCAGCGCTGAGGAGCAGGCGGTTACAATTATTACAGTGGACATAGTGATCCAGTCGCTTCAATAACACTCGAAGCCTAGTGTCGATGGAGCAGCGCTCAATGCGGACGAAGGCCCTACAGCTCAAGCTACGAAGTATTAATTGCTGAGCCTGATCGTGGAGGTCGTAGTGCTGTCACTTGCACGAGGTTGATTTCCTTGCTGTGCTGGGAGTGGACCAAGGTCAACGTGGATTGGTCCATTGCTCCCTGATCCACCCCCGAGGTGCCCGCCGCCTCCTCCAACGGCTAGGCCAGAGACACCTGCTAGAGTGGCAGCCTTTCCATTTTTCAGATCCGATCTGATTTCGGGATATCTGACGCCAGGTCGCCCCTTCCTTTACCATCACCGCGAGACACCAACAGCGACTGGTGCAATCGGAGAAAGAGAGAGATCGAATAGAAAATTTATCGATCCTCGTTTTTATCTATTGCAGAAAATTGCCCTTGACGCGAACGGGGCTTGGGTTCCGTTTTTTGCTCCAGCACACTTTTTTCTCCCTCTCGCTTTTGCATCTCCTTGCGCCTTGCCCTCTTTCATTTTCTCTCATCAATCTCCCCTCTCACCTATTCTCCGTCTTTTCTCTCACACACACACGCACGCACACACAATTTCTCAACTTCCACACTCTGCCCTAGTATCTGCAGAAACGTGTGAGCCAAGGCTCGATTCTTTTTATTTCCTGGTGCGTCTCGGATCAGGACTTGTAAGGCTCCGTACCCAACGCACAGCAAGCACCGGGCGCTGGTGGTCAGCTTGGACGCCTTCGCGGTGGCTCAGAATTTCGGGCGTCCCCTGGTCCGTCGGCAGCATTCTATTCACCTTTTTCTATAATTCAGGAGACATCTCCTCTAGGTAAGCCGCGTTTTCTGCATCCGATTGCATTTTACTCGCACGGGTTGGGATGCTGGGTGCTGGCATTCGGCGCATTATACTCATGTTCTCCAGCTTTTTGAGGCCATCCGCCCCGACCCATTTTTGGGGGCTTGTCAACTAGCAGCTAGCGCAGCACACTCCCGCTGGCTCTCACTCACTCTCAACTCACTCACAGACACCAATAGCCACACGCCAACCGTGCTAGGACTGGCTACCACAGACAAGACACAGCGCGCAGACCACACAGAGTCAACCACAACACCACACAATACCACACTTGGCTTTGGCTTAGTCTGGCTCCCACTCCTACTCCTACTCCCGCTCTCACTCCCAAACCGGCATCCACGCCAACACCTCCGCCGCCTCAGTAAATCTCGCCCTTCATTTTTTATTTTCCCCATATTCCTCTTTTACACATCAACCGACCACCAGATACCCACCCCAGGACCACATTTGGCATCCTAAAATTCACGTCTCCAGATTCTCTTCATGCGAGAGATCATCTTTATCTATTTTTAGACCAGAATCCATTTGAGTAAGTCTTGTTTTTCGACCTTGATTCTTGGCCCCCATGGCCCAGCTAGGCCATGAGGCTCTCCCTCTCACTCGCTCTCACACTCTTCACTGTTCCCTGCCGCCTGTACCGCACACACACACACACACACACAAGCAAGCACACACACACACCACACACACATACGCACGCACTCCAAGGCATCTCTCTCTCGAGTCTCATCTCATCTCCCCTTTGTTCGCGACTCATCATTTTCATCATCGCCTTCTGCCCGTTTTCCTTTGTCCATTCCTCCGCGCGAGTTCGCGACGGCATGACTTAGGTTAGAAGACAGCCGCATCGCATCTTTTTCATTTGCTTTTGCTCCCGTGTTGTCCGCCTTTGGGCTCCTTTCCGCTTCCTACACGTGTGTTGGACGACGCCGTGTCGTCGTCCCATTTTTTCTTCCTTCCCCCTTTGCGACGGAGCCGACGCTGGGCTTCCGCAAACCACGGACAAAGGCAAAGGAGATCAAAAACACACATCGCCCAGACACAACGTCGCGCGTTCTGGCGATTCTTCCTTTTCCCTTTTCGTATGTTCGTATTGGCCGCAAGCATTCTTTGGGTCTTTCTTTCATCGTTTTCCTTTGCCTTGCCAGTACCTGCTACCACCTCGCCTTCCAAAGCGGGCTCTCCCGTCCATTACCCGCAAACGTCATCTGGCGGCTTTCTCATTTGCACGCCCCTTTGCCACACTCCCCTTCTTGTCTTCACCTCATCTCAATAACTCCCCTCGTCTCTTGCACGCGTCGTCCCCGATTGCCTAGCTTCTGGGTATCCCCCTGCTCTCCCTAAACGTCTCCCTTTATCTCTCCCTCATTTCTTCCCATCGGCTATGCTTCCATCATCTTCTCTGCACCGCATTCTAACCTTTCGTTAGTCGGTATTGATATTAAAAACGCTCTCGCGTTTCTTCGTTATCACTATGCAGTCGGCACGCGGGGGTAAGCCTCGGGGAGCCGGCCGCCGCAAGACCCTTCCCGCCCTTGCCGGCTCCTCCCAGTCCACGGATTACTCCGTGGATGCCGACCCTGTCCAGCCCCCAGCCTCTCTTCCTCGGAAACGGTCTAAGACTACCGAACTCTTCGAGGGTGGCGATGATGCTGAGGACACTAATCAAAAGGGTGGTCACTCGCTTCGTAAGAGGACTCGCATTGACTACACCTTTGAGGACCTACACGACGATGGTACGCCCAGCCGCGTCAGGGGCCAACTAGGCGCTCCCACCGGATCCGCCCGCGGGCGCAAGAGGAAGGCCGAGCATGACGAGGAGCCCGAATTTGGGCCTCCTGCCCGAAGGCGCGCTACAGCGTACGACATCTATCACGGCCAACATCTGTCTCAAGACGGCTCTCCTCGGAGGAAAACCCTTCCCGTAGAACCGCCGAGAGCAAGTCGTATACCGAATTTGCCGACGAGCATGATGTCAAGGACACCATCGAGGTTGGCGGACGTGGCAACGACTCGGATTACGATGAGCATGAATCGCCCGAGGCCCGTCATGGCCAGGCTAACAACAATAACAACAACAAGGATGACGGCCCGAACTCGCCTGCCGAGCCTCCTCTCCCTGAGCGTTTCGTCATCGAGTTCCCTCTCCCCGCTGCACTCATCAAGGAAGCGGAGGCTGCTCGAGCCTCGCACATCACCAGGTCTCCGGAGCCCTTGGAGTCTCCTCGCACCCCGCAACACTCCAACGCTAAGCCCATGGCGGCTGAACCTTCGTCTACTCAAGTTTCGCAGAACCAGGAGGACGAGTCTTATTCGCAGCCTAAGGAAGAGCGGAGCCCCTAATCTCGCCCCGTACTACCATTCCCCAATCTCATATCCCAGTTGCCCCTCTAGCGCCGCTCAGCAGCTTGAGCACGAATCGGCAACGTCAGAATCCGAGCCCCAGGCCCCGAAGCCTCGTGGCCGCACCATGTCTCCTCGTGTTGCTTTTGCCGAAGACGTTGGAATGCAATCGCCTGCCCCGGCGCCTGTTGACCCCATCACCGCTGACGCCGCGCGGTCAAAGTCAGCCCCTCCCACGACCGCTGTCACCCAAACCGAGCCCGTTTTGCCGGAACCAGAGGTGGCTGCCCCTGAAGAAACAGTGGAGAAGCTTCCCTGGACCCTCCGCAACTCACCCCCAAATCCGAGCGCTTGAAGTCTCCACCAAGCAATGTGGACATTATGGACATGGACCTAGCCTCCACTTCGGAAACTACCGTGGCCATCACCATCACCGCGCCTCCTGATACCGAGGTGGTGATGACGACCCCTCCTAAACTAGATTCTTCTCAGCAGACCAATTCCATCAGCCCCTCCATCGACGAAGATATCGTTGCAACCCCAGAGAACCTGGAGGAAGAGGAACCCACAGTTGATATTCAAATGACCACGGAGGAGGACGAGGACCGCCACACGCCACCTCCCACCTACCCCTGGTCGCACCTCACCGCTCATCTTCCTGGTCAATGGGTCAAGCATCCGGAAAGCCGTCTCCCGCAGTTCGACGAGTCAGCCTCCCACGATGGCGTCAAGGCGTCGTCTTCTACCCCTATGACGAAGGCGGATGCTGAGATGATGGCGAATGGGGACGAAGACGCGGATCTTGGGGGCCCTGATGCCGAGCATGACGATGTTGATGAGCCTGTTGAGTCGGGCGCGGCGTCCCCGGCCTTGGCCCTTCCGGTCTAAACTCCCCTGTTCCTGAGCTTAACCACGCTACCGCTGCGAGCAGCCCTGCTGCCCATGACGACGATGATATTGATGAGGCCGAAACACACACACCCGACGAGCTCCCGGCTCAAAAGTTTTACGAATATCCTCGGCTTAGAGACACAGACGAGTTCAGGGATGTTCTCCAGAATTACAAGGATATGGCTGACGAGGAACTGTACGACATGTGCGCTCACGTCAATGATACTTTGGTCGCGCTCCAAGAAGAATACCTCAAGCTCGGCGCAATCGTTGACGATCACGAAAATATCGAGCGCCGCAAAGCCCACGACGAGGCTTATGAGCAGATGGAAAAGAGATCTGCTCGGGTCACCCGCAAGACGTTTATTGTCAAGGGCTATCGGGCTAAGCTGACGCCCGACGAGAGGGAGACGGCCTACTGGCGCAATCAAGATCGCATCCAAGCTGCTGCTTATGGCTTCCGCTATGATAGCCACCAGGCCAAGGTCGGCAAACAGGACCCCATCGCCCAGCGATACCCCGGCGACGTCGAGGATGGAGGCGAGCCCCGGCGCTCTCTCCGCAGCGACCCCTGCGATCTGCTAAAGCTACCGAGGCCGCCGATGAAGTCGCTCCCGTTGTTACGAGTAAGCGCATCAGGAAGCCTCGTGAATTATTCGACCCGGCCACTGCCGCTGCCACCGCTGTCGTCAGTCGGAGCGCTACACCCGTCCCACCCAGGCGCAAGCGAGGTAGCAGGCTTGTGGAAAGCTATACTGAAGATCTCGACCACGCGACTGGGGAGGTGAGCCGCGACTCGCCTTTGGCCAATGGGACTGGCCTCACTCCCCAAACCGAAGGCAAATCCCGCCGTGGCCGAGGCAAGCGCGCCGCCTCACCTACCGAGACATTTTCGGCTGTAGGCGATGACGATACCAGCATGCATGACGAGGCAATGCAGCCGCCTCCTCCGAAGCGCATTCGGCGCGCAACCAACAAAGCCCAACAAGCCTCCGTGGACGAAGCTCCGGGCGCCCGGAATTCTCTTGGGCCTAGCGGAAATCATCAGCACCTCCATACTAGTGGCAACAATGCCCATGCCGGAGTCTACTACAAAGAGGAGGAGGACCATGAATCCGAAACACCTCCTCTCCGCAAGAACCAGAGGATCGTTACTCTCAAGCCCGGTGCCAAGAATATCCGGGCCCTCTCCAACGCACCATCCGTAGCCAGCACGGAGCCTACCGAAGACTCGCGGCCAGGGTCATCCTCCTCGACTTCTAGCGAGGCGTCGGCGGACTCTTCTTATTCCTTCCGGCCCAAGCGCCAGCGCAAATTCCGAGATGCTGATGGCCAGGAGCATGCGGGCGCTCAGCAGGTAAAGCCCAAGCGCGTGCGCAGGGTCACGAAGAAGGCTGAGGAGAGCACCGCAAACAATACCCTTCAGCTTCCTTCCATCCACGATGGAGCCTCCGGGGCTGAACATGGGGCGCAGGAGCAGCGACCCCGCATCAAGTTCTTCACTGCCGGGGGCGGTCAGGCTAATGGCGTGTCCTCTTCCGGTTCCGGCACTACTACCACCTTGCACCTTACCAACCATGCTGCGGACGCCGCTGCCGCCGCAGCTTCCACTTCCGGTTCCGCCAAGAAGAAGGGAGCCTCGAAGAAGGCGTCGAATAAGACGCCGGTCAAGAACCAACGGCCCCAGCAACAAGAAAAGCAGCACCAGCAACAGCAACAGCAGCAGCAGCAGCAGCAGCAGCAGCAGCCGCTGCCGCAACCGCCCGACTCCCCACCGATAACCAAGCTGACCAAGATGGCATGAGCGCTCAACAGTATGCAGCGCTTACCAAGTCGGAGAAGATGTCGCGCTCAATGAAGAGTAAGCTAGTTTCACAACTACCCGCCCCTTCATGTTTCTTTTACGAGTGTGTGCGCTAACTTGATAATCTCAGGCCGATGGGCGAGCGGATCTATGCAGCAGGCTGTCGATAAGCGCAAAGCGACCCTGGCGCGCAAGAAGGCGGAGAAGGCAGCGGGTGGCGACGAGGGAACCGAGGCGGCTGAAGATACCAGCAAGACAGCCAGTGGCTCCGCCGATGCCACGAGCACTCAGCCGACGACGGCGGAACCCAGCCCCACTACCGATACACACCAGGCGGCGGCTGAGCAGAAGGCGGTCAAGACCCCCAAACCAGCCAAGGCGGCCAAGGTTAATAAGACGCCAAAGATTGCGGTCAAGGATTCTCCCTCGGTCAAGAGCAAGGGCGCGAAGGAGCCCAAGAAAGAGGGAAAGATCAAGACCAGCTAAGCAATGGCCAGAAGTCCCCTGGACCTTAACACCCGGCAATATGGCATCACGGTATCCTCCCGACACAAGGATATGTCACCCTGTGATCGCAGATATGCCCGAATAACCACAACGACCCCTCTTCAGGGCCTCCCGGGAGACCATTCTGAGACCCCGAGAAGAACACCACGAACATCCTACCACATCTCCATTATAGGAACCTCTCATCACCACAATCGCGATCGTATAGTAATTCATGGCCATGGATTCTCCACATGGACCCATTGACTATTATAGTCAATCCTTGCTCTAATCAGACAGGGCATCTGTCCTCTTTAGTGCCTCCCTCACCACAATTGCCATCGCCCACTCGCCGGGTGAGGCTAGAGGGGAACAACTCTGTCTCTTTTGTTATTTTTTCACTGCGTTTCTCATTTTTCTTTTTTTTTCACCGCCCGTCGTTATCTTCGCAAGGCATCGGAGCAATAGCATGAACAAAAACGGCATACATTCGCATACCCGGCGCGCACATCAACTTCTTTTTCTTTTCTTTTTAATTCTCACAAGGGGTTGGCTGTATTTATACTTGACTATGAGGACAAGAGCAGGCATACGAAACAGGGAGGAAAGCGAAGACGAAGCAACGAAGGGGGAAGATGTCTTTATCATTCAATGGAGATACCAAGCCGCCCTCACGAGGGCGGTGTTTTCTTCTGTCATCGTCGTTTTCTTTAGTTTATCCTTTTTTCTCCTATTCCCGAAGCTGCACTTTTCTTTCGATTTTCTTTTGTTCGTATGTTGATTAAAAGGGCATATACATGGGACGATGGACGGTAGACGGAATTCGGAAAATTGAAGGAAGGAAAGGGAGAGAGTGGTGAGAGAGAGGGGGGACAGGGAGAGGACGATCCTTGCTAGGAACGTTTTCTTGTCTTGTTTGTTTTCTCTGGCTGTCTTTTCTAATACAGACTATTTTCTTCTTCTGGCTGCCATTTTTCTTACCTCCATCCCCTGGATCCCCAGCTGACTTCTCGTGCCTGTCTGTATTGACTTTTCGTTGCCTTTTTTTCTTATCGCTTATGGTTTTCGTCCCCTCAGTAATTCCTGAGGGTGATGGAAACGAATAGACACCATGATAATGCGAGCCACCTCTGTATTGGTGTGGAGTGCAAGCTGATGAAGAGACAAGAGAGATATTTGAACGTACTACCGCTGCCCTTTCTTTTCTGTCTGAGACGTTCATGTCGCCGTGTAAAAGAAGGGCTCGTCCTTCATGGAGGCTAGCCAAGAGTGGTTGATGTCTGATGCGACTTGCAACGACTTCTGAGACGAGATCACGAGGAATACCCGGACGGGCGAGCGGCGGCCAGGTGGGTATTACGGATAACTGAGGGTGGGCGGGTAGGGGAAAAGAGCCGGGAACCTTGATTTGCGGTTGGAATCGGTCGGCTTGTCACTTGTTCCGTAGACTTGTCGCGATCCAAGTCAAGGTGTTGGTGGAGAGGGAATAGCGGCTATGGACACAGACGGATGCTACTGAAAGGGAGAATCATGTCACAGAGAGAGAGGTAGGAGAATGGAGAGAAGCAAGAGAGGCGAGAGGAAAAAAAGAACTTGATAACTCCATTCATGATGATGAATTTCCACTACCCTTTGGTTGTTTTATCGTTTCCATTCCAGCCTCCCCCAAGCGCCCCTTTCCCCTCATACCATCCCGTGCAGTTTTCCTCTCCTGGCAAAACCGTGGGGGACTGTGGTCGAAGAAGGACTCGCCTCTAGTCCTTTTTGTCTCCTTCCCCGAAGGGTTTTTCGTGATTGTTGGGAGGTTTGGGCGGCGGCCTCTTTGCTGAAGTCTTTCCTTGTATTCTTTCGTAGGGTTTTCCCGCTGTAATTTGAAAAGATTTTGGTTTTTCCTTTCGCTCCAAACACCAGACATGTTACCAAGAAGAGTTTACATGACGACACCGGAGTTGGCGGCGATACGCTGGAGGCAAAGAAAATTCCCAAGTTAGTACATGGCTCCAAAAGATAAATAACTTCCACAAGCGTGCGAGGAGCGGGAAGAGTACGTACGGGCCATAGCTCGGCAGCCTCCTTTCCTACGGGACCGGTGATGGCAGAGCCCTTCATCTCACCCTTGGGGTTGACGATCTATAAAAAGCAAGCGTTGCGTTAGCAGGGAGACGAGACAAGGGATAGGGCTCTCCCCTGGAGACGAAACAAGGGCCAATGGGGGAGTATTCAGGAAATACGTACGACACCGGCGTTGTCCTCGAAGTAGAGGAAGACACCGTCGAAGCGCTTCCAGGGCTTGGACTGCCTGACGATGACGGCGGGGTGCACCCTCTTTCGGAGCTCGGGCTTCCCTTCTTGACGGTCGCCATCACCATGTCACCAACACCACCGGCGGGGAGCCTGTTGAGCCTGGCACCAATACCCTTGACGGAGATGATGTACAGGTTACGGGCACCAGAGTTGTCGGCGCAGTTCATGACGGCACCACTGCACGGGGATTAGCTTGGGAAATCTAGTACAGCGGTGCGCGGCCAACGGCGTGGAGCGAGGAGGCTTGACATACACAGGGAGACCGAGGGTCATCTTGAGCTTGCCACCGGGGGCACCACGTCTGGAAAATGGTCAGCCATCAAGTTCTGTCCAACGCATATATGTACCCCTGCATCATCTCTTGCTTCTCCCCTCACGACGGCAGTATTCCTTCACAGGCGAGCGGGCGGACAACGCCAGGGCTAGGACTAGGTAAACAGCGGAGATATATTCGTCGGGTTCGGGGGCGAATGCTGAGCAATTCGCTGGTTGTTGTGGCCGGATCGGATCGTGGCCCTCAAAATTCACGAAACTTGTCCACCAAATAATATTCGTCTTGGTGGGTTGCGACAAATCGCTACTTGCCCATAAGCAAGTGGGAGTGAAATTGTCTCTCGAATAATTTTTCGCATGGACGATTCCGGTCCTTTCATGTCCTCCTACACACAGGCAGTCGTTTCCATTGCCTCAAATCGAATTCGTGAATATCGGTCTCGTTCTCGCAGCCCTGGTTTTGCCCACATCGCTTCGTTGCGTCGTCGCCCGCTCTGAATACCAACAAAAAGGGAAAGGAAAAAAGCTGATTCAAAATCACCAGGAAATTCTTACCCAGTCTTGGCCATTGTGACTGTAGATTAGGATTTTTTCCGTTTAAAAAAGAAAAAAAAGTTGGGAGGGAATCGGTGGTTGTTGGAAAGGAAGGGAAATGGGGGTATCGTGGGAAGCTTTTTTCGACCAAGAGGGAAAATTGGTATGCGTCCAGTCGTCTCTCTCTAAGCGGCTTTGGAAATTTTGCCCTTGTGGGGTGAGAAACCCTACAATGGAGACAATCCGCCTGGAAACGGGCGGTGCGCACCTGCCACACCCGCTAGGCTGATAACAGATCACGTGGAGATAAGATCAAATTTGGTGGCCCGTCGATTCTTCGCAATTGGTGGGGCCAAGCAAAACCAAATTCCCTTTTTTTCCTCCTTCAATTTTCCCACCTTCATAATCCTGCTACCCACTGGTGTATACGAGCACTTCGTCGCTTCAAACAAGCGTAACCTTGCCCCCGAGGCGCGCCATCGACCATGAACCCGCCGCACATCAAGTGATGTCCAACTTCTAAATCGAAGCTATGATCACGGCATTCTAGGTCCTACGCCCTCGGAAATTGTCAACGTCTCTTGACCTCGTGTGCCAGACAGACGAGGATTTTCTACCCCCGCTTATGTAGACATTCTTTCCCTCCGCAGCCCCAAACAGCCGCTTACCCCCGCCTCACGGCTTCCACGGGTCCCGGCCTCCCTCGAACACGTCCTGTGTCCCGAGACGAGGTTCAAGCTGGCCACTGGCTTCTCCTTTCCCCGAGTCAACGGTTTCGGCCGGTTTCTAGGGTGAAAGGGCTGTCTCTTGAAAGAAAGCTGCAAGATAAAAATAATTGGAGGATCATAGTCCGTGTCCGTCTTTTTCCCACACGGATGTGGCTCCAAGAGCTCCAACATGTGCACTACTTCTACTATGTATTATTACATGACCATTGTGGTTTTAGCATACCATCGTACAAAAACGTTCGTTGGGACCGACCATCCAGGCCTCCTCATCTTGGATACAACCAAATTATTCGCTCTGCGTCTTAAAGGGAAAAAAAAAAAAAAAGACGTCATAATGCCCTTTCTTTTGATAGCCTTATATCTAACTGCTAAAATCGATGGTACACGCCAGGCTACGCGGTGGCGCTCCGTCATTAAAACGCAGCATACCTCCATCCTTGTATAAAGGCAAAAGTGAGTAGGAAAACAGACAAACGCATATGCTTCCCGGCTGCTAGCCAGTTCTTAACCCAAGGCCCCGCTTTTGAATCTAGCTCAACATGCTGAGATACCTTGTCGTGATCACCGTCCCCTCACTAACACCGTTAGCGACAATGGTGACAACCTCCCCAGGCACTATATCTACAAGGTTATCTTCAAACACAACAGCATCATCCTCAGTCTCCAACGCCACGGCTTTGACAGGCACTTCGGCGCTAATCTCTACCTTGGCCCCACCCTCTACTACTTTGGCAACGAGCTCCTTGGGCTTCTGCAGGTGCAGGTACTTGAGGGGTTCCGGCCAGTTGACGTAGCGCGCCAATTTCTCCTCTCCCCGGTAAAGATAAGCCGCGACCACCGTCCGCGCCTCATCACCCTTGTTCTTGACGGGCACGTCGAGAGCGACAATCTCCGTTGATCGGTTGGCGGGGAGGACAAGGTCCTTGTGCGTCGTCTCGTTGTACGTCTCCTCGCCAGTTTCAACGTTCCAGGCCTTGACGACGCAGTCAACAGTGATGTCCTCCAGAGCAAGGTTGGATCCCCAAATCTCGATCTGGGTCTTGGTGTCAATATACACGCGGGTGTGCTTATCGCGCGGGTGGCGGTGCTCGCGGCGGGTGATGCCGACGCTAAGGGAGGCCATCTCGCGCTTGACCGTGTAGTAGGCGTGCTTGGGGCGGAGATAGTAGTCACAGATAGACCAGCTAGTGACGGGCCAGCAGTCGTTAATCTGCCATACGAGGGCGCCGCCACAGTATTCGCGGTTGGGTCCCTTCCACTGCCGCTTCCAGAGGCGGTAGGCCGACGCGAGACATTCGGCTTGCATCAGCTGCGTACAGTAGACAAAGTGCTCCAAGGGTCAGGCGCGTAGCGCATATTCTCGACGAGGTAAAGCGCGATGCGGCGCTCATGACCGTCCGCCTTGTTGTGGAAGTCAACCGTGGATGACTGAGGGTAGCGGTCGGGGTCGTCTCGACCGAGTGGCAGGTATTGGTCAATGGTCTTGACCGAGGGAAAGGCCTGCATACCGAACTCGGAAACGAAACGGCCGACAAGGGTATCGAAGTTTTGGTACTTTTCTTGCGTACCGTGCCAGACGTTCCATTGGTGAATATCACCGACTGTGGGGTCTCGGGTATCCTTGCCGCCCCAGGGGCTACCATAATGGTAAAAGGTGCCAGGAATATGCTCTTTGCAGACGTCATCGAGGATCTTTTCGTAGATGTAGCGGGCGGGGAAGTCTGTCTTGAGCCAGCTCTCGGCATCCTTGTTGTCGAAGTCGTAGGTGAGGTTCTCGCTTTCTTGGTATTGGTAGTCCTCGTTGTTGCCAGCCCAGATAACGATGGAGGGGTGGTGTCGGAGAAGTTTAACATTGGCAGTGGCCTCACGCTCAATCGATTTGAGCAACTCGGGCCAGGCAGGGTAGTTGCCACAGCCAAACATAAAGTCCTGCCAGACAAGAACACCAAACTCGTCGCAGGCCTCATAAAAGGCTGCTTCCTCGTAGATACCGCCTCCCCAAACACGGACCATGAATTGGTTGCCGTCGGCGAGTAATCGAATCCAGTTCCGGTAGCTTTCGCGTGTGATGCGGGGAATAAAGTTATCAGCGGGGATCCAGTCGCTTCCGCCGCAAAAGACGGGAATTCCGTTGATCCGGAAGAAGAAGCTGGTTCCTGGCTGCTCTTCGAGGGGCTGCTGGACGAGTTCTGCCTTTCGGAAGCCTGTCCGCTTCGAGAGAGTATCCACCTCGTTATCGTTGGCGAGAAGAGTGGCGGTGATGGCGTAAAGGGGCTGTTCACCGTAGCGGATGGGGTACCACAGCTTGGCATCGTTGATGGTAAAGTCTACCTTGGTATCGATGCCGGCAATTGCTTCAGCAGTCTCGGAGGCGACGGACGCGCCGTCGAAAGAGATATCGAAGCGGACCTTGGATGCGGGACCCTCAGTGCGGGCAATTGCGGTGACCTTTGCCGTCTTCGTCTCAGGGTCAACCTCGGTCTCAAAGAAGAGATCTTCTATCCTTGAGTCATAGACCTCGATGTTGATGGGCCTCCACGGGCCACATGTCATGAGAGTCGGGCCCCAATCCCATCCCTATAGGCAGAACAGATTAGAACCATTCATTCTCGAACGCAGACATGGCTAGGGAGAAGACATAGACATACCCAGTGATATTGAGCTTTGCGCACAGCCAACCTGGATACATCACCATTCCAGCAGCCCCATTTATGCTCATGGTGCTTGTCAACGAGTTGGCAGCCCCTCAGGTAGGCGCTGTCAAACGTAATTTCAAGCTCATTGTCGGCTTCGGTCTTGAGCTTGCCCGTGACATCGACTCTCTCGGGGATAAACATGTTTTCCGTCTCGAGGATAACTTCACCGTTGAGCTTCACTGTCGCAAAGGTATCCAGGCCATCAAAAGCGAGGATAATCTGGGCGCCCTCGGGCACGTCGGCAGGAGAAGCAAAGGTGGTACGGTACGACCACACGGCCTCGCCGACCCATTGAACCTCAAGCTCATTTTTTCCAATGAAGGGGTCGGGGATGAGCTTGTGGTGGAGGAGGTCGAGATGCACGTTTGTAGGGAACTGGGCGACGGGGAGGTACTCGGAGGATTCTTTGTCGACCTGCTTGAAGTGCCACCCTCGCTGAGAGGAACAACAGATTTTGGAGGCATTTTTCGTAGATTCTGTGGAGGATTTATCTACTGAAAGAGAGGTCTGCTTAGAATAGTGATTTCACTAGAGTAGCGCCAGAAACAAAAAGGTTAGAAGGGAGGCAGGTTGATTTTATGCGCTCAGCGCTTCCTTCCCCCTGCCCGCAATGATCGTGTTGTTAGTGCGCAGGCGCAAAGCGCACATCTAGGATGAAGCTTTTGCGATTGTCTGAGACCCCGCTATCCGAGCAGGCGCGACGGTGGGGTCTCAAGCAGCGATTGGGAGAGCAAGAGCTATGGAGGGGTGACCCAAGGATACAAGGGCAGGAAGGGCCGTAGAAGGAAGGAAGCGAGGCAGGGTAGGGAAGGGGATGGCAAGGGAGGCAGGTACGTACGGCAATCGACGTCAATGCCTCTGAGGAAAGCTCAGAAGGCAGCAAACAAGTTCAAATCTCCAAGTAGAGCACAACTGCGACTTGAAATGCAAAAGAAGGGTCAGAAATGTCACCGACCACGAGGCCGAGGAGGCTGGGTGTCTAGCCTTCTTATGACCTTTTTTTCTGCGGAGCACCTGAGCTCTTGTTGCTTTCGCCAAGCTATTACCTCAATGTCCTTTTGCATCTTCCGATGGAGGACCTTCATCTATGCAAGGCGAGAAGGAGGACCCCTGGTGACCTCGTTGGCTCGAAAAGAGGCAAATGCACACTGAGAGATCAAATCCTTGTGGGTCAAGCAACACTGAGACTGGAGATCCCCTCCCTGGAGTGACCCTAGCAGCCGGTATGAGGGTGATGAGGGGTGTGTGTAACGCACCCTTCTTTTATTTCAAGCTGTCACTATTGAACACACCTCTCTCAGGCGAGCTTTGCGCCTATCACGCTCAAGAGTCCAGAGAAACGGAGCAGCTCATCGGGCTAGAAAACTCGTTGCAAGAGGCCACTCGCTGGTATGACGCAAGGGCCCTGTCCTGTTGACGGGTTCCCGCACGCTCGCCGAATACCCACACCCCAATCCCCCACCCCGTCTGTCAACCTCCCCACCTCACCCTCCATTTCCCCCTCCCAAGCTCCAAAGATCTACCCTAAAATCCGCGCTTCCTTCCGCTGGGAGCGCGGAGCAATTCCTCCGCCCTCAATTTAGGCTAAGCAGCAACAAGCGCTCTGCGCTGCCCCCAGAGACCAGTACAAAGGACCGAACCAAAGAAACACAGAGTATTGGAAAGAAACATAGCCCGCCGAAGTCTTCATGGGGGTCTATTCGTGGGTCCATGGGCTTATGGCCCAAATGGGGTCCTCTCACCGAGGATTTGGATCCCCCTTGGAATCCGAGGTCTCCCCTATCAGCCGCGCCGTGCCTTGCTGTTAGTCGCAAAATCCTACGAAGAGTCTAAAACCTGGGCTGGCGGGCCGGCTATGTCTGCTTATCGCCAAGGGGATATTCCAGATGCATCTCCCCTGATGCCCGTCTAGAATACCCGAGACGGGCCCTGAGATGAAGCGCGGAGAGAGAAGAGCGCTGCCGATCCAGTCTCTTGCTGTGCCTGGTTTCGGTGCCCTTGCTTCCACGGCCGTGAGCGGGATCTTAACGTGAACGTCTGATGCTGACAAGTGCCGGGTCTTTTGATGCAACCGTTGCTCCCACCTTGTATTTCTGCCGCACCACTTATACAACTTTCGACAGATACAGATGTTTGAGAATCTAATGTTTTTCCTGATATTGTGCCACCGAACCTCCCATCGATGGCGGGGATGATTCTATGAGGCCAAGTCCGAACCCTGGATGTCCATCAGAGCTCCTTGATTCCTTGATGGGAAGGACTTGCCAGCGAAAATGATAACACTCCTGCAGTGGTTTCTAGGCTATCGAAGAAAAAGACCCACGGACGTTCACATGCCGCGTTGGCTTGCCCTCACCGCCACAGCCTACCCTTATGGAGTAGCTGCCCCCGCGGTCTGAACCGGGCTCCACCCGCCAGGACGGGGAAGGGGAATGTGGTTTAAGGGCGGAGGAGTGGCTCCTTGGAAGATTCTGCCGGAAATTTCGACTCCTGACCAGTTTCTTTTCACAAAATTATGCATCGCTTTTTGCTTGACCGGCGGAGTTGAGCGGCGGACGATCGCCGGGCGGCCATTTTCATTTCCTGTTATGGTGTCAAATCGGGAGTACGATGCTCCTTCGCTACCATCGAACATCACGCTCGAAGCTACTTTTGTGCCAGTCGGGGGTTTTTTAAAGGGGATTTCTTTTGAATGGATTTTTCCTTCTTTTTGACACCACTCTTTCTTTTATAGATTTTCACTCAACCTTTCGATATTATCCGCATCTCCTGTAGTGGAGCGGGATTTGATCCAGTTTGCATAACTGGCTCTACAAGATATCCATACACAATTGGGGAGACGTTGCGTATTTGATACAGGGAGGCTGTATATGTATATTATGCAATGGGGATGCAAGCTAGAAAACATGGATGATCAATCGTGGATGGCAAAGACAAAGGAAAGAACCCCCAAAGCGCCGAAGCCCACCACTCTCGCAAAACCCCTCAGCCCCCTCGTCTGAACATACGAAGCCGGACGAGGTCTTCCCTTGAGCATTAAAGTCGTAAATCGAGGCCCTCAAAGAAAAAAAGGCAGAAGCTAACAAATCCAAGAGAACAAGAGAAGGAGAAAAACAAGCCGAACCCGGGATCGAGAAAGACAAAAGGAAATCAGCAAGGATTATGAATGTCTGCGCTGGGCTCAAATCTATCGCCGAGAAGAAGCGTAGAAGAGGAAAAGTAAACCCCCAATCACGACCAGCTGTCTCCGCCGGGGGTGGTTCGGGCAAGGAAACAAGCATGGCACGAACGCAAGAGTCGAACGATAATCAAAGGACGCGTAGCATGGCCTACGCTCAAGCTCTCAAGCTTAGGGTAGCGGGGATTAGCAGCAATTTCCACCTCGCCGCCGGTTCCCTATCGTGAACACCTCCTCCCACTCTCTCAGCCCGGCCCAGTTCCCGCCTCTATTTCTTCCTGCCGTCCTCCCACGGGGACGCCTCCTCCTGGCGCCAGCGCCAATGTCGTCAATGGTCCCGCCCGTCATGGAACTCTTGATGCTCGCTCCGTCACTGGCGCCGGCGTTCCAGCCGCCGCCGTAGTTATCACCGTACTGGATGCCGCTCATGGGGTCGTCGGGGTCGATCTCGCCGAGCTCGATCTTTGTGAGGATCATGCGTGCTAGCCGGCCGAATATCTCGTCGACGTTGTCTCCCGTGAAAGCGCTTGTCTCCATGGTGACGGGGATTCCGATACTGCTCGCCCACCGCGTGGCCTCGGAAGTCGAGACCTCGCGGCTAACCTCGGGCGGCATACTCGTGCGGTGCGAATGGGCGGTGCCGTAAGATGTGGCGAGGGAGCCTGGCTGGCCTCCCGTATGGTACTGGAACTATCGTTGGTGTTGGTCGTGGATATGGAAGCGTTGCTACGAACGGGGCGGAGGCCGTTGGACGTCGCTGTCGAACTAACGCTGCTCGGGGTCAGAGGCGGCACGCTCGTGTCTACTAGGGCTTCTGATGCGAGGTCAAGCTTGTTGCCAGCAAGAAGGAGGCTGAGCTTGGGGAGGCGAGGGCGCGCGCATCGTTGAGGAAGGGCTGGATGGCGCGGAAGGATGTGTGGGAGGTGATGTCGTAGACGAGGATAGCGCCGGCAGCGCCTCGGTAGTAGGATCTCGAGACGGAGCGGAACCGTTCGGTGCCTGCTGTATCCCAGAGCTGAAGAGAACAAGAAATGAGGGTATTAGCTTTTTTTTTTAAATCTCGTGCCGGAACCAAGAGGGGTGTAAACGGGCAGTGGAGAAGGGCCGTCCGACTTGGTACGGGACGCATTCGCGCTTGGTTTGTTCATACCTGGAGCTTTATGCGTTTCCGTCTCGCGCCAGTGCCAACCTTGATGATCTTGCTCGAGAATTCGACACCGATGGTTTGCGAAGATAGGACCCGCCACTCATTCTTGACAAAACGATGCAAGAGACACGACCTGAGATTCCGCACGCCGAGTTAGCATTGTGTGAAGAGCGGAGGGGCCACGCATACAGCGCCAACGTTGCACACCGGCAGACCACCCCAAGCCCACCGGCCGCGGAAACGGAGGACTATTACAAAACTCACTTTCCCGATCCGCTGGGTCCGAGTAGAATAATTTTGGCAAGATAGTCGTACATGCTCCCGAGCTCCTATCAACGCGTCACAGTTACGTCAGCAAACGAGAGCTTTCATCCAGCCAGTCGATAACAGCTCGCCCTTGTTATAGACGGCGCTGAGCAAAGCGACCAGGTCTTGGAAGTTCGCGCACCTGTTCGGCCAGCCCCGCGGCACTCTCCTCGCTAGCTCCCGACGAGCCACGCGGTCTCGTCATGGCGGGCGGTGAGGCGAGAGACGTTTGACCCCGCGTTTAGCTTGTGACAGTGTGGGACGGCCTCGACGACGGAAACGAAAGGGCAGGTTCAAATAGTCGAGCTTAAGCGGCGCTGGGTAAGGGCGGGTATGGGAGAGTCGCTTTGAGGATAATATTTGATCTTTTTTTTCTCTTTCGTGTGATGTCGTGCTGATTTGACAAGGCGGGCTCGGGCTTGGTTAAGGAGTTGAGGCGTTGCCAATCTCCTGGTACAACGGTACTGGGTACGAGAGGTTGGCGGCAAGTTCGGAACAGTGGGAAACTCCAAAAACAGGGTTGATGGCTACTCGAAAAGACTGGATCTATTCTGGCAGATGCAAAGCAGAGAAATGCGTAGGAGAAAAAGGAAAAAGGAACCAAAAGACGAAGGAACAAAAATCCAACAAGAAAACGAAACAAGGGTCGTTGAGGACCCCCGATCTAGCGGGTTTGTGTGAGCAGCGCAAATGATGCGATCGAGTGATGACTGAGACAAAGAGAGAGAGCGAACAATAGCGGGAAGGAGAAAAAAATAGAATGTGCGAATGGGGGATTTGCGATAAGAGATACGGACCCGCAGTGACGAAGCACCGAAACGCTTGTGAACCAACGATAAAGAGAAAGAGCACGCGAGACGATTTACACTTGGCCCGTTTGGGGTTGAAGCAACCGCACGCGCTACATGTGGAAGAAATCAATATTGGGAAAGAAAAAAGGTATGAGAATGACACTTTACACCTCATCCTGGGTGGCTTAGGTTGCGGCACATGCTTTTTTTCTTTTTTGCTGGCTCTTGGAGGAGAATAAATGCACAGGATTCAAGGGATCCGAGTTTTGAAAATGGGTGTTGCCGCAGTTGGCGATCCCGCTTGATGCAACCCCCAGATTGAGCAGCTCGAGATTGTCATGGCTGGACGAGGTGGAGGGGTCTTTCCCAATCCGAGAAGCTGCACGGTCACTCAGGGTAGGTTTTGGTGTATGCACAAGCCATCCATGGGTTTCAACGAAGCAGGACCGTATTATCTATCACAATGGTCCGTCTGAGTTGCGCGTCTTCATCAGTTATATACTTGACGATACCATATTTGACGATACCATGTTCGTAGCTCGCTTGATTCTTCATCAAACTCCCGTCTGTGGAGAAGCATGGCTCGAAGAAGCGGGTGCTCCGGAGAAGACAAGGGGGTACATGCGATGAGCCCTTTGACTTTGAGAAATCGAATTGAGTGTGGCTGCAATTCGGCTGGGGCGAGGGGGGGATGGACGTAATTCAGCACAGCTGACCTCACCCAAGCCTTGAATGCACCGCAGCACCCACCGATATCCGATGGCCTGTGAGATCAAGCCATTGTGGATGCACTCGGTCGGTGGGAAACGTCTTGGGAGGTTTTCCCGCTGACATGTGCTGTCAGCCTGGGTCGAGAGCTCTACCTGCACGACTGGAAAAGCAGCGGATCAATTGATAACTTCCACCGGCAGTTTTTTGGCTTGACTTCTAGGTTCAGTTGCCTAATTTGGGTATGCCGAGGCTCACCCGACGTCGCGCCGCCCCCGGGTTGCTCAGGTTTTAGTGGTCTGGGGGTGATTAAGGAAGCCCCTGGGGGAGGGACCCCGCTGGTGGGCTGGTTGGGGGTGAAGAAGCCGGTGGGCTCGATGAGGAAAAAAGATGCCAAAAGCTCGCTGTCGTAAGAGAAGGGAAATATGGTTATTTATATTAGAAATAAAAAATAAAAAAATGTGAAAAAAGACCTTGCCTTATATGTGATTTCGGAAATTTCCATCCCAAGTTGCCCTGTTCCGTCTCTGCTGCTAGGAGGGGCTCTGATGATCGAGTCGGTTTGATCCAAATCTGTTACCCGCACCGAGGTAGCTCGGAATTGAAATCTCGCGGCTAGATACTTATAGCTTCTTCCTTCCTCCCACTTTCTTCCCTCACGTCCCTAAACCGCATCTCTCCTCTAATATCCCTAGAATCAACAACCCTCAATTGTTTTCTAGCACATCCCAGTCGCCAAAATGAAGATTGAAGGTCGCACATTCGTCGTCACTGGCGGGTAAGTCCTCCCTTTCTCCCTTCAGTATCCGGGCCGTCAGGAAGCCCCTCGCCGAACAAGTTCAATATGTTATTCCTGGGACGAAAAAAAAAAAAAAAAGAAAAAGGCTCTTTACTGACGCCGGTACTTTTGTGTCCCCTTCACAGCGCCTCTGGGCTCGGCCGCGCCACCGTCGACATGATTATCAAGAACGGAGGTAACGCTGCCATCCTCGACCTCAACGAGGGCCAGGGCAACAAGGCCGCCAGCGAACTAGGCTCCTCCGTCCGCTTCTTCCAGTGCGACGTTACCGAGACGGAGAGCATTACCAAGGCCGTCGAAGGCACCGTGGCCTGGGTGAAGCAGTCGGGACGGCCCCTCGGCGGCATCATCCCCGCCGCGGGCGTCGGAAACCCTGCGACGGTACGTCTCTTTCGTTTCTTTCATTCATGATGCGAGCAGAGTAGTTCCCGTTCTACGTTGCGATGGCAATGATTCCCCCTTTGGCATTCCAGATCCTCACCAGCTTCGGGGAGCAGAGAGGGAATATAGGGGAAGGGAGTGAGACTACGAGGCCAAAAAGCATCATCACATGCTGACTCTAACGTGTCACGTCCCTCGCCCTAGATCCTCGACAGGCACGGCGCTCCCTTTAGCCTCGACCACTTCGATTTCGTCATGAACATCAACGTCCGCGGCACCATCGACACCGTCCGCCAGTTCCTCGCGCACCTCGCCAAGGTGGACCCTTCTTCCCCGACAACGAGCGCGGCGTCGTCGTCCTCGTCGCCTCGGTCGCCGCCCTCGAGGGCCAAAGGGCCAGGTCGCCTACGGCGCCTCCAAGGGTGCCGTGGCCAGCATGACTTTACCCATGGCGCGCGACCTCTCCCGCTACGGCATCCGCGTCGTCACCATCGCCCCCGGCATCTTTAGCTCCCCATGGAGGCGGCCATGTCGGAGAAGACGAGGGCCCAGCTGCTCAAGGCGACCGAGTACCCGCCCCGCCAGGGACAGCCGACCGAGTTTGCGCAGATTGTACAGCAGGCTATCGAGAACGTGATGCTCAACGGTACCGTTTTGAGGCTGGATGGTGCCTTGAGGCTACCGAGCAAGTTTTAGGGAGGAGAAAGTCTAGGATATAACAGGAAAAAAGGAGACGAGAGAAGAGAACAAAGTGGGATATGAGAAGGAGAAGAAGGAAGGACGAGGAGAAAGAAAAGTCCAGGAACGGACAGGATTTAAACAGATATCACCATGTACGACTAGCTCACCTCCCATCCCATTCGTGGAGTTCCACTTTTTATTTCCTCTCGATTGGAGTCATCTCGAACCACATTGTTCGTGCGTTGACGACACTGAAATCATTAGAAATGCGATGCTCCGTCGTTCTCTGTGAGTGGCCGCCCCGGGCCACTTTGCCCCGGTTAAGGAACTGCGCTATTCCCCGCATACAGTCATCGAGGTCAATCGTGTCACTGCAAGATTTTGTTGGTGTCAGTTAGCTTTCGAGGAGGGGCACCTTGGACGGCCCCTCCAATAAATGCCCCTCCATTGACCATTGATGGCTCTTTGATCCTCGGTAACTGCTCCGGAGTCGGCTGCTCCTATTAAAGTTGAGACGACGAGTGAGAACAGAAAACGAGGGAAACCAAAATCGAAGACAAGTAATAACACAAACGCGAGCTTCATCTTACAAATCAGACAAGCCCATCTACATTTTCTTTTTTGCCGTCCTTTTCCCTTGAGCCTTTGTCCCATCGCCTTGGGAGAGTTTCAAATAGGATCCGCACCCTCGATAGACCCGAGTAGCGCTTCGTTCTCGGAGCATCCACCACAAAAATGGCCTCCTCGGTGCTCAACGTCGCAGTCTTGGACGATTACCAGGGCTTCTCCGAGAGCTTCTTTGCGACCCTCGACCCGGCATCGTTCAAGGTGACCATCTTCCGGGACACCCTCCGGCCTTACAACCACCCCGACACAACCGACACCGAGCGCGATGCCCTAGTCGACCGTCTGGCACCGTTCCAGATCCTTTGTAAGTGTGCAACTCATGCCTACCTTTTTTTTTTTTTCCTTCTTCTCTTTTGTTCCCGCCAGTCGGTAAATCCTAACAATAAAACCCCCAAATCCAGGCATCATGCGCGAGCGAACCCCTTCCCCGAAGCCCTCATCAACCGCCTCCCCAACCTCCAACTCCTCCTCTCCACCAGCATCCGCAACAACTCCCTCCACCTCCCCGCCCTCGCCGCCCGCGGCATCCCGCCGCCGGCACCTTTGAAAAGAACCGCACCCAAACCGCCAGCAACCCGGCGCCCGACTCCACCACGACGCACTGCATCGCCCTCATCCTCGCCCTCGTGCGCGACATCCCCAACTCCCACGCCGCCATCCAGTCCGGCCAGTGGCAGGTCTCCATGGCCACAGCCCTCCCGGGGAAAGTCTTTGGCGTGCTCGGCCTCGGCCGCCTCGGCCTCAACGTCGCCCGCATCATGTCCACCCTCTTCGGCGTCCGCCTCGTCGCCTGGGCGAGAACCTCACCCAGGCCGTCGCCGACGAGCGCGTCGCCGCCGCGGGGCTCCCCGTCGATTCTCCGTATTTCCCCGGCGAGAAGACGGTGCGCGTCGTCACCAAGGAGGAGCTGTTTCGCGAGGCGGACATTGTGAGCGTGCACCTCGTGCTCTCGGACCGCACGCGCGGCGTCGTGGCCGCTGAGGATTTGGCGAGGATGAAGCCGACGGCATTTCTCGTCAACACGTCCCGCGGCCCGCTGGTCAAGGAGCGGGACTTGCTCGATACTCTGAAGGAAGGCACGATTGCGGGGGCGGCCATTGACGTGTTCGATATGGAGCCTCTACCCGAGGATAGCGAGTGGAGGACGGTGAGGTGGGGTACTGGCGGGACGAGCAGGGTGGTGTTGACGCCGCATATGGGTTACATGGCCAAGGAGACGATGACTACGTGGTATGAGCAGCAGGTGGAGAATATCAAGCGATGGGTTGCTGGAGAGGAGCTGAATACCCGGTTGGTATAAGTGGGTGGGCGGCCCATATGAAATTCAGCGCACACACATCGCGTTCGATTGCATAGAATATATCAATTTATCAAAGGCACTATACTAAAAGAGATAAAAATAAAAAATAAAATAAAAACTTCTAAAGATATTCCATCCGGTGTGGCATAGGGAGAAACCTACACACGGTTGAAGCGGCCTCAGTGTTCCTCGTTTGGTGATCCAGGAATTTGAATGCGTGGGGGCAAAAAATCGAGTGTGATAAGAGTGGGATTCGAACCCACGCCCCGTTTCGAGACCAGGAATATCCATTCAGGTGTGCCTGAACCTGGCGCCTTAGACCGCTCGGCCATCTTACCCGATTGATGACTGTTCGATGTTCTAGCCCCTCCTATACACCTACTCTTGCCAACTGCCATTCACACGATAACCCTGACTTGCCTGATCATTGTCCAGGATACTCTTGCGTGACGCCTCGAGATATCAATCCCTGAGGTATCAGAGTCGGTCTCCAGGCGGGATTGGCTTTTCTGTACCGGCCTAGATTGTGCATCATTCTCTTATTCCTCGAAAATGAAAGTCCTTGCGCACAAGCACCTCATCTTGAAGGAAAGGAGGCCATTTATTTTTGGTTCCCCCTTCCTCTTCATGTATTTGAACTCTCCAACCTGACATTAATGCATGCCTACTATGTCTTTGTGGAGTATATGTCATGAATGTTTTTCAAATATTGAATCAAAAATACGATTCCCAAGAGTCTTCGGGATATTGCAAGCAAGGCTTTCCAACACCTCGACTAAGGGCTAGAGATTTGGTTGTCCTGATAGCGACTACGAGCGCCTTTCGTGAGGACTACAAAGCAGGGGGACCCTAGCATGATTGCGGCTCTATCATCGACTTAAACGACTCATTTTATCTTTGAAGTGATAAGGGTGTCCAGACTAGGTTACAATGGCTCATTCACGTATATGCCTCATAGTTTCTATTCACCTCATACACTAACCCCGCAAGAGTCCATCATCACACTTCCAGAGCCCCTTACCCTCCCATGAAAGCCAGGTACATCACTTAACTCTGATGTCTAGCAAGTCATGCGGAGAAAGGCGTCACCACTAGGCTCCTCATGTGGCCCGAAGTACCCATCGCGGCTTTAGTTGTCTTCCAGCTGCTCATCAGGGACGAATCTAGTAGACACATTAGGCGGCGCGATAGAAGCAAACCGATATCCAGATCCAGAACTCGCCGCGTATCTTGGTGCTAGCGTAAAGATCTTGCGAGGGACGCCAACTCAATATTTCCGGGTCCGGGATCTGGATGCGCTAGGCCGCCGTAAAAGGGACAGCTCCTCGGGCCCGGTTATGATTCGAGCAAGCTCGCCATTGTTAGCTTCAAGTATAGCAGTGACCGAGTGGAATTCGTTTTAGTATTTGGGGAATCTGTTTTGTGGAAAATTCAGGTGCCCTGCTTTAAAACCTGTCCCGCCGTCTATCAAGACACTCTCTACGCGAGGTAACCGGCAACGGAGCCTGAGGACGTGTGGAAGCCGCACGGGGTGATAAAGTGCGGCCTTGATGGATGCGATTCTCGGAGCTAGAGTCACCTGGCCTCCATTAGCCTGGAATAGAGCGCATGTTAGTGGGTGTCATCGTAATTCAAGATCTCGCAAAGCATTCGGCGAGCGGGGCCCGGATAGGACACCACGCGCACACAAGGACACACGCCTTGTTTGGGCATAGCGATAGAAGAAGCGCCACGGCCGTGGACGCATATCTGCTAAAGAGGTCCCCTCCCCGTTCCCGAGGCGGGTGGGCCCGGTCTGGGGCTGGGCTTGATGACTCTACCAATCCAAAGCCCTCCATCATCTGCCGCGTTGTCTGGCGGGCGTGGCTCTTTTCTGCTGGCGTGCCTGTCCTCAACTACGGACGGCGGGTCGCGGCGGGAACTACCTCGTCTTGGTTCAGGGCGGGTAGCATGTCGGGTTCGCATGTCATAGCTCGCCTACCGAGCGGGCGAGAGACGGGGTCCTGACGTAGGTCGCTGTGCCCACATGTGGCATATGTGGCGACTAGGTAGACATTCGCCTGCGAGAGGCACTGAGCAGGACGCTCTGCGCGTAGACCGGCTTGATAGAGAGGTATACGCCAGGGTGGCAAGATAGGACGTTTCAGTGCTAGTCACCGATAGTGTAAAGACCGGGAGAGAGAGGAGCCCGATGGTTCTCCTTGGACAGAGACTACACTACATGTGCTTGATGGGCAATATCGCTGGGGTCCAGGTTCAAGGCATCTCATCTCTCAGCCCCAAGAACTTAGTTCCCATGTCCCACACAAGAGCTTGATCAGTGGAATGTGTCCATCCATCCATTTCATCCATCTTGATCCATCCTGGCCCTGTTCTCAAAGAACCCAATCAAGACCGCGTAGTGGCTCCCACGACCGCCGACCATCTCGGGGCAACGGAGTCCCATTTGTCGGGGATCAATCCTCCCCGAGAATCGACCATCCCAACATCAACCATGATCCTTGATCTACATGTATACTAGATATGCATTTGCGTCTGCCACCAACACCTCCGCCCAAACACAGCGTGGAGACAAACACAAACCCCGCTCACCCGGGCCAGATCCCCCTCATCAGCCCCAGTTCCCCGATCGATGGCGGGCTGCAGCAGCGCCCACGCACGTATCTTGGGCCCGGAAAGGGTTCAATCGATCCATCGGATAGCCTCGATGGATGGAATATTGAGCTGGTTGCCCCACAGGGCCCCATCTGCAGCACGCCCGAAGCGTAGTTGGCCTTCCCCTCCCTCCCCGGAAAAGGGGGACCTGGTGTTGTCGTTGGTCCTCTCATCCTCCACGTTTTCTTTTCTTACTCTGGCCTTGCTCTCTCTTTGCGCAAGGGTCGCACAAGGGTCCGGAGCGGAGCCTCCAGGCCCACCGTATGCAGCTTCCGCTCCCCTGGCGTCCCCCTCCCTTCCGCCTTTCACCTCTGAGCTAATATATCCTGGCTTGGGGATCTAGACGATTCCGTGCAGCGAGCCAAGGTCAAATCGCTCAAGACCCTCCTTCGTGGATTTGGGGTCGAAAGGGGTGATCAGGTCTTGGCTGTCAGTAGTTATGGCTAGGACGAGGGAGCTGTTCGGCTAGGTGCGGGGAGGGGCGTCGGACCCTTGAGAAGGGCGAACAGCTCGGGCTATTTACACGAACATGTGCGTGGATCTATCTACGAAGTACAAGTCATGATTCGATGGTGGTTCCCTACTTGCTTACCTTGCCAGGCTTGTCTACTCCTATCCACATCCACACCTACAGTGCTGCTCTCCGCCACCGTACCGTATGGGCCGGCCACGTACCCGGTGCTGATGGTTGTACCCAGTCCAGAGAGTTGGGTATTTCCAGCGGTGCATCTATCCATGGATGCATGCATCGAGATGTAGCACTCGTTTAAATTGACGGATGCGAGCAAGAGGCAGGTGCCCCATATCCCAATAGAACAAAAGTCACGGCCTTCTAGCGAGGGGGCAAAAGCCCCCTTGATCTGCAAGCATAGACTCCTCGTCTCTCCGTCGATTGTCTGCATCCAGGCAAGTCTGGGATTTTTTTGGGGCATCTTACGACAAAGACCACCACGCAATCCTTTGGTGGGTAGGTTGACCAATGAGCCGTCGCTCGGAACCGAGCGCCGTTAGCGTGGCTCACTCCACCGCTCCGACACATGAGCCTATGATATCCACACTTGCAACGCCGCCGCTGGGTTCTTTGTCTGTCCGTGTTGGGGCTGGCGGCGCTGGGAAACACCATCCACACCATCCACACCATCTTTTGTTTCTTTTTCCAAGTGCCTGCCCTGCCTTGTGGCTGTGACGGAGCGCTTCCAAACTTAATTTCACTCCATCATCCAACAGAAACTTTGAAAAAAAAAGAGGAGCCCCGTGCCTTGCTTCTAGATCCGCGGTACCTTCTATTTTTCTCTCTTGGCTTGCCCCCTGAAAGCTTAGAGCCTCCATTTCGTCTTGGTCATCAAAGGGGAGGCGAAGGGGGGAACAGGGCGGAGGAAACCCGGGAATGCCTTGGAGGCTCTCGGCGTGCCACCAGGTCTGCCGAGGGGCGTTTCTGCGGTTTCTGCGAGGGCCGCGTTTGTACATGCTGGGAAAAAAAGGGGATTAATTGATAAAAATAACAAAAAGGCTAGAGCCATGTTTCTCCGTACTAGGAGGACCAGGATTGATCCTTTGTTTTGTAAGACGTCACTAGTCCAGCGTGGACCCTGTTTAAGCCAGCCGAGCTGCCCTTACAAGTCATATATGAACTCGCCAGTTCCGTAGAGTGCACGCAACCAACTCGACACTTCTCTTTTCATCATCCTTTACACACTTTGTCCCCCATCGACACCTCCCATCTCTTACTCCTCTTCTTTCTCGAACTATCAAACCGTGTGATGAACCCTTCCGCCCCCATGGCTCCCCTCTTATATCCACAACGGTCAAATCGGCCATCCCCCTCCCCCGCCCAGCCACCCACTCAGCCAACACCTCCACACGACGGGAAGCGTCCGAACCACCCCCAACCCACGCGTGAACCCGCCATCCACGAGCCCGCGCACAAGACCCATCCCGAGCTCTACCCGGACCGCGCCGCCTTCGCCGCCAGCGCCTCCCCGCAAGCCCAATCCCTCTTCTTCCACGCCCTGCCCCCGAGATCCGCTGCATCATCTACGACTACATGTGGAGCAGCGGCGGGTTCCAAAACGGCATCCACATCGACGTCCGACGGCCCCAAGGCTCCTCCTCGTCAGCCGCTGCCGAGGGCACGTACGAACCCCTGAGCTACCCTTGTCTCCTCGAGGCCGACGACGCCTTTCGGGACGAGGCCGTCAACGCCGAGATCGATGCCCTGTGGGACGATCACGAGGCGCGGGCAAGCTCGGCGAGTACAAGGTCGCGCGGCGCTTCGCCCACCAGCCCGAGGTGACGGCGTCGGGCTTGCCGTTTACGTTTGCTGAGCTGAAGAATCGTCGGGCAAGGGGCCACTTGATTGCTGGTTCGATTACTCGCGCAAGTCCAAGGCGGCGCGGGAGAGGCAGCTCGAGGCGGGTGAATCGCGGGATGTGTCTCCTACGTGGCAGCCGCTGTTGCCGGTTCTGCTCACATGCAAGAGATTGTACGTTTTGATTTCCTATCTCCGTATCCGATATAAATGACTAACATGCGCCCCGTATAGATACCTAGAAGCCATGCCCAGCTTCTTCTCCGACGTCCCCTTCATCTTCCAAGTCGACGAGCCCCACGCCATCCACTCCTTCCTCTCCCACAACCCGCACCCCTCCCTCCCGCACCTCCAGACCGTCCACGTCTACTCCGAAACCACGAACCCCAACGACGCCCACGGCACCGACACCGAGCCCATCCCCGGCACCGGCTTCCACAGGGCCCTCACCCGGTGCGCCTGGGAGTCCCTCGCCCGCTTGCCTGCGCTGCGAAGGATCCGCTACCACCAATCCTACGTGCCGCCCGGCTGCGACATCGACCTGCGCAACGTCACCAAGATGGCGGGCGCGGCGCTGGCGAGCAAGATGACGCTCGAGATCCCGACGGTTCATGATGGTCCGTGCCGGCAGTGTCGGCGACGCAAGTACCAGTTTATTCTCCCCGGAGAGGAGAAGACGGCGGTACGTCCCCCGCCGCTGTGGAGGAGGAAGGGGAGACGCCGCTCGCGGGGAAGCGGAGATCTGGACTAGAGGATGCGCCGCCCTTTGGCGAGGTGCAGAGGTTTGAGACTTTGCGGTACTGGCAGGAAGACGAGGATCTTTGGCCGGAAACGAAGAATTACCTGCGCAAGGTGGATGATGACTTGTGTTGGTATTGCAGGAACCGGCTGGTTCCGTTTGGGGGCGAGTTTTGGGAAGGTGGGATTGAGTGAAGGGGAAATGGCCAGTGTCCAGATCGCCTCGATCAATGCACAGTAATCCATAGATGGAGTTGGTTTAGGTTTTGGCGCAGGGCGCCATGTGTAACCCTCCAGTATTTTCTTGTTTCTTCTATTTTCCTTTGTATTTTCCTACGTCTCTTTTGTTAGACTCTTTTCTCTCCTTTGTCCAACCATAGACTATATATGCGAAAATGACATCTAACTGGTATCCAACGCCCACAAAAGAAAATGAAAATGAGATCAAACATGCAAGAAAGCAATGGAAAAAGCAAGACAACCCGGATTCAATGGAACAGATGTGTGGGTATGTTACACAATATTCAGTGAAAGTATAATCTGCCACCCCCGCCTTCAACTCTCCTCTCCTCATTGCTCGCCGGCTCCTTCCAACACGGACAGCGCACCGCCGACGAGATGAAAACTTCCCGTGACAAATACCTGCAATTCGTCATCTTCGCGGCCTCGGATGTAGGCGATGGCATCCTCGATGGAAGGCGCCACGACCACCTCGGTGCGGGGATCAAGCGAGCGCCAGGCGTCGGCGAGGGTGTTTTGGAGCGTGAGCCGGCGGATGACTTCGGGGTCGACGTTGGTGTTGACCATTTCTGCGGATTACCTTGGGTTAGCCTCGGGACTGAACTTGGCGGTTGGGGGAGGAGAAGGTGGAAAACGGAAACGGGAGGGCTGACGTACCTGGCCTGGTGGTATTGTCCCTGTACGTGATGTTGGTGGAGAAGATAGCGTACTTGATCCGAGTGCCGCCGGTGGCGAGGCGGTTGTGGACAAAGGTGAGCATCTGGACGGCATCTCGGTCCGATTGCTGGTTGAAGACGAGGGCGCAAGGGGAGTTTCTAAGGAGAAGAGGAACCCAGCTCCCGTTAGCATGAGGGCAACTAAAAGACAGGCTGCCGAGTCGAGGCAAGAAATAAACATCGAAGTTGGGAAAGGTGTCAAGGTTATGGGCCTCACCTTTGCTTAGAAGCCCGAGAAAACCAACGACACGCAACATCAAGGCTCTGCTCGTTATGCGCCCCATCCAAATGCCACCTCTGCTTCCCAGCCACCAGCGTCTCGCACCGACCCTCCACGTGCACGACTCGATGCCCTCCACCACCTCCCGCGGCAAGGTCCCGGCCCGCGCATCCACCGCCACGCCGAAACGTCGCATGACGGCCGCCGCCAGATGAACGGCGAGGGACGCGTTCCCGCGCTGGAAATCCTCGTCCGGGCGGAGCTCGACGCCCGCGAGGCCCGACTCGCCGCCGACGCGGGTGAGGGACACGCCCTTGTCCCGCGCCCTCGCCTCGAGCACGGCCATGGCGTCGTCGGCCTGCGGAGCAATGGCAAACGCCGGGCTGCCGGCCTTGATGACGCCGGCCTTGTGCCACGCGATCTCGGGCAGGGTGCTCCCGAGGACGCCGACGTGGTCGATGCCGAGAGAGGCGATGCCGGCGGCGGCGGGGCGGCCAAAGACGTTGGTGGCGTCGTATTCGCCGCCGACGCCGACTTCGTAGACGGCGGCGTCGACGCCTTGGGTGAGGAAGACGTGGAGGGAGACGAGGGTGAGCATGCGGAAGTAGGTCGGACGGCCACCGAGCTCGGTAGCAGCGGAAGAAGAAGAAGGAGAAGTGGTTGGGTTGCGGTCAAGACCTAGGGTGCGCCATACGTGGAAGAAGGCGGCGGCGAAGGTGGGCTCGGAGATGGGGGTGCCGTTGAGCTGGATGCGCTCGCGTACGGAGATGAGGTGGGGGATGTGTAAAGGCCGACGTTGGAGGGTTTACGCCCCGGGGAGAGGATGGGAGAGAGGCGGTACTGGTTGAGGATGGAGGCTGTGAGGGCCGAGGTGGATCCTTTGCCTTTGGTGCCGGCGATGTGGACGGCGTTGAGGCGGTCGAGGTCCCGGGGCTGTGGGGGTGGGGAGAAGGGGCATGGGCAGAGGTAAGCACAGGGACCTGTTTTTCTTTTTTTTCAAGGAGGGGATGGAGGGAGTGAGGAGAGGACTTCCTCATGCGGGGGGCTTACGGTGTATCCGAGCATACGGAGCCATTCCTTCATCTGCGCGATGGAGGCCGAGTCCGGGATCCACCCTACGCGTTTCCTGTCCTCCAGCACGCGAAAGCCCGCCTGCGTCGAGTTGAGCAGGCCAATGGCATCCTGCAAGGGAGAAAATAAGTCAGTGAACTCTCTCCCGAGTTTCTTTGAGGGTTTTTTTCTTTTTCGCGAGGTTCAAGGGGCGTGGGGTTCTCTTTCTTACGTTGTACGATGGCTCGACTTGTGTGTGGATGGCCCGGCGCGATCGGTGCAGGTACGCCGGGCGATTGAGCGCCCGGAGGCAGATGGGTCTGGTCATATCCTGGGGAATGACGCGGAGAGAGGTGGTAGGCAAGGTTGCTGTGTGACATGGAGGAGTGAAGGGGTTTGGTGGTAGAAAAAGCGCGGGTGAAGGTGTGGCGTTGGAATTTTTTCTGCGACATTTGCGAGATGGACCCACGATGTGGGAATAACTGCACGGCACCTGTGATGGATGTCGGAGAGCCATGGCTCCGAAAGGGCGACGGGATTTATAAATTTATCCTTTTTATATTATCTTTTAAAAGGACTATCTCCGTTTCGTTTGCTAGTTGCTAGCATTTATTTTCTTTATTTCCTGTAGATAAAGACCAAAGAACCTGTGTCCGATGGAAGAGTTCCAAGATCATCCATCAGCCATATCCGTGACCAATATCTGCTCCATCTCAGTTAGTCCTCAACACTGGCAAAACAGTACTCTGTGATGATATTAAAAGTATTTCCGTCTATTCAGTAAAAGTACAAGACCACCTGAAAAGATGATACTCCGCTAACCAACTCCTCACGGCCTCCCTTCACCAAGCGCCTCAAGCACACCACCCACAAGATACAAACTCCCCGTCACCAACACATCAACGTCCCCTCCCCCGCCACCCTCCTCACCTCCCCCAGCGCCTCCTCCAACGATCCCACAACCGCGATCTCCATCCCCGCGCCGCCGGGCACAAGCCTCCGCATCCTCTCCTCCAACCCCCGCTGCACCCGTAGATCCCGCGTCTTCGCCCCCGCCGCGACAGCCACCTCGTTCCTCGTAAACACAACAGCATCGAACCCCCACACCACCCGCACCACTCAGCAGCGCTTCCAAGAGAACACCAGCATCCCGGTCCTGCTGATTAAACACCAGCATCCTCTTCACCCCCTTCCGCCTCGGCTTCCCGCGAACCACTCCCCGCCAACCTTACGCTATCCTCCGTATGTGCCCCGTCCAGATGCCACCTCGCGCCGTTCTTCACCAACACTTGGCCCCGGCCCCGCAGCCTCGCTCCCGCCAGCGCGTCCGGTAGCCAAATCTCCCCCGCGCGGCATCTAAATCAAACTCGCCGCCCTTCAAGTGCTGCATCGCCGCGGCCACCGCCAGCGCCCGATTATCCCTCTGGTACACACCCTCCATTCCCGCGCCCTCCCCACTTCCTCCTCCTCCTCCTCCTCCTTCCACCCACGGCCCCCTCTCCACATCCCCATCCGTCAACTCCACCAGCCTCGCCCCCTTCTCCTCCGCCCGCCTTCGCAGCACCGCCGCGACCGCCGGCCCCTGCGCCCTCGTAAACGCCACCACCCCGCGCTTAAAGATACCCGCCTTATGCCACGCAATCTCCTCCACCGACGACCCCAGCATCGCGACGTGGTCCACCCCCGTGCGTCACCACCGCCGCGCTCACCGCCTCCGCCGGCAACACGTTGGTCGCGTCGTACTCCCCACCAATCCCGCACTCCACCACCGCGTCCCGCACCCCTCCCGCAGAAACGTGTGCAGCGCCAGAATCGTAAGGAACCGAAAGTAAAACGGCCGCGTGGCCCCGTCCGACGCCGCACCCTCCCTCGCCGCCGCCGCGTCCAGCGTGTCCCACACCTCGAAGAAGCGCCGCGCAAACGTCTCCCGCCCCACCGGCGCGCCGTCAATCTCGATGCGCTCCCGCACGCTGACGAGGTGCGGCGACGTACATGCCCACGCGCCGCGTGCGCCGCCCCCGCCGCCCCATTCGGTACCGGACGACAGAGGAGCCTTGCGCAAGATGGCGGCCGTGTACGCGCACGTGGAGCCCTTGCCCTTTGTCCCCGCTACGTGCACGCACCGGAGCTGCTGCGCGAGGTCCGTCGCCGAGTACCCTGCCCGCGCGAGCCACTCCCGCATCTCCGGGATCGCGCGCGCGTTGAGCGATGCCATGCTCGGCGCCGCGGGCCCAGAGATGCCGCCGCTAGACGCGTTGAAGAGTTTTGTGGTGGCGGCGTTGGACTTGAGCGTGTCTAGGAGTTTGAGAGCGTCGTCGTACGTGCGGCCTTGGATGGAGAGCTGGCGTGTTTGATGGCCGATGGCGGGAGCGGTACGGCGACGCCGAGAGAGCCGCTGGCTGATGGGGAGACTGGGAACCCCGCGGCCCATGGAAGATCCTATGGACGAGGCCATGATTCATCGCCGGGGGCTGGAACCGTAAATGTGATGGACTCACAATTTGACGACTCGCTTCTAGCGCACCGGAAACGCTGCTAGTCGACGACCGTATTGATAGTGACCTGCGCAGCGGGAAATTCCGACGGACCAGCTGTTTCAAATAAATCGTACATGCATCAATCTATTCCTTATTTTGAGCTCTTCATTCTACCCACAGCCCGCTCTTGGTGTTTGTGAAAATATCAATCGGTGATGTGCGTACCTGACGCATTTGCAGATGGTGGAACTGGACGTTGGAATTACCAGCTCTCTGGTGCCCTGACACAGGGTGGGCAGCGACCCTTGCTTAGTGGTGCAACGGTGGGGGTGCTCTATGATAGCAATTGTTGTCCCGAGACCCCTCGACAAGTCATCGAGCTTCACAAGACTACTGCCGAAAAGCTTCGTTTCCTGAAGACTACAACAGCAATTGATCACTAGAAATCTACAAAAGAACAACTAATACCGTGTAAGAATATATTTCAAGGGCTTCATGCCTATGTGCGTCTATACCATCCACCTGTACTGTACATCGCATAACAAAGGAAACAATTCAAGACAAAATAAAAGATGTCGACCACCTTTTGTTGTTCGAGGGAGTCACAACGCAGGCAAACAACCCCGAATGGGGCCCAGCCAGAGGAACAGCTCCTCTTAATTTTTAATTCATTCCTCGCTCTCCGTTCCGGGTTACCTCAAGCCACAATCCGGTTTCAATATCTCCCCATCTTGGCAATCGTTTACTCCGTCCTCAAGCTCTGCAGTCTCGCCTCAGCGGCAATCACCTAGAAAAGTCATGTTAGTGGACATTATTCGATCTGAAAGGAAGCACAGAATCGGGAAAGTAAAAGAAGGAAAAAAGGGATAGGGGTAGGTGAGCAAGAAAGAACAAGGGAATGCTTACATCAAGAGCCTGGCGAACCTCCAACACCTTCCTCACCTCCGACAACCAATCCCTACTCAACGTCTTGGCCCAGCCATCCAAGCCATTCATCTCCCGCGCCGCCGAATCCAAGTCCCCTTCCTCGAGCAGCGTTTGCGTGCGCGTCAGTATGCTCTCCACGTCGTCGCCCGCCGCGAGGCCCTCCTTCTTGAACATGACCTTGCTAAGCGCCCAGCTCGTCGCGTGGCTCGCCACACCCGCATCCTCGGGCAGGAGCGACGCCTTGCGCACCTCGCTCGCCACGCGCCGGAAGCGGTCAATGAGCTGCGCGGGCGTCGAGATGCCCTTTGGTACGCGGCCGGGTTGATGGACGCAATCGCCGCGTCCACCACGCCGTCGCCCCGGGCAATCTGCTTGAGCGCCACGAGCTCCTTGATGAAGGGGCGGGGTGCTGCGAGTCCTGGAGGCTGGCCCGGGCGGCCTCGACCGCCACGTGGAGCTGCTGCGTCTTGATGTTGAGGTCGACCACGTCGTTCCAGCCCGTCGTCAGCGTCTCGAGCTCGTTGATGGCCGACGACAAGTCCTTGAGCTTGCCGAGGCGGCCGTCGCGCTCCGACTCAACCTGGCTCTTGACCTCGGCGATGAACTCCTTCTTGAGCGCGACCGCTTGCTCGATGAGCTTGGTCTTGATCTTCTCCTCGTGGAGCTGCCTCTCCCGCTCGAGGAGGAGGTTGACCCGGTTCTCGTAGCCTTCGCGGACCTTCACCATCTCCTCTTCAAACTCCTCGCGCCACTGCCTCTCCTGAGCCACCATGGTGGACTCCACCTTGGTCACGAGCGCGTTGGCCGCCTGGTCAAACTCCTCGACCTTGGCCTTGACCTCGGCCGCCGCCTTTTGCTCAATCTGCTCCTTCATCGCCTGGATCTTGCGTCCGACCTTGGCGAGGTCGTTCTTGGCCTTGGTCACGGTGGTGCCGTAGCGGCCGTGCGCCTTATCAGCGTTGATCACCGTGATGAGGTCGTTGAGCATGTGAACGAGGTCCTGAATCACGGGCTCCTTGGCGTCCTTGACGGCGAGCGGGTCAATAGGCGCAATGGGAGGGAAGCGGAAGGCTCATTGACCTCGGGAGCCTTGAAAGCGGGCTCGGCAGCCGCGGGGCCGCCGCCTTGGTGGCCGCTACCACAATCGGCTCGGGCTCTGTCTTCTTGGGCTCCACGGCCTTAACGACGGGAGTCGCCGGAGCAGCCACCACGGGCTCAGCAGTCTCCTTCGCCTTGGACGCCTCCTTCTTGGCGGTTGCGGCGCCCGCCTTAACCTTGTCCAGGGCGCTCGAGCGGCGACCAGCGGGTTCGCCACCGTCGGCAACCCTCCACGAGGCACCGCTCAGGGGCGCGACCGAGATGAGCTTGTCATTGGGGCGCGGGGACGAGACGCGGTCGGAGCTATCGGGGAACTTTCGTCGGAAATCGAGCTCCTCGAGATAGAGCACGGCCTGCTCGCCAAACGGAACGTACTCGGTGAAGATGTCGTGGAACTTGTCGTTTATCCGCGCATAGTAGACGCCTCCGCTGAAGCCGACGGCGCCGAGGATGACGAGGGTGACGAGCAGGTTCTTGAGCCGCCTAAAGATGCCCTTCTTCGGCTTGGCGGGAGGAGGGGGCGGGGAGGAACCGTCTTGCTCGATGCGGGAGCTGGAGTGGCCTCGACGACGGGGCCTTGGGGGAGGGGTGACGATGATCGGCTTGGTGACGGGAGGCGTTACAGGCTTGGGTACGTCAGCCGCGATGGGCTTCTTGTCGTCGGCATAGAATCTCTATCAGGAAACCCGCCGCCAATTCAAGGTTAGCAATCGGTGGCCAGCACATCAACAACAACAACTTCGCCAGAGACGAAAAGCGCAGCAATTGAACATGAGCCCTCTCATTACTTGATGCCAGGCAGAAACCAGCAAATAATATCGGCGCTGTACAAGCTAACAGAGCTCGAAGCGAGGGGGAGGGAAGAAAAGACGCACCCTCGTGACAGCGGAAACCGAGCTCACGGGCAACCGAGCTCGGGCGACCGCGACCGGCGAGCTGCCCAACGCCCTCACGGATCGAAGCGACGTCCGCAGCATGGAGGGCTATGTAGAAGGAGAGGAAGGGAGGGCAATTGGCTGGTTTGGGATGGGGGTTGAAGAGCCCGGAGCGAAGGCGCTTTTTTGACAATTGGTTTGATGCGTTCGATTTCGGACCAAGGTTCCGGTTTGCTACGAGGGCTTCCTGCTTCTTCGGCTTCGAGGCAAAATTGTTTGGCGGGGAAACTCCGGGTAAATACCTTTCGAGCTGCCAGGGGACAAACTCGGGTTACTTTTTTCTTGGGCGAGAGAAAACTATTTTTCCCCATTCCGTCATATGCCGCACGTACGTTGCTCTGAATTACCCGAGGCTCTTTCACTGACGCAGACCTGATTGCATCTCAACGACGGCCCATGACGCCGGGGAGGGGAGAACTAAGAAATAAAACCACCATTTTGAAAATATTTCGTACAGAATTAATTGGGCTACTACGGTCGGTTCTATATTCTTTATGAATAAGATGAATATAAAAAGAATCAAAAAAAAAACATACAGCACCGGGGATTCGCTGGTCGTCACCGACCCAACTACTAGTCCAGCCCTCCCATGCTTAGTTACCCGAGAGCGGACGGGATCGGACGCTTTCATGGGGGTATGACCGTATGTGCTTGTTCATCGTCTCATCCGGTTAGAAAAGGGAAGAGACAGAGCGGTATTTCTGGTGCTCCCAAGAAGGCGTGCAGGCAGCAGGATAATATCTTGCCCCTCCCGGCCAGGTAACCAAGTTGAAATTGGGGCTGAAGGCCTCGCTTCGCCTTGCTAGAGAGTGGTGCGATTTAACACCAGCCGGGGTACTCTCCAACACACAACATTGAAACTACTAGAACAAATGTTAGATGTGGTAATTTTGTTGGCATGCTACTACTCCAAGGGTAACCCCAAAGACGCCGCTTAGTGCCTGGCTTTCCAGATTGCAAACTTGTAGCTGCGATCCTCCCAACCGGTGTACACGGCCGAGAGCAGTAATCGCCCACTCAACGACTAGCCTGTCTACAAACAACCCAAGCGGATGGTCAAGTAAAGCGAGCGTAAGAACAAAGTGGTGGAAGAAAAAAATAAAAAGATTTCTTAGATAGTTTCTTGGAGCAAAAGAAGAACACGGACCAGCAAATTCTAGGTCCGATATTAGTGTATGGTGTTTGTCACATTCGTGACCAGCCTCTTGAATGGTTTGATATATCCGTCCCCACCTCCGATGCTGATGGCAAAAAGCCTGTTGTCTTGTTCCTTGCCCTCCCGCACCCCGTACAATGCCGTTCTACGTCAACGGAGCTCCCTGGCGCATAGATATACAAGGGGACCTACGGGAGGTCGGGAGCAGCGCCCTACGGCTCGAATTCCCAGCGTTATGTATGCCGCTCTACCTCGAATACCATGAACCGTAAAGCCGAAAAAAAAAAGGAACTGAAGAAAAGATGAAATAAAGAGAGGAACCCGCAAAGACGTGACGCATGATCCCTTGGCTCCTTTAACAGCTGCAAGGGCCGCTGACGTTGGTGTTTTGGTTCTCGGGGGTAAGGTTGACACCACCACGGCCAGGGCCAGGACGGGCACCGCCCCTGGGACCAGCCTGATCTAGAGGGAGCTTCTTCGCTATCGCAGTGAAGAGGTCTCGCACGTTCTCGGCCGTCTTTGCCGAGGTTTCAAAGAAGAGGAGGCCGGCTTCCTTGGCGTACGCTTCGGCGTCGGCGGTGGGCACAGCTCGCTTATCGGGCTGCTCGGTAACGAGATCCAACTTGTTTCCGGCGAGGGCGATAATGATGTTCTCGTTGGCTTGCCTTTGGAGTTCCTTAACCCACGACTTGGCCTTGTCTAGGGACGACTATTGTAGAACATACGTTAGTACAAGACACGAGCAGCAGTGCAGTTCTGTTTGGCCTTCTCTCTCATGGTACGGGGCGGGCAACTAGGACATGACGTACAGCCTGTGTAATATCATAAACTACTACTGCGCAGTTGGCGTTGCGGTAGTACATGGGAGCTAGCGACTTGTATCGCTCCTGACCGGCGGTATCCCATATCTCGAACTTTACCGTCGTGTTCTCATCAAGCGAAATAGTCTGGGTGAGGAAGGCGGCACCGATGGTGGATTCTCGGAACGAGTCGAATTGATCCTGCAGGTCCAGAGATGTTAGACATATTCCCCACAGCTTGCACACAGCGTCTCGAAACGATGGCCTACACACCTTGACGAATCGTAGAACTATAGAACTCTGCAAAATAATGTCAGTCCACTGTCGGAGTGGCGAGAGGAAGGCAGTCGAGGCCAGAGGGGATCGGATATAGCGGGAATTGTTACCTTGCCGACGGCGGATTCACCTGCGAGTCTCGTGTTAGCACTTCTTCTCCGAGTCTGGTCGAGAAAGAAAGAAAGAAAAGACGGCCGAGGGAACCGAAGAAGCGGGGGCAAAGCAATTCTTACCTAGGAGGACGAGCTTGAACTGGGCAAAGCGGGTGTTCATGCCTCGCGCGTTGGGGGTCCCCGACTGGCCATGATGGGTGGCGTTGATATCGAATTGTTATGGGAGGAGGGGGAAGATAGAATGTTTCTGGGCAGAGGGCGCTAAAAGGGTAAAAAGAAAAACACAGACACCAGAAATCGTCAAGTCGTGCAAGGTTGTGGTTATCTCGATGTTGTCAGGTCTAGCAAAGGCTGGGTGGGCCTTGGATGACGAAGCAGGTGTGAAATGAGAAATGGGCCTCTGAGATGGGTGTTGAAAGGGAAGGGGACGCTGGGCTCCCTTTCGCCAAAGCTTGGATTGTGAATGGCCAGAACAATCAACATTCACACGTCACGAGGCTTCAATATGCCGAACCAGGCAGTGCAGATGACTAAACACTGTGGGAACTGTTGGGAAGGCGAGGAAGAACCGTCGCCCCAGGGGAGCAACGAACAGCAAGCGAGGGGCCAACCCAGGCAGATTGGGAACATTGATTAGCGACGCCCCACCCTTGTCGCTGACTAAGAACAGAACCAAGCTTGCCAGCTATCCTTTCAAGCAGCAGCTTACGAAGTTGGTGGGCCCAGGAGCATGTGAATCGAGGAGTGTACCTTTTTCGGAGGGAGGAATTCTTAACAGCTGTCAGGTCTTGGATTTGCTTCAACTCAATTTGGTGTGAGGACTTGCGCTTCTGCCCAGAAAATCCCCAGCCAACTTTATACTTTTTGTTTATGGCCTTATTCTTTCCAGCATCTTAAAAACCCTCCCTCACGATGGCGATCATCAAGGGGCCGCTATTTCCCTACCGCGACATCAACGTTCAGTTCGCGGACAGCGCCTACACCTTTTCCTCGCCGTCTTCTCCCGATGCTCCCTCGCTCGTCATCGAACGGCCTACGGGCGACATCCATTTGGCCTATGGCGCTCCCAGCCATGCCCCCAGGCCTTACCAGGTTATGAGCATCAATGGGATTCTGGGTATCGTTCAGCTCCGGCTCGGTAAGTAAAGATCGCGAATGGATGCTGTCCACACCCCCGTCTGCCTTTTGCTGGATAGTGCGCGAAGAAGTGAGAGGAGAAGCTTAGCTCCTCCACCCCCGCGCGCTGCCGCAGCCAAGGGTATTTAACAACGGCACCTGTTCTAACCGCCACGTGGAACCGCAGATAAATACATTATCGTGATCACGAAATCGCAGCCCGTGGGCCGGCTCAAGGGCCACATGGTCTACCGGGTGGTCTCGACTCAAATCCTCCCTATGCGCCGGAAGCAGATTCGGGATCCCGACGAAGATGCCTTCATGGCCCTGCTGCAAGCCTCCCTCAAGAACGGGCCCATGTACTTTTCCTACTCGATCGACTTGACGAACCCGTTCCAGCGCCAGTCCCAGGCCGATACCACGCAGCCTCTGTGGAAGAGGGCCGACGACAGGTTCTTTTGGAACAGGTTTGTCCAGTCGGACCTGATTGAATTCCGAACCGGTGGTGCCCGACTCTACCCTGGCCCGCACCCGGACATTGATCCCTTCATTCTTCCCGTGATCTTTGGCATGCTCGAGATCCGGCCGACCGTTTTCAAGGGCACGTCCATCACCCTCGCCCTCATCACCAGGCGGTCCCGGCACCGAGGCGGAACCCGCTTCTTCACGCGCGGACTCGACGACGAGGGCCACGCGGCCAACTACAACGAGACGGAGCAGATTCTAATTATCAATGACAAGAGCGCCACCGGCATCAGCGGCTTCTCGGGCGGCGTCGGACCGACCAGCGAAAGGCCGGCGGCGCGTTTGGCGGACAGGATACGCAGGTGCTATCCTACGTGCAGACCCGAGGTAGCGTACCGTCGTTCTGGGCGGAAATCAACACGCTCAAGTATACGCCCAAGATCCAGGTACGAGGCATCGAGACGGCGGTGCCGTCGGCGAAGAAGCATTTTGACGAGCAGATCCGGATCTACGGCGACAACTACCTGATCAACTTGGTCAACAAGAGCGGGCGAGAGGCCGCGGTCAAGGAGTCGTACGAAAAAGTGGTGCAGATCCTCATGTCCTCGCCGGCGGGACAGATCGAGAAGGACAACTTGACGCGGGAAAAGTACCATATTGTCGAGCCCACCAAGTCGCGGACCGAATTCGACAGGCTTCACTACGTCTTCTTCGATTTCCACAGCGAAACCAAGGGTGCCCGGCTGCACCGCGCCGCGGTGCTCCTCGAGCGGCTCGAGAACGCGCTCCAGGACCAGGGCTACTTCCGAGGGGTCGACATGCCCGCGACCAACGACGGGCGCCTGGAAGCGCGCAGCCTGCAAAGCAGCGTGATGAGGACGAACTGCATGGACTGCCTGGACCGGACCAACGTGGTGCAGAGCTTGTTCGCGCGCTACACGCTGAACCGGCAGTTCATCGACCTGGGCATCATGGCGCCCGGGCTCAACTTCAAGGAAGAGGACCCGGCGTTCGAGTTCCTGTTCCGCAACCTCTGGGCGGACAACGCCGACACGGTATCGTCGTCGTACTCGGGCACAGGTGCCATGAAGACGGACATGACGCGTTTGGGTATGCGCACGACGGCGGGCAAGCTCCAGGACGGTCGGGTCGGCGTCACGCGCTACTTCCTCAACAACTTCATGGACGGACCTCGGCAGGACTCGTACGACCTGTTCCTAGGCGTGTACCTGCCCGGACGAGCGCAGATTGGGGCGAACCCGGCGTTTGCGGATCGCCGGCCGGTGGTGATCCAGGCGATGCCGTATATCTTGGCGTTTAGCATCTTTGTGGTGCTATTTGCTGCGTTTGTGCCGCGGGACCCGGGGGCCTTTGCCATGTCGAGGCGGGGTGCGGTGATCCTGTTCCTAGCCATCGCAGCATACTGCTTCCGGTTCATTTTTGCCCACGGAATGCTCTACGTAAGTTTCACTCACTTCTCTTTGCTGTTCTCAATACATTTTTCTCCCCCTTATCTTTTCCCATCACATCTAATCATGTTGCTAACCATCTTTCCTTGGTCGTGTATAGGTCAACTGGCCCAAACTGTCTCCCCGGCCGTACGCGGTAGAGGGCTTCAACGAGCAAATCCTCAAGGCGAGAAAGGACCCTGTGGTTGGGTCGCTTCTGGCGCGGCAAGGCCAGCACGAGCGCGGCTCGAGCATCGCGCAGTACAGGCGGGCCGAAGAGGGTAGCAAAGAGGATTAGCGAGTCCGGCCACGCGACCACTTCCCCCTTTTACCGTCGCCCTCCGTCTCGCACTGGACCTTGTCACACCGGCCCTGCGGGTTTACTTGTACGTGGTCCTCTACGAGGCTATTTTACTATTTCTAAGTTCGCGGTGCCGCCTGCTCCCCGCCCCCAAGCTGCCGCGCTCGGTGCTGGTGCCGTCGTTGTTTTGCACGGCCAGCGCCCGGGCGTGCGTGGTATGCTTTGTCGCAGACATGTGCCGTGCGCTGGGCCTCCGGCTTGCTGCCGCTGTGGGCGTAGGCGTCTTTCTCGTTCCTCTGCGCCGTCACTCGATAAGGTGATGCGTTACTCTTCATTTCCTTGTTCTGTTTTAGAGGAGAGAGAGAGAGGGGCTCAGCTGCCGTGATGGGAATGTCACCAAAGAAGCGTACGTGCGGCGTGGTTAAAAATAGAAAGCAACAAGCACCAACAAGACCTCTTTCGAGCCCGGGTTCAAATGTATCCATTCTCTTCTTTGTCCTGTACTTTTTTTTTCCCTCACTCCTTTCTTGCCTGTTTTTTTGTATGAATGGTTCCTCCGGCCTAGCCAAAATTCTCGCCTTAGACCTTTTTTCTTTTTTTTGTTCTAATTCCTTATCCATATTTAATATCATGCTTCCTGCCCTGTTAAACTGAATGCTAGAAGCGAATCTTTTTCTTTTTCTTGTTTCATCTCTTGCTCGTCCCTCGACCGCGGAACGACACTGAACATAGAGGTCCGCCGATCAATTGATAGCGCGCCGTTGGGTCCCTGACAAAAAATCGGGGCGATGATGAAAGCCAAGCCTCGAGATGGGCGCAGGGACCAAGGCGAAACGTTCTCATGTAAATTGGACGGGCCCAACTCTTTCCTTTTCGGGACACCGAGTAATAATATGGGGAGCAACATTGTTTGGCGGTTTCAGTTGCTTCGTCTGGCCTTGTTAGAGAAGTGATAATTTTAGATCTTTTCCATGTTGCGGTGCTTATCATCATTAGCGTCCCGAAGAAAGGACCCGCCGTGGCCCCTGATTCCCTCTGTCCTCCCTCCCACGGCGTGCGTGCTTGGAACCTGGATTTTTCTTATCTTGGTTGAAAGACTTGAAAGAACAAGGAGGGTTGGTTTCTGTAGATTACGCTGCTTAACGAAGAGATCTATGGATCCATTTTTGTAGATTACGTTGCTTAACGAAGAGATCTACTCTCCACTTGTATCCATTGTGCGCCGTGACAAAATAGAGGGACTTGCAAAGCACCAGCGGGCTCCACTTGGATCAAATTCGTCTTACGAATCCATGTACGCACGCGTGGACCGAAAACGTACCCGTCGTACGCAAACGCTTTTGGCACAGACTAGTCTAGATCATACTGTCTTGTGCTTCCCTTTCCGAGCTTGACAGGCCATGGCCTACTCGTACTTCGTAGCTTCCGTTGTTTCAAGACTGGTCTCGCTGACTTGGATTTCCCTGTATTAATATCTTTCTTTTAGGGATTGTCTACTAAGGTAGTGTACACAACATGCGAGTTTTGCTGTACAACACCATGTCTAACACATTGGGATTAGTCGCACACCCCCATACTTACAGCCACACTAAGGTAGATATCTTTGGAAAAGAACAAAACCCCTTCCATAGATCTATCATTTCCATCCAAATACATCCTAGCCTATCAAGACCTCATCTTCTATCCTCTGATCCATCAGATCTTCAAATACTACATTCTCGCTTCACTTCCTGGGCATCTTTAGTGATATCCTGGGCACTTGGCTGGGAGGGCTTCTTCCACCACCACCGGGTATGGATATCTTGTATCTGGAGGGGCCTCTGATCTCTTATAGAGATCCAGATATCATGCTTACATGGTAAGCCATGTGTAGCTTGGATCGTACACCTACAAGGATACTGCGGTCCTTGTGGAAGATCCTTGATTGCCTGATAATGTTCGAGGATAATAGTCATGGCTTGCCGGGTGATGTGGCCTCGGATAAAACTGAAAAGCCAGATATAGGCACTTGTAAGAACTCTTCCCCTCTGCATATCTTGGTTTAGCTTAATATTTACTGCCTGATCCCTCCAGAAGCAGCAAAGCCTTGAGAAGAGGGTTTTCAAGTCACCTTTAGAGCTATCGATTAGAATGACGATGGATATGGGCTCGAAACGACGGATGGATTTGGATGAAATGATGGATCAAGAAAGGGTTTTTTTCCCTTGCATTTGATGTGGGATGGTGTAGCAGAGGAAAGAGAACCTTAGTGTGGCTGGAAGTAGGGGGTGTGGTACTAATCCTGGTGTGGTTACCTTACCGCCCAGGTTAATATGGTGTTGTCCAGCGAAACTCCAGCGTATGGGTTTTGTGCGCCACTACAAGTCGATCAGTGGTGCCTGAGAGGCTTGAGAGACTACTCAGTGGGCTGAGTGCTTGTACTGATTGATGGTTGATGGATTTATCCTCGAACCGGAAATGGTTTGGCGCCGAAACAAATGCCGTGCTTGGAAAGCTTCTTCCAAACCCGAGATCCAGAGACAGGCTCTCGAATATTAAGCCCTAAATAGGACATATGTAGTGTTATTCAAGTAGTGAGATTTCCAAGACTCGGCGAGATAGTCGGGGGTTGAGGAGTGGACAAGCACGATAACATGAACACCCCACCGACAGTTCCTCTCAGCAGTCTTGCCGTTGTATTCACTTAGTATGGTGATGGCCTTGGTTGATCGAGAGATCCCCGAATAGAAGTCTGCCCTCAATTTCCCGACCCGGAACTATCGATTCGGCAAGCATGGCGCTCGCTAGCAGGCAATACGCCAGGACTCTTCCCCTACCTGCCTACCTCGCTCAGTCACGACATTTCCGGCGCTGTTTCATAAAAGAGGGATGAGCGGTTTCCCGCCGGGTTCCTGAGCAAGGCAAGCCACATGGGTGGACCGCCGTCCCACGCCGGGAAATCCTCCCTGTCCCCATTTCGATCGTTTCCGCCGTCGAGGGACGGGCGGGTTGGACGAGAGAGTTCGCACAGGCTTGATGGATGTATTACAAGTATTATTAGTGGACTGAACTGAAAGTTCAAGATGGCGCCAACCCCTGTCGCGCAAGGGTCGAAAAGCAAAGCCCACGCCGCGCAGGACATTGATTGACGCAGATCTGATCCACAGCTCGCCCGCTGATCATCACTCCGCTGAGAGTGTGGTTTTTGACCCTGGTTGCCTGGCCTGGTTGCCTGGCTTGCCTGGGCCTTTCTTCTTGCGTTTCCGTCCTCCCACGAATTTTGATCGTTCTCTTCTCCATCGTTGAAACAAGCTTTTCCCCTCTCTTCTTTTGATCCGTCGGAGAGGACACGGCGGAGGACACGGCACGGCAGGGTTTGTGTTTTCCCTACCGTTTCCCTTTCAGATCGGCCTCATCCTCAACGGCGGGCTCGATCAAACCGTGAAGAGGGGTAGAAGAAGGACGGTAACCCAGCCCTCTGTGTAAGAAGAAAGTGGACGTAGTCATGATGATGAAGAAAGCTACGAGACTTCTATTTCCAAAATTCTATTCCGAGTATGAAGCCTCTTCTTCGTGTGCACGCCTGGTGGAGCAATATACTTTTGTCCATTTCGAAACGCGTAACCCACCACACCATGGTGGGAATGGTAGACGACGAAGCGACATTCAAGAAAGAGAAGACTCGCAGAGAAGAAAAAGCAGCGAGAGGAGAAGAAATGTCACTCCGTATGGAACCGCCGTGCCTGTGTCCCACCCAACGCCGATGATTTGATATCCGGGTCCATTGTATTGGCAGTGACACAGGAGACTCAGCCACCCTTCACGTCACTAGTGGACCTCTAAAACATAAGTTGCTCCACCGATCCAATACTTTTTGGCTGACTTGAGGGGAAGAAAACCATTGAAGCATGCGCCAAAATCAACATTGAAAACTTTGCGAGATGACGAAGTCTTTTGTCCCGCCTTCTTCAGCGCCTCCGCTTGCTCTCCCCAACGCACGCGTATTCAAAACAGGAAGAGGCCACGCCAGCCCATGGTCTGACCTTTCCCTCCCTCCAAAAGGTGCTCCGCCGGTCTTGATGCTTGTTGGTTCTGTTGGGCGCCGTGCTGTGGAGAGTTGAACTCTCGTTTTCGCAAAGGCTTTGTCGAAACTTCCATGTAATACTTGAAATTCTCGGTCTCTCATTTTCCCGGTTCATCCTCGCCGAGAAGAGAATAGTGAGAAAAAAAAAAAAAGAAAACGAGGCACGCCCGTGGATACTTAGCATGTAGATCCAGAAACAAGGGGCTGGCCATGCCATGAGCAGCCCCGATTCGCAAGCTCCGCCCCTGGGCTGACGGACGACACTTGCAACCCACCCTCTGAGCAAAGGGAAAAGAACGGCAAGACGACTGAAGCTTTTCCCATCCAAACACCCCTTCCCTTTTTGGGTCGTGCGGAATACAATACTTGGGGGCCCACCGCCGGGGTCCTTCTGCGGGGGCCCCAACTTTTGGCCGGCTGGCTATCACAGGGTGGGGAGGAGAGAAGCTCATTATCTCGGGTTGTGTCGATCATGTATCATTCCTTGTACTTAAGCTCTGTTGGGATGAGGTGTTCGAGAAGAAATGAACGCTACCAGGTACTCCCCTGTGTAGCAAGGCAAGATAAGCCTTTCTCGAACTGTAGCAAGAGACTACTTGTGATACCAGTGACCACTTATCACTCTGGGGAACTGCTCGTCTGGAGATCCCTCCCATCGTTTCTTCTTCACTTCCGTTACCCAAACAAGGAATCGCCCTGTGTCCGTCTTCCACCCTTCCTCTTACCTTCTCTCAGTGGGATTTGCGTACCAAAAGACGTATCAAACCTAAGGCCCAGACTGCCCTCCTCCTCGTCATCCCCGTCATCCTCTGTTAATCACTCAACTCTTTTCTTTTTTTCTTTTTTTTTCTGGTTCTTCTCGTGTTCAAGATCTCGGCTGGACCAAGAGATTCGTCCTTTTTCAAGAGCAGCCTATCATATTTCATTTCATCCCAATACCCATCCACCCACCAATCTCTGGCGAACCACAACGGAGCGAGTCTCTAGATTATAGGAATAACCGAAACCAAGCTCGCCGCGACAAGGAAAGAAGAGAGAGCAAGACTGGCCATTCTTCAGGCCCTCACCGGAATCTTGACCGTCATCATCACAACCGCGCCGCCATGGGGGTCCTCAATCCCTGGCCAAGGCACCTCGCCACCACCAACCGCCGCCTAACCTTCCTCATCTTCGCGACCCTCGCCACCACCTTCATACTCTTTACCGGCAGACGCATATACACCGACGAAAACTCCCTCCGGGGCGTCTTCCAGCCCCCACCTCTATCGACATCGGCACCGAGAGAACGCCGCCGTCCGCGCCTTCCGCAGCCGCCCACGCACCGGGAGGAGGAACGGGGCCCGCGGAGGAGACGGGCAGCGGCCCGGCCATCGAGCTCGAAGGCAAGACATTAACCTACCTCGTCGAGAACATCGAGCAGACCGCGCAGTACTACCACCTGTACCGCGTCGCCGCGCCGTGGGCCGACGTCTTTGGCGAGGTCGGCCAGCGCGCGGTGGCCATCCGGAAATGGGTCTCGCTGGCGGACGCCCTACCCCAAAGCGACGAGCGAACGCGCCTCGAAGACGCCGTCGAGCTAGCCTTAGCCGCCACTTTCCCCTTCCTTGCGGACCCGCCCAACGGCTCACGAGCGCCGTTCCAGAGCCTCCGTCGCCGATTCCGCACTGACCCCTCGCAGCCCGGCAGCCGCGGTATCGTGATCCCCGCCGGCAAGGGTAACCTACGCATGGCGTGCCAGGCCATCGCCACTATCTCGCACGTCCTCAACTCGTCCCTCCCCATCGAGCTCGCGTACGGCGGCGACGAGGACCTCGGCCCCCAAGACCGCGCCTTTGTCCGGAACCTCTTTCCCGACGCCGACCTGAGCTTCCTCGACGTCCTGTCCGTGTTCAACGATGCCGAGCTCCAGCTAGCCAAGGGCCGCTGGGCTATCAAGCCTTTTGCCCTGCTCGCGAGCCGGTTCTGCGAGGTGCTCCTCGCCGACGCCGACGCCGTGTTCGTCCAGGATCCCGAGGCCGTGTTCCGCCAGGGCGGCTACCAGCGCAAGAAGGCGCTCATGTTCCACGACCGCCTCATCGACAAGGCGCGGTACAAGAACCGCCAGGCCTGGTGGCGCAAGCAAGTCGTCCACCCCAGTGCCGAGGTGGACAAGTCGCTGTCCTGGACGGAGGACTACGCCGAGGAGGGCGACTCGGGCGTGGTGGCCGTGGACAAGAGCCGGCTCGACGTGCTGTTTGGCATGCTGCACGCCGCGTGGCAGAACTCCAAGGACGTGCGGGAGAGCGTCACGTACAAGGTCATGTACGGCGACAAGGAGTCGTACTGGTTCGGCCTGGAGCTCGCCGAGGGCCCTTACGAGTTCGAGACGCACTACGGAGGTGTCGCCGGGTGGCTGGGCGACGAGTCGGGCCCCCGCGAGGTGGACGAGCCGCAGGTGTGCTCCTACGTCATCGCGCACCCGGACGACCAGGACCGCGACTTGCTCTGGTACAACGGCAGCCTGCTCAAGAACAAGCTCACCAGCAAACGCGAGTACCTCGTGCCCACGCACTGGATGATTGATGGGACGTGGCGCAAGGGCGTGCGGCCCAAGTTTAGCTGCATGAAGGGTGGTGATTTCCGCGAGATCTCTGCCGCGCAAAAGGATGTCCTCGAACGATCGGTGGCGGAGGCGAAGAAACTGGATGTGCTGTTTGACGAGCTAGAGGCCAAGGCCGAGGCTGCAAAGGCGGAGCCCAAGGCGGAGGAGCCCAAGACGGAAGAGCCCAAGAAGGTGGGGCCTAAGAAGGGGGTCTGAAGAAATCGGAGCCCATGAATTTCAAGACGAGCGGGCAACCGGAAGCGGCCGACCATAGAATAGAAAGGGCGGTCTTGCCCTAAACGTTTGCGTATCCCGAAGCCGCGACGAAAGGCGGGACGACTGACTTTGTGGGCGTCGAGGGACCCCAACCTGTATCATGACTTGTTTTCTCCCCTAGGTCCAAGGGGAATGTATGATTTGTAGGGACTTAACATTATATCGGTTTCTTAGGCTTAGTTAGCATGCATACTCTATAATATCTTCTTTGTTCATATCCGTCGCTGGTTCTTGCCCAAGTCGGCTACATCTTTTGAGCAGCTCACGAACGTAAACATGGAGTATTCGACTTCTCTCAAGCTTCGCTGTAGCGAGATGTTCGTACTATAATGAAGTTGTGACTGGCTCGGAGGTTCGGGCCAATGAAGCTTAACGCGTAACTCACGCAAGGGGAGACATGGACAGCTTATATCTTCAGTGGCGTTTGTCAGGTCAGAAACCGTTCAGAAGTCTGTACACCTCGGGTAGAAGAGCGCTACGACGAAAGATTGATTTTGAAAGAGAGAGGAAGGGCAGACGCGACGAATGCCTGGCTGCTGCTGTTAGGAACCTCTACAACAAACCGGCTGAAGCTATCACGGGTAATGGCCTCCGTCTATCTGCGGTGCAATATGGCAGTGGGAGCAGGGGGAGTATTTCTTCCGGATCAACTTGACTGCCCATCGTTAGATGGGGTACCTGGGTATTACTGTAGTATTCTCCCGCTACACATCTCGGCCGATAGAAGGAGGAAAGCCGAAAGAAAGAGAATCTAGGCCCAAGAGTATAAGTTACGGGCAGTATGTACAACAAATCATTTTTATGATATTACCAGAAGTAAGGATACGATTTGGGAGCCTGCCGATTGATCTGGGCTCAATCAAACTCGAGGTGGGTCGGTTGATTTGACGTGAATCCTTCTGACCAGGTCTACCGAGCCCATGTCTTACCATCATGGGGATTCTCAACTCAACGCAACGGCTCTGGCGGCAGTCCGGCATGATTCGCTTATGGCTTTATGGCTTCCGAAGACGCGATTAAAGGACACAAGGGGATGGGGTCGGCTATCGATTAGACTTCCTGTCTGTGCCGTATCACTTGCATGCTATCACCGACAGCAACGCCGATGTCCGCCTCCTCGGTGCTTATTCTTTGCTGCCTTTTATTCTCGCGCGACCGAGAAATGCGATAAAGGTGTGGTGCACGTCACGGAAGAAACGTGCCGCTCAGGAAAGCCAAGACGTGGCACCTGAATCCTCAGGGTCCCTCTGTCAAATACGCCCTTTCTTCTTCTTCTTCTTCTTCTTCTTCTTCTTCTTCTTCTTCTTCTCTTGGATGCATGCTGAGGAGATGAATGGCGAATGGTTATCTCGTTAAACTCCCTCCTCGTGCCTCTTGATAAGAAAAAGAAAAAGTTTTCACTGGGGTCCTATTGCGCCATGGTTGCTTCCGACATGTTCCCCTCAACTCGCAAGTAGCGCGCCGAAATATGATGCCCCTGTGTTCTCCGTGTCGTCTCCGCTGCTACGGCCGTTCAAGCAGCGCCAAAAGAAAGAAAAGCAAAAGCGTTGGAGGGGCGGAAAAGGTGCTGCAACGCGTGGGAAGGCGCCACCGATACTCGGGAACTCGGCACAGACCCACATCCGCCACCGCCCCGCCCAAAAGCCAGAGGCGGAAGGGGGACACAAGAGAAGATTCTCGAGCGTTTTAGTGGTCGGGAGCAGAGGAGGAGCGGGGGAAACAGAATGGGAAGGCACTATCCACTTCTCCAAGGTTTTAGTGCTGATGAGAATTCGACACTTTTGACTCGGGGCAGGTGGAGGTGGACATCTAAAGTGACTTTGAAGAGAAGAAAAAAGGGGAAAAAGCCAGCACAGGTCCACCTCACAGGAATGGAGCCTCCCAAAGGACTCCAGCTGGGCACGGAAATCTTCCCCAGCTTGATGGGAATCAGTTTTCAGGTCTGGGTCGTCGAGGGCCCTGTTGGAGACTACCAAGATCGAAACAGAGATTCCGGGAGATTAGATTCCACTCCCGTGTTTCCCTTTCGGGGAGGGAACGGACGCTGCAACCCGTGTCTTGGTGTCCTGGGGTCCATCGAAGGAACAACGGGACTAGGCCTCAGCAGCCCCTGGACATACACTGACAAGAAAGAAAAAAAAAGATACACTTCGAGTAGCCACTCCACTGGAGCTTCGGCCTCGCGCTTACGCTCGGCGCAAGTCAAGAGAGCTGGAGCTTCAATGTTATTGGGGGAAGAAAGGCGAAAAAGAAGAGAAAAAAGTTACCAGGACTGGCAACCACTTTATCCTAGTGTAGGGCACGGCCCAAGATGGAAACAAACGAACTCGCCTGGCGTCGACCCGGCACGTTAGAATAGCAGCCATCTTTTTCGCTCTCTCGGGTTAACTTACTCAATGAGGGTTTGTATTCGTCCTCCCAAAAGGCAACTTGATCACCGAAGAGAAGCGGGTGCTGGTCTTTGCTTTGCCTTGCCTTGCTTTGCCTTGACACTTTTCCCATGCTCGTCTTCCCTTCTCTGCGTCTCCGCCCTCTTCCCCTGCGCGCCTTCCCTCAACTCCATGCATAGCATCTCCATCTTGCGTCCATCGGCATCAGTCTTCGTGACTCACCTGGCCGAGATTCGCCATTTTCATTCTCTCTGATTTCAAATTGGTTAGGGGCCCTGCAGAATAGTCTATTGACGAAGCTATTCACCGCCCTGCCCTACCTACCCTTGCACCCCTCCCCTTTCCAACTGCCATTGGCGTCGTCGTTGCCGGCAGCCGAGGATTCACGATCCTTGACAAGCTCTCCCACACCATGTCGTTGTACAAAACAGACGACTTCCTCCTACTCCCAACTTTCCGTTAGCTTCTTTCCCTCCCACACCTTTTTTTTTTTTTGGGGTCCAAAGCACGCAACACGTACGAAGTACTTGGTTCTTTTCAGACGAGCGACCAACAAGTGATCTTCAATCTCGAATTTTAATTTTTGCAACGAGCTCCTTCTCTCATTCCTTGATCTTCCTAACCCGGCGCTGCTTACCCACGCTCCGCTCATCGGAAGTTCATTACCGATTGGGTAACCTAGAGCAACCCATCGGAGACGGCCGGTCAAGCTTTTTTCCCCTTGTTCTTTTGGCCCAGAAGAAGCTTGCTTCGGCCACCTATCCATTAGTTGAAGCTCCCTCAGTTTCTTCTTCTCTCTGCTCCTGTTTTTTGTCATTTCTTTTCGTTTCTCTTCGTGCCCCCTCCCACATCGCCACGAATGGCCCACCGAGCCACATCGGAGCCGGCCGGCGACGAGCAGCCGCCCGTGGAACCGCCCGGGTCACACAACCAACCCGACGCGGCGCGTCCGGGTCACGGACGAGCTCTGGGCTCGATACGGAGGATGCGACGGACCTCGACGCTTGGAAAACAGAAGAAGCTGGCATACCCATGACGGAGAAGCCCCGTAGGATCGATGATGAGAAGCGCGACGACCACGACGACGACAACCGATCCCGTTCCACTCTTAACCTGCACACCAAATCCGCGAGCGACAAAGAGGCCGGCCAGTCGCAGCCTTCTCTCCAGCAAGTCGAATCACGGGACCTCGAGCGTCAGGAACCGCAAGAGGTGGACGAGGTCGGCGAGCGGGAAGGAGGTGGCGATGGCGACGGAGACGGAAACCAAGACGGAGGCCAAGCTGACGCCAACGCGCCGGCCGCCGAGGAACCGGAGGCGCAGCGGACGCGACTGCAGACGACCATCATCATGGGCGCATTGTGCTGCGCACTCTTCCTCGCGGCGCTCGACGTCACCATCATCACGACGGCGGTACCGACCATTGCGTCCGAGTTCGACTCCAACCTCGGGTACACGTGGATCGGCAGCGCCTTCATCCTCGCCAACGGCGCCTTCGTGCCCATCTGGGGCAAGATTTCCGACATTTGGGGGCGAAAACCCATCCTGCTAGTCGCCACGGCCGTGTTTTTATCGGATCTCTGCTGTGCGGCGTCAGCGTCCACATGGGCATGCTCATCGCGTCGCGGGCGATCCAGGGCGTCGGGGGCGGCGGCATCCTCGCGCTCGTCAACATTTGCATCAGCGACCTCTTCTCCATCCGCACGCGCGGCTTCTACTTTAGCATCATCGGCATGGTCTGGGCCGTCGCCTCCGCCATCGGCCCGGTGCTGGGCGGCGTCTTCACCAGCAAGATGACGTGGCGGTGGTGCTTCTACATCAACCTGCCCATCTGCGGCGCCGTCTTCGTCCTGCTCTTCTTCTTCCTCAAGCTGCACAACCCGCGCACCCCCATCAGCCAAGGGCTCGCCGCCATCGATTGGCTTGGGAGCGTGACCATTGTCGGCGGTACCGTCATGTTCTTGCTCGGCCTCGAGTTTGGCGGCATCACGCACCCGTGGTCGTCGCCGATGGTGCTCTGCCTGCTCATCTTTGGCGTCGCCGTGGTGGGCGTCTTTGTGTTTATCGAGGCCCGCGTCGCGCGGTTCCCATCGTGCCGCTCTCGCTATTCCAGGGGCGCAACAACGTGGGCGCGCTGCTCGTGGGCTTCATCCACTCGACGCTTTTCCTCTCGGGCAGCTACTACTTGCCGCTCTACTTCCAGGGCGTCCTCGGCGAGTCCTCCCTCAAGTCAGGCATCTACATCCTCCCCTTTGTCATCTCGCTCTCCATCGTGTCGGGCTTCATCGGCATCATCATCAAGGCCACGGGCAACTACAAGATCGGCATCATCGTGGGCATGCTCATCATGACGCTGGGCGTGGGCCTCTTCATCGACCTCGACGCGCACAGCTCCATGGCCAAAATCATCCTCTACCAAATCGTCGCGGGGCTCGGCGTGGGACCCAACTTCCAGTCGCCCCTCATCGCGTTCCAGGCCGGCGTGGAGCCGCGCGACATCGCGTCCGCCACCACCACGTTTGCTTTTACGCGCCAAATCGCCGGCACCGTGGCCATCGTCGTGGGCGGCGCCATCTTCAACAACGAGATGCAGAAGCAGTACCCGCGTCTGCTCGTCGAGCTGGGCCCCGCGCTGGCGGAGCGGCTGTCCGGGGCCAACGCGGCGGCGAGCGTGGCGCTCGTGGACGAGCTGGACCCGGTGCCGCGCATGGTGGCGCGCCAGGCGTACGCCCGCGCGCTGCAAAAGATGTACATTGTGTACGCGGCGTTTGGCGCGGTCGGCGTGGTCGCGGCGTTGATGGTGCGGCAGAAGAAGTTGAGCAAGCAGCATACGGAGCATAAGACGGGGCTGAGGACGCTGCGGAGCCGAGAGAAGAAGAGGAAATAGGGACGAGGAAAACCGAATAGGGGAACCTACCCGGTGATTTGACCTGGATCTTTTTTTCTTTTCTTGTACTACCACATTGGTTTTGTTCTTTGCGGGGAACGCTCATCTCTCACGTCTGCATACTTGAGGATTTTGTCCCCCCTTTTTTTTTTTCTTATTTTCTATTTTATTTGCGTGGAGTGCTCTCGTACCCATCGGCCATTTTTTGGTAGATGCAGGCCTTGGGAGCAGCATGGGACGGCGTTTTCTTTTGGTGTTTCCTTCTTTTTGGAGCTGGGGAGAGGAAAAGAAAACATGAGAAGGGCATGAGCAGCAGAAAATGCACGGCGTCGGTGGTCCTTGGTTTCCATCTTTCTTGTATTTGGGTTTCAGAGTTTCAGAGGCCAGGCTCGGGCTCTTGCTTTTTTTTTTTTTTTGATACTCTCTCCAGCCTCTTCTTTCCGCATTGTATATATTGGCGGCTTGGTTTACAAAACTACATAGTACCATTTTGTACCTCGTTAATCGTGCATAATCTCACTGACTTGCTTACTTTTTCACTTTCTTCTTTCTCGTTCAGTTTCCGTGTGCATATCGTGAGTGATACTGCTGCGGTGCGTTGCGCCGACTAAGGTGACTATCATCATGACCGCAAACCAAGACGGGAAAACGGCCACAGGCATTCACCCCCGAAGACGTTTTTAGGGACGCTTTAAGACCAGAGGCTGAAGTCTGTGGACCCAGAGAGCTTCCATGCGTGTTTCTAGAAGCAAATATCGGTTCCGTCTTTTTTTCTCAATGCACAGCCGCTGCCCTTAGTTCGTCTATGTAGCTTAAGAGACGACAAGGTCCCATAGGTGAAGTGGGGAGCTTCCCTCCATCTACGTGTGAGCCAACGGAATCAGCGGGCGACAAAGAGATGAAGAAGGCCAGGCCAAGACGGGTTCGCAAACGAGGGCACCAAGGCCAAATTGGAGCCCCGCCAGGCCGCCCGCTTCGCATCCCTGTCACAACCTGCGGCTTCGACCAAGAGAAGAGGAGGAGAGGAGGACAAGGGCCCCCGCCGAGATGGAATGGTTTCTTCGATTATTCTTCTCATGGGCCTCGCGTTTATCGATGCACAACGACAAGCCATGCGCGCAGCGAATGGTGGGCTCGGGCGAATGTGTGCGCGCGCAGGCGAGTGATGGTGATTTCATCCAATTCAGCCGTCAAGTGTTAGCGCGGGTTGCGCCAAGCACGCGGTGCGACGCTGGGGGCTTGCTCTGCGGGCTTTTGCTCTTTGCGATGTGTTGGTGAGCTATTTGGGCGTGGAATCTTCCGATGAAAGGCTCGTAGCTACTGTCGCAGATGAGATGAAGCTACACTTGATGGACTGGACGAGCAGAGCCATTGATCGACGGGGGTTTGGGAGACGAGGTAAATGGATGTTCTCTCGCTCTCTCCCCGCATCAATGGCTATTTTTCTTGATTTCTCTGATTTTCCTAATCGTTCAATTTCCAGTGCTTCCCCTTGCTGTCCTTTTTCGGCGTCTTCTGCTTCTTCTTCTGCTTTTCTTTCCTTCTAGTGTTGGATCGCTCGTCGGAAAAAATATCCCAGATCGGTTGCACCGATGGAGATCCGTTTAGTCCAATCTAATGTTATTCCTGCAGTGAACCATGACCCTGGTCCCCTCTTTCCTCCCTTTAATAGAAGGGGATTGATCATTGATGCAATGGATCTCTTCTGCTGCTGGCCTGGCCATAAAAGTTGGCGATATAGGCCTCCCCACCGGAGATCCCTTGATTGGCGGAATTTGGGGGTGGATCGCAGGCCAGAGAACCCGGCGGTGCATCCGGGGAATTTCGACACTCGCGCTGCCCCTGGTTCCCGGTCCGGTTGGCAGCGGACGAGGGGGCAAAGAGGGGAGGGACGAGATTTTGTGAACCCTGGCGGCGGCGGAACTTGGCTTCGGAGCTGTTGCTTCTTTCTGTTTTCCGTACCTGGCAGACTTCTGGAAGGATTGGCATTTCTTTGCATGCCCGATCGAGATTCGCGTCTTTTGCGCCTTTCTCAAATTCTTCTACCCGTTCTGTTGTTTCTTGGCTCTAAATGAAGAGAACGAGATGGTGCGAGATGTCAGGACTTGGAGAACAAGGTATGCCATAGTTTCTAAGAAAGACTTTCTTCGTCAAATCTTGCTCTGCAGATACCTGTGCCATCTTTTACGCGCTCTCTTTCCGTCCCTTGACATCGCCGTGTGGAGCATCGTTTGGCATCATGGGTCAAGGGCACGGGAAGAATAACCTAAACCTCAAGAGAGACGGCGAGTGGAGAATGGCACAACCGGAACCGCCCCCGCGCGCCCGCGACGACGCAATCCCCGCCTGTTTCTGTCAGAGCTTTCTTCTCGATCCTAGGTTTTCCCTTTCTTTTGCTCATACAAGAAAAACAAAAGCTACCTTGTGGTCCCCTCGCTACGACGCAACGTTGGTGCTTGCGCGGACCCGCCGGAACACTGACACTGGAAGTGCGATCCCGGTGCAAGAGAGAGGAGCACACAAACAGTGGAGAATCCCCGACATCCCTGACAGTTTGCGAATCCGAGTATCAATGAAGAGGAGAGATAAACGACGACGCGAGGCGAATAAGAACAGGACAGAGGTGGCAGATAAACCAAATCGGAAGAAAGCCGTGGGTAGCATCGTGCAAAATGACAGGACGTAGGCAAACCGGGGGTTCCTGTGTAAGCTGGCGCGCGGGGGAGGGGGCGCCGTGCGTGGTAACCGGCGGAAAAGCATTGCGGAGGATTCGAAAAAAACGTCCATCATTTCGGGGACGAGCGTCCAGGGACACAGCGTCTCGATGCTCCACACCCATTGAGCAGACTAGGCTAGGGTGCCACTCTTTTCGTCTGATTCGACTCCGTCTGCGGCGACACGACAGAGACGAGTATAAAGACCTCATGTCGATCTCCCTCGCCAAGGCCACCAAAGATTCTCTCTTAAGACAGGTCTCCGCCCTTCGTCCCTCGTTCGCTTGTTTGTTTCTTGGTTCCTCATTCCTTCCCGTCCTCCCGCTCATTCCCTTGCCATTCCACCCCGCCGTTCGTCAAAAGCCGTCATCATGGGCCTCTTCAAGACCGTCATCTCCGCCATTGCCGGCCTGTCGGCGCTCGCCGGCGTCAACGCCGCCTCCCTCCAGCAGGTCTCCAGCTTCGGCTCCAACCCCTCTGGTGCTCGCGTAAGAGATTCCATCCATTTCACTCTTCCCCCTCCCGGCCGCACCTAGTGCATTTCTTCGCTTCGGGGATGTAAGTCGTCAAAATCGTACCAAGCTAACGCGAGAGACTCTAGATGTACATCTACGTCCCCGACAAGGTAGCCTCCAACCCGGCCATCGTCGTCGCCATCCACTACTGCACCGGCACCGCCAGCGCCTACTACAACGGCACCCCCTACGCCCGCCTCGCCGACCAGCACGGCTTCATCGTCATCTACCCCGAGTCCCCTACGACGGCGGCTGCTGGGACGTCTCGTCCAACGCCTCCCTCGTCCGCGGCGGCGGCGGCAACAGCAACGCCATCGCCAACATGGTTACTTACACCCTCGGCCAGTACAACGGCGACAAGAGCCGCGTCTTCGTCACCGGTACCTCCTCCGGCGCCATGATGACTGTAAGTCCCGCCCACCCTATCTCTCTCTCTCTCTCCCTCTCCCTCTTTCTACGCTCTGTGCCGCGGAAGCAATTTCTCCTAACCAAATCTCAAAATCCTTGTAGAACGTCCTCGCCGGCACCTACCCCGACATGTTCGCCGCCGCCTCCGTCTACGCCGGTGTCCCCGCCGGCTGCTTCTACACCGGTACCGTCGCCGGCTGGAACAACACCTGCTCCTCCGGCCAGTCCATCCACACCCAGGCCGAGTGGGCCAGCACCGCCCTCGCCATGTACGCCGGCTACCCCGCCTCCTCCCCGCGCCCCAAGATGCAAATCTACCACGGCGACGCCGACACCGTCCTCTACCCCCAGAACTGGCAGGAGACCGTCAAGCAGTGGACCGGCGTCTTTGGCTACTCCACCAACGCCGTCACCACCGAGACCGGCCTCTTTGGCGGCGCCTGGACGAGGTACACCTACGGCCCCAAGGTCCAGGGCATCCTCGGCGCCGGCGTCTCCCACAACCTCCCCATCCAGGGCGACGAGGACATGAAGTGGTTCGGCATCGTCGGCGGCTCCACCACCACCTCCACCTCTAGCACCACCCTCGTCACTTCTACCAAGACTACTTCCACCTCCACCACCACCTCTAAGCCTCCCGCGACCACCACCACTGCCGCTGCCGGTGGCCAGACTAGGTGGGGCCAGTGCGCCGGTATTGGCTGGACCGGCCCGACTTCCGTAAGTTCTTGATTCGTTTTTACTTTCTTTCTTTCTCTCTATTGTTCAAGACCGAATCACTTCGTCGCTAACACGGTTCATCAGTGCCAATCTCCTTACACCTGCACCTACTTCAACGACTGGTACTCCCAGTGCCTTTAAGTCAACCGTGGTTGACCATCGCTCTGGCATGCTACTTTGGCGGGTCGCTTCCGAGAAGAAGAAGCAGAAGGCTCCCAAAGGCTAGACGATTGATGGCTGGCTGGATGTTAGCCAGTGGAGAAACTTCGCAATGAGGCGAGGTTCCCGGTCTCCGGCGAGGAACCGAAATTTCTTCATGTTCGTACGATACGACACGTATAAACAACTTTTCTTCTTCATGTACATAGCTCTCCGTATATATTCTTCCCAAGATACATAGTTCAGTGGCTTCATATATTCACGCCAACCATTTTCCTACCTGAATCGTTTTATCAAGGGTATCGCATCGTGAGCTTATAGACACCGGCGCGCACACACTGCGATCGTCGATCTGCGCCTTCACGTTCCGCGTCGCCTCAAAAGCTCGAAACCACGTCCTGCACCACCGCGTTGGAACCTCTAGTCCCGAGTCGTCCGTTCGTTGCCCAGTTTCCCGGAGCCGAGTTGCCTTAAAGCCTCAGCCATTATCCCGGAGCCCGTCTTCTCCGGCCAGGCTGGCACTCGTCCTCGTAGACGAGGCTGCGTGCGTGGCGTCCCTCGGGCATCAAAGGCAAAAAAGGCGTCTCTCCCCGCAATTAACCCGGGCGCGGACCGCGGCGCCTCAAAAAACAGGGCGAACAACGGGGTTTCTTTTCTTTTTCCTTTCCCTTTGCTGTTCTTCCTTTTCTTTCTTTCCTTGACCTTGTTAGGGACATCTCTATTTAGGCACATGGCGAAAATTTTCCCTTCTCCCGCACGCCCCCGGCACCCATCGCGGAACGGGGAAAAAGAACCGCAAAATTTATATTAGATTTCCCCATTTTTTCTTCTTCTCTCAAAGAGAAACCCTCTCTCCGTTAAAGGAGTTCTCCAAAATGGCGGGGCACTCTTCCATTTACCCCATGAACTCCCCGGCCGAGCGAGCTCGGCATGTTTGCCGGGGCGGGGGCGAAGGAGGAAAGAGCGCGACACGCGAAGTTGCTCGAACGAGGAATACCGTGCTCGCCCTGTATATTTTCTCTCTCTTTCTCTCTCCGTCTTCATGATTCCTCTCCTAATTGAGCCCTCTCGTTCTTTAGATCTCATGAACTGCCTGGGCTCCTTTGCTTCGAGGTGAAAATTGCGGACAAGTGTTCACATCCACCAAATTGATCCATCAGGATAAGACGTCATGGCGCCGTTAAAGTCGCTGGCCCCTTGGGCTCTGTCTCTGGCTCTGGCCGCCGGACCGGGCCTCGCCCAGCCCATGTTCGAGTTCCCCGATTGCGAAAATGGCCCGCTCGCCGATAACCTCGTGTGTGACGTGACCGCCTCCCACGCTGACAGGGCCGCCGCCCTGGTGGAAGCCATGACCATTGACGAGAAACTGGTGAACCTCGTCAAGTGAGCCCTCCCCCTTCCCCCTGTCACTCACACAATCCCCTGCATCCCTTGCACCCCTGCACCCGTCGCCCCCACCTCGCTCGCTCCCTGGCTAATGCCCTTCCCCCGCCATCACAGCGCAAGCCCCGGCGCACCTCGTCTCGGCCTCCCCGCCTACGAGTGGTGGAACGAGGCCCTACACGGCGTCGGATACTCCCCGGCGTCGACTTCCAGGACAAGGGCGAATTCGCCGCCGCCACCTCCTTCGCCAACCCCATCCTCCTGTCCGCCGCCTTCGACGACGACCTCGTCCGCGAGATCGCCACCGTCATCTCCACCGAGGCCCGCGCCTTCAGCAACGCCGGCCACGCCGGCCTCGACTACTGGACTCCCAACGTCAACCCGTACCGCGACCCCGCTGGGGCCGCGGCATGGAGACCCCGGCGAGGATCCGCGCCGCATCAAGGGCTACGTCAAGGCCCTTCTCTCGGGCCTCGAGGGCGATGACCCTTCCAAGAAGAAGATCATCGCCACGTGCAAGCACTACGCCGGCAACGATATCGAGCGCTGGGGCGACGTCGTCCGCCACAACTTCTCCGCTCCCATCTCCCTCCAGGACCTCGTCGAGTACTACCTGCCTCCCTTCCAGCAGTGCGCCCGCGACTCCGCGTCGGATCCATCATGTGCGCCTACAACGCCGTCAACGGCACCCCGGCCTGCGCCGACACGTACCTCATGCAGACCGTCCTCCGCGACCACTGGGGCTGGGACGATGAGAATCAATACGTCACGAGCGATTGTAATGCCGTCGGCGACTTCTACACGGAGCACCACTGGGTCGAGACCGCCGCCGAGGCTGCCGCCGAAGCCTACGCTGCCGGCACCGATACCGTGTGCGAGGTGGGCCTTCTCACCGATGTTGTGGGCGCGTGGAACCAATCTCTCCTCACCGAGGAAACAATAGATAGGGCCCTCACTAGGCTGTACCACGGCCTTGTCCGTGTCGGATACTTTGACCCGGCCGACTCCTCGGACTACCGGTCCCTTACCTGGGACGACGTCAACACCGAGCACGCCCAGAAGCTTGCCCTTCAATCCGCCGTCGACGGCATCGTCCTACTGAAAAACGACGGTACGCTACCGCTGGACTACGACGCGGCCACCCCGATCGCCGTCATCGGGCACTGGGGCCGCGCCCCGTCCAGATGCTCGGAGGATACGCAGGCACCGCGCCGTACTACGCCACGCCCCTCTCCGTCGCCGAGTCCCTCCACAACTCTACCTACTACGCCGCGGGCCCCATCGCCCAAGATACCGATGCCCAGGACTACTGGACAGAGGACGCCCTCAAGCCGCCGAGAACGCCGAACTCGTCTACTTCTTCGGCGGCCTCCACCTCAACATCGAACGCGAGGACCGCGATCGCACGTCCATTGCCTGGCCCGCCGCCCAGCTAGCCCTGCTCGAGAAAGTGTGTGCCCTCGGGAAGCCGTGCGTCGTCATCCAGCTGGGCGACCAGATCGACGACGCACCGCTGCTCAACAATGCAAACGTCTCGGCGATCCTGTGGGCGGGGTACCCTGGACAGGCAGGTGGCACAGCAGTGTTTGATTTGCTGTATGGAATATCTGCCCCAGCAGGCCGGCTTCCCGTGACGCAATATCCCGCTTCCTACGCTGTGGACGTACCCATGACTGACATGACGCTGCGCCCGAGCGACATAAGCCCCGGGAGGACTTACAAATGGTACGCCGATGCGGTTCTCCCCTTTGGCCACGGCCTTCACTATACCACCTTTGAAGCCTCCTTTGCCTCCGAACTCAGCGCCACCTATGATATCCAGGATCTCTTGGAGACGTGCGAGGAACGGTATTTGGACCTTTGCGCCTTTGATACTGTGTCTGTGGCGGTGGAGAACACGGGAGATGTGCTCTCTGACTTTGTCGCCCTCGTATTCGTAAATGGAACCTATGGACCATCTCCCTATCCGCTCAAGGAACTTGTGGGTTACCATCGCTTCCGCGACGTGGATGGAGGTGAGTCGCAAGAAGCCGACATCCACCTGACCTTGGGCGACATTGCGCGCGTTGACATCAACGGAAACGCCATCGTCTACCCAGGAGTTACACTCTGCAGGTAGATGTCCCTGCCCAACGGACTCTTCACTTTAAGCTCTCGGGACGAGCAGCCGTTCTAGATCAATGGCCGCAGCCCCCAAAGGATCGGAGCGCGGATACCGAACTAAGCGATTAGATTGGCGGGTTGAAGCGAATGGGTCGCAATCAGGTGTCACCCATACAGATCGGGGACAAGGGAGAACTTAAGAACCCGAGAAGAAGGAAAAGAGAAGGTGGGGGAGGAGGGAAAGGGGGGAGGAGAAGGGAAAAAAGGACCAACCGAAACCTTGGAGAAGACACTAGAAAAGCCGGAGAAGGCATGATGAGTCTGCGGGCAGAGATCTGCGGGAAGGCACGCCATGTACTTTCCATGCGGGGAGGGGAGCAACAAGAATCTCCTCCCGAGGAGTCCAATACCAGGGCGCGAAAATCAAAACCCGGTGCCAAGGACCTTTTTCCGTCGCATCTCCGCCTCTGCCTCTCGCAAATGAGATGACACGAGCCGGTGGGTAATTTTCGAAGGAGTGGTTAGAGGTGGGTTCCATAAAGCCCTCGGATAGCGAGGTGCGTATGGGGGACCAGACCTCAGTAGGTAGTCTGGGGAAATCAAGAGCCGGGACACACAGGAAAGCAGCAGCATGTGGTGTACGGATGGCCTCTATTTTTTTTTTTTTTCGCAGGCAAGTTGTAATAGTTCTACCTCAGAACCAAGAACTGGAGTGACATAATGTCCTCCTCTGCAAAGATCCTTCGTTGAAGGAGCTGGGCCCCTTGACCGACGAGCCTATTCCCTTGAGACTGTTGGATGTCTGTGCATAGCGCCGGCCGGAGATGGGGAGAACTCCTTCACCCGTGGGCGGGTCGATAGCTACCTTGGTCACGAGGGGAGAGTCCAGATAAGCAAGACGCAAAGTCTTAGTGCTTTCATGCAGAAAATATCGCGCGAGATGTATCCCCAGCATGCATTGGGGTGACTGCGCAAGGCAAGTCCCGCCCTCTCCCAGCATCCGAGAACACATAGTAACCAAGAACGGAGTTCGGCATTAGTTTTGTCAGGTAAGAGTCGAGGAATAGTTCTAGAATGGCGACCCGGATCCGCCAGGAGGGAAAAAGCAAGTCACCATTAGCTTGACATTGCGCTAGGTTGAGTTGTGCCACATGGCGAACGCTGAATAGTCAAATGGCCCGAAGCGAGATCTCAATCAGTAACGAACCACAGGGCCCAAGAAAAAAAACCCCTCCCGGAGCTTTCTCTCATGCACAAAACAACCCTAGACCAGCTTTAAGGTTGTCCAAGCTCGAAGCCAAGCTGATAAAGGAGAAGAAAGGGGTGAGATGAGTGGGAGGGGAGGGAAAAGCAATGGTTGCCGTTCGTTGATTTAACCCCTGTTCCGCAGCATGACCTCGGTACTGGGTTGCGGACTCCCCGCCTAAATGGAGAGAACCGCCAGCCAATATTAAAAGGGCTTCCGCAATGAGTGACGTCTTTGTCAAATGAGGTTGAAGCTCCCATCGGATATGCCTTTCTTTTGTTTTTCTTTTTCTTTTTCTTTTTCTTTGATTCTTTTTCGGGCCGCAGATATTGCACTCGATGTATATGGGCCAATGTTCCTCCTCATCTCACCTGGTTACAGTGGATCGAGCATGTACAAGCGATGATCAGCAGCCTATCCATCCCGTCCCCTGGACAGAATTAAAGCCCGACCGCCGCCGGAGACGCTCGTGGCTTGCGGCCTGTGCTCTGGAGGCCGGAATCTCAAGTGTCAAGAATACCGATCAGCGCCCGAATTTTAGGGTATGCTCTCGCGGGATATCCGGCTCGGGAGTAAATAAAATAAAAGAAGAAGAATGAAGGAAATATACGGGGCCGACGAGACCAGCGGGAGGTCGAGGATGGATGATGGAACCCGGCATCTCTCCGTGTCAACAACATGGCAGCCCAGCCCATCGTGGGGTATGATCTTAATTTGGGTGGACATTGTCCGGGAACGTCGTCCGTCTTGCCTCGGTTGCTCTCGCCAATTGAGTCTGGTGGAAGGTGTAGATCATTGGGAAATGGACGTGCGCACCTCTCTTGCAATGTTGGCTTGCAGCATGCGCTTTGGGTTTCTTTGGCTGGCGAGAGGCTTGGCGCAAGCTATTTTGACCCTCGTTGTCGCACATGTAGCCCTTTATCTGATGGGTATGCGCGTCTTCAACACACGACAACGTGCCGTGTTCACCGACCTCGCCATTGACGCTGCGGTCAGTTGTCTTATTGGCCTACGTCGACGTTCTTCTTTTTGCTTCTGTCTTTAGGTTGTAATGGAAGGTAATAGGAGGTGTGGAGACCAACTCTCAACGATACTGAAGGGTATGGTCATGCTTGTCGCTTCGGGTCATTGAGTCTTGCCGTTCGCATTATGCTGCGAGGTTAGTTCGTGACCCTCTCCCTTAGCTACAAGTGGATCGCGCGCACGCAAGTCAGACCATTCACTTCCTTGACGAGTTTCATGGATATGAAACAAGAATTGGATACGGGCCAATGTCCAAGGTCCTCTCCTGCGAGATGAGGGTGTTGGGTGGCGAGGAAAGTCCGCGGACATAGATGGATGGTTGTTAGTGAGGAGTCGTGATATAAAGTAGCCGCCCTCTCCCCGGGGTCTCGCTCAAACTCTCGTCGTGGATGACTTCCTGACCACCAGGGACCCTTGGCCGTCTTCAAAGATTCAGCTTCCTTGAGCTACACCAGCTAACGCTTGCCTTGACTTTGGCGAGAGACCGCTAAACATCACACTTCATATACTTCGGGCTGCCATACGCGGGCCTAGCGACGTCGAACTGTGATATGGACGAAACTACTAGCAGTGGTGGGGGCACTGAACAGGAAGATAGGCAAAAGCCTTCTCCGCCGCCTCCCGAGTAAGCATCCAACCCATATCATCAATGGTTTCGTCCGCCATGTAGGATAAATAGATTCTAACAATTGCGAAGCAGTCCCCAGAGACTCCATCTCCAGAGGAATCTAATCCAGTGATTCAAGCTTGGATGGACGATAAGGAGAATCCTATCACTAGGATTTTCAGTAGAGCCCAAGGCGGGGCGCCGATAGTGGAGACTCAGCCGTTAGACTGAAGAGTGGGTGCAAGCACACGAGTAAGGAGGGTCAACGAGAGTCAGTAGGTGACTGGAGGGCAAGTGAACGTCAAGAGAAAGTTGGAAATGCATATCAGGCTCTTTGCACGCGAGGATTCGAACGTGGGGGCGGAAGGGCGAAGGGTGGATGAGAGGGAGGCACGGGACATTACATGCAACGAATCAGACTGCGAACTGGGAAGGAGTCATCGGCCATAGATTGGCAAAGATGATGGCACTGTTTTCTTTTCTTTTCCTTTTCTTCCTTTTTTTTTTTGGCCCAATGTATCTTGTTGAAGACTTTGGATTGATGTGAATGCGGTAAGGGTGACACAGCCAGGGGGAACGCCGGGGGTAAGGCTGGCAGGACAGAACATAGACCGCCATGACCCTGGGACAGGCTAGATTGAGCAAAGTAGGAGAGTTGGCATGATGTAACTTTGAATTTTGGGATTTTTGACATACAGTTGCTCTTTCCCTACATCTGTATGCGTCGAAACATGGATAAGCACTGCGCGTGACTCGGCCTTGTCGATATTACCTTGGGAAGGTGCACCACGCTAACGTGCTGAGTCAGCATCTTGAATCCCACCAAAAATGTTGCAGTGGTTCGCGGGTTAGGTGGGTGGTGCAGTGACGGCCCATCACGCTGTTCCGTGACCCGGGACCAAAAATCCAGAGACGACAACTGATGTCAGCTCTTTTTTGGTTGCAAAAACAAAAAACCTTAAAACGACGCCACGTCTTGATTCAGGCCGTCGAAGAGAAGAACGCGCCCATCACGCCTCCTATCACCCCTTCTCCCCATTCTCTTTCTACAGCCTCTCCCCCGCCACCGTCTGCGGCCGAATTCCAGCACGCCGTAAACAGTGGACCCCGACCATGGACCCAGGGAGACAAGCCAGGCTGCAGGGCAAGGATTACACCCGGGAACCCTCCAGGCCCAAGTTCGACCCCTTCACTCGCGTCTCGAAGCCAAAGAACAACCGCTCCGCCGCGCCGAAAGCCCAGTCCAAGACCAAGTACCTCACCCAGGACGAGCAGTCGGAGCAGTTTGTCGCCGACGAGGATAAATTCGTGTTGAAGCAGGCCAAGAAGAAGGCTGATATCCGTGTCCGCGAGGATCGTGCCACGCCCATCGACCTGCTCGCCTTCAACCTCCGCAATATCGATGTTGATCGCGACGTTTTCGACGACGATGACGGCGACGTCGAGATCGACGTGCCCGCGCCGGAACGGGTCGTCGACTCCTGAATGCGCAACAGCTCCAGGAGCTCGACACCGAAATCACAAACTACTACACTCTCGAGAGCAACCAGCAGAACCTCGAGTATTGGAGGGCGCTCCGCATCATTGGCCGCCACCGTCGAGACCAGCTCCTGAGCCAAGGAAGGGATGACCGTGCCATCGCATCGGTAGCTGACGATATCGACAAGATTCTCAGCCCCAAGACGTACGAACAGCTCGAGACCCTCGAGGGCCAGATCAAGACCAAGCTCAACTCGAATGAGGATATCGATACCGACTATTGGGAACAGCTCCTCAAGAGGCTCAACGTGTGGAAATCCCGCGCGCAGGTCAGGAAGATATACCAGGACATCAAGAGCGCGCGCGTCGAGCAGCTCAAGAAGACGAACCCGGACTTGGCAGCGGCTCTCGAGGCCTCGGACGTCTCCGCGGCGGGACCCGTACAGGTGGCGCCCGCGCCCGCGCCCGCGAGGACCGAACCCGAATCGTACACCTCAGTTGAGAAGAGATCCGAGAACAGGCCCTTTTCGAAACCCCGTCGCAGCTGGCTGCCCAGGGCGCCAGCGCGCCGCCGGGAACTGCTAGGTTCGCGCAGCTCCCCAACGAAGACTTTTCGCAGACGACCAAGGCGCTCTTCGAGCGCGAAGTGGCCAAGGGCTTCAGCGAGAACGAGGAAATCTTCGCCGCCGAGGAATCCGTACCCGGGGCGTCGGCCCCAAGTGGGCCGGCAAGCACCGGCCCCGCAAGCCTCGCTACTTCAACCGCGTGCAGATGGGCTACGAATGGAACAAGTACAACCAGACCCACTACGACCACGATAACCCGCCGCCCAAGGTCGTCCAGGGCTACAAGTTCAACATCTTTTACCCCGACCTGATCGACAAGACCAAGGCGCCCACCTACAAGATCATTCGCGAGCATGGTCGCCGGCGCGGCGAATCCTTCACGCCTGCTGGCGAGGCGGACACCTGCTTGATCCGGTTCATCGCCGGGCCGCCCTACGAAGACATTGCGTTTAGGATAGTAGATCGCGAGTGGGATTACAGCGCGAAGAAGGAAAGGGGATTCCGCAGCACATTCGACAAGGTACGCCTCAAAAAACACTCAACTACGAGCCCCCTCGCAGCCAGCCTAAACCTATACTAACCCTTTCTATCTTCCAGGGCATCTTGCAATTACATTTCCAGTTCAAAAGGTAAGCGTCTCCCAGATACTCCCACACTTGGCTCCGCGAATACCAAGTCACCTATCACTTTGTTATACTCCTTGCTAACCACGGCCATAAAATAGATTTATTACCGAAAATAAGACAGGACTGCAGTCTTATCGAGCACATTACTCACGCCCTCTGGCCCCCATCTACTTTCGCATGCTCCTACTTCAGGCTTGAGCCATATGATCTAGGCTACTCAGGGCTAATTCTGGGTGGCTCGAGTCTCCTCCAGAGCCTCAAAGCACGGCACGCCCCTCCACGACAGCATTAAGAGGTTTCCCTCAATTTTAGCAGGAACCAGGGCAGGCTCGTAGAAGAAACGTCTCGCCGAGAATTATGGAGTATCAAGAGCAAGGCCTCGTTGTCTTGCCCGCCGCCGTGAGCTCTCCAAAAGGCCGTCGCAAGCCCTACCAGGGAACGAGCGTGGAATTATCGTCTCGTCTTTTTGGGCCCGTCTGCTTCCGCGGCCGTTGCCAGGATAAATTGTTGGATGAAGGATCTTCCGGTCGAAGGATTGGAAGAGTCGCACGCATACACTTGACAGGAAGCGCATGTCTCAGATGCCGGGTTTTGCCTTTTTTTCCTCCTTTTAATGTAGCATATTATGTACGCCGTCATGCCTGAATACTCATCATACGTAACCGCCGCCGCCGCCGACGCGTGGGGTGCGGCTCTTCATCAAATCTTCAACCCTGACCGACCACTTGCCCCTGACAATGGATAACCCCCATCTCGTATGCCTTCCCTCTCCATCTCGACACTCTAGTCACGGTTGTGTCTGGCTGGTCGCACCCCCTCCCCCTTTGTGCTACCCTCGCCTCCAGAACCTCGCCTCATCCCTCAACCGATTCACAGGGCCTCATTCCAAAACAAAGCTGGGGTGGGATGGGATGGGCGCGAGGCTTCACTAAGTAATGTTAGGCTCTTTTTCGCCCCCTTCCGGTTTTCAGACGTTTTACTCTTGATGTTTTGGATATCCTCGTGGAGGCTCTGTCGCGTATCATGCCAGATCGGGCCTCGTATCCCCCGTACCTTCCAGCAAAAGGAGATAAAAAGGAAAAGGAAACGGAAAAGGAAAGGGACGAAAGCCGGCTAGGAGGATGTAGCCATACTCCCACATCGGCCAGTCCCTCCTGTTCAGGCACAAGCCAAAGAGAAATTGTTGCAGGAGATCACGGCAGAGCCGATCGATAGGGACTGCAACGTCACAACCGGGAAACCGGAGAGAGGGTCTGCCTTCGTCCCCTTCTTCAACGTCTCCCGTCACCACCCACCCACCTCTTGCGGACCGTAGGGCTGCAATGTCCCTTTCCGTATCACCAACTCCGTTCGCTTTTTCTTGTTCCTAGAAGGGACGTAAAACGGACGGGCGCTCACGTTTCCTTCCTTCCCTTCTTCCTTTCCCTTTTTTCTGTTTCTCTTTCCTCGCTTTCATTGCTTTCTTTCTTCTCTCTTCTCTCTTCTCTTTTGGGGTGGAGGCGACTTTGGGTGCATGCTCTTCATTGAATGATGATTGGCTCTCTGACTGGCGAAGATGCCATCAGTTCTGCACGCTCCCGGCAGAGAAGCTTCTGTCTTCCCGTCACCGCGTCGGCCTCTTGGACACTGCTATGTTGGATAGAATTGATAGGGATTCTTGGAATCAAACCCTATGTCAGTGTGTACACATTGTCCAAGAACCCTACCTCTTCAGCCTGCCCGGCTTTTGGAGTTGAAAAATGACCAGCGGATTGGGAGAGTTTCCCCCATCCCCTCTGTGAACGCTTTCTTGCTTGTGGCGTAGCGACGTGATATTAGCAATCAATAAAGAAGAAACGCGAGACAGTCAAGTGCATCAGGCGGCAAGCCAGATTGCAGAGAAGAGCGAAATAGTCAGAAGGCCCTCTTATTGACCAGTATCTATGACCATACATGCCCAAAGGTCATCGGGATAGTCGCATACTCGGGAGACTCTCAAAGGTGGAGGGGCATGCGTCTCCGAAAAGAGACAATAATCAAGCTTTTACCTCTCGATCCCTGAGTATATTTGACGGTTAGGAGGCCAAGAGAGGCTTCTAGAGGCCTTCTATCACTTGCACTCCTACCGGGGAACTTGCCGGGTGACGGGCAAGTTCGAGGGCGTGCCATCTTCCCCACACCACGTTGTGAAAACGCGAGCCGCGGGAAACCAGAGCTGGGACCTTTACCTAGCAATCCCCTCTCGATCCGAAATGGCCCGTGGAGTGAATGGTTGCTCATCAATGATGGTAAGGGGTCGATTAGACACAAGCAATCGCGCACGCAAGTAGGATCCACCCACAATATGTCACGGAGAAGCAAATAGGTCCGCCTTCTACAGTGACACACTGTCTGCATGGACTTGGCAATACCAGTCAGTACTTTGCCGCCGCCCATCACACGAACAGACTATACTTATCCAACGACACACACACACACACACACACACCCAGGGCGCTGCTACAATCACCTGCGTTTGTCACCAAACAAATCCCCTGTTAATTCCGCTTCTGGACGGAGATGCTTTTCGGGGCCTGCCGCGACAGGTCTAGATGGCTGCGTGGGTGCTGAAGGAAGATCGAAAATTGGCAGACTGAACAAAAGCTATCGGGTTGGAGTAGTGCTAGGCTGTGTCTGCGCGAGGATTTGGTCGGGGTCCTCCCGGAAACCGCCAAAGGTGGTCTCTGGTGCTCAAAAACGTTGATTATTGTAAGAACGGCAAATGGCCAAGTGAAGTTCTTGATCGGGCCTGAGCTTCACGTTCACTGCGTAAGCTATGTAACTTCCCAGGACAGGATCTTGAAAAGACCCCAAGCATCCCAGTGTTGATAGGTTGGTGTGTCGGGCTGCTGGGGGAGGGTATTTGGCCTCTGAGGAACAAAGATTCTCGAAGAAACCAGCTGTCTGGATTGATCATTGACGGTTTATGATTCCGTCTTGAGGTCGCAAGGGACACCTTCGCCTTGAGCAAGGGAGCTGCCAGGTTAGTGTCGAAGCTAAAGTGCTTTCGTTTGACCTGACTCAACGCTCTGCCCCAACGCCCAATCCAACCCGGCGAGGCCAGCCATGTCCAGTTCTAAGGTTCTCCAAATATCGGCCGAAGACACCCCCGTTCGTACTATCGGTTTAAGAAAGAAATTAGCGAATTGACGCCGTTGTCGACCCACAGCTGCTATCTGTCTGTAGCGCACACCGCTCAAGACCGCCAAGTGCCCTCCTAACACACTCGGTCGGCTGTGGGAAAGGGAAATTGGGCATAGCGAGCTGACTCTGAGATGGCGGGCTCACTCCCCTCTGCAGTCAATGGAACAACCCTAATCCTTTCGTGTTCTTCCGGAACCGCGCATGTGGCGAGGCATTGGGGCAGAAAGCCACTTCAAGGGGGCTGCTGGGAGCTCAACCGAACCGGCGAGTCTCACGTTCCTTGTGGACCCTGAGATACTACCCGTGTGCTTGGCGTCAAGTTGATGGATCTATGGATGGATCAAGGGAGAACCTGAAGGTTGAAAAAGAAAGAAAAGAAAAAAAAAGAAAAAAAGAAAACGAGGCCTGGTGCGCTGGGAGCGGGGCCTTCCAGCGCGTTGTGACTTTTTGTAGCTTGACCCCTTCTCGCCGGTTTCCTTCAACCCCAAAATGGGTAACCAAGCCCTTCTACATCCCTGCATGTTCTCCCCTCTCCACCTTCCGTCTGTCGCACCCCCTGACTTCCATGGCGCACGCCCCTTCCCAACTCACGTCTTTGGAGATGTACCGGCATGTCACCGCATGCTTCAACCGGTCAGACACAGACACACGCACACACATCCACACACCACATACACACACATCCACACACCACATACACACACACATACACACACACATACACACACACGCACACACACACACACACACACACGCACACACACTCTCTCTCGCGCGCACATGGACACCACTGCACATAGCACAATCAATTCGATCTCCCTCACGGCAGTAAAGCCCTCAGCGATAGGCTCATCCCCCGTGTCGCTAGCGCCTTCCTCCCGGCATCCTACATACACAGTCGACTATTCGACCCCTCCCCAGCCAACCAGCTTGGGGGTGGCCGGCTTCCACAATCCACAATCCACGATCAACACACCCCCTCCCCACTCCTTACCATGCCCTTTCCCTTCGAACCTATCGCCCTAGTCTACGGTGACCTCCTCACAGGCCTGGCCCTAATCCATGCGTGGATCACCCCATATCACTTGAGAAAGGGACAGCTGAGGGAGTGGGTATACCCTGTGCGGAAGACGGCTCAACCATGAGATCCGGATATCAATCCAGGGACACCCTTGCTACGTCGGATGTCCCTCAGTGTTCGCGTTTATAGTACTGGGAGTAGACCGTGGTGCCCGGCTCCGTCAAGCCATGCCCTAGAGAGAGATAACCCACGACGTGCCCATCGCCACCCTTCAACCAGCTATATCTCGCTTGCTTCAGAGCCCGTCCATAGCTTCTACATTCACGGCAATCTCCTGGTCCTTTTCCTTGCCCCTTCCGGCCTTTAACTACCACCCTCGTGCCCTCAGCCAGGTGAAACACTTGCCGTAGAAGACGGCCGACCCCCCCACACTCCCATACCCTTCCCTTGACTACTTCAACCCATCTTGAATTTGAGCGACTTGAACCTTTCTTCTTTTCGCCTGGGACACGTTCGTCTCCCTTCATCCTGATTCATCTTCTATTCACTCACCTTCTTCGCCAAACAACCAAGTCTCACACGCCGGTTTCACTTTCTCCCTGCCTCCCATCGGCCCCGTTGCCCTTGAACACCCTTTTTCTTGCAGTCGGTCTTGTCAAACGCAAAGACAGAAAGAAAGCCTGCCAAAAGGTTTCAGTCTATCTCACTCCCATCGAGGGACCGGGAGAGCCTTTGCCAGCCGGTCTGAGCTGTGAGGCCGAACAACCGCGACATGGAACGGCAAAACGCTGACGGCCTCCCCGTTGCAGTCTACCAAGATCAACGACCTCGCCTAGCTGATGAGTCCCGACCAGTGGAGAATCGGGACCCCATCCATCCAGAATCATCATTCTATTACCATAACATCCGTCTGGAACAACCGATGCAGTGTACTCCCGCAATCCAGTATCATTCACACCTTTGCCAAATTCCATGTCAGACGACATTGGGTGCGAAAAGTCACCAGTCGGCCGCTCTTTGGTCGCCCCCAGAAGAGGGTAAGGACTTTGGAAATTACTCTTATCAAGGCTCCCCGCCAGCTGTGGAGAGTCGTCGGGGATTACAAGCAGCCACCCATATCCCCAGTGTCTTGGTCGTCCCCGAGACAAATGCCTTTTCAGACTCCTAGTGATCACCTACCCTACGCTCACCAAACGCCGCAGACGATGGGTGTCTACTCGCCATCCAACGATGCTTCATCTGCTGAGCCTGCTCATTCCATGATGCGGCAAAGCAGCATGCCTCACAGTTATTCCATGGTAAGGAACGATAGTATGCCCGGGGCTCCATCACCAATGGACGCAAAGGCCCCTTTTCTCTATCCTTCTCCGTCGACGCATCACTTAGACATGCAAAGTCCATTCAGCGACCTCGCAGTAGAAGAGTTGGGGTCGGAGCCATTGTCGGAAGCAGGCGAGGGCCGACCCAACGACGAAAAGATCAGGGCACACGAGCCATACGCACGTCTTATTTACAAGGCGTTGATGAGCAGTTCGAGGCATGCCATGACTCTACAGGAGATATACCAGTGGTTTCGTGATAACACTGATAAGGCACAAAACGAAAGTAAAGGGGCGGGAAAAGGCGGCAACAAAAATCAGGACGGATGGAAAAATAGCATACGACACAATCTTAGCATGAACAAGGTAAGCAAGCCTTCCGTAGTGACGACAACGGGTCTGGGCGACAGGAATGAATGAGGACTTTGAAAGCTGACCTGTATCATTCCTACAGGCCTTTGATAATCGGGAGCGTCTACTAGACACAGAAGACTCTATTGACGGGGTGGTCCCTACGGCTACTGGAGATGCCAAGAGGCTGAACGAGTGGTTTCTCGTGGAGGAATTTGTTGGAGCAGGAGTCAAGCCTACTACACATTACCGAAAAGACGCAGCTCGGAAACCTAATCACGGCGAAGTGGTCGATCGACCATGCGAATACGCGCAACGGCAACGACGGCGGCGAATGCATCACCCCGAAAATCGAAAGCTCTCCGGACGAGCAATGTCTGGCCGCAAAGGTGGATATGCGTCTAGTCAGGGTCACCGAAGACGAAGAGCGGAGGAGCAAACTCAGCAGCACCACGCCCACGTTGTAGAATCGAGCCCGGCCTATGCGCTGGCCCCTCCACCATGGGCAGAAATGGGGGCAGCGCCGGAAATGTTGGGGGCCCTAGAACTTGCAATGAAGCCGGACTTGAGGGAGCCGCTCACCCCAGATTCGGGGCAGCTTAGCTACGCGATGCTTCCGAGCTCTCACCCGGCCATGGTGGTTGAGTGCGCTCCGGTTCTGACCCCATACTACACACCACCTTTTATACACGGTTCCGGATTTGACATCACGGATGTGTCCGGGGTTTACACTGGCGGAAATGTGTTTGCAAACTTTGGTGTTCGCGCCTTCCAGGCTATCACGGATGACGAAGGATGCGACAGGAGACAATTTTCGGCCGCGGGCATCTAAATTCCCCCGGATCAATCGAGGATCCCATGGACCATACGAAGAACGAACCTTTCTTCCACCTCAGTTACCAAAGCTTTCTCGGGATAGGTAAATGCGCGTGCCTGCCTTTTCACGTCCGAAAATCATGCTGGCCCCTCGCATATGCCTTATTCGATCTTCTGCCCCAGCCAGAAAAAGAGAAAACGAGGGAAGATTGAGAAGACAAGGTCCAACAAAAAGAACGAAGGAATCAAAGAGCGGGCCGGATCCCTTAGGTCTAGAAACATTGACGATTTCTTTTTCTTAAGCAGCAGTGGAGTTCAACCTGCAGCCCCGGCAGGCGCCTTTCAGCGATCTCGTTCTTTTTGAGGATATTTCTTTTTTCTACCCTCCTCCTCCAATCTTCTTCATTTTTACCATTTCCTTTTATTTTATTTTTCTCTCTTTGCTTTAGCCCCTTTCTTCGTTTATCCGCTCCCTCTTTCTCAAGTCCCACTCTTATATGAGTGTTTGGCTTGTGAGCTGGAACGGACAGGGGGCTTGCTTGCTTAAGAGCGTACATTCGACATTTGTGGTCTCGCCTGTATTAGGCCAGGCCACAGCTCGGTGGCACGGACTCACACAGGCAGACCTCGCGACTTGGGATTGGCCGGGTGCACAAAGTCAAGTGGGAAATTTACCCAGCCCCATTCTCAACAACCAAGTCACTGTCGAAAAACTTATTTTCACGAATCAGGGGATGAGAAAACAGGAACCGAATGGTCTGGCACCAAGGGATGAACATCTTCTGCAACCAAGTGCTGCTTGCATTGCTCACTAACCTGAGGGCCTGGTGAGAACGCAATTGTCCTTTTGTCTTCTTGGTCGATGGGGTTCTCTTTCACGACGCTATCTTGAGCGGTTCTACTTCTATCTTTGCCTGTTCCCAATCCCCTTCCCTCGTGCTTGGCTACAGATTCATCCATCACTATCACTAGATCTGCATTGCGCGCGGCGAGGCTGGGAGGTGGGCTGGCGGGATGGTGGAAGAGGGGCAGGGGAGGCCCTCTTTTCCGCATGAAGCATGGGTAATGTTTATCGTGGTTATCAAATTAAAAGACGGCCGGGCATTGGATTTGATGACCATGCCTGGCCAGGGCTCGCGCATCTCTGGAAGGATCAGCAAGGAGGGCTTTTGACACATTTTCTTTTTTCCCTCTTCTTCTGTTTTCTTGTTAACTTTGGTCTCCTCTGGTCTTGGCTGTTCAAAGTGCGTTGCTTTCTTTTTTTTTTTTCTTTCCTATTTCTTTTTCGCTCAAGTTTTCCTTTCTCTTTTTCCCCTCTGGATGGCGTATGTCTCATGAGTCCTGACTTTCATGGTTGGGATTTCAAAAGGTTTGCCTGGGCGATAGATTTTCGCTACGATTTCTGAATCTTGGGTCTTAAGTGTGTAATTACAAGTCGACTTTTGCTATCCCATATTGAAGGGACACCATTATCAAAAATTCTCTCTCAATCAGTAGAGCTGCTTTCAACTCGGCCGAGAGGCTGCCTTTGCTTACATGTATGACCGAATGGTGAGTTTAGGTCAAGCATTGCATCGCATCACACCATCTTTAGTTGGTCTGATGAGGAGGATCACCGCCCACCAACACCCTGCCATTGGCTGCAACACCGTCTAGGGTGGTGGTGGTGAAGGGTTGGATGCTTGAACAAGGATGTACTTGTATTGGTGAGGGGGACGAAGCCGGAATTAAAATCCTTTATAGGGATTTAGGTGTTTCCGTCTCCACGACACATTTTCCCTCTGTCTGTTAGCTACATAATACAAAGTATCCCAACTGGATGTGTATGCTGTGGGCGTACTATGCGAGTGCCGCTGATCTTTTCAGAGATTAAGGTATTGGGCTAGTTGTACCCTTTGCTTTTCCTCCAGCTTGTCACTATGTCCCTTTCCCTCTCCTCTTACTTCTCCTCGCCGAACAAGTGGTGTCTTACCTTCATGTATCAAGCTTTTTGGCATTTGCCGGGAGATACTCGGTCTTTCCATCCTTTTGTTCCTGATGTTCCTTCTTCGGGACATGTAATGGATGCGTGCTGCGTGCTGCGTTGTGCGAGCGTGTAGCCTCACAAATGCCCTCACTTCCTCCGCTATATCCGGTGGTGGAAATCACAGTTCGTCTTTGCTTTTTTCTTTTTCTTTCTTTTCTCTCTTTTCTTTTTTTTTATGAGTTTCTTTTATCGTGTGCGTGCACCGGCACCGAGTCGTGTTCGCTGCCGCTTCCGCTGATTCCCTCTTCCGTTCGCCCCACTCTGACGTCCCCTTCGTTGCTGCCCGCGGAAACGTCGCTATACCCAGATCCGCGCGCACAGCTTCTCAATTCCACGAGCTGGCTCGTTACGTTTCTTTTTCTTTCTTTTTCTCTTTTTTTCTTTTTCTAATCTTACTCTATGTCATATCTTGCGCGGTATCAGTCGCCGCCCTCATGGAGGAGTACCGTCCCAGGAGGAAGAAAGAGAGAGAGACAAAAAAAAAAAAGACCTCTCTGAACAATGACAAGGACAATGTGAAGGCTCTTTCCTGCGTTACCATTCGTAGTAACAATGTTGTCTGTCTATGCATTAAATGATGGCGGTGAGAAAAGAAATATCGATTTTTGCGGGAGGATTGGCAATGTGGCCCTGCATCTGCTTTTAATTCACTTCACAAGCATAAATCATGTCCAACCAGTCGGGTGTGAGTGGACTGGCCAGCCCAATCGCCCATTTCGTCCACTCACCTAAATCTCAGCAGCACAAGCTGTTGTGTAAATGATGCAGAGACACTCTCCCCGAGAGCCACGTTCTGATTACGAGTCGATTACGAGATACTCGACAGCATAGCATGGGCGTCGGCTCCCCTCCCAAGTATTGAGCTATCAGTGCTTTTTTCTTCCTTTTCCTTTCCTTTTTTTTCCCCGTTGCTTCAGAAGGAGTCTCGGCCTCGGTTGGTCCCAACTCTCTCCCTGGTCAAAAAGGCGCAGGACCTGGACAAAGACGAGAAAGGATGAGTGACAGGGATAGCGCTTGCGCGGAAGACGGCAAAGGAAATGCCAAGACGTAGTTGGCGCCCCACGAAACCCTCCTCACCAGACACATCCCAACTTTACCAACCAACAGCAGAGAAAAGGCCTAAGTTGAAGGGGGAAGGGGGGATGGGGGGATAAAGCAGCAGATCAGGAATGATACATTGTATGCGCCGTAGGATGAGACTTGGTATCAAAGCAATGCATAACAGAAACGAACAAAGGAATAGGAAAAAAGAAGAAGAAGAAGAAAGCATCAAAGGCAAGGGGAAAAAAGGAAAGCAGCAAAAGACATGGTGCAAGGAGAAGGGAAACGAGAAGGGCTGAAGGATGGCGAAGGTTGCAGAAGGAAGCAAGGGTGGCGGCTAATTCTGATTGGATCGCTAGCTCCCCGGCAAGGGTTAGTGCGAACCGTTCTGTCGGTAACAACGCTAGACTATTTTGGGCCTACTAAGTTCGGCGCGAAAAGAGGATTGATCAATGGACCCGCTCTTTTTGCTCTCTTTTTCGCCTGGCTCGCTGAAATCGCCATTTGCCGGGGGTGGGGTGAGTGAGGGTGGGGGTGTGCATCAAGGGGGACGTTGTGACCTCCCACCATTTGATAGAGTGAGAGAGGACGGGCAGGGGAATTGGCCGCTATTCTAAGGTGCGAAGTGTGTGAAGGGGGTGGGAAGGAAACGAAGGGGACGAGAATTTTTAAAAAGGAAAGAAGATGAAGAGTGAGGGATGAGGAAGAATGACTAGTCTTTTTAACGCTCTCATCCTTGATCAGCCGGCCACTAGCAGGGGACGCTTCCGATGGCTATCTCTTCGAGTGCCGACATGGTGCGCTCCGCCTTGTTGCTTTCGACTTTGGCGGGGGATCACTTTGGTGGGGATTAGCTTCTAGTGTCTGTTTTTTTTTTTTTCGTGCCAAATAATCCATTCAGAATGCATTGTTACCGGGCAGACGGAATAATGTCTCGTCTTGGCGAGGCTTTTTCCCATTTCCGTTCCTTCAGTTGGATCACGAGTATTATTGTCTTGTCAAGTGCTTTTGATGGGACCTTCCCTTCTCTCCGACAGGAACAAAATTATTCTCGAGGGTAACTTTTGCTAGCGGAACAACACAACGCCGACAACTTCGTCGCCCGCAATCCGAACTCGAAGCCTAGATTCTCCTTCTTCCTGGCCTCCTTCTTCGTCTTGCTTCATTCCTTTCGTTCCTTTCCTTCTTCCCCTTCTTCTTCTCCATGTCCCTCGCGTGGAGACAAGGCAAGGGAACTGTCACACGGCAGGGTATTAGACACGTGAAACCACCGTGTGCCGTGACGATCACGAAAGGAACATTGAAGGGAAAGGGAAGGGGGCTGAAAAAAACAACTAGGGTGAAGGGCGGCAGGGCGTGGTCTAGCCTAGGCGCATGTTGTCCATCCGCAGGGCGAGCGCTTGGCACGTTTATTTTTGCGTTCTTTCTCAGACTAAAGAATGGGCCAGCGCTTGCGTGGAGCAACTTATTAAACTCGTTCGTCTCGTTCGTCTCGTCCAAAAGAGATACATACTTCGTACACGAGGCGAAGGCGAAGACCGGATCTGGATGGAGGGGTGGGGGTGTGAGGGGTGGCCCCAGTAATAGTCGCTTTTTGACAGGTAGACTTTGACGCATGTAGATGTAGACGCGTTCTCTCGAAACTGTCCCAACTTTCTTATTTCTACTTACACTTTTTCTTCTCTTCCCTCGGGAATCAAGGGTCTTTCACCAACAGCCCTCCAAGGCCCCTCTTTTCCTCTCGTCAGATCAACAAAGGGAGATAAAAGGATGGAGCGACCGCCCGCTTGACATGTCGCAGGGGCGAAGCTGGCGCCGGGAGGCAGGGGTGCGTCGGGGATTAGGCGATGAGCCTGTCAGGTCACTGACCTTCCATTTTGGGGATAAGAAACAATGCCTGCCTTCAGCGTTTGGGGCAATGGGAAAACAGAAGAGAAAAATCGCGTGCC